AATGAAAGATCGGAATGAGAAAGACGGATGCAGGAAAGCCGGAAAGCCAGGCGCCAGAGCTGTGCGACAGGACACCGGGGGAGATCCCCGCTAACCCCCGCTAACCCCTAACCCCGCTAACCCCGCTAACCCCGCTAACCCGCTACACCCCGCTAACCCCCGCTAACCCCCCTAACCCCCGCTAACCCCCCGCTAACCCCCCGCTAACCCCCTTAACCCCGCTAACCCCCCGCTAACCCCCTAACCCCGCTAACCCCCTAAGTCCAGTCCCACCGTAGCTGGTCATGCCGGCATCCAAGTTCCTATTCTGAACCGTGCCGAGCAGCCGAGCAGACTGCCACTCTGCCGTTGCTCTGTCGTCGGGTGATTTGTTGATTCAATGGGCGCCTACATCAACAACGTATGATGCCCTTGTGGCGGCTCACATATGTCATATACTTCATACATCTTGTCCTCTTCGTGAATACATCTAAATATCCGGGATTTCATCAAGATCTTCCTCCCCGTCTTCACCCCCATCCTTCTCTTCATAAAGTGCGCCCTGTTCTTTGTGATCCTCATTGAACCCTCCCCCAACTCTCGCATCACCCTGCTCCCCATTATCCACCCCGACGTTAACCTCCCCGTCCTTCTCGCCCAATTCTTCGTTCCCGTCTCCGACTATCTTGGTCAGCGAGACATCTGCTTGTGGCGACGAGGTGGGAGGAGTAGGTGCACTGGTGGACGGAATCTTGGCAGGGGATGATGGTGGGGGAGATGGAGATACTGGGCGCTTGTCTCCGTGGCTGTCGTTAGAGTTGCTGACCGGACCTCGTCCTTCCTCCTCCTTCTTCCCTCCCGGCTTCCTTCCATCCCCATCCTCATCGCTTCTCTTCCTCTCCCTAGCAGCCGCCAAGCCTAATCTCGGCTTGGGCATCATGCGATTTGGCGCCTGCGTAGCCTTCGGCTTATCTGCACTTTCCCCTCTCGCCGTCGTAGAAGCAGAAGCAGAAGCAGAGGTCGACAGGGAAGGTCGTGTGGCTGAAGACTTGGCGGCAGATGTGGCGTCTTTGGGAGAAAGATCGGAAGGGGGATTGCCGTTGGACACTCTCGGCCTCGCCTTTGCCGGAGGAGACTTGACTTTCGAAGGAGGCGAAGCACTAGCAGCATTTGCAGCCGCCCTCGCCCTGCTCGCCGCCGTCCCCTGCATCAACCTCGACCCCGAGCTACTCCCCACCGAGCTCTTCTTCTCCCTCTCCTCCGTCCCCTCCGGCGACTTGACAGCACCAGCGGTCGAATGATTGGAAGCGCTCGTCCTCGGCCTCACCGCTGCCCCACTCGAACGCCCAAGAGGACTCGTCGGCGACTTGACCCCCTCCCTCGACCCCAACGAGCTCTTCCTCCCCTCCACTCCTATCGCCGAAGCTGCCCTCGTCGGCGGAGACCTGGCCTTGGCCAAGAAGCTCGCCGTAGGCTTGGACGGCGTGCCCGTAAGCTGAGGGTTGAGCGGCGCCGGGCTCGTCGATTTGTCTCGGTCTCGAGGCTTTTGCGGGGGCGAGAGGAGATGAGAAGCAGGGGAAGAGACAGTGCGTGATGTAGCGCCGGTATGAGAGGGGGTGAGGCGTTTGGTAGAGGTGGAGGGTTGTTTGACGCTTTGGCTGCGTCCGAGGGCGGAGGGTTTCGAGGATGGAGTAGACTGGGCAGGAGCGGGCGACGAGGCAGGGGTAGAATCGCGAGGGCGGGTGGGCTTCTCGGCAGGGGAGGGGGTAGGGATGGTCGTTTCTCTCTCGGCAGGTTTGGCAGGCAAAGGTACTTTCGCTAGACTTGGCGATGGAGCGACCGAAGCAGCACCAGGCGCCTCTTCCCTCTCCGAACTCCCAGCAACCTTTCCCCCATTCTCACTTGCCCTCCCGAAACCCCCCAGCCCTCCTCCTGGAAGCCCCGAGACACCCCCCGCCCCACCTGCGGCGGAGAGGATGGGACTCGTAAGGCCAACAGGCGCGGTGGGGCCAAGACTCGTTCGGCGGGATGTATCGCGGGTGGCGGCTTCTTGGTCGCGATTGGCGGCGGTTTGGAAGCGAGCGACAAGGGCGGATACCTGTACAGTATATCAGCATGGGTTCTTGTGAGATCAGAGCGAGTATGAAGGGGACCATGAGGCGAGGAGGGGGGGAGTCAAAGGGCAAGGTACTCACGCTTCCTTGAGATCGTTCAACAGGCAATGGCCTGTAACAGGAGAATCAGCTAGTGCTCATGATCACCAATGAGTCAGAAACTTACATGATAGAGTATAGAATGTAGAGACTCCCTAGTTATCGTCCAGACACGGATCTTTTGAGGATGAGAACGCTTTCGGGGTTTGCGTAGGCGATGTGTATAGGGATAGGGGCGATGCCTATCTCGGTTGTCAGCATTTCCTCGGTTCAAGCTCTCACAGCTACCCACAGAAGGTGAAGACCGAGACTTGTATCGCAGATCTCAATACTCCTCCAATCGAGTCACTCGTAAAGCAATCCTCGTGAAACGTCGTATATCAAGCAAAACCTTGAGAGTCGTCTGGAATCGTGGGTCTAGCCGTGAGAGGTCTAGCGTGATCTAGTGATCTAGCAGGATGATAGCGGGACGGTCGATAGCGCACGGGGGTAGTCGGGAGGGGAGTGGGCGAGGGCGAGGTCGTGGAGCGAGTCGCGTATCCAGCACGTATCGAGTCGTCAGGAAGCGGTCGTTACTATACTGTCAGAGCCGTCGTACGCTCCTCTAGAGGCCGTGTCGAACGACGGAACAAAAGAAATATATGTCAAAAGAGGGAATCGACGTGGAGACGAAAAAGAAAGACAAGGTGCGCGAGAGTCCGGACTCTGTCCGCGCTCGGCCCGTGGCGCCGCTGCCTGGATACGGCCTTGAGTGCTTGCGTGGAGAGTGTCACAGCCAAGTTATGAGATTCATGCACAAGTCGGTATAGTGTCCATTCAGGTCGTCACAAATGCTAGTCATATAATAAAAGCAAGCGATAGCTACAGTAGATCTCCTCCCCATTTTTCATCGTCCCGTCACATCATCGACTCGTCAAACTGCTTAGACCATACCGGCTCCAACAACAGCGCCAACGACACCGACGGCACCAATGACCATACCCCAGCCGACCTGAGTATTCACGCCAGCGGCGGAGGCGGCAGAGGAGGAAGAGGAAGATGAAGAGTCGGTGGAGGAGCCGGTAGCGGAAGCGTCGGAAGCAGCGCCAGAGTTGGCGACGGTACCAGAAGCGGAAGAGACGGTGGTGGAGCCGTAGCCGGCGAGGGTAGAGGACTCGACGGCGGTGGTGGAAGAGGGCTACCCTAAGTTAGCTCGGACCAAAAGCAGTGACGAAAGAAGACGTACAGAGACAGTAGCAACACCGTTCTCAACCTGGAAGTAGTTGGCGGTCACGATGCTTCCGAGCTTCGAGGAAGAAACATAGTCGGAGAGGGAGAACTTGCCGAGGGCGGTACCAGCGGTGGAGAGGTCGGAGGGGGCGGTAAAGTCGGAGGGCTGCTCGTAGATGATGATAACGTATCGGTGGGCACCGGAACCAGCGTCGGGGCCAGGACCAGCGTAGTCGGTGCTATAATACGCATCAGCACACGTTGAAGACGATCAAAACAAGCCCCCCCAAACGTCCCGCGGAACGATTAAGAAAACTCACATAGAAGTGGATCCAGTCCAGTTCACCGCCCGAGATCCAGAGCTTCCGCTCTCGAGACCGGCAGAGTTGACGAGCCAGTGTCGAGTCTGATTAGTGGTGGACTCATCGGTGCCGACAATGTCCGCGTCGACCATGACGACGGTGTAGAGCTACGCGGCGTCAGCTCGGGGACTCGATGACCGAGGAAAGGGGGGAGAGTAAAACTTACGGCGGACGAGTCGAGGGTGGCGTTGGACGCAGGGGACACGGCGAGGGTGGGGGAAGAAGAAACGTCTGGACGAATGGTCAGATTGCGCGCTAAGACACTCGGGAGACACCCGGGGAGAGAGGAACATACCATCGGCGGTCAAGTTCTGGCCGGTAGTGATGGCCTGGCCGGCAAACTCGACGCTCAGAATGCCCTCAGGAGTGAATGTCTCGAGGAGTCCGGGGACGATCTCGGCCTCTGCCAACAAGTGAGCTTTGGGCGACATGGAAAAAAAAAGGGGACTGACGCTGAAAGTTGGCCTCAAGGCCCTCGATGTCGACGTCGGAGGCAGTGCCGTTGCTGGTGCCCTGGGCGAGGACGGGGAGGAGGAAGGCAAGGGCGGGGATGAAGGCAAGCATGATGAATGAGTGTGCGTAGTTGGGGGTTTGGAAAGAAATATGAAGAAAGATGAAAAGATGAAGGACAAAGGAAAAGGCGAGACAAACAGGGCGATGCACTTGCCAAACACGCTAGACCTCCCACGCGTCATCACGTAAACACCCCGGGACCTCGATCTCGCGGGGCCCACCGCTCTGTTTGTCCACCGTCAAGCTGCGTCTGGCTGCGGCCTTGGCCATCCGCGGTAGATAAGAGCGTGTGGTGCAGATAAGGTGTCTTGTGCTTGGGGTGACTTGAAATATATGTGGGACAGGTAAAGGACGAGGTGCGGGTTAAATTGGCGGACGAGCATTACAGACCGTTACATTCGCGTCGTCGTTCAACACGTTTGGCATGCAATGGTCTTCGGCAAAGGTCGTGATATGCAAGAGGACTTGGAAATACCATGAGAAGTACGTTCGCCCTCCTTCAATGTCGATATGTACGACAGCGATCAGAACTCGCGCAATGCCAGTCACGAAATCAGCTTCGTACGCCAACTTCATTTCACCCTCATTTCGTTGCTCGTCGTTGGACGGTGTTGAGGGGGACCGGCGTTCGAGCGGACCGGCGTTCGAGCCTTCGATGGTACTACAGGGTTTGTAAACGCAGTAGCCCACCTATTGTATACTATTGAGGACTATCTCATTGAACTCCATCGGATCACACAATGCATTTCAATATCAGTTCACTTATATTCAAGCTTTCTCGACGTTGTAATGGCATTCTTCCAGAACGTGCCGCCTGCGAAAATGAGTTATACCTAAAGCGAGCCCATACTCCATATAACAGCCAAGTTGTCTCATGAAAAAAAGGCGGCTTGGCAAGATCTCTACTGCACCCAAACCCCCAACTTTGCCCTCCTCCTCGCAATCTCTCTCTCTCTCTCGTAGATCATCAGCCTCGGCAATCACTCACGTGCCACGCCTAATCTACACCTCCTATCCACCCGCCTCACTTGGGATTTTTACAAGGAGACCCCGCCCCAGTCCCATTAACCTCACCTGGGCTTCAAACCCACAGAAGAACAGACATGATACGTCGGACCGGTACAGTATTCTCTCGTTACTGATGCTCGATACCGATGGGCGCCAACGCAATGGTCTATGGAGTTTTCCCATCCAGGAGATGACCAACCTGAGAACCGAGAAGGCTATTTGTGCAGATGTTGATACACATCTATGAGGATCTCTCGCAAAATCGGGCAATCTGGGTGATACCACCAGTTTTGATTATGTACGAATACGCATAAAGCTGCCCACGATGCCCATGGTTTCGTTGAATGATATGGTGAGCGTTGTATGACCAGATACATGTCAGGCTTACCAATGATGACATGGTCAAAGATCGTCAGCATCGATCGATAGTATTGCTCTCTCAAACTCGCCGCACTCGGCGCTTCGATGCGATGGAGGTGAGGCCCGATTGCGGCCATGTATGTATAAAGAAGTGTATCTTGCTACTCGAGAATGTCGAGGCATTGTTCGTAGCTCAGCGGTAGATCGCCGTTGCTCAGGACACGACACAAAAATACAAATATATACATGTAACCGTACATTTACTCAAGACTCACAGAACATCTGCTCATAAACCTCAAGATCGCCCCCACCTTCTCCCTCTCTCCCTCTGGCAACTGGGCCCTAGAGCGACCTATCCAATATCCATCCCACCAAGCTTGACGCCCCGTCGACCCTTCCGGACGTTACGCGGTACGAACGAAAGACTCGACTCTAGCCCGCCCATGGCTGCTGTCAGATCATCCATCACCAAATCCAGCCCCCCCTCTCTCCCCCCTCCCGTTTCTCCCGATCCACCCCCTCCAGCTTTCGAGCCACCTCCAAAGTCAAAGTTGCCCGAAGCCGAAGCAGGCGACGAGGCGGAAGAATGTTGGCGCTGGGGCTGAGGAGGAGATTGGGGAGGGAGCCGTGGTTGACGATGATGCGAGGTAAGCTTAGAAGTGGGGGATAGGGAGGGGTGGATATCCGTCCGTGGGCGGATGAGGGATATGGCGAGGCCGTCTTGACGGGCTATCTCGTTGATCTGCCGTGCGGTCAGCGCGGATCGAGAAAGGGGAGAGAAGAGAAGAGGGAAGGAGACGTACACCGTGGTTGGTGATACTCCAGAAATACTGAACCGGGTATTCTGCGAGACAAGTAAGCTTTTGATGAAGGGGCGACGAGGGGAAGATACGTACTGTGTTTGCTGATCATATGTAGTCTTCGAGTTTTGGGCGTCGAGAATGTCTTGCCGCACTGCTCGGGAGGGAGAAAGCATTCGAACTGGGTCAGGTGTTAGCACACTTTCACGCAAGAAGGGGGCGGTATACGTGCAACTTTCTCGCCGTTCTTTTGGCGTTCTTTGACTATGGGATCGTGTGTCTCGGTGCCGTGCTAAGAATCAAGAGTCAGCTTCAGTTTTGGATTCAGACGATACCACGAGGCAGATCTATGACGATCCCAACCTAGCACTTGAAAAAAAAGCGTTAAGCTGAGAACGAGTAAACCGCCAGCCCTGGAACCAAACAAACCGCAAAGATTATCGACTTACAAGCTGTAAAAGCCGCTCTTCCGGGAAAACCTTGAGACACTCCTTCCACCTCTTACTGCCCACTTGCCTCACAAAGCTCTCCGGCACCTCGGACTCTTCCCTCGCGCTTCCCGACCCCGAGCCAAGTGCATCCGAGGTGGAGGCGGAATACGCTTCCCGATCTCGATCACGTACGCTCGCCCGGCACACCCATCGATGGAATATCTCTTCATGACGTTCTAGTTCGGCCAATGTGGCGTAGTATGTCGGCGCGAGGTGGCATGTTGGCGGGAGGGAGCAAGAGAAGGCGAAGGAGGAGGGGTCTGCTTCGCGGTGGTATATCTTTGGCGGGGGCGTGGAGGGTGAGGACGGTGGGGAGGGGAGGGATATGTCGTCTGATGCTTCGGAGGACGGGGGGGATATGCTGCGGGGGCGCTTTGTACCGGACATGGCTTGTTGAGGGATATGCAATGCAAGAGATGGATAGAAGTATGCGCCACTGGGGATAACGCCGAATGTCCGACGCGTGGGCGCCTCTTGCTGTCATCGCTGAATCGGAGCAGCCCGAGCCATCTCTTCTTCTGCCTAACCCCTAACCCCTATCCTGTCAGTCCATCTACTGCCCCTACTTCCCCCGCTAACCCCCTCAGATCCACCCCCACCATGTCCACCGTCGCCGAGCTCTGTCCCGTCTACGCTCCCTTCTTCGGAGCCATGGGCTGTACTTCTGCCATCGTCTTCACCTGTATCGGTGCTGCGTGAGTCTTGATCCTCCGTGAGATGTGCAGGCGAGATAGGGGGCATAACTTCCGAAAGAAGACTGCAATGGGGCATCGGGCGATCACCCGGAGGAGGATAGCGTCGAACGTGCGGCGTCATGCTCGGGGCCTTGCTTTGTCCTCCCCACCTTGACCTATCCACTCCGCCCACCCTTCTTCCTCGCTGTACCCAGGATCAAGATCCATCGCTAACTCGACGATCAGCTACGGTACCGCCAAGTCTGGTGTTGGAATCTCCGCCATGGCCGTCCTCCGACCCGATCTCATGATGAAGTGTGCCATTCCTGTCGTTATGGCTGGTATCATTGGAATCGTACGTCGATCTCAATCTCCCTCAACGCCAACATATGCTAACGAACAAACAGTACGGTCTCGTCGTTTCCGTCCTCATCTCCGGTAACCGTACGTCCGCCATCTCCCACCTCGTATCTCCAATCTGACCCTCGCACAGTCACCTCCCCCATGCCCCTCTACACCGGTTTCATCCAGCTCGGTGCCGGTCTTTCTGTCGGTCTTGCGGGTTTGGCGGCTGGTTTCGCTATCGGTATCGTCGGTGACGCTGGTGTCCGGGGTACGGCTCAACAGCCTAGGTTGTTTGTCGGTATGGTGCGTTGCCTCTTTTCCCTGCCTGTCCCGAAGACGAGGGCGGGTGATGTGTAGAGTTGTGCTGACGGAGAATACAGATCTTGATTCTCATTTTCGCCGAAGTCTTGGGTCTTTACGGTCTCATTGTGGCCCTGATCCTCAACACCAACTCTACCGTCGACTACACCTGTTCCATTGCGGCCTAATCGAACCGCTTCAACCACCCTCCCTTTCCTCTCCCCCCCACCCTTTCGATCACCTTTCTCTTTGATATCCTCCTGCCTACGACACTCGACGTTTATTCTCCGAATGACACACCCGCGACCGCGAAAGATGAAAGATGAGAGAGGGGAAAGAGTATTTGTTTTTGTAAAGTTGGAGAGTGAATGCGAGGGTATCACACAAAATGCATGGAGTATGAATTACTCTCGTCAGTTTGATTTCGAGCGAGCACGAGTACGGGAGGGGATCAGTCTAGATGGGCGATATCAGGTGGTGCTTTTGAGGAGAGGTAGCTAGGGGTACATGAGCTAGCCACGACGATGCGTGCAGGGTAACACGGGCAGATATCATACAGCAATCTGCCCGTCCAAAGAAACGGCCCCATCGCCCAACGTTTGGCTGCGAATACACTTGACGTCGCCTGCTCGCTTCGTCTTCTCGTCCGAGTAACCCCACATCGACCAAACCCACATCGACCAAAACCTCCGAGATCTCTGCTCGCAGAAAACACTACTGATGCAGGATGCATTTTGACATTTTGATTTTGTCTACTCTCTATCTCCCAACCTTCTTACTTCTTCGCGGGAGTCTCCAAAATCTTGCTCACAGACGCCCAAACCAACTTGGGGCTCTGCGCAGCATCGACGGGCGTCCAAACGCCGGTACCCTTGTAGTACTCGACGACGGGGCCAGTTTGCTGGTGGTATGTGGAGAGACGCTTTTTGAGGGTTTCGACGTTGTCGTCGGAACGTTGGATGAGGGGCTCGCCGGTTTGGTCGTCGGTCATGGGCTTCTTGGGGGGGTTGACTGTGCGAAATCGTCAGTTAAAGAAGTCACGGGGAAAGAGTGGAAGGGGGGAGGGGGCGTACATTCACGGTGGTATGAACGGCCAGAGGCGGGGTGGATCAATCGGCCAGTGATTCGGGAGATCAAGAGGGCGTCGGGAATCTTGAGCTCGACGGCGTGGTCGATGGCTTGCTTGGACTCGGCGAGCATGGCGTCGAGCTTGGAAGCCTGGGGAACGGTACGGGGGAAACCGTCGAGGATGAAACTGGGCAGTGTCAGCGAGTGCCAGAATACAAGAGGCGATGTGAAGAGAGACGTTGGGGGAGAAGTTGTAAGTCCGATTAGGGCCGCAACGTCCCGAGTCGGGAGTCAGGACAATACAGAGCCACAGAGAACGCAAAACACTCCACACTGTCAGACTACGCGTATCCCGCCAGCCTCAAAGATAGAGCATTCGAGGTCGCGCCCACATATCTCACTCACGGCCTCGCTCTCCATGACAATCCTTCCTCACCGTACGCTCGCAAAGCAGACGCAGAAAAGCTCTGATACTCGCCAATAGTCCAGAACATCCCCGCTCATCGCCCAATGCTTCCCATCCCATCTCCCAAAATGACGCGTCCCAGCCAAAATAAAACGCGCACTCACCCATTCTTGCACTCGGCATTGTTGGTCAACTCCTGCTTGATCATACCGACCATAATCTCATCGCTAACCAAACCTCCCTGGTCCATAATCTTCTTGGCGGCCTTGCCCAGCTCGGTCTGCTTGGCGACTTGTTCTCTGAGCATGTCGCCGGTAGCGAGATGGCAGATGCAGTACTTGGAAGAGATGTTGGGGGCTTGGGTGCCCTTGCCGGCGCCGGGGGGACCGATGAGGACCATGCGGGGGGGGTTGGGGGCGGCGCCGGAGAGGGCGGACTTGGCAGAGTCGAGGGTGGAGGAGAGGGAGTTGGAGGTGGACTTTTCGAGGGACTCGATCTTGCCCTGGAGCTGCGGGGGGTTAGGGAGTGGGGGGGTTAGAGATTAGGGGGCATACCTGGGAGACGAGGGACTTGAGGTAGTCGAGCTCAGAGTTGCCGGACATTTTGGGTGGTGCGTGGTTGTATAACTATACAGAGACACGTCCTTGACTTAACCGAAAGATGGGGACCGGCTATTGACGCGGTGTTACTCGTCCTTGCGGCGTTATTCGAGTGGCGCGTGGCTTCCACGTGGCAAGCACGCGCCTGTCTTTGTGGCCCTCTCTCTACGATAAAGGAGCGATATGCAAAGCCACGAGGTCACTGGAGCTGTCATGATGAATGGTAGTCGCCATGAAAGGATCGCCCGTATGTGTTATCTCTCGAGACTTATAACGATCGCCAACGCGTTACAAGTACTCGAGTACAGCTCAATTGACAGCAAAAGATGCCCTCAGCAACACCCGAATTCAAACTCTACATCGTCCGCCACGGTCGGACTTCCTAGTAGGCCCCCCCCTGTCCCCTTGCCCCCACATAATCGCTTACAGACACACAAGCAACGCCCAATCCCTCCTGCAAGGCAAACTCGACATCCCCCTCTCCGCCTACGGCATCGCCCAAGCCTCCCAATCCACCGCCCTCTTCTCCAACATACCCATCCACGGCGCCATCACCTCCACCCTCCTCCGCGCCAAACAAACCGCCGACATCATCCTCGAGGAGCATATCGGGGTGGTGGGGGAGGCGAGGGTGGAAGATGCGCGGCTGGATGAGAGAGGGTTGGGCGAGTGGGAGGGGAAGAGTGCGGAGGAGGTTAGGTGGGCTAAAGAGCCGGAGGGCGCCGAGACGTTTGACGAGTGAGATCAGAAACGTTCACTTTGAGCGCTACTGACTCCTACTCAGAGTCAATACCAGAGTCTCCTCTTTCCTCACCTCCTTGCTTTCATCCTTCAACCCTCCCGCTTCATCGAGCGGCACAATCGAGACAAACAACATCCTCATCGTCACCCACGAAGACATCATCACCTCCTTCGCCCGCCTCTTGTCCGCTGCGGGGAAAAGGCCCAGTGGACCCGAGTGGCGAATACCTACTGTACCCGGGTGGCGAGTAGAGCTTGATGATGATGTCGAGTTGATGGACGGGTGCGGTCATCTTGGCGTTGGATCGCTCGAGGGGTTTAGGGATGGGGATCAGTGGGTCTTGAAGATCAGAGGGTGGGCCAAGGAGGCGCCTGTTGTATAAGCAACCGTCATGTAACGTGTACAAGAGTTCCCCCCTATAATACAATGTCAAGCGCAATACCGTTGTTACAAGTGCATTCCATCTACGCCCTCACCGCATCTGGCACCACCATATTCTCCCCCTGCTTCAACCTCAGATTAACCATCTTCTCCGCCTTCCTCCTCTCCTTCCTCTCCCTCCTCCTCCTCTTCCTCTCAATCTCCACCGCCTTCTCTCCTTCCACCCACTCCCCGCTTTCCAAATCAAACTTCATCCCCGCCCTCCTATTCTGATACACCTCGGCCTGCTTTTCCGAATTTTCGACCATATACGACGTTTGCGCTGCGTCTCTCACTTCGGCGCGGGTTCGGGGACGAAGAGCGACACCCTCGAGGGAGATTTGTTCAAGGTCGAGGATATCCCTCAAACCCTTATCCTTACCCCCAGCTTCCCACTCCCTCACAGCATCCTTCCCCACCGCGCGCTTCTCCTCCTCCTCCCTATCCCTCCTCACCCCCCAAGCCGCCCTCTGCCTCCCCCTCGCCCACCTCGGACTCAGCTCCTCGCTCAAATGCAGCGGCATAAGCGTGTCCGCAATCTGCTTGGTCGCATCATCAAAGTGCTCCGGGTCGCGCACGGACGTGAGATAGCCGTCAGAGACCACTTGGTTTTGCAGGGGAGGCGCGAGGAGGTGCGTGGGGAAGAGGGTGTTGTAGCCAGAGGTGGAGGCGATGGTGGGGACGTCGATGAGTTGGAGGGTACGTTTGCGGACTTCGTCGTTGTGCGTGTCATTACGGTCGGCTAGAAAAAAACACAAGTCAGTCCAGCATCAATGGGCGGAGGAGAAAGACGCACGATCGGGGAATTCATAGACCTTTTCAGGCTTTGGCCAGGGCATGTCTGTCTCTTCGAGATGGGTCTCCGCGGCGACGGTACCAGTGAGCTTGGGAGCGACACGGCGCCATTCGAGACGCTGGGTGTATTTGTTGAAATGTGTCTCTTGAGTCTTGATACGGGAAGCAAAAACGCTAATTGGACCGTCAACAATTCACCTCATATATCATTGGGGGAAAGACGTACTGCTGGTCGACCTCACCAGACTCATCTACACAAAGCTGCACGTTCGAATAGTGGACCGGTCTCATAATGTCGATAAAGTTGGGGGCGTTGTCGACGTTTTTCTTTTCTTGTTCATCGAGGGTTGCGTAGTTGTCGGGGAGGGGTGGTACGGGTTGGGCTTTTTTGTTCTGGTGACGAGATCAGCCACAGATCGAGGACACGGTAGTAAGACGTCGCAGTCGGGTCGACTTGTCGCAACAAGCCGACCGTGCTCAGCGCCCGACCGACTCCCACTTGCGCACTCTCCCACCCAGACCTCAATCTTGAAAAGACACCACTCACGGTAATACCCTCCAGGAAGACCCTGTTCCTCGCCAAGTCCACCGTCTTGACCGTATACACTTTCCAGCCCTCACTCGAATTCTCTCCGTTCCTAAACACATCCTTCGCCTTTCCCGTCGTCATCCTCACCCTGTCTCCTGGCCTGATGTTCCATTTCTTAATTCTGTCTCTGGGCTGGACGAATTTGGTGGTAGGGTGAGGGAATCGGGATGGGACTTTGCGGGCAAACTTGCTGCTGTGGGGGGCAATGAGGTGCTCGAAACCTAGATACAAGTCAGCCAGTGTAGATATAAGTGAGAAGAGACTTACCCCTAGGGATCCTTGATATGATGGTGCTGGCCATGGCGGTGTATGCTTGCCTCTGATGTCCAAATGTCAAGGAAAGGCAGCGCGAATGAAAAGGCGAAATTATTAACACGTGGGATGATCGGTGAGCGCCGCCGTGTGCCTCCACTCTGTGGCCCCCGACTGAGTTGGTGCTGGATGTACTGTCTACTATAGCACGATGCTCCCCTCGCTCACCCGGCGGCCGTCGACGCTCCCGCCCCTGCCCTTCGCCCCCACCCCCTCCTCCCACCAGCAGCTCTTCCGCGCCTCCGAGCACGTGATCGTCCACCAGCCATGCCGCGTCAAGACTGCCCTCCACCCCTTCCATCACGCAGACGTCCTCCTCGTCGTCTCGAAGGATACTGCCAGAGATGATCCCACCGAGGAAGCAGCGTACGTAAGCTGCAAGTACCCCTGCATGCACTGACAGAGAGCAGCGTATTTGTCATCTCGCAAGAGAATCCCCTCGACATCTTGTACATCATCCCCGTCTCCCAACATTTCACACACCGTATCGAACAGACCCCTCCTTCCCCATCAGCCTCCTTCTTCCACCAAAGCGCACGACCTCGTATGTCCTGCCCATCCACCTCGACGTCCCTGACATCCTTGCAGACACCACCCTCATCCTATCTCTTCACGAGATCCAGCTCGAACTGCGCATCGCTGCCACCCAATCTCGCGACGTCCAGCGACTCGTCACGGAACTACGCCGATTCGTCGAGCACTCAAAGAAGGTCGGGTGCCCTCCCAGCTTGAGCCACGCGTGGACGGGTCTTTACCCTGTCCAGACGCCGCAAGAAGAGGCGCAGGAGGATGTCGAGGAGGATCCGGTTGTTGACGAGGAGCAAGTTGCTGTAGAGGCTGAGACTGTTGAGGAAGTAAAGAAAGCGGAACAGGAAGGTACTGCAGAATTGGATGTTGCGAAGGAGGGTACCCCCGAACCTCAAGGTACGTCGCTCTGGCTGTCCCAGCCCTATACTCATCTCAATCAGAAACACCGGCATCATCGATACCTCTCGAAACCCCCGCCGACCTCCCCACAACCCTCACCATCAACCACAACCTCCCCTCCTCCCCCCTCAACCCCACCTCGCCAAACTTCAACCGCCCCGCCTACCTCCGCTCCCACGTCCTCTCCCAATCATCCTCCTACACCTCCACAACACCCCTCAACATCCGTTGTGCGACTTACAACGTCAACAACAAAGTACCCCCCAAGGGCACTACCGAACTTGCCGGGCTGGTGGGGCAGGGGGAGGAGGATGTGATTGTTGTGGGGCTGCAGGAGGCGGATTTGAGGGTTGGGGCGATGTTTGTGGGGCAGGGGAATACGAGGGCGGATTCGTGGGAGGAAGCGCTCTTGAACGGACTAGGACCCCAGAAAAGCGAGTTCGAAAAGGCAAGTATCCCTTATCTCCATTAATATCCAGCTGACACCCAGTGTAGCTCGTGATGACTCAATATGTCGGCGTCGTCACCATCATCCTTGTCCGCAAGTCACTGAGGCCTCACGTCTCGAGAATCGAAACAGCAGAAAGAGGTATCGGCCTCCTCGGATTCGGCGGCAACAAGGCCGTAAGTCATCCCCCTCCCCTCCCACTCTTACTCCCATACTCATTCCTCTCCAGGGTGTCGCAGTAAGGATGAAAGTGTACGATACCGTATTCTGCTTTGTCAACTCTCGTACACCCTCTCCTCAAACTCTAAAGACCTGATATTGAGATGCTGACGTTACCATAAAGATCTAGCAGCATTCTCAACAGCCCTCGACCGCCGCAGACTTGACTTTTCCACCCTCCGCTCTACCCTCACCTTCCCCCGCCCGGCCATCACAAACGTCGACGCGGCCAAACCGGCCATCACACGTACCAACTCTAGCGTCACCACCCGTTCTGCTAGTATCAAAGATGAAACTTTACCCAAAGATGGTGGTCAAGATGAACAAGACGATGAAGGGGAGAAGGTGGAGGCGGATGTAGTCAACCCGGTGTTTGAGGAATTCTGGCCTGATGATGGAAAGGCGCTGGGGGTGGATGACAGCCATGTTCTGGTATGTCCCTTACTACTCGCATACCGACAAAAGCTAATGAGGTATGACAGATCTGGCTTGGTGATCTCAACTACCGCATCGACCTCCCGGACTCTGAAGTCCGCGAAAAGGTCGAAGCTCAAGAATGGCAGAGTCTGTTGGAGAAGGATCAGTTGAGGCTGGATATCACGGCGAAGAAGAGTTTTGCGCGGTTTGAAGAGGGTGCTATCGACTTTCCGCCGTATGTCCAACTCGTCTACTGTTGAGCTTGTTCTGATCATGGCGCAGAACGTTCAAATATGTCCACGGCTCGAGTACATTCGATTTCGAACGCGCGCCGGCATATACCGACCGTGTCCTCTACTCTCTCCCTCCCTCGCCCTTATCCTCACCCTCCAGCTCCAACCCCACTCCTCCAACCAACCAACACGCACTCAAAATCACATCATACACCTCCCACCCCATTCTCTGGTCCGACCATCGCCCCGTCTCATGTTCTTTTGCCATCTCCGCCTCCAAAGTCGACCAAGAGGCGCGTAAAGCCGTGTGGCGCCGTGCGCTGGGGGAGCTGGATAGGCTGGATGATGAGTGGAGGAGCAGCTTGGTCGTGGAAGTCATGGGTATCCAAGGCGAAGACGTCTCTGAAGAAGAGATCCGAGAAAAAGGCGCCAAGGCCGAACCTAGAAATGCGACGACTGCAAGCGGCGGCGGTGCTGGCGATCTCGACTTTGGCGCCATCACCTGGCGTACGCCCAAAACCGGTCTTATCCGCCTAACGAACCCCGGCAAAGTCCCTTCCTCCTTCTCATTCAAACACCCCTCCGCCTCCAAGAATGCCCCTTGCAAGTCGTTCATCCACCCTTTCCCGGCGAGGTGGACGGTCCAGCCGGGGGAGGGGGTGGTGTTGAGGGTGAGGGTGGAGGTGGATGAGTGGTGGGCGGGGAGGATGACTTTGGGGATGGAGGAGGTGGCGGATGTGCTTGTGTTGCAGGTCGACGGGGGGCGTGATACTGTGAGCCTATCTTCTCCGAGTATCATCAAACGCTGACAGAGTACAGTTCATCACACTCCAAGGCACATTTACCCCCTCCACCCTGTCCTTACCACTCCAAACCCTCTCCTCCCTCCCCTCGCCCATCCAATCCCTCCCCCTCTCCGAGCGCAAAACCCTCGCCAGACCCATCCTCCTCTCCCGCACAAACTCGGGAGTATTCGACAAAGACCAAACCCCACCGCCAAGTACAGCCTTCCGGCCCGTCAACCAGATCTGGCGTCTTCTCGAAGTCCTCATGGCCTCTCCTCCTCCATTCACCGCCTGGCAGCTTCCTTCACCTTCCCTCTTACCGACTATACACAAGATCATCGACTCTTTGGACGACGACTCGGCTCTCCCAGAAGAGTTGACGGACGGACAAGTCATTGGCGGGTTGATTCACTACCTAGCCAGCATTCCGGGAGGTTTGTTGGATAGTAAAGTGAGGACGGTGATAGAGAAGGAAGAAGTGGGGGATAGGGATGGGGCGTTTGGGATTCTCGAATCGGTGGGGCAGGTCGAGACTAATGTGCGTACTTTTGTCTCGCTGTGACTTGGTTGGGATGCTGATGATTTGGGAAAGGTTTTGATTGGGCTCATGAGTGTTGTAAGACTTTGTCTTGCTCGTCCTCCGCCGAGCCCTACTGCTGAGGAGATTGCCGAGGTTGAGGCCACTTCCAAGGCCACCAGGAACGACACTGCTGCCGCCCGCGACCCAGACCTTCCTGCAGATAAGGACGAGGTGGCTCCTGCTGCTGCCGACTCAACCGCTACCAGGGAGCGAACCGAGTCGCAAGACAAGAAGGTGCTTGAGGGAGAAGAAGGAGGCGGCGTATTCGAGCTGGGAGATGATGAAGACGACGAAGACGACTCTCCCAAATCCCTCCAACCCGCCGCCGACATCGCCTCCCCCACCTCATCCTCCACCCCCACCCCAACCGCCGACGCCAACGCCGAAAGCCCCTCCAACCCCAAGAGCCCGATCAACTTTTCATTTGCCGCCCTCAAACCGCGCCTTCGCTCAAAGTCGTCTGCGGCGAGACTTGCAAAGTCGATATCGCTGGCGGAAGAATCGTTCAAGGATGTTTCATTGAGCGATAAGGATCGGGCGGAACTTGTTGGTGAGAGCTCTACTCGTACGCCGCCGGCTGTTGAGGAGGGACAGGAAGCGAAGAATACGAGATGGAGTGGGAGGATTGGTTCGTTACGAGGGAAAGAGCAAAAGGTCGCCGAGAAGGAGCCTGTCGATGTTGTTGGTACGTATACTTTCCCTTCGCTTGGGATAAGACACTGACGAGCTGCTTGGTAGTGGATGTGCTTCTGCCGGCTGTATTTGGTCGAGCTCAAACGGGGGATCTCGGCAAGGGGAGAAGAAGAAAATTTTTGAGGCTGTTGCTCGAGGGTTGATTGTGTTGATCTTGTATGGCGGTTCAGATCTGTTGAGTTTACTAGATGCAAAGATGCATGTTGATTCTCACTCTTTGAAGGCGCATATACACAATGCATAAAGTCTTCGCGGTGTAATGAAGAAGACTAGATGGGATCGAAAAGGGGCGTGTTTGAGATTATGAAGAAGAGCACTGTATACCGCAGAGTGCTGGCGAATCGTACAAGCTGATCGGGTAATTTTCCTTCGGTGATGTTGAGAACAGCGAGCAGTCTGGAGAGAGCTGTTTGTCGGCTGTTTCGGGCGATGACACTACTCTTGAACATTCTTGTATCAGCCAGCCTGTTTGGGTTTTGAAAAGTCGCCAGGTTATGAGGGATTGACAGCTGTATGTGGTCGCTGTGTCATCGGCGGAGTGGGCGTGACATGTCGAACGATGATTTCGTGACGAGGAGAAGAAAGAAACACAGCTAATAATATGTGGGAATGGTGGTTCCTTCCGGGATGCATCATCCATAGTGGCCTGTTCATCCTCGCAGGATCCCGTCGGTAGCATGTCCGAAAAACAGTTGGCTATCGTGATCGTCGTAGTAGCCGCAATAGTAACATGTTTCCGCATCTGCTTCGTCCATTCCGCATATGCCGTCGAATCGTCTTCGTCTCCTCATCATGATGTCTTCTTTTGCTAGCCAGATCCAGACGACCGAGGCAGGTCCTGTTAAGCATCTGGATATGCAGTTGCGCCAGATCTTGAAGATTAGAACATAGCTGTATGTCACACGTAGTAATTCCCTGAAGTGGCATGAGCGCTGAGTTGTGTGGATGGTTGGAAGACGCGCGGTGTACATACTCAAATCATATCTCTCTGTCTACTCTTCTCTATGCGATAATACCGAAAAGGTCTTTTCCCCTCCAGAATCACCTTTTCCAGTCCCCTCCCCTGCTGCGTCCCAGCAGGCCGTGACACTGTAGCTGCGTATGTAAAGAGTTTATGCAGCGTATATCCACAACCTGATGGTGTGTTTTTGCACTAGTAACTGTATAGTATCGAGCGAAAGTTTCCGACTTGGGATATGCGCGCTCACGTTCTTCCGAACAGATATGTAGATCGCATACGTGGATATTGCCTGACTGCCTGGCCCGGTACATGTCAAGTCAAATCTAGCGATGTCATCGTCGACCATCCCATAGGCACAACAGGTTTCCGCATCTTTTGGCCCCGCTCGATTCCGTCTCCTATATCTTCTTCTTTTTGACAATTATCTTTAAGCACTTCTCCCCGCTGAAACACCTTCTCATGAACGCAAGGAAAGATATTGGTGAAGTCATAGGGGGGAGATACGAGATCAAAGAAGTGATCACTCACCGTGACCGCAAAAGTGAGTTATCCTTCTTCCTCTTCTTGGCCGTCGGAACGAATTTTCATTGGCCTGCGCGATATAGTGAGCGTCTACGTTGCCACAGACATCCAAACCCAGGAAGAGGTCGCTCTCAAACTCAACACCGCGGAGCACAGAGTTCGACTCGAAACTGAGTTTTACGACGATTCAATTCGAGACCTGGAGGGGTTTCCGAGCAAGAGGTGGTCTTGGGAGCACGGTTGTTATTGTCTTGGCGCTATTGCCCTCGACCGTCTGGGACCGTCTTTGGATACTGTCATCAAAGAGGTGGATGAAAGCAAGTTTAGCCTCAAGACGACTCTTCAGATCATGGATCAAGTCATCACCCGCATTCAAGCTTTACATGGACGACACATTGTCCACCGTGGTATCAAACCCGACAACTTCTGCATTGGCCTCAAAGGGAGCAAGACAGAGAATAAGGTGTATATGATCGACTTTGACCTCTCTAAAAAGTACATCAAGGACGGAGTCCACATACGAGACTATGGAGACAACGTGGGCAACACATTTTGGATGTCGTTGGCCATTCACAAAGGATACGAGCCTGTGAGGCGAGATGATATGGAATCCGCTGGTTTCCTGGCTATCGTGAGTTCTTTATTTCGCTTGTAGAATGCTGTTTGAACTGACGGCTTGGATGTAGTACCTTCTCAAGGGCGGATTGCCCTGGTTTTGCGAAGGCAGATCAAGCGCAATAATGCGTGGCAGTACGTTGATCGCTTTGCCCAAAAGGATCAGCAGGCTGATATCGTTCTCAGAAGCGATCACTGCTCTGCAAGAGCTGTGCAAAGACCTTCCAGAGGAGATTATCACATACATCACTTACTGTCGATCACTTCAATTTGCTCAAGAGCCCGATTATGGCTATTGCCGCGAGCTTTTCCGCCAAGTGTTCAAGAGGGAAGGGTTCAAAGATGATGGGCTGTGTGATTGGAGTACCCCTGAGCTTGTCACCGAGTCCGAGAGCATGGAAATCGCACATGGCTCCGATGATGATCTCCCCAGCAGCAATCACTCCGAGCAGGACGGCTCCGCTACCCCGTTCGATGACGATACTGTTGATGGGCAGACTCTTGTTGTTGACCACACCAAGACGACCGAGGCATGTACTGCTCAGTATCTTGATCTGCGAACCCGCCAGGTTCTCAGACTTATATGAATGCTACCGTAGATGCATGTATCTAGCTGTTGATCGATTACTCTCCCAGCTGCATACAATCAGCTTGCCGTGAGAGGGCATCTTGAGTGACAAACCAGAAAGCCAATTTGTGTTGGCTTCTGTCGCTGTCGGCCTTCGGACTCCTGAGCGTAGAGCCTTTCACCCAGAGTTCAGCAGAAGCCACTGTCATCGCACAACCCACGTGCTAGACAGTGTAGCCGACTGTCTTCGACTGTCATTGACTAACAAGCTTATATTGCACTTGACCCTGAAAACCGTATATATGTGTAAAGGGGAATGAATCCTCGATCTTGGTCTTTTCTTCACTGTACAAAGGCTTAATCTTCTCCTCCCTCACCCCTTACAGTCTTCATCAGTCCCCAACATACTAAGCTTGTCTGCTCTTTCCAAGCTCACGAGTACTCCCATCGACAGCTGTAGGGTCCGTCTTCTACCAGTCCATCCTGAGTAAAGGAAAGTCATCCCGCCCGTCCCCGTGGCAGAGTCTCTCTAGGATTGGTCGTACCATTGTTGCATACTACCGCTTGTGTTTGGTACACATGCCTGGACGGAACAGAGCCAGTTGCCGCATTAGCTGTCAATCTGCTCCCTCTGTTTAGTCGGAAGCCTATCGTATCGTCAACTACCAAGAACAGCATGTCGCTCAAACTGATACTCACTCGTCCCATCTTGACCGTGCTCCCATCCCGCATCCCTCGCATACAGCTTCGACCTCCCCATATCCATGAACTTCAAGGTTTCTCAGCCATGCCGGCTCTGACGAAAACGAAGCCCGAATCATTCTCTCCACCGTCGACTGACTTGCAAAAGAGCCGTATATCTCTATCGTTTTGAGCGGCAATGGTAAGCTTGAGGAAGGCGTCAGCTCCAACCCGCAGCATATGGAACAACAACCTACGGCCAGTCAGACTCCTGCGCACTATCAACCAAACAGGCCATAAGCGACAAAATCTCCTCAGCATGCTCTTCGGCCATTCTCCTCCGATCTGATTCATCCCACGGCTCGTCCATCCATATCCTCAGATTCTCCATCCGATTCACTCCCATCGTCCTCATCCGGTACCCTCGATATCCGTGTAAACAGAGGGTGTCGTACACGTGCGAGCCTTGAAGCATACAGACGCTGAGAGCACTGATGATCCAATCGCTCTCGTCTGTGTTTGGCGTAGTGAGGCAGATATGGGAAGGCGCCAGGCTGGAAGAGAAGAGTTTATACCGCAGTAGCTGTTGAAACGTCTTTTCTGGTCGGCCTGGGGGAATCTCCGAGGCGCCTTGCAGGAATACGAGCCACCGAAGGTTAGGGAAGAGACGGATACTCGCCCCGAGCATCGTGAGCTTCTTGTTCGCCGCAACATGATCTCTCACGCTATGCTGGAGGTACTCGAGCTTTTCGAGGCCGACCGTATGATCTATGGTGAGCTTTCGCACCAGCGTAAAAGGCTTTCTGCGAGTAGGTCGGGCGTCGAAAGGGTATAGGACGCGCTGGTCTTCGTACCATGATGGAGAAGGGTAGATTTCGTTATAGAGGACGAAGGGTTTCTTCAAGGCGGTAGCCAAGGCAATACAGAATTCGCGGCTTCGTTCTGCCCCCAGGAGGATGCTTGAGTATAGTCGTGGGAGGTACTTGTCGTGTATGTCTCGGCTGAGAAGCAGGACGTCGCAAAACGCCGAAGATGGGACGGCGAGAGAATCGACGTAGGTTTCGAAGAGGAAGAGGCGGGTGTCGGGGTCTAGTGGGGAGAGAGATATGAGGGGTCGAGTGATACGAGCCATTGAAAGTATAAAGTTATAAAGACAAAATGGATGATTCACATGCGAAGAGTCGTTTTGATGGCAGCCTTGGCGTTTTGATTGCCTCGTTGATGTTCCGGTCTTGTCGGCAATAGGCGGTAAAGCGCCGGTCTTCCGACGAAATTGTCAAAGTTTGGCGCGATTACAGCTCGCCTTGTCTTTGCAGTGATGCGATGAGGCTCAAGCAGCAGGCGCTGTTAGGATGACCGGGAGTGCCGGTAGTAGTACATGTCGGAAGCGTACATAGCGTACAGACCAAGGGCGATGCACAGGCCCCATCGTCACAGCGACATGGTGGGCCATTCCTTAGAGCCTGTCCGGCAACTACATTTCGTTGCGAAATGTCGATTTTTCCCATACAAACTTAATGTAAAATGTGGCGACGGAAGCAATTTTGTATGGGAAAAATCGACATTTCGCAACGAAATGTAGTTGCCGGACAGGCCCTTAACGCCAGCTCCGTCCCCTTCTTCCACGTTCAAGTCTACCATGACATCTGTTGAAGGTCAATAATCATCACAAAAAGAATAAAAAAGAGAAGCCTCCGGCGGGGCTCGAACCCGCAACCGCACGATTAACTGATGGCCCGTAACCGGTTCAAGCAGACTCGTAAGAGTCGTGCGCGCTACCGATTGCGCCACGGGGGCTTTCCATGAATTTTTGCTGTGACGCTCGGGCCGCCTCGACATAAAGCTATGTACGTCTGCAGTAGATGCTGAAGACCCTTGGCAGTGCAGGGGATCAATTAGTAGCTACCCTCGTCGGAGGAAATCAACTTGCCCTGACGAAAACAAACGAGGAATAAGCGAAATGCTCGCTACAGCTCAATTGACGTTGAACAGCAAACAAACATGGTCGCATTAGGTTGCATTCAGCGCCGCCATCGACAAACGATACTCTATGAGTTACTTTAATGCTTTAACCAAGGGATTTGCTCTCGAGAGTACTTGTAAGCACGGAAAAGAGCGTTCGACTCGGTAGGATAGAATCCTGCGGCCTCCTTCTCCGGATACCTACATCTCATCAGCAACGTACATCCCTCTCCCCCGATCCGTATCCCCAATCACAAAGAAAAATATTACTCACACAGCAAAGAACGGACAAACATACTCCCAAACCTGCTTTCCCTTGCTCGTAACCTCCACAACCCTCCCAAACGCGCTCTCGCACAAGACAGTATTACCATTGGGCAGACGTTGAGCCGAGCCCATGAAGGGGGTGTAGAATGTTTCTTTCGTAGGGGCGTGCCATTGCCAGACGATAGACTTTGTGGTTCGGTCGACTTCGATAGCGCGGGAGTATTGGAAGGATTCGCGGTGACGGAAAGCGCCGTTGTCAAAGATCTGGGGAAGTATGTTAGTTGGGTTTGACGTGACAAATGAGGATCATAGAGAGAGGCGCACGAGTATGTTTCCGTTAGGCAGCTCGTTAGCATTGTGCTGCTGGGCGACAACGGTAGAGTCGAGGTGCCAGATGATCTTGCCGGTCTTTTTCTCGATGATGATAACGGCCGACACACTTCTCAACGAGGCGAGGATATTTCCGTCTTTTAGAGGACTGCGTAGCCGTCAGCACGTAGCTCAACCTCGGGAGGGACAAGTAGACGCACAAGACGGAGTTGATGAGAGGCCAGTGCTCACGCGGGTAATGAGTTTGAAGAGGAAAGATCTTGGGATCGAGGTGTTCAGAAACGCGCCATTCCCATACCAGCTTGCCATCCTTGACCTCTCGGATAGTGTCGGCGTAGGTCTTTCCATCGGGGGCTTCCTATACAATAGTCAGCTGCAGGCCAGGTGCGAAGAGGAATGATCTGACTTACGGTACCTTCGACCCCTCCGGGAAGAGCAGCCTGTTGCTCTGGCGTCAGAGTTTCGAGCCCGGCGTAGAAAAAATGCCCATGGCCTTCGTAGAAACAGCTTCGGCAGCAATCATTATGGGCCAGCCGATCACACCAAAAGAGTAGACTCACTCGTGGTGCCCAAGAGGATCCCGCAGCTCATTGACGACGTTCCCAGCGGGATCAAGCTCCATGTACACTCCACCGCCGTACTTGTTGAACTGCTCGATTGATCAGTCAAGACCTCACGAATGCTAGTGGAGACCCACAAAGGGAAACGGGGCAGCAGCTTCCGGGTCTTTCATGCCGACGATGAGGTTGCCATTGGGCAAAATGCGAGCGTACCGACCGACGCGATAGGGGAGGTCCCATTTGTGCACGACTTGGCCGGCGTTGTCGACGATATACACCTAAGATATGATCAGCATAGTACCATCAATCTCATAGGGCTGCTCACGTTCTTGGAGGTAAGGGGCGCGATGACCGTATACCCATCAAGAGCTCCAGAGTCGTCCACGGCCCTTGTGCCGACTCCGCGTCTTCGAGTGATGTTCTGGTCCATACTGTGTGGTAGGTGTGAAGCAGTATATGTGAGTGGTGCAGGTAGAGATAGAAGACTACATATTTATACTGGGCGATCAATCTGTCGAAAGTGGAAATGACCGACAGGCAACAGCAAGGCCGAAGACGACAGCAAGAGCGATATCGGAGCTCCGATGCTTAAATTTGGTTCCGCCCTGGCCTCAAGTACGCGACAAGCAGAGAGACAAAGGGTCAAGTCCGAGGTTTCCCTGAGTTGTCCCGGAGCTCCGAGGGTTGTTTTTGACATTGCAAGATTGCAGATGCTTATCATGGGCGCTTTTCGCAGACTGACGACCGCTGGCGATATCTCTCATCATCGTTCTGCTCATTTCGCGACGAATTCGCGATAAGCCTCGCTGACATATATAGAAATGACCCGTCCCGTCCACCCAGGCTCCGCATCAACATTCCCGGAGTCGTGAGAAGACAGAAGCCATCACCATGTCGGAAGCCCAACGACAGCACGAACCTCGGGAAACTGATTACACCCCCGCTGAGCAAGCACGAGCGGTGCGCAAAGTCGACTTTCTCGTCTTGCCCATGATAGTTTTTTGCTTTCTCATGCTCCAGTTTGTGATCCCTCTTCCTCTCATCTGCACTACCGAGCTGACAGCATCACAGGATCGTACCAATCTCGGCAATGCCCAGACTGACACGACATTTCTCCCCTCGCTCGGTATCACCACCGCCAACATCAACATCGGCCAGACGCTCTTCACCCTCGGCTTTGTCATCTTCGAGCTTCCCAGCAACATGGTCAGCAAAGCCATCGGCCCGGCGCGATGGGTGCCGTTCATCGTCTTCTCTTGGGGTCTCATCACCCTCTGTCAAGCCTTTTTGACCAACAGAGGCGGCTTCTATGCGACGCGCTTCCTGCTTGCTTCTGGAGAGGTGTGTCCAAGATAATCTCAACAGGCATAGCTGACATGAACACAGGCCGGCTTCATTCCCGGTATGGCGTGGTATATCACTCGATTCTACAAGAACAGCGAGCTCTCTCTGAGACTTGCTATATTCTGGGCGGCAAATAGTCTGGGTACGTCTGTCCTCTAGCCGCAAACGCACGTACTGACATCAACGCAGCTGGTATGGTATCTGGACCTCTCGCTCTCGGTATTCTTCGAGGACTTGAGGAGAAGCGAGGCTGGCACGGGTGGCAGTGGTTGTTTGCTATCGGTGAGTCTTTCTTCCGAGGCCAACTCCTCTAGCTGACCCCGAGACAGAGGGAGTTATGACCATGTTTGTCGCCACCATCGCCCTCCTCTACCTCCCTTCTGCCCCGATCGACGGCGGCCGCTCTCTCCTCTTCCCTATCCTCTCCGCTCGCGACGCCGAGATCCTTTCTGCCCGTCTCCTTTCCGACGACTCTACAAAAGCTCTCGGACGAGGCGAGAGAGTGACGTTTGGTGATATCAAAGATACCTGTCTCGACTGGCGTCTTTGGGGCCATTGCGCTGCTGCCTTCCTATCTTCGTAAGTCATCGCTCTTCCCTTTCCCTTCGATTCTGACTTGAAGCCTGACGCCGTCGCAGCATCATCCTCACCCCCATCAACACCTACGGCCCCAAAGTGATTCAATCCCTCGGCTACTCTGGCTTCATCGCCAACGGCATGTCCGCCCCCGCCTCCGCCATCGGCCTCGTCTTCTCCGTTTCCCTCGCCTACTCTTCCGACCGATTCGCCGAGCGGGGGATCCATATCTTTGTCGCTATGGCGCTCAGCTGTGCGGGATGTTTGTGGTTGGCGCTGGCACCGGATGATGTTGGGAAGAGGATTTTGTATGGTGGGTATTTGATGGCGGCGGGGACTATGGGGTGTGCACAGGCTATCAATGCTGTGAGTCAGCTGTTCTGGTATAACCGAGAGATTGAAGGGCTGACGGGTACAATCAGTCATGGCTCAGTCACAAATTTGACGAACGCCGTCGTCCCATCGCCCTCGCCTTCTAGTGAGCCGCCCTCCCCACCCCTCTCAGTCTCTAGTCCATTTCTCATCCTAACCTCCCCCCGCAGCGTCGCATTCATCCAAATGGCAGGCTTTGCCGGATCCAACGTCTTCAAGCCCGGCGACGCCCCGCGCTACAAGAACGGCTTGATTATCTGCGGCGTTTGTGCTCTTGCCGGAGGAGTGGTGATGCTCGTATGGAAGGCGCTTTATGTGTGGGATGAAAGGAGGAACGTGGCTCGGAATGGGAGCGAGGAGGAAGATAATGGGGCGCATGTGGTATGTTTGATCTCTATCGTTTCGTTTTGTGAAGAAGAGGCGTTGATGGTGACTGCAGGAATCGTATCATCTCTCGAGGGGTGGTCAGAGCGAACACAAGGACGTCGACGAAAAGTAGCCTGCTGTCGGTATGGTATCGTTGCATCGGCTTTATATTTTACTTTTCAATGTTTACTATCTGGGTTGATGAATACTTGTTTCGAGATCCAATACCAGCAGACAGCGAGCCGACATTCAGCCTCAGCTTGTTTTACATCAAATATCACATCTCTCGAGCATAAGTCTCGAGTACAATCATAGTCATAAACTACCTCAAGACGTCAAAAAGATCCAACTTGGCTCGCTCGCGCTAATGTTGAAGATGACATGCTAATGGCGCAATCGGACTCCAACCTCCATCGTCATCACTACCCTCCAACGTAGCAACAACACGTCCATCTCTTTGTCCTGTTCTCTGATTTGTATCTTCCTGACATATCTACCTTCTCTTATCAGCAAGACTCGACTACAGCAAAACTACCCGCAGAGGGACGATGTAAACACGGCCCTCGCCGACAAGACAAGACACGACGAAGACCGGTGACCGTGAAATCCTCAATCTGCCTCCACCTTGACGCACCACCATCTCGCCATACTGCTCCACTATATAACCCCCTCCCCCATCTCCCCCCATCTGCCCCTCTCCCGCTCCTCCTCCCTCTTTGCCACAAGTATCAAAGAAACCAAGCATCCCACCATGTCAACCCCCGCCCACCCCACCCCTCTCCCATCCCCGCCGGCAAGCCACGACGGCTACTGCTGTGCCGCCTGTCGTCGCGAAGAAATTGGGGAGCCCGGGGAGCCCGAGGTGGATGAAATCTGGAACGATGAAAGCGCCGACGTGGTGTTGGTCAGTAGCGACAACGTAGCGTTTTGGGTACCGGGGTATCATATCATGTCGCAGAGGTACGTTCCCTTCCATCCAAGCTTGTGAAAAGAGGGGAAGGGACTGATGGAAGGGGGTAGTACGGCTTTGAGGGATGCTCTACAAATCAACACCACCCTCCCATCCCCCTCCTCTCTCCCCACTCCCAATAAAGAACCCATCCGCATAACCCTCACCGACGAAGACTGCGAAACATCCTCCGCCCTCCGCTTCTTCCTCCACCTATCCACCCACGGCTCCCCCTCCTCCCTCCTCCCCAAATACCCAAAAGAGATTGTAAAAATGATGCTCGAAGGGATGCTGTTTATGCGCAAGTATGATTGTGCGCCGGCGCAGAGCTTGGGGGAGATGTGGATGAGGACGATGGCGAGGGGGCAGGGGGAGTGGGCAGGGGAAGGAGCGGGGGAAGGAGAGGAGAAGGGGTGGGGAAAGAGTTTGTCGGCGTTGGACCTGTTTCTGATAAGCGCTAAAACGGGGATGGACGGCGTCATGGTCGATTGCGTCAAGTACTACAAACCCCGTGGCCGATGGGTCCAACCTCGTTTCGCCGACGCTTCCTCCCCGTCAAGCCCTCCCCTTCCCGAGCCAATCTGGGAGAAAGACGAATACATACCCATGCTCAACGAGCGCTACGGCTGGGGCGCATACACAGGTCTGACCCCGGGGGAATTCCCGATCCTGGCGTGGGAGGCTTGTCCGCCGTTGGTGCTTTGGGCGCTGACGAAGGCTTGTGAGAGGGAGGAGGGGTGGGAGAAGAGGGGAGAGTGTTTGGAGGGGATTTTGGGGGAAGTTGGGTTTTTGAGGTAAATAGATGTTTTCGAGGTAGATGTTTTCGAGGTAATTTTAGGGGTGTTGTAGTGGTATTGAAGCGTGTAAAGAGTTAGGAATAAAGCATGAACAAGTGGTAAATGGTAGCGCTGGGGTCATGTTCGAGTACATTCGCGTGGTCGTACAAACGTTTAGGCTCCCGTCAATCTCAAACTGTTATAATGCTACACCCAAGTCAGCTCCGCCCCCACCCTCACAAACATTGATTCGGAAAGACTCACCTCTCCCAAACCATACATCCGTTTGTGATAACTGATCCTGACGACTCTTTCTCCCGCGGCTTTGCTCTGCTCCGCGGTACTGGCTCCGCCGAACGTATCTTCGGCGCCGCCGTGGGATACGACGGTGGGGGGACCGCGTTGGATGACGTGGATGGGGACAGAAAAGGCGCGAGAGAGAGCTTGCAACTACACCTCATCAGCTCATGCCTCTCATGCCTCTCAGAAAAAAAGCAAGAAAGGTAGGACATACCTCGGGCTCACCGCCCCACTCTCCAGTATTCGCCACCATCGAGCAATACTTCCGATACCCCTCTGGCGTCAACACCCCATCATCCGTCGCGCCCGCACTGTCTTCCCCGGTGATGGACGGCAAGAAGGGCATAAAGTCGTCGGGGTGGTCGAGCATGTAATTGGCGGCGTGGGCGCGGATGATCTTGGGGTCGGCGCCGTCGGAGGGGGGGAGGAGGGAGAGGAGTGCGAGTTGGTCGCCTATGGCGGCGTACATACAGTGACCGTCCGGCGCGATCTAGAATACAAAAGTCAGGATAGGGATAGGAGAAGAGGGGAAGGGGAGGGGGCTTGCCTCGTGGATGACACGGCCGAGGGTGAGGCAGGCGTCGCCGATGACTTTAATCTCTTCTTGACGCTCCCTCTCGAGCTGGGCGGTCCAGTCGGGGTTGTCGGGAGGGGCAGCGTCGAGCATTTCTTGCTGCTTGCGCGCCTACACCATGTCCATGTCAGTTGTGGAATAAAACGTGGGATGAGGTGGCGCACTTGACGTTCTTCAAACTTTTGCCTGCTGCTCTTCTTCTTGCCACCTCGTCCTCCACCCTGGGCAGATCCATTCGCGTACATCCCCCCTCCATTCCCATACAACCCACCTGCCGGCGCAGCACTCTCCAAAGCTCCTCCCTGCACCGCAGCAGGCGCACTCGCCGACAGTCCACCTTCCGGGGCAGAGGTATGGCCAATGGTGTGTTCGCGCTCCTGCATCTCCTCTAGGACGGCGTCTTCATTCACCTGGGCGGGGGTGATGCCGGCAGCCGATGCTTCTGCGAGGGCGGTGCCGTCGATGGAGGGAGGGATGTCGGGCGGGGGGGAGAGGGTGTCCGGAGCGGAGTGGGGTTCTGTGGGCTGGGGGTCTTGGGGGGAGAGGAGTTTTTTGAGCGCGCGTCGTTTTGAGCCGGGCATCGTCCATGGAGAAGGGGAAGAATAGCGGAGCGTGATCGAGTGACGCGCGTGGTGAGTATACGTAAGCAGCAGGTAACGCGGCACTCGCCGCCGAGGCCGGGGGTCCGAGTATCACGCAACAGTATCTTATCGCGTCACAACAACGCGATGGGGGGCAGGAAGGCGTACTCGTGTGAGTAGATACTGGCAGTGGCCAGGCTGACGAGATACAGGCATCCCATGTCGCAGCAAGAAAGTCAAAGTGCGTCCATCTCCTATCCCCTTGCCGAGCTGACATTGTACGCAAGTGTGACAGACATAGGCTGTGCGGGTACTGCGCCAAAAGGAGTATACAGTGCGTCTGGCCAGAGAATGGTGTGACCATAGAGGACGAGATGGAAGCTTCTCCATCGTACGTCGACCTGCTTGTCGCAAGGGCATGGCTGAGATCTACCTATAGTCCGCCCACACCGGTACCCCCTGTCCATACTCGGCCACTGCATCAGTACAGCCTCTCGCCATCTACAACAAGACCGGAAACATCATATTCAGCTACCCGCTCGTCCTTGGTGGATGTCCCCCAAACAGTCGTCCAAGCTGAACAGCTCGACCATTCGATATTGAACGACGCCCGGATCGAGCCTGTGGATCAAGATACCGTGCTTTCTGAGAATCACGGTATGGCGGAGAGAGTACGATCAGGAGCCGAGATAGGTGGGCAGAAGGACGTAGGGGTGAGGAAGAGGAAGAGAGCCTTTCCGTTCTTTAGCGGGAGCAAGGGTGGGGATGGGATGGTCACGGATGAGCTGCTGGAAAACCTTCCGACGCGTGGTACGTTTTCATATTATGGTACACGTTAGGCAGAGGCTGATTGGTGCATAGCCGAATGCGATATCTTGGTACGCTCTCAAGTCGAATGGTACAGACGTAGTTGCTGATACACTTGCTTCCCCAGCTCAGAGTCTATGTAAGTCTTCTGGCGTCTCGACAGACGATATAGTTGACGATCTCATTAGCTAGAAAAAGTCGAATGGGTAAGCCCACCCTATCCACCCCTCACATCCCCACTCACAATCATCTATTCCAGATCCACCACCCCCTCCACCTCCCTGCCTTTCTCGCCCAATACAACAAATTCTGGTCCATGTCCCCCTCCCAGCGCCGAGTAAAAGTACATTCGAGGTGGACTGCTTTGTTGTTCATCGTGCTCTGCTTGGGTGAACATTTTGGGGATGAAGAGATGGGGAAGGATGGGGATTTGGAAGAACGTTTGCTTGTCGTCAGTCTTATCCTTCTTCCAAACTGAGCAAAGGGGGGTGTGCTGATCTGGGTTTGGTGTGTTGGTAAGGCGACAGAAGATTCATTATCCCACTCCGACTTCCTAGACCAGCCTTCGACAGAAACGATCCAAACCATCATATGCCTCAACTTGTATCTCAACAACAAGAACAAGGTGAATGCTGCGAGGTCGTTGTTGGGGACGGCTATCAAGATGGCCATCTCCATCGGCATGTCTGTGAGTCTTGGTTCGTCCTGGATGATACGAAGGTGGAAGGCTGATGGAGGGGGGCAGAGGATACCGGATGAGGGGCCGGGTGTTGATCCGCAAGGTATCGTCGACCGCGAGGTACGCGTCAGTCATAAAAGTAGATGTAGCGCTAAACGACAGAGGTAGCTCGGCCGACGTCTCTGGTGGTCCCTCGTCACCCAAGACGCCTACACAGCCTCCACCTCCGGCTTCACCTACCTCATCAACCTCTCCCACACCTCCACCTCCGTCCCTTCCAACCTCAACGACGACGACATCCTCCCCCCGCCCCACTTCCACCCAAAACCCCTCATGACCGAGGGGGGCGAGGTGGGCGAGGTGACGACGGCGACGTATCATATAACAAAAGTCGATTTCGCGCTGGTGGTGAGGGCGTTTGTGGATCTGGTCAATAGGGATTTCCCCAATGCGGATTACGAAGGCATCATGGCGCTCGACCTCCAATTCCGCCAAGTCTACGCCTCCCTCCCACCCCCCCTCCGCCCCGACCTCCCCCAACCATTCTCCCTCTCCCAAACCAGCTCCCAGCGCTACCTCCTCCCCCAACGCCTCTTCTCCGGCATCACCCTGCACAACCGCATCATGCGCCTCCACCGCGCCTACATGGTGCGCGGCTACGCCGAGGACAGGTTCGAGTACTCCACCAGGGCGTGTTTGGAGTCGGCGTATGCTCTGTTGGGGTTGGTCAGGCAGGAGAGGGGGATTTTGTGTAGGTGGTGGGTTGTGTTGGTGCAGGTTTGGACGGGGGGGTTGATTATTGGGGTGGATCTGCTCCGGGGCCGGGGGAGGGTGGGGCCGGGGCAGGGGGGAGAGGAGGGGTGGGGGGAGAAGCAGAGGGAGGCGTTGGGAGTGGCGGTGTCTTTACTCGAGTGAGCTCTTGTTTTTCTTCTCGACGTACGGCTTGAGAGAAAAGGGAGGGGTGCTGATGGAAATGATAGGCCGATATCAAAATCGTCACCCGTAGCTGCCAGGGGCGTCAAAGTCCTCCGAGCACTTATCGCTTCATCGTTCAACCCACCACCACCTCCTCCTGCTCCTCTGGCGGTCCCCTTACCACCTCTCGCTCAACCTCAACCATCAAAACACCCCGACGACAGTGGGACGGGACATCCAGGCGAGAGTCGGGTGGCAGAGAGGGGCACGTCGTCGCATCTTCGGTCTAATGACGGGGTATCGTCATCGGATAGGCTGGAGAGCGTGGGCAGAGACGGGGAGGGGGGTGGGAGGCGGAATAGGCATAGAGTGGAGCGGACAAGCGACAGCGTGAAAGGATCGAGAGATATGGAAAGTCAGCGTATGGTCGGCGGTCAGCTCACGGACGGGATGAATCAGTTCGAGCTGGGTCACAGTACGTTCCTTCACTCCTTCCCTACCTTCTAAAGTACAGTGCCAGAGCCCAAGTGCATGTACTGATTATCAGCGATAGCATCCCTCAACGACCTCGACTTGTTACTCCAGAATGCGCAGAGCTTTGTGCCGTCGGGCTTGGAGGGAGAGGTGGATGATCCGGCGGCGGCAGAGTTTTGGGAGAGCTTGTTTGGGATGGGGCAGTGGTGATGGGGGATGATGCTCTTGTGTGGCTCAGCTTTTACGGCTTATCAGACATAGAATTGCTATCTATTCTCTCACCCATGCCATACGCCCATCTACTCTTGGCAAAGCCCAAAGACAACTGTCAGTGTGGAGGCATGCGGCGGTTCCGGGTGATACCAGTACGAGTACTGACATGACTTCATATATTCATTAATTCTTCCTGATTCGTAGATCTCCTATTTGGAAATCGGTCATAACGATGATACTGATAAGGGCGATAGCCGGCTGACGAACCAGCCGAGTCCACAGAACACTGCCCGAGCATGGGAAAGATGCCGACGTGGTATAATGAAGACGAGTATCTATGAAGCTGGTCAGTTCACATTCTCTCCAACCTTCATTCGGCCTTTCAAGCGAATAGATATAAGATAATGCACTCACTCACTTTACTTCTTCTTCCCACCACTCCCTCCCTGCTTCCCCTGCCCCTGCCCCTGGCTCTGACTCGCCTGATGCTTCGCAAAATCCGGCGCAAAAGCCCTAGCAATAGCTACCGCCTCCTGCGCATCTCCCGAGTCGTACGGCTTGAGGCCCATAGCGTGATTGAAGTTGGTCCAGCCACCGTAATCTTTGACGACGGCCTTCTCGCCGGGAGTGAGTTGGGGTTCTGCGTACGCCGAGTGTCAGTGCTGCAGATGGCGGTGGGAGAAGAAGGAGAAGGAGGAAGGGTTTGAGAGAGACTTACGAAGACAGTCAGTAAAAGGCATGGTTAGATTTGTCCAAATGATGGAATGGAATGGGAAAGCGACTGCTGACTGGTTGGCGACTGGACTCGAGGTGCAAAGAGACCGATAGGGCCAGGATCCGAACGTGGCCGACTCGGTGACGTGGAATCTATGGTATGGCGCCAGCGCTCTGCCTCTACATGGCTCAATCGTCCAGCCAAGGTCTAATCTTTCCTGTCACTGTGCTCCTTCCACAATCCACCGTCTCTGTACTTCATACCGTGTATACATCCTGCTGCTCTACTCTTGACTACACGCTTTGATGTTCACCGAAACCGAGACCGAGTACCATTTCAACTCTTGACGGGAAGAAGGGGCTGGAAGATGTGAATCCATATACGCATGATATCATTCACTCTTCTTGTTGCCCTTGCTCAGCCCAGAGGACTCACCTCACTTCTTCCCACCACTGTTCTGGCCGCCCTGTTGAGCATCATACGACGCCATCGCCGAAGCAATAGCCTTCCCCTCCTGAGAAGTACCAGCGTCCCAAGGGTTCATGCCGTAGCTCTGAGTGAATTGGGTCCAGCCGCCAAATTCCTTGACGGCAGATTTCTCGCCAGAGTTGAGGATAGGTTCTGCACCGACTGTCAGTATCCGAGGCTTTGGCAGGGGAGCAGAGGGGAAGGGGGGGTGCTCACGGAGCGAGTCGGAACCGGGCATGATGTATTCAGTGAATGTTCTTGAGAAGATAAGAGGCGATGCGAGAGTGGAAGACAAAGAAACAAGGACGAGCGGCCATGTATACATGAACGGTCCAGGAACCAAGTGGGCTCAGGCCCCTGACCGATCTGCCTCCACCTTGCGCGACCAGCCGAGCGAGACGAGCAAGTACGAGTCGCCAGCAGCACAGTCCGTTCGCCTTACAGATGTGCATTATATCTTGAGAATATCTCAAAGCCCGAGAATACGTCGCACCAATTCGGCCTCAGCTCGCAGCCCTTCGTCCCCCGAGGAGCACTTTGCCATCAGACCGGATGAATCAAAGTCGATGAGGGCGCTTGCAAAAATGATGACGCGCCGTAAAAGGTGACGTGGAATCGGCCATCTCATCGGATCGGTTGACATCACCGGCTGATCATCCTGCATCTCTAACAATCTAGTCTTCTGATCATTCCACTTCTCAGCCGACCTCTACAACACTCTACCCAAACAAACCACACTCCACTATCTTTTTCCTCAAAAGAACCCTCGGTTTCTGTCGCAAAATGAGCAATTCTCCGCCTTCACCTGCAGCGTCGAGGTCGCGCTCGCCGGCACCCGTCTATCGGAGAACGCCTCTGAGGTCTGCTTGTGTCCAGTACGACGTCAAGGTGAGTGCGGATCCGCCTCTGAGCTGCAAGAGGAGAAGTGGCTGATCCGGAGAAGCTAGGCAAAGTCAAAGAAAACGTCGCCAAGGTCGAGGAGATGACAAAATGGTCTGTCCCTTCTCTCCTTCCTCACTTGCCAATCATATGATCAAGCTGATTTCTCACTAGGCTCACTCCCGGCTCATTGGATCTCCTCGTTCTCCCCGAAATGTGTCTATCCGGCTACATCTTCCCCACCCCCGCCTCCATCATGCCATACCTCGAACCGCCGAGGATCGGCCCGACGTCGCTTCTTGCACGATCTCTGAGTACCCGATTGAAATGTCATGTTATCGCTGGATATCCTGAGAGACTGGAGGATGCGCAGCAAAGCGGTGTGGTCTCGGGAGAAGCAGGTGCCGATTCGGAAATGTCGAAAGCCGCTGGCGTGGGGTACAACTCTGCCCTGATCTCATCGCCTTCCGGGGAGATAGTCGGCAACTACCGGAAAACTTTCCTTTTCGATACCGACAAGAACTGGGCGAGAGCAGGCGACGGGTTCAAGCATTTCGATCTAGGAGGAGCGCTGGGTAGAGTGGTGGTGGGGATCTGTATGGGCGAGTCTGTTTCCTCCTCTTCTATCTCTTCGTCGCCGAGATATTCTTTCAAAATTAGCTGACAATCTGCGATGGGGCTTCTTAGACATGAATCCGAAAGATTTTGTCGGTACGCTTCATCCTTACGTCGGGCGTCAAGAATTCAAGCTAACGGAGATGGGATAGCTCCGTGGGACGCCTTCGAGCTTGCCAACTTTGTCCGTGACAACGCAGTAGATACCCTCGTCGTCCCGTATGTTCCTCCACATATACCGTCCACACTCACGAGCTAATGCAAGTGTACAGTATGAACTGGCTCGACCCCCCCGCCGAGCCTCCCAACGAAGACCCTCCACAAAATCCTCTACAACCATCCATCTCAAACCTCAACTACTGGGCAGCACGATTGACGCCATTACACGACCCCGCGCCTGGCTATTCTCCTCCATTTCATTCCGAAGGCGGCGAAGGAAAGGAAGGGAAAGAGGTCGTTTTTGTAACTTGCAACAGAGTCGGCGAAGAAGCTGGTACGTCCATCTCCCTCTCTTTTCCCATCGAGCCCCTTTTCAAAGGGCTTATGTTGTCGAGAGGAGACAGGCAGCTGACCTGGCTACAGGGACGAAATTCATTGGTACCAGTAGCGTGCTCTCCATGTCGAGCGATCCGTCTAGAATAGAGCTTATAGAGTGTTGTAATATTTCGGAAGAGAGGGTTTTGCTGGCAGAAGTGTAACATCGATCAAAGCATGCATTGCATGCAAAATTCATGTGCTGGTGGTGTATGCATACCGCAAGGGACAAATGACTCGAGATAGTACTTGTACGTGGGCAATGCAAAAGAAAAGTAAAGTACGAGTACTAGTCCATAAGACAAAAAGGGAAGCCCTCGGCGGGGCTCGAACCCGCAACCGCACGATAAACTGATGGCCCGTAACCGGTTCAAGCAGACTTTTAAAAGTCGTGTGCGCTACCGATTGCGCCACGGGGGCACCGCAACAACAAGATCGTTTGTTTTTACTTATATCCGTATTGCAGCTATGATACAACACAACTTCCTCGTCCCTTGCTTCTCCTGCAAAAACGGCAAGGCTTTCCGATGATGACTGGGGATTGCTTGATGGTCAATGGGGTGTGATGAAAGACAATGCAGTTTGTTAACTGGAAATCCATCCCAAATAGCATTTAAAGTAAAGTACTTCCTTCTCGTTAACATCGCTGTGTCGGCTGGACATCTAAGATAGCACAGATCCCCCAAGAACATAGAGACTGACACAGCTTCTTCGATCACTTCTCGAGGTGTTTTTCCCGCGAATTGACCTCTCATACCATGGTTGATACATCGTCATTGAGAACCCGGTGGCGCTCGCGCTCAGGAAGACTACGTACTCGTGGGAAAAGATATAGTCAGATCTAAGACCGTCTTCTCAGCCCAATGCTACATCGTCGTGCATCTCTGTACCAAAAGCACAGCATCGAACGGTACTGGACGATACAAAACATGGTCAGCAGGTTATGTATATCTTATTGCAAAGGGCCGGGATGACATGCCATCACCGAGAAGGCATATATCTGATGATCATCCTTCCGTGATTGACTTTGAGTAGCATTCGAGCCGTCCACTCCACTCAGTACATTTCCAGCGCTGGGTCGTCTACACGAATGGACGGAAGCGCCGGTGCCGGGCAGGAGCCTTTCTACTACGGATGGATGAAGAGATCTGGGAGGCCAAGCCGAGTGAGTAAAGAAGACTGTGAGAAGGATGATGATGGCGCGGCTGCTCGTTAGAGTACCGACTTCTAGTAATGGACATGTTCATGTCGTGATATTCTTGCACGACCCCAAGACATGAAAGGAAAGACACCAAGTTAGAACATTTACTCACACTTCTGTCTCCCCAGAGTCCTCGTGCGATCTACATCCGATCTGAAAATCATAGTTCCATGCTCAAGCGATGATGAGGTGGTTGAGACCTCCGGCCTCATGGACCGTGACTCAGCCCAAACAACCCCTAATGCCAACCAAGAGCCAGCATTTCCTTTGATGTGATCATAACTGCGACTTGATCAGCGGACTTGCTCCGACTGGAACTCAAAGTATAGTTGTAGAGAAGGGAGTACAAGCGGAAAGACGAGTACATATAGCCAACATATCACTGTCTACACCATCCCGGTATCACATCCGCAACCTTCCGATCTCCAGCCATAATCGCAGGACTGTCAACGACTGTAAGCGATTGGCGACGACTGCCGACGACTGGCGAAAACTGTCGACGATAGAGTCACAAGTTCGCATATGGTTGCGACATTGTTATCATTTATCTTTCTTTCGCCTTTTTAGATCAATCTTCCTTCTCTCTTCTGCGCCACACCACTTTTTGTGAAAAGGTATCGCATTGTACTTCCAGTAGCCTCTATTGAGATAATACTGTCCTGCAGCATCCCATCACTAAGAGCAAGAATGCCAGTACACAGAGGTCAGTGCGCTTAATTCAACATTCATCCTTTTTAACTCCTTGACCGTAAATCTTATGCTATCAACGACTCGATTTACCGAATACCCCTTCTCCCCATTCACCAGGGGCCACGTCATCAGCCTCAAGCACACCTTGAGATTGACGTCTCACCCAACCCGTGAGCAACTTGCCAAAACCCGAAAGAAAATGTCATTTTACCCTGCGCGTCGTGGACTTTCGACCTCTGTCCCAAGATGATCGACATCAATCGACAACTCCGGGCCGTACATGCAGCACGACCCTCTCATTTCTGACTCTCTGAGTGACATTTTATCCTTCATGCTGTACGCGCTAATATGGCTGGCAGCACACACCCACCCGAGCGCGATCCGACCGCTGAGACAAGCGCCACCAGCACAGACCTTCCTCTTTCACTCACCCGAAATGCAAGAGACGCCGTATGATCTATGCAATCGAATGCGGGTCTAAGGTCCGGTAAAAATGGCAACAGGCGCATAAGAAAAGCAGACAAGCCCCAGCGGCTCGGTAATGACCGCAGAAAGGATCCACGCGCCACGCGGCCATATCATAAGGAAGCACTGAAAACATGTTTACGCGTCTGGATCGACATTGCTTCTTCTTGTTCAAGAGCCCCCCCTTCTCCTCTTCTTGATAATTTGAGCGAGCCCTATGTGGTATACATTCTGACCTGCAGCTATCATCTTTTCCCCGTCCCACTCTCCAACGCAATCCACCTCGATGTGACGCAATATCGGCATTGATCAAAATTCGATCACTCATTTCGCCCTCAGTTGTCGTTGTGTATTCCAGAAGCATCCCACTCTCCCACCCTCCTTCCGTCGTCTCCCACCTCCAAAATCTCCCCTCTCGGAGGACCGAGCAGTCCAGGCTCATGCCTGTGCACCAAGTGGAGCATGCCCCGAAAGGTCCTTTCCACCTCCCACTTCCTTCCCCCACGTGGCCCGTTTCTTTGCCGACGTGGCGCCGAGCTGGAATCGGCCCGTGCACCTCTGATGGCGGTGATCCGATCACTACCATCAAATGATTATAAAAGGGGTCCAAGGGGCAAGAGGGGCTGTCGCTATGTTTCCCATTCAGGATAAATATAAAGCTGCGCGTCGTTCATGAAGAAGAAACGCATTCTCATCCCAGTTACTTTCCATTTACGTCCTATAATCCGCTTTTCTGTCCCCTGCAAAGCTGTCAACAACAACGTCCCTCTCGGCTATCTTCTGCCACGTGTACCACACTTCTCGGCTTTCACCCGGATCCACCCTGTCTGCTTTCCTCCACCCCTGGCGCCTGAACAAGAGGGATGATAGCCCACGCCTACTCCCCCGTGAACCTCATCTGGTACGCCCCCTCTCCCTCTCTTACATCAACCCTGACATCCCTCCCAGCGGCTACTCTGACAACTCATGCACCTGCTCCCCCTCCTGCCCCTGCAAATCCTTCTCCCCCTGCACCACTTCGTGCTGCTACCGCATCCCCCTAGGCCTCTCCGACTCTTACCACGAAATCATGACTGCCTCTTCTCAAACGGCTTCCGGAAGCTCGGGCGGCTCGGCGGCGTCGGGAGGCACAGCAGGGTCAGGAGGAAGGTTGATCAGCACGCCGGGGTATCAGTATACGATTAGCTATAGGGTGGAACATGGGCCGGCGGATGGGGGGTGTTGTTTGATGATGTAGGATACGTTGGCGGTGTGGGCGGGCTTGTTGGAGGAAGCGAGGACGATGGAGGACGATGGGAGTCAGGATTTTGCGAATGTGCTTGGTAGATTTTGGGTGCTTTTGGCTTTTCCTTCACCACATAGATTATGACTTCACTTATGTAGGGATAGTGCTTTGGTATACGGATAGAGAATGACGCGGGACATGAGGAAGAAGTAGAACCTTACGACAATATGTTATTCTGCTGTGCCACGTCAATAAAGCTCGTGCCGTCTGTTGTTGTCTATCGTTGCGCAGCACAGAATTCCCGACCCCTTTTTCTGTCGGCTCAGCGGGGCATAGACCAAATCTTCTTCGAGACACAAATATTTGTTTTCTTCCTAAAGTAGAAACTGAACTTCCGACGGTGGGCGGCTAGTAGAAGATCAGCCGGAGCTCTCGAGTGGAGGATGGGTTGGCTCGTTGTCAAAACCCAAGTGCCCGCCTGTTCTTGGACACCCGCGATACCCGTACTCGTACTGCACTCTTTGTGTGGCAAAAAGCTTTGCGTCTTCAGCAACCAACTCCTTCCCTAGACCAGATCTTTTCTGTTCTTCTCACCGTCCCTACCCCCTTTACCTTCCTTCTTTCGTTATCTCTTTTCTCATGATGTTTTGCCCTTCCGTGGAGTCGCTACTGGTGAAAGAATCAAATGTAGTGAAGGGCTCAAGGATTTGATTGGAGCGAGCCTGCTTACCGGCCGCCTGCAAAATTAGTCTCCCAAACTTCGAAAAGCAAAGAAAAAATCATGGAAAGCACAAGCTGGTAGAAAGAATTTGTCTGTCCCACTGAAGACGTCCTTCTTGAACATCACGTAGTTCAAATTATGTACGTGCTAACAGCGGACCTCGATATGATATCTGACATTCGGCTTCGAGAAACAAACGATCAGCTGTATATACCCCTGGTATCTAATCTTCCGTCTGTTGCATCATAATGACATTCACGATTCTTCATCAGCGCTATGATGAGCCGCGTTTTCAACATCCCTCTCATAGTCATCTTTCCACTCTTTACTCGCGACGCCATCCAGATTTATCCATCCATAGTAAGGTCCTCTTCCGAGTACGTCGTCATCGAACAAGGTCGGCCAAGCTGACAGTTTACTGTACTGTTCCCGAGTATAAAGCTCTCCTGGGATTATCGATCCCATTGAAGACGGCTGATGTTGGCCAGAGTCACTTTCCATGGAGTAGCTTGTCTGACTGGAAGCTTGATCTGCATCCGCCTCACAATCGACCGAAGGAGGTTCAGCTTGTCCTTCGTTTTCACCACTCTGCTCCAAAGATTTCGCAAGTCTGCGTCTCTCGATCACGGCATTTCTATTAGCGGTAGCCGCATGTTTCACAGAGCACCTGTTATGCACCTCTGCACGGAATGGCCACGGTGGAACTCGATCATTCGACTGGGTCCTATAGTCGGGCACTGGGACAAGACACCGTCTAGTTCCACCAGGACCATACTTTTCCGACGTTTCGAAATGTCCAGGACTGTCCGGTACAGTTCGATATAGGGTACCGCAAGGCGTGAATATCAGAGGCGCGGAGTCTTCTGGGTTTTCTGAGGCTTCTGGCTGCCAAGATGAATGCCGGCGACATGTCATGTACCCTTTGTCATAAAGCTGGTCAATCATACGCCAGTGTGTACCATTTCGGACAAAATTTTGAAAAGACGCCCTCTTATGAGAGACGCACAATTTATGCTTGAGGTTCTCACAGTTCTCTACAGGGCATGAGGGTAATGCAGGCTTGATGCAGGTCTGGTTGTCATGGTTATAGGGTCATCTGTGTAGTTCGTTCATTTAGTTGTGTGTTTAGTGGACCGTGCTCTCCGTAATTCCGTATATATAGATCAGAGTCTTCTTTCATAGTTCCTCATATGCGACAATAACGAAAAGGTTTTTGCCCCTTACAACAAAACTCTCTTCAGCACGCCAAGGGCACTCTCCAGGCGTGACACTGGTAGGTCATGCTACGATCTTGACCAATGGAAGCGTCCCAGTAACTTGCTCGGTCTTTACTGAGCTGAAGTGTCGTCGAAAAAGCTACAAAGCTCATGCAATCAGCTTTTTCAACGAAGTATGGTCTCGAGAGGTATGTTAGCTGGCGAGCGGTTGACTCACTCGCCACTCTTGGGTGTGTATCGTTACTTTCCTGCTGCATGGTCTGACCTTGAGGAGTATTCTGCCGCCGCCTATCTAGTAGAACTGCGTGGTCTTTATAAACAGTTTTCACATACTCTATACAGACACCACCGTTGATAGCTTTTCTATATATATCGTCTTCTCCATTCAACTGCCCTTGCACTAGTAGATCGCAGTCATGTCCGCCGGAATCAAGGTCGCTGTTATTATCAACACTCAGGTTGAAACAAAAGGTCGTCGCCGCTCTTTGTCGGCAATGAGTTACCTCGTAAGCGTTTTAAGTGATACAAGGGTATATCTATGATGATAGACGTGTCGCGCCACCATTCCCTTCCTTGACTGAACGCAGACCTCCGCATTTGCTGCATTTTGATGGCTTGAGTGACGGCGAGGCACTAGTTGTTTCAGCTTCATCTTGATGTCCGACTACTTTCAACTTTGAACTTCGATGAGCGCGAGCATACTCACTTGACAAGGTCGTACTGGAAGCCGGGGCATCTGTGAGTCGCTCTTCGACACATATCTCGTGCTCTATACCCACTCTTGCCCATCTATACTACTATAGCTAACACCTGACCTATTACATAGAGTCAAGCCCCCAATCCACACAACTCTTCCATTTCTGAGACAGCACAGAGCAACGAAAGTACAGGCTCGCGAACGAGGATGCTCAAATCCTGATCTAAGCAGCAAGGTCGTCTGTTATGCTGGGGGCGCTGTTCAGCCCACAGATGAGAGAGACAGCTACTCTTTTTAGGGGCAATGAGACTGGAAGGACTGGGCGATAGGGGATGGTGAGGGACTGGTATGATGGTGTCACGCTTGGGTAGTGCGCTTGGCATGCTGAAGAGAGTTTTGTTGTAAGGGGTAAAAACCTTTTCGTTATTGTCGCATAGAAAGAAGAACTATGATCTATATATACGAGGAGCACGGTCCACTAAACACACGACTAAACTACTTCAATGAACGAACTACACAGATGACTCCAATAACCATGACAGATGGACATGCCGTGAACGTGAGGCTTTTGATAGTACAGTCGTTGTTTCGTCGATATATGATTCGTTCTCTTGTCTCAGGAGGCTTCCCCGCTTGTTCCTTGCACATGTCTACACTTTTCTATTAAAAGAAGGTACCCACCTGCTCCTCTCAGGCCGCTTTTGTGCGCCTCTTTAAGCTCACAGCTCCAGCGGGCAGGGGCGTGGTTGGCGAATAACGCTTGCATACCGTTTGCTCCCACTTCTTACTCTCTCACGTCCACCGATCGCCCCAGAAGCATGGTCGCTGCCGTCTCCGGCAGTATGTAGACCGGTGTGGCAGCTCAGCTCGGAGATACATGCTTCACAACCCCGCCTGACGAGAACCCACCATGTCTCCTCCACGCCCTGACGACCATCAGCACAGACACAAACACTAACAACTTCTCGGTCTCGCATAGAAAATACCCTTTTCTTTCTTCTCTTTCCCCTTTTCAATTGCCCCTTCCCTCGACTCGCAATGTGGCCCCTCTTCAGCATTCAGCCCATCCCGGGCAAAGGCAGAGGTCTCGTCGCCAACCAAAGCATCCCTCGGGGCACTCTCCTCATTAGCGACTTACCCCTACTCACTTTCATGCCCACCACCAAAGGCGGCCGCGCCCGAGCTATCGAGCTCTACAAGCAGCTCCCATACGACAAGAAGATAGCCGTCGAGGCATTTCAAGAAGGGCATGGGCGCATGAGTTTGCGAGAAGTGTTGCTCGTTGTCGGTCTGCCGATTGAGCAGCAAGGGGGTCGCGCGGGGGTGTTTGAGAATGCTTCCTTGCTCAATCACTCCTGTATTCCAAACTGCTACCATTTTTGGGACGGGGTGAAAGGGCAAGAGAGTGAGCTCAGTTCTACCGCATGCCGGATAGAAACTGACCATCGTTTCAGTCGTCCACGCCCTCATCGACATCCCCGCCGGCGCCGAGCTCACAATTGATTACACCAGCGACGACAACCTCCTCTTCTACCAGCGCCAAAGGGAGCTTCAAAGACGGTTCAACTTCACTTGCTCATGTCCCCTCTGCTCCCTCCCGAGAAGGGAGAGAAAGAAAAGTGATAACCGCCGTTATCGATACACCCAACTAGTCGACGAATTCCCCACCGCTCTCACCGATTGCAGCCCCAAAGTCGCCATGGGCCTGCTTAACGCAATGTTCAAACTCATTGAGAAAGAGTCTCTCTGGTCCCATCTGGGGGCGAGGTACGCAGACGGCTTCCAACTCTGTGCCATGCACTCGGACGTTTTTCGAGCCCATGCATGGGCGCGCCGGGCTAAACAGGCATATATCATCGCGCGAGGAGCAGGTAGTAAAGATGCAAAGGGTATGGCGCTACTGGAGAAGGTGCCTGAGAGGTTTGGGCTCTTTGGGACGTTGTGCAAGATCAAGATGTACCCGCCAGGCGCGTTGTTTGTCCCCGTATGTGCTTCTTCGCTCGCATTATCTTTGAGTGTTACTGACAGGCTTTGTAGTCTTCTGCGAAGCAACTTTTTGCAAACGGAGTACCTTCTTTCTCTATCACATCTCCTATCATCTCTCTCGCCCCTATCGTCACCGCCCCTCCAGCCGTCAGCCATCAGACTATTCCCCCGGGCACCAAGCTCTCTAAGGGTCAGTGGAAGCGCGCTCGCGCGAGGGCAGCTGTGAGTAGCTTTTCATTCAACATTTTGTTACACATCGCTCTCTTCTTCCCCTCCTCCATTTCTCTGGACCATTGGCGATAGACAAGAGCTGATGGATATGCGCGGAAAGAAGCCGCTACCACTACTATCCCCCCCGCCTTCACTTCCAATCCCTTCTCCCCCCTTCTTCCCACCGCTTCTCCCTCCATCATCAGCGAATCCTCCGACGAGTCCGTTGATGGAGAAGAAGACGTCATCATAGAGCTCGGTGCCGCCACTGCTGTTCATCATCAAGAAGACGAGGAGCCGGAAGAGGAGGAGTCGAGGTTTGAAGAGACGGAGATGGCTGAGATGAAGAATTTCTGCAGGATGATGATGGAGGTGACAATTGCTGAGTGTGTGTGGGAGAGTTAGGATGGGATGATGGGGCTTAGTGGGCTACTTGGAGAGCTGGACTGGTAACTAGAAGAGCAGGGTATACTGGTGAAGCACATTGGGGAAGGTAGAAGCCGACAATGATATCTTGAATGTTTATCCGGTGGTTCATTGATGGACCCACGGGGATGACACGTCTATCTACTGTTCAAACATCTACTATGTATTGCTATACTCTTCAGTGACCATACGCACTGCCAGAATATCTCATCGGCGACTTTGCGTCTCTGAAGGATACCTTTCTCGACAAGGTCAACACGAAACCCTTTTACAACCAACAACCCGGTCACCGCGTTCCTCTTTGACATGTCGGTTGATCGTCGCGTCCTCTTCGTTCATATTCTTCTGCCAAAAACAGAGCTTCCTTTCTGCTCCGAAAAAGACCGAAGGATTTTGTGTATCCTGGATTGCTGTTTTGGCGTATCTCCGCTGACGAGGTTTATGAACCGACATTGGTTCCGGAAGACGAAAGGATGGAGCTTCCGGAAGACGACAGCTCCATCCTTTCGTCTTCTTCTTTTGTACCGTTTTCCAACGACGGGCCGGTGAATACATCTAGCTAGATATACCCTTGTATCACCCAAAACGCTCACGAGGTTACTCATTGCCGACAAAGAGCGGCCACGACCTTTTGATTCAATCTGAGCGTTGATAATAACAGCGACCTTGCTTTCAGCGGGCATGACTGCGATCTACTAGTGCAAGGGCAGTTGAATGGAGAAGAGGATATATATAGAAGGGCTATTACCGGTGGTGTCTGTATAGAGTATGTATACACTGATTATAAAGACCACTCAGTTTCCTAGATTGGCGGCGGCAGAATACTCCCCAAGATCAAACCATGCAGCAGGAAAGTAACGACACACAACTACAAGAGGCGGGTGAGTCAAGCGCTCGCCAGCTTGCACACCTCTCGAGGCCATAGTTTGCTGAAAAAGCTGATTGCATGAGCTTTGTAGCTCTGTCGACGAAACTTCAGCTCAGTAAAGACAGAGCGAGCTACTGGGACGCTACCGTCGGTCAAGATCATAGCATTAGCTACCAGAACTGCATCAAGCCTGCATTACCCTCTTGCCCTGCAGAGAATTGTGAGAACCTCAAGCATGAATTGTGCCTCTCTCATAAGAGGGCGTCTTTTGAAAATTTTGTCCGAAGCGGCACGCACTCGCGTATGATTGACCAGCTTTATGACAAAGGGTACATGACATGTCGCCAGCATTCATCTTGGAAGCCAGAAGCCTCAGAAACCCCCGAAGACTCCTCTCCTCCGATATTCACGCCTTGCGGTACCATGTATCGAGCTGTACAAGACAGTCCTGGACATTTCGAAACGTCGGAAAAGTATGGTCGTGGTGCAACCAGACGCTGTCTTGTCCCAGTGCCTGACTATAGAACTCAGTCGAATGATCGAGTTCCACCGTGGCCATTCCGTGCAGAGGGGTCTAACAGGTGCTCTGTGAAACATGCGGCTACCACTAAAAGAAATGCCTTGCTCGAGAGCCTCAGACTTGCGAGATCTTTGAAGGAGAGTGGTGAAAACGAAGGACAAGCTGAACCTTCTTCGGTCGATGGTGAGGAGGATGCAGAACAAGCTTCCAGTCAGACAAGCTACTCCATGGAAAGTGACTCTGGCCAACAAGAGCCGTCTTCAATGAGATCGATAATTCCAGGAGAGCTTTATACCTGGGAACAGTACAGTAAACTGTCAGCTTGGCCGACCTTGTTCGATGACGACGTACTCGGAAGAGGACCTTACTATGGATGGATAAATCTGGATGGCGTCGCGAGTAAAGAGTGGAAAGATGACTATGAGAGGGATGTTGAGAACGCGGCTCATCATAGCGCTGAAGACGAATCGTGAATGTCATTATGATGCAACAAACGGAAGATCAGATACGATCGTTGGTGTCTCGAAGCCGAGTGTCAGATATCATATCGAGGTCCGCTGATAGCAGGTACATGATTTGAACTACGTGATGTTCAAGAAGGACGAAGAAGGACGCCTTGAGTAGGACAGACGAGTTCTTTCTACCAGCTTGTGCTTTCCACGATCGTTTCTTCACTTTCCGAAGTTTGGGAGACTATCTTTGCAGGCGGCCGGGAAGCAAGCTCGCTCCAATCAAGGCCTTGGCCCCTTCACTCCATCTGATGCCATTACCAGTAGCGACTCCACGGAAGGGCGATAAACTCTCCCTCCAAAGGCCAATGGTCGTATGGGCAGATTCGACCAAATGGATTCTCGTCTGCCCGGAGCTGTCAAGAGAGTCTCTCCGAGCCGAGAAGGATCGCCCACATTGCCACACTCGTCCACACCCATCATCGACGATGGAACAAAGGCCGCTGTGACATGGCAAGGTCAGTTCGTCCTTTCTTCATTCGTACTTACTTTATATCTCGGTAGCGAACGAACCTGTGCGGCTTCCATGAATACACATGCTCTTCCAAAAATGACGAAACTCGTGTTATCGTGTTTTATACCCCTACAACAAGCTCTCACCAGAGAAAAAGAAGATAGTCGATGCTTTTCGAGAAGGGCGCAAAGAACTCAGCGCGGAAGAGATGATAGTCGTGGATGTGTTGCCGATGCCAGAGAGAGGCTGAGCCGCGTTTTGAGAATGCTTACCTGTCCAACCATTCGTGCATTCCGGATACATGTCCTGAATGGGATGGCGACGAGGATGAAGAACGTGAGTGAATACTATGGTATTATTGAAGGACGCTGATGAGTCTTCTAGTCGTCCACGCACTAATCGATATCCCTGCCGAGACACAACTTACCATCGCCTATATCGGCGTAAAAGAAACCCCGAAATGATCTCCTCTGACCGCAAAACATCTGTTCCCCCACAAAGCAATTTCCACCTGCTCTTGCCCCATGTGTTCCCTACCTCCGGAGGTGAAGGAACATGGCGACGCCAACCGCATGCGACGATTTCCCGTCCGTCACGATGAAGACCCGGGCTCATGATGTGATGAGGATGCTCAAAGAGATATTCGATGACATTGATAAAGGGTTATCTGTGCAGTCGGCCTCGGAGCAAGCTTTTGCCATGGACCGACATGGACCCCCAGAGATGAGATGCGATGTAGAGACATGTGATGAGATGTATGGGAGATATATATATATAATCAATACTGTTACCAAATACAATATACAATATACTGTGGCCCACTCGTTCATCAATGCTTATGATTACGTTCTCGAAGATCAGTACGGTCATGATGATGATGCCCATTATTACGGCAATAGCTATGACTATACGAACGGCAAATTGGAAAATGAGATGAGAGAGCTGGATGGGGGAAGAGCGGAGCTTAGAGAGATGATGATGAAGATGATTGCGATGGGGGGAGTTGGAAAATAGAGGTGATGAAGGAGATCTTGGGATGGATGACTCATGAAATACGCCGAATCTTGAGCCAAGAAGATGGTGTGCATTGACGTCAGGGAGACTACTGCCTCTATACTACTCGTAATCGGTCCAGGCTTGCCTCTCGAGAGTATTGTAACTCTTTGACATTGCCTTTCATCTTTTCCCCTCGAAACTCAATAGCACCAGCACCTCGCTCATGGCCAAGAAGATCGCCTTTAAGCCCTATCTCTCCTCCCCTCCTGCACCGCCTTGATCATCTTTCCACCCAGCTTTGTCGCCTCCTCAAACCTTGGCGCGAAAAATTCCGACGTCTCTTCAAACCTCCGCCTGTACCACTCAAAGTTGCCGACGTCGACGCACTCGGACCAGCCTCGAGCAGCGACGACGAATTCGATATCGTCGGGGCGGTGGATACGGTCGGAGAGGGCAGCGGAGAGGGCGGAGGAGAGTAAGGTTGGAGAACGGAAGAGGTACTCGGCGACACCTAGCATCGTGTCAGCACCTCCAATTTAGGCAGAGTAGCGATGAAAACCCACCTATCCAGAGCATGAACACCGGCGTACCAGCCACATCCAAATGCTCATACGGCCTGATTCCAAGCTTCGCCCAACAATCCACCATCGCCAACAAACTCAGATGACTATTCTGGCTCGCTCTCTCCCTTCCCTGCTCTGGCGCCTTGCCCAATGAAAATTGATCCAGCACATCCTCCCCCAGCAATATCGGTGCCCTCGCCTTATCCCCCTCTCCAGCTTCTTCCCCGCGCTTCCACCCAAATACATCTTCCCTCGCTTTCCACACCCTGTTCTCCAGCTCTTCTCCCCGTCCTTCGACCATAAGCTTGAAGAGCTCGGAGGCTGATTGGGCGTATCGGTGGATTTGGATTTTGGCGGAAGGGTTGAGAAGGGCGAGGCCGGCGTAGACGTGCCATTTGGCAGAGTAGATTCGGAGGGTGATGTTGACTTTGATGACTTCGATGCCGGAGACGTAGCGGGTTGTTTCCCAAGGGTAGTCGGCAGACTTTTGCCAGGCAGTGCCCATACTATCGAGAAGTCAGCATTGCCCTGCAAGCGGGGAGAGGGAGGACTGACCTGAGGAAAGCGGCGTGGGTGACGGCTTGGGTGTTGGCTGTGACTTCGTCGTGCTCCTCGTAGCTCAAATAGACGTATCGACTTTTGAAGCTTCTAAACACGTTTTCTACCATATTGACGTTCTCCTGGGGACCTCTGTGATGTATGATGATCTATTCCGGTCAGCTTTATTCGACCGTAAGGTCAAAGATTAGATATCAGACTTACTAAAGGCTGTCCCTCCGTCGTCACACTCGGCCCATGTAGACTATGCACACTGGTGATCCCCACATCTTCCGGCAACCACTTCTCAAACGCATCCTTTTCTGGCGCCTTCACACTCGTCTGACCTGCCACCACAGCGCCCACCCTCGTCGACGGGCCGTACTCTCTCACGACAGCTGGCAGGGCAGCGGCTTCGACAGAGTAGATGATGAATGTGGAAAGTCGGGAGACGGCGTGGCCGTCTTTGAGGGGTGTGATGGTCGAGTTGGCGTAATCGGCTTGCAGAGAAGCGTAAGAGTCCGGTTTGTCGCAGACGTAGATGCTGTTCGTTGATCAGTCAAGGGTTCCTAAGGAAGTGCCATGTAACGAACGTTCTGATACCGCCTTCTTCGAATCTTTTGGCATACATCCTTCCCATCTAAAGCCGATGTCAGTATGTGCTGTTCTTGGGCATATGAAGGACTTACATCTCCCATACCAATGATACCCACGATAGGCTGATCGGGTGTTCCTGAAGACATGACTGGTTCTGGTGGGTGTGCGAGTATTTTTGCGGGTGTATACGTTGATGACTCGCGTGGCTGGTCTACTCTTGGGTGTAGATACTTTGTGGATATCCAAAAGACAGAATGAATGTGATTTTGAGGAAGCCGACTCCTACTGAAATGTAACCGCGGCGGTTCGGGCGGAGCTTGCAAAAGCCGTTGCGGACATCGCCGCTGTCTCTCGTTTGTGTAAGGGATTGGTACAGACTACAGTACTGCACCAGCTGCTGGTCAGTAGGAGATGTATTGACATGGACAATAAAACGCAGAATCTAGTATTAGGGTTGTCGCTATGTTTTCAGAGACGAATAGGCGCGAAGGCGAGAGGAGGCTCCCGTACATACATCGCGCCGCGTCTCCGTAACCTTTTCTCCACCGATGTATTCTCGTATAAACCATGTGACCCATATCCATTCTATCTCCATCCAGCCTATCCAAGGGCGACTTCGGGCTCCCCTAGTCGGTTCCTCTACGTAACAACTCCTAGGTTCTCTGGAACGTCCACCAAGAAGTGAAGCTGGGACTGGAGAAGTACAACGCCGCATCTGCCCTTGGTCCTGATTCTCGCTGATCCGCAGCTTCAACTCTCTCCCTCTTGCCCGTATTTTGGCTCAGGAGTCACGCTCAATCTCATCCCGATGAGACGACTGGATTCCAACGCATCCCAATTAGGAAAATTATGGGCGGGATGAGAGCGGCGGGCTACCCCCCGATCGAGACAAGGACTGGAAGCTAAACTCTGGCTTGGACGCGAATGGGAGAGGGCGCATCTACCAGCCGGAAACGTCGAGGGCGAAGGCGCTGAGAGATGGATTCGCTGGGCAGATGTGGCAGATGTCAGACGCTGCTACGGTGGAAGAAGAAGACTATGAGTCCGTAGAGAATGATGAGGAGGGCGAGGGGGAGAACGAGGAGGGGAGTAGCGAGGAGAGTGAGGTGGGGAGCAGCTTGGGGAGCAGCGCGGACAACAAGAGCAACTCTCCACCCCTTCTCCTGGTCACAATCGGAGTACACCCTTCTAGCAAAAGACAACATTCGCTCTTGCCGTCAAGCAATCGTCTCCGGTGGTGGCGGTGCAGACTCAGTAAGTCAAAAGGAAAACGAAAGTGCCATTCCTCCGCAGCTCAAGTGGGAAGAGTCTGTATACACCCAAATAGCAAAGCACCACGAGACTGCCCAAGCGCCTCCTCCGACGACATTTGGCGAACAAGATCAAGAACACGAACAAGGTCACACTGGCCACGGTATTATCAGTCGTCCTTCCATGTGGCCCACCTTAATCCGACAACCTGCCGATGGGCGCGAGCCGTACTATGAGTGGCTCCAGGGAGATGGCATAACGGTGGTGCAAGTTGATCAGAGCGTATTTGAGGACGTTAGTAGCATCTCTTCAGAAGAGTGACGTTGAGATATGGCTTTGGTGCGTGGCCTGCCGGGTGATCGTGTCGGATGCAGCTGCTGTCAAAGTGATAAAAGCGCATATAAGTCTGTACAGATAAGATAAGTTTTCAAGTTTTTGTGCGAGTTGGGAAACAGCTGGGGATGCGAAAGCGCCTCCATAATTCATTTCCTGTTTATACAGCCTACCCACCGCCAGGTCTTCAAGCTTGTGTCGGGCAAGACTTTCATGTAGGTGTCTAAACGAGCATGCAAAAGCCGGTGAGACGTATTCTCGAACAGCAGACACACACGTCTGGTCGGCTTTTCTTACATACATGTCACCTCATCGCTTCTTTCTCTTCAGCCGTAACTTCAGCCATTCTGCCCAGCTGGGATTAGAGGACAGACCTCAGAATGCGAAATAACATGCAGAAGAAATCTTTGTTCCTCGACTTCTCGACTGGAACGAGGCCGGTGGAAGAAGACGGGGATGTTTGGGTTTTGTTACGACCGGTCCTGAAAAGTCTCCTCCTCAGGAATCTGCGATGTAGAGGCTGTGGGTTTGTCTTCGAGTTAAGCTACTACAGTAGCTTTGCCTTTACCTTTGAGATGCATTTTTTCGAGTCGCTCTACTGTCTTTGGCAGAAGCTAACCATAAAAAAACAGAGATATGTTTATACGTCTTCTTTTCCACGTCCTCAGAATCAAGATTGTTCACAGAAAATTAGCCTAACAGTCTCCTTCGAGAATCACATTCACAGTACGGGCATCGCTCCGACTCCCGCACCCAAGATAAGAATCCCAGAGAAAAGACCAGTACCGAATTGGACAAGAGGGGCAGCAGAGGAGGAAGAGGACTCGCCTGTAGCAGCCGCCGCCGCCGAGCTGGTCGCCTATGTCTACCATCAGCAATGCATCCTTATCCTCACTCCAACCAGCAAAAGTTAGTGAGGTGTAAGCGTACAGCAGTCGAGCCATCACTCGCAGCAGCGGTCGCGCCCGAAACGATCGCGGACCCCGCACCCGAAGATCCAGCAGCAATGGTAGCGGTGTTGGCCCCAGCAGCAGAAGAGTTGTATACGCCCGAGTATGTACCGGGGCCTGAGATTTGGGTGCGGGTTGTACCTGACCCGGTATTAGTTGAGCCACTGCAGACATATCAGCACAGTATCCTCAAGAGAGGAAGATGGTGATGAAGGAAAGAGGAGAAAATGGTGACCCACGCAATACCACCTGTGACCGGCTGTCCCACTTGCCTACACGCCCCCTTCAACTGGTCCACCGCCTCCATCAACTGCTGCACATAAGTCCCTGTGACACCCCCTTCATCCACTGTGCAATCCATACACGCCACAAAATCGTTGAAGGTCGACTGCTCGCATACTTTCAAACAGCCAGAGGTATCGACGGGTGAAGAGGTACAAGAGGAGTAGATGGACATGGCGGATTGGCATTGGTTGGAGCAGGCCGAGGGGATGGTGGAGGAGTCGATTTGGCGGGGGAAGAGGGACATGTGCCGAGGGGTGATTTGTGCGGCTGTATGTGTTAGTGGATGCACAAGTGAGGCGAGGACTTACAAGCAGCGAGAGCGCCGAGCAGTAGAGCGAGAGTAAAAGGCATGGTTGTTGTTTGGTTCGTGGGTGCGATTAGATAGACTGCGCGAAACTGCGGATGGACAAGACACCACTACCACTCAACGCTGGTGCTTCTTATACGCTGCGGATTCGAGAGGGTTTAGGGTTGATGGATGGTAGAATGAACGTGCCATCAGCTACCGGCCCTTTCAACTATGTAAGCACCGCGCACCGAGCTCTTCCTCTCGTCCCATGCCTGTTCCTGCGCTCCATCTTCTCTCTTTCGGGGTTCCTTACCAACTGAAAATGACCCCGCCCCGCGCTTCCCTGCATTCCTTCGTATCTTCTTCTTCTCCCTCTTCTCTTCCCCTTTCCGCTGTCCCTCAGTATCTCTTATCCCGCTCATCTACGCTACTGTACTCCTCGAAGTCATATGCCCATGCATAGCAGACTCCTCCTTCTCGACATACAGGCTCCGCTCGGCCTTCCGCGTCTTCGGACTTCCATCCAGCAACGTAATGTGCGTAACGTCCTCCGTCTCCCGCCGTGCCTGTGGCTGATAATCCCTATCTTGGCACGGCCCGGCAATCTAGTTGTTCCCTTATCCATATCCGACACCGAGTGCTCCCGCTCGCCTTATCTTGATGCATCAATCGGTCAACCAGGCATCAGTGCTAGTTTGGGGTGCATACATGGAGTCTCTCTTGGAATTGAAGCATCTCTGTCTTTTTGTATACGCTACTCATACACTCTGAGCTTTGCAAGCACTAGAGACATTATACTGGGGCATGAGGCGAGCCTGCTGTAATTACGTCGTCTCTTCTATAGCCCATTCCGGATTGCCGTTCTCGAAGGTGGGCTAGAGTCAAAGAGTCAAAGGCGACGAGAGAAACGTCAAGAGGATGCTTCCTCTGACAATCTTATTCCATTCTCGCTCACATATCATACAAGAAGGATATACGAAAGCCACAACACTGCACCGAGTGGAATGACGACCGGAAGTGAAGCGGCGCGAGGGAACGAGAGGCCAACACTTCTCTCACGAAGCGGCAGTGGAAATCGATCATATGACTGTAAACAGTATGAGGCATTGTCGAAATGAGGCGAGGGGAAGTGGTCAATCGATATATGAGAGTACGAGTAAGAGTACGACGGCAAAAGCCACAAGATAAGCATAGATCGTCATCCGCGCCGTCACTGATCTCGCCGAAAGATCCTAAACAACAAGGGTTTGTTTGCTACTCGCTCCGACACATTATATCAACTATGTATGCCAAAGAATCGAACATTTACGAACACCTCCAGTATAATCGTACATGTCATTTTCGAGTGGCGAAGTTCACAGATTGCGAGAAGGCGCCGGGAAGACAGGGATATGCGAGACGATTCACTCTGTTTGGAGCTATAAAAAGGTCTCTCGAGTTAAACTGCTGGGCAATGATTTACCAGGATGATGCAGTATCCTTCCCAAGCTGGCATCCAGACCTTTGATGGGTCTTATACCTTTGGTGGGTCTTATACCTTTGGTGGGTCCTATCAGAAGTCCAATAATGAACCAAGTTTGCGTTCTTTCGGAGAAATGGGAATGACATAAAAAGCGGGACACATATGCGCATCTTCCCATCGTTCAGACCAGCTGCTGCAATCCCTCACTGCCTGATAATGTACCGAAACAAAGTAGCGACCTGGTATGGCGGGGACGACAGAACCCAAAAGATCTGGGAGGAATCTACCCAAATCGTTGAAAGATTCATGGAGACGATTGACGCAAGCGTAGAAGCATCTGGCCACGGGATCCCTACTTTCCCTTAAAGTCACGAGTCAGTAGTCACAGTCATTGCACGTTGTGTCAAGGAAGCGATAGATGACGAAATCGAGAATGGCGAGCACAAGGAGGGTTGGACGGCAGCCGACGCCCTCACGAATGTCGAAGTGACCGCGACAAAGATTGAAGTGTCGAAGGAAACAGGTGAGGTGCATGTGCATAATGCAGAGGTGCATGGCAATGGATGGACAGCCATCTTCGAGGACGACCCCTTGGTGTTGCCGGTGGAATGATAATGGAGTGTCCTCAATTCTCGAAACTGAAATGCACTAGTTGGTACCGGGAGCTCCTCGTTTCACGTTTACTCTTCTGAGGTCTCTCAGGACTACCGAGTACTATGATAACGGCCCCTAGCGCCGCGCTGACTTCATTGAAACCCAATGCGCTACTCTACTCTACCTGGCTTCTTTGTGCTATACGGGTGCACTTTGAGGCAGGCGAAATTGATGACGTCCCGTGTGGTGACGATGATAATGATAGTGCCTCTCTGGAGGTGTCGACGGGATATGTCAAGATTAGAACAGCATACTAGAGGCAAGTTTGTACAACCCCCCCTTTGAAGCCATCGCGAACTTCCTATCCAATTCTTTCAAGAAACTCGCTATTCTCAGGCGCTCATCCAAATCTGCAACTGCTGCGTCGCTTTCCCTTCGGCCTACCCACTCACTTCAATCTACTCGTAACAGCCATGATGAGAAGTCTTGCATCGAGAAATTATGGTGAGGGAAGATTGCAGGTGAAAGGTAAGTCGCTTTCGTTCCATCTGCATCTCCCATCTCTGAATCTACATCTTGCAATCTCGGCCTATCCATGCCTACGTGGTCGTCTGTCCAGCTCTTGCTGAGACCGGGTTGTCTACTGGTCTTGGTACTACGGCTGCTGCTGAAGCCGTCGAGATACCGCCCGCTGGAAAGAACATTTTCGACGACTCAACGCGAATTTGCGTGAATCCGAACGACTCTTGTCATTTTATGTACTGTATCTTCATCTTGAACATTACGCTCAAAGTAGCACCCCGGGTTTGGAAGCTGAGCAAGTACAAGGATCTCAAGTTGCAGAAGGAGGTAACCGACAATGTACGGTCCAAGTGCCCGACTATGTGACCCAGTCAAACGGACATGTCCCGCCCTGGCCCTTTATCGGACCCGGGTCCAACAGGTGCTCCATCCGACATGCTGCTATCGCCGAGAGGCGTGCTTACCACACCAGAAAACGAAGCGAGAGACAGCAGGGGGCTGTAGATAAAGGCATTTGGAAGGTGGTGCGGAAGATGAGGCCGGGGATGGTGAAGATGAGGCCGCGAATGCTGAAGACGAAGTTAGAGATGGTTCGAGCTGGACTCATGAGTCTGAGCATACCAGCCAAGCAGCCTTCAGCGATAATGGCTCGTCACTAGGTCTGCCGCAACATGACATATGGCCGTACACTATTGAACAGTACAGAAAGCTCTCAGCTTGGCCGACCTTGTTCAACTCGGATGTACCAGGCGAAGAGCCTTACTATGGATGGGTGAATGGGGCTGGTCGGGCTAGCAAAGTATCGAAAAGTAAATACGAGAATGTCGAGGATCATCAGAATCCCAATCAGTCGTGATTACTGGATGCAGTGACATGATATATGACTTAGGACTGGTCCATGGTGATGTTGTTCCTTGTTGATCTTTGAACACCGTCAACAATGGCTGAACGTTTCATACATTGACGGGATACCGAGGACGATCTGACAATGGCTACGTTCATTATCCCACCCTGGCTCTGACCAAATTATAGAGACTATAAACATATGCGCACCCTCCTTCTTCTTCCCTCAACCTTGCTTAATGACATCTACCCCTTCACACCTCCGTACCCCGCTGTAAGCATATGATGCACCCCGAAAGATGTCAGTCACAAATACTTCTCAGACCACAAAGCACGCCCCAGCACTAGCACCGATAGCGCCAAGAGCAGCTACGAGACCGATCGAGCCAAGGGAGAAGGCGGAGAGGACGGGCAAGGCGTTGCTGCTAGAAGAGGTCGCAGTGGAGGAGGCGTCGCTTGTGGAGGCTGAAGATGCGTCGCCAGAGGCAGATGTAGATGCAGACTGTTGTCAAGTATTAGCTTATTTTGCTCGAACCGACAAGAGGGAGGGAGGGAAACGTACAGAGGAAGAGACGCTGGTGCTTCCGGTGGGGAAAGAGAAGATAGAGCTCCTAGTAGAACTAATCTGTTGAGTAGCACTAAGAAAGCCAAGCATCAGTCCAGCCTCACCTTACATACCTTCCCGGCGTCCACCTTAATAAAGACTCACGAAAAGTACCCCGTAATCGAAACACTCTGCGTCTCCTCACAGACCTCCTTCAACTGATCCATCGCCTGCTCCATATTCAAAATCTCATCATCCGTCACATTACTGCTCCTCGCCGTACACGTCAAGCAAGATACCATATTGTCATAGTTGGTTTGAGCGCCGCCGTTGTCAGCGTCTTCTTGGCGGCAGGCTTGGAGGCAGCCGTCTGTGGCGGTACCGGATTGACAGGCGGTGAAGACGTCTTTGGCGGTGTAGCAGATCTCGGAGCAGGAGTCGGGGATTTCAGAGTAGTCGAATTGGCGAGGGAAGAGGTGGGAGGAGCGGGGATGGATGGCGGTGGCTGCTACGGCTTCTTTCAAGTTAGCTTGGATATACTCGAGAGGGAGAGCAAGACGTACAAGAGACACCGGCGCCGAGAGCGAGAAAAGTAACAGAGAAACGCATTTTGACTTTAGATTTCCGTGTTGCAGAGCTGATTGAAGCTGCGATGGGATGCAAAGCGAGCAGACTGGGTCCCCTTTTATATGTACATTTCCCCCAAATCCGAAGCGATGCTACATGGCACCCCCTTTGCAATCCGAAATGTGGCTGAGCGTACTGCCTAGCGCGTGAGCCTGAATTTACGCGCGCGCTTACCTTGGGACCAAACACTGCACAGATGCATCGCATCCCACTTTCCCTTCCTCTCTTCCTTTGCCCCCCCCCCCCTCGCCCTCCTCGTGGATCACATACCTCTCAAACGTCATTCTGCCGCCGTGCTTCTTACAACATGTGTATGCAGCGTCATAAGAAGACACCATATGTACTCGAGTACAGCCACTCGGCACACTCGGTGTTCCGGCGAAAGGGCGTGTATGTAGTACAGGAGGAGCTAATCGGACCATCCGCCCCTGGGCCTGTCTTGCTCCTGGGTGCCTTGCTTGGCTTTGTCGATTCGTTAACCGGAATTCTTATCTCGGCAGCTCGGCATGCTTTGTGCATGAGCCTGCGGGACCCGGGTCGGGGGTCGGGGGAGAGTGTAGTCAGACGGGTGGGGTGCCCGAGGTATGACAACCCATATACTTACTTGTATGTATGAGCTGGTAGCCTGCTTGGTCGCCCCCGAGGAGGGTCCCGAGATGAGAGGGTAAGATTAGACTGGTTCTGTACTAGTCGTCGCTCGTGGCGTGGAGGGGTTCTGTGGAGTCTAGTTCTGTACGAGTAGTACGAGCTCTACTCGTACAGTACTTACTCGTACTCGTACATCACCATCATAACAATCGAAAACGCCTCTGTCATGTCCTCGAGAGGATCAGAGCCCTTCTGTCGTCCATGACCCAATATTGTTCTCTCATACCGCCTCGGACAGCTCGATGATGTGCATGAACACGACAGCGAGGGCTTTTGAGAACACATACAGGTTCAGGAAGGCAGATCGAGCTGATGAGTCTTGTCGTTGGGAAGTGCTTTCATGATTTTCCACTCACACTCGTCCCCAGAAGCCTCATGAATATCCCAGCAGCTCGTTACCATTATACAACTCCTTTTGATCATACAGCTATACCATCACCCTCATCATCTACTACTATCAAAGTACACAGAGATCGACGAAGAAGAAGAGGTGGCCAGTGCCAGAGGTATATCGTGGCAAGCAATTCCATTTGTGCTGTGTACCGCGACCAGGACGGTCAAAAGACGTAGTAGGATAAGCGATCGACCAGCGGATTGTCAAAGTATCCAGGAGCAGAGCGATGGAGGGTGGTTGATCCAACAGGAAAGAATTCACCTGGGGCCGAAAGACGTCTTGAGAAACGCGAGGAGGTACTGGAGGCAGAGTGATGGAAAGCGGAACTGGCTCGGTGTGAGACCCCAGACGATAGCTTGCGAGTAGTGTGCGTGTTTTGTTCGAGAGAGGGTTGGCTATGTACATACCTACGGGGACGCGACGAGATGAAAGAATCGGCGCACCGCGCAGCACCGGGATCTGATGTGGTCCACGTCACTGCGCTCATCGAGGCATACTTTCACGACCATGCATGAGCATATTGGGTGATGTAGACCATAGCGGTGGCCAGAGTGTACTGGCACAGGATGTGGATGCATGAAGAAGCGGAAAACAGCGATACACCGCCGAACGTATCCACCGTTCTGTACGCCCCAAGACCTCCACCCACCCCAGTCCCCATGCATGCATACCCTCCCCCTCTGCCCATGCCCCACCGGCTATACACCCCCCTGCACCAATACCAGCCAGCGCAGAAACCAAGACATTCCGATTCGCCCCAGTGACGGGATAAACCGGATCTGGGTTGCCTCTGCCGGCGTTAGGAAAAAAACTCCGGCTGGCTGGCGGCCCTATCATCTTGAACGATAATCACCGTTACGCCCCCATCCACCACTCACAAAACCAGCCATGTCCATCCTCCGCCTCCGCTCCGCCCTCTCCCCCCTCACCAACGCCAGGCGTTACGCCACCGCCTCCGCCGTCCAGGTCACCTCCTCCACCTCCAACGCCTCCGCCAGCATCCTCGGCAACATCGAAGCCACCTGGAAGAACCTCCCCGCCGATGAGCAGTACGAGATCTACCAGCAGCTCGAGCAGATCCAGAAGAAGGACTGGAAGGAGCTGACAATAGATGAGAAGAAGGCTGGTGAGTTTTCTTATTTGCATTTTGCGGTTTAGAGGCCGCTAGGAAAAAGTGCGAAGGGAGACGCGGAGGGGGGCGTTTTGGCGGGAATGTGATTGGGCGACGACGTGGAGGACGTGCTGGGGCTGCTTTCGTCGTGTCTCGGGGCGTATCCTGGGTGCTCAAGTGCCCCCCTGTGTCCCCGGGGGGCGATGCCGTGGAAAATCGTGCATACACACGCGTCTCTTGAAATGCCTCAAACCTCGAATCGACCCACGCTAACGCCCCATCTCTTTTCTCCCCTTCCCCCTCGCACTCGACGCTATCACAATCAACAGCCTACTTTGTCTCCTTTGGCCCCCACGGTCCCCGAGCCCCCGTCAGCGGCCCCAACCACGGCGTCAAGGTCGCGACCGGTCTTGCCCTCGCCCTCGGTTCTGCCTTTGCCCTCTTCGGCTTTGTCAGGTCTAACGGTGAGTTTTTTGCATCCATCTACTCGTCGCCCGGCAGAGCGATCTTATTGTTGGGGGGTGGAATGGAATGGAGTGGACTGGGAGGCCCGAGCTTGCTCGATACCCTTGCTGCCCGGGTCTACCCGACTCCTCCTTCTCCCTCTCTTCATCTCCCTCTCCCTCTACCTCTTCTCGAAGCAAAGCAAAACAGCAGCTGACCCTTACGCTCAGCCCCCCCTCCTCCCGCTACCATGAACTCCGAGTACCAACAAAAGATGACCGAATACATGAAGGAACAGAACATGAACCCCATCGTGCGTACTCTTTCCCTTTATCCCTCTTCCTTCCTTGTTTTGCTGCTTTTCAATGCTACCGATTGAGAGTTCCTGCTCGCCTATGTGCTTGCTCTCAATATGTGCAGAGGGGGGCGGTTTCGTCAGTTTGCACAGTCGATGGACGAAGCACGCCGGGCGGACGTGGACGCGACATGCCGGGGATCGTCTGGCACCAGATCTGGGCCTTGCTCGCCCCGCGGTCTCAGCCTGGATGGCTCAAACCTCTCGTCGTGTCTTTCCCGTCCGTTATCCGTTGGGCGTCGAGTGCTCGCTTCTCAACGCACCGGATTCGCGTCCGCGATGACGTCTCCCATAACCGTCCCCATCTTTTGCCCCTTCTTCCTCCTTTCTTTCCTCTCCTTACTCTCTGTTCCCTCCTTCTCAAACCCTCCATACCATGGTATGGTCAAAAAGCTAACCCTTATCGCAGTCTGGTATCTCTTCCGAAGGCTACAAGGGCAAGGGTATGGTCCAGTCTCCCTAAACTCTTCCTGGACGAATGGACTTTTGAGGGATGGGGATTCAGGAGTGTTTGGGATGTCTGGGATGTTTTGGGATTGGGTGTTGTCTGCAATGTCGGAAGGGGATGGGGAGAAGTGGGGAGAGGGGAGAGAAGGTCGGGGGAGGCAGGGGGGGGGAGGGAAGAAAAAAGAGGGCAAGAACAGGGTTTTACACCTGTTCTCCTTTCTTTCATACGCATTCTTTCTATGGATTATGGAAAACCAAAAACAAATACCATCAATTCTGCAAACATCCAGTGGTGCAGCTGCAGCGGGACAAATCCATGGTCATGTGCTCGTACTCGTTTTGGAGAAAGCGGGGGACGAGGTTATTCATGCGTTTGGCTATGCTATGAGGGTGTGCGGTAAATGGACTCAACCCAAGCTCCAGGTAAAATCAACTAGCATGCTCCACATCACCACCCACCACCCACCATCACCTCCTCCATCCGTCCTTATGTACTTGTACCTCGCCCCACCGTCTCTTCCGCCCTCCATTGATTCGCGACAAACCTTTCTCTTAAACATCCTTGCCGGGCTCGTCCTCTCATCCACGAACACCCTGGAGCACCCTGGACATCCCTGGAGCACATTGTTGACCCAGAATTGCCTGCCTTATAGGGCACGACGGCGGGGAGTTAGCATCGGGGGGTCTCTGAAGAAAGTGAGCCAGTTTTTGCCGAGCAGTCAGTTGTCCATGACATTCCAACAGCTCAACGACCAAAAAAAAAACCTGGCAGGAGAGAAAAAGGTTACTCGTACTCTTACGTCCCACGATTCACAAAAGGAGGCGGAAACAGTGTACCTCAGATATCGATTCGGACAAAGTGCCACTCTACCTACCATTCAGGGATGTCGGGAAAAGGTTTAGGAATTGGAGGGGAGTAGACATGATAGAGCGGATGAGGGAATGAGGAGAAGAGCTGCTTTCTGACAGATCAGCTTTCTGTGTCTATATCCTACACAACTTCCCAACCTTGCATTCACAGATTCATAAGAAGGCGTTTACCTATCTCGGACATGGCCGATCGGAAGCTTCGAACCCATACTTACTCCAAAAGCGGAGCGCGCGATAAGGCGACACCCAAAGCTCATTGCACCCGATGCACCCAAATTGTGAAATGCATACGGGTAAAAGGTTTAGACTAGCCCAAGTAGGCTTTAGGCTCGCGACATGACTTGACAGATTTAATGTACTCTGTCGTCGGAGAATGTAGTAGTAATAATGCGCGGCGTAGCCCTCTCCCACCTGCATCGTGCGGTGCGGGCTAGAGCTATACATACAACGACCTCTACTAGTGCTATCTTTGTGAGTCGAGCCTCACAGCAGTATACGACTGCAAAAATCTCGCGTCAAAGACAGCTAGCTGTACGAGGGAACAAAGCAAGTACCTGACGATAAGACAGTATAACACTCCGAATTCGAGTCTCGAGGCAGTGAATGCCGCTGGGACAGTATGGGAGAATGCACTCGGTGATACTCTGAAGGCCCCGTGAAGCAATATCGTAGATCCATAACCAGGCCGTACAACGAGCGATGCACAGGGAGATCGCAAGCAGACTCGCAAGGAACCAAACAGTTTCCCGCGCGCGCATCGGTGTTAAGCCCCCGTGCCTCCACTGTTTTGCTTTTGTGCGCGAAATCCCCCCTAAGGAATTTGCTTCCGCTGCAATCATAACACCGTATCGCCGAGCGGACAAGGGAATGGATGACTGTTGAAGGAATACATCGAAGCCATCCCTCAAGCACCGTTCGACACATTCGCCTCCCCCCGGCAACGAACGCCCCTCCCTCCAAAAGAAAAAATAGTCATCATGGCCGCTCTCCCTACCGAAGTCCAGAAGGTCGCCAACGAAGGAACCGTCAAGTTGTTTGGCAAGTGGGATGCTGAGGGGTGAGTGATTCTTCTATGCATCGGACATCAGAGGATTGGAGGGAAATGAGAGGGGCTTGGGGAGATGGGAAGGAATGGATTGCGGCGGTCGAGCGAAACTTGGACTTGGAAGAAGGACAGACGAAGCGCGATGGCGAAACTGGTGGACGGATGGACGAAGGAAGGAATGCGCAGGAGGACTATCGCTGACGCCTATACCAGTGTTGAGGTTAAGGACATCTCCCTTACCGACTACATCAATGTCAACCACGCCGTCTACGTCCGTACGTCTTCTCAATCCCTTTCATCACCTTGCGCGACCTTGCGCTAACTTTTTATGGTAAAGCCCACACTGCTGGCCGATACGCCAAGAAGCAGTTCGCCAAGGGACGTATGCCCATTGTCGAGCGACTCGTCAACGCGTGCGTTCAATCTCAAAGCAAAAGGATATGGGAAGAAAAGCTGATTGTGGGAATAGCCTTATGATGAACGGCCGAAACAACGGTAAGAAGATCATGGCCGTCCGAATCGTCCAGCACGCTTTCGAGATCATCAACCTCGTCACCGAGCAGAACCCCATCCAGGTCCTTGGTACGTCCCTCTCTCTTCTTTCTTCATCTCGCCAAAGACTGAAACTGACGATTGGATCTAGTCGACGCCATCGTCAACACTGGTCCCCGAGAAGACTCTACCCGAATCGGTTCCCAGGGTACCGTCCGACGACAGGCCGTCGACGTCTCTCCCCTCAGGAGGGTCAACCAGGCTATCTCTCTCTTGACCACCGGTGTATGTTCTCCTTCCTCTTCCCCTCCCTCCCCCTTTCCTCCTTCCCTTTCTATCCCTCTTCCCCCTCTTCCGTAAAAGAGCGACAACTGATAAAGCGTGTTTTAGACCCGAGAGTCCGCCTTCCACAACTCCAAGTCCGTCTCCGAGTGTCTCGCCGACGAGCTCGTCAACGCCGCCAAGGGCTCTTCCAACTCTTACGCCATCAAGAAGAAGGACGAGCTTGAGCGAGTTGCCAAGTCTAACCGTTAATTTGCCTACTCCCCCATTTTCTATTTACGAAATGTGTGGACTTGGTGTCTTTTTGCGGTTGGGTTTTTGGAGGGTGTAGTGGGAAGAGGAATGACGAAGGGGGAGAGGCCTTGCGGATGGGAAAAGGCCGAAAAACTTGGGGGTATCGGGTCTGTCTTCTAGGGATCTGATATTTTCTACTTCTCTGCATTCGATTATACGAACACTGAACACTGAGCCTGGGTTTCGGGGATTCACAGGACAATCAGGAATGAGTGCATCAAGGGACAAAGGACAAGGAAGGAGTTGGGGGATGGACAAGGACGTCTGGGGCTTGGTTAGGTGTCTGCTTGGGCGCCGGGGCTGGGGCTGGGTGGTGACTGGTGCGCTCGGGTGCTCTTACTGACTTTACATCCTTACTAATCGTATACTCAACGCTGACATCTGGTCTATGAATCTTTGACAGCAATATTTGACGGTGAAGGATACTGTACATGACACTGCTACCCAACGCTTGGCAGTCACTTCCCAGACCACTCAACTCATGCACTGCTTCCGCTCAACATGAGTCTCACCGCTCACGTCAACAACGTATTAACTAATCAATCGTCTTCCTCTGGCGGGTACGCATACTTGCCCAACGGCTTCTCCTCAATATCGTGTTTCCACTCTTCATAAACAAAGTCGCCCAACGTCACCTTGTCAACCACATCAGCCTTTCATCCTCTCCCCTCATTCCCTTTCCTCCTCAGACGCAAACAGAACAGAAAAGCACTCACCTCAAGGACTTGTTCCCCCGGTCCCCACCCCCTACTCGAACCCCTCTTCCCCCAAGCCGGATGCCTCTTTGGGTCCTCGAACCAGATATCAATATCTCCGAATTCCTCTCCCCCGTACCACCCCACCAAACACTCCGCATCCCTCGCCGCCCTCCCCCACTCTTTAGCACTCTCCTCGTCCGAAAAAGCTACACAAACGGCGAACCCATCCAAAAACCTGGCGTAGAGCATCTCCCACAACCCCTCTTTGGCGAGGAGCACGAGTATCTCTTGGATCATCGAGAGTAGAGTGGGCAAGGGGGCAGAGGGGAAGGAAGAGAGCAATGTGCGGTTGAGGGTGCTGTATGTGTTGCGGTTCTTGTCGGAGAGTTTGATCTGTGAGGAGGAGGGGGTGAGGAGGCAGAGGGGGCAGGTGCAGGTGATACCGCGATTTGCAAAAGAGGATTTACGGTAGGTGGAAGTGTTGTATCCTTCGGGATGACGGATGGTGAGAGGTTCGCCGAGGGCGATATCTCTTAGCGCAATCACATCTACCCATCCCCCATCACCATCAGCATCTCACCTTCGAAGGAAAAAAAACTGAAGAAAGGCAGCCAAAGGCGGGAAGCGGCTTACAAGTCCAATTTGTAGCCTCATCAAACATCCACCTCGCATTCGGCACACAACTCCTCCCCAACGCCGACACCTGCGCCACCACAACCTGCGCCCCCTTGTTCCCCAACGGTAAACTATTCGTCAAGAACGCACCATATATCCCCAGCTCGGGGTACATATTCGGAAGCGCATCGAGCACTTCTTTGTTCTCTGGTTCGTCCTTCCTCTGCTGGTATATCGCTTCGGCTTTCTTGCGGTTGAAATCGGGTTCAGTGATGGCGACAGGGAATTCCCACATGAAGACACGTCCGCGGGGGATGTGGCGTGCTGCGAATAGTGTCTCGTCGTCGGATGTGGCAGAGACAAAGTCGATCCGCCACCAATAGCCGGTCATGCCGTCTGCTATTTTGGCTTGACGTTTCTTCTTCTTCTGCCGTTTCTTTTGGCCTTTTGAGAGTTTGGTTTGAGGGGAGACGGGGTTGTTGGGAGATGTCGTAGGGGTTTGAGATGGGGCTTGGTTGGGTACCGGGTTGGCGGAAAGGTCTGGTAAGGTTGTGTTGGTTGACTCGGGACCGGGAGAGCGGGGTTTGTTTGGCTTCTTGTTGTCGGACAAGTCGAGTTTGGAAACCGCTCCAGTCATAGCCTCTACATTGGCCTGCAATCCCAACGGGTATGCAGCAGCTCTCGCCGCAGCCGAAGCCGAGCTTTCCGATTCCGGCGTCACAGGTCGCTGCCGTTGTCGGACAGGGGTGTGCGGGTCCCTCATCTTTTGAGGTTCCTCATGTCCTGGATCGGCAAATGGGGAGAATGGTTTGGGTTGGTGTTCGTATATAGGAGAGAGGTACGGGCTAGATGGTCGGAAATCGGGGGATGATTCGGGAGAGAAGGTGGATGGATGAGATGGCGTTTCCGGGAGAGTTGGTTGGGTAGTAGGGTTGGCAGAGGGGTCTTGCTTTGGAGTCATTGTAGAGCTGATACTATCTCGAGAGATCTATACCATGTCAGATAACTGCTAGATGATTGACGGAATGCTTACCGCTTCGGGATGGGGATCTGATTCTTTCTCCAGGACACTGCTCTCCTCATTCTGACTCGTCTCTTCAATCTTCTTCTCGCTGCCAAGTTGGTGTTGGTCCATGATGGTTGATGAATCTTGAAGAGATAATTGAGGATCCACAACTTTCGCCTTTTCCAAACCCACTCCTTTCCTCCCAAGCGAGTGCGGGACGGAAACAACCACATCAGCGAAATGAGAAACACTCGACGTCGTACGAGGAGGCGGCGTATGCAGCTCGGATGCCGATACAGCTCGAGTCATGCGTACTTCCATCTCTCCCTTCGGCTGTAGTCCACGTCAGAGTATTCAACAATCTGCATAAGTCACTCACAATCTTCCTTGTCCGCGTCAAACCCCCAGCCACAAGGCTGCTCGCACCGCTACCTCTCCGTCCCAAATCCGAAGGCGCAGACGACCGTCGAGCTGGCCCTGTGCTGTTGTTGGCGCCGCCGGTAGCTACAGCGCTGGGTGGTTCAATGGAGGTCCATGACCGGACAAGGTCCCATTGAAAGATATCCTCCCCCTCGTCGCCGGCTTTGGGAGAGTCACTGTGAGATGATGACCGGGCGGTGGGCTCGTCGAGATGGCGAAAGTAGATGCCCGAGACGTCGAAGAGGGAGTGACTGGCCATGGGATGATGGAGATGCAAAGAAGGGATGGTGAGAAAGTAGGTGCGAGATTGGATGGGTCCTTGGACGGTCCGAGCGTGGTGTCCATCTCCCTCTTGTTTGGTTCTCCGTCGGCTTACAACCACGCTTCTTCCTCAGCGTCACAATTTTTCTTTCCATCTGCCCTGGATCTTCTCCTGGATTTTGAGAAGTATAATGAGAGCTAGATATGCCGGCTTAAAATATCATGGCTCACGATGCATGCACCAATCATTGATCATTCAACATGTGAACTACATTCCTTCTCGCACCTCTAATTGTTGCCTTCCTCCATCTACTGATCACACTCCACCTGATCAGGTGAATACGCATACTGACCAAGTGGCTTCCTTGTACGATCCCGCTCCCAAGTAACATAATCAAACCTCCCCAACGTTTTCTTTGAGCACAGTCAGCCCTTACTCATCCTCTTATCATCCACACCCAAAACCCCACCTTGATAGCATCCTGCCCCGGCCCCCATCCCACCTCCCCCTACTTCCCCCTCTTCCCCCAACCCCCATGCCCTCTCGGAACATAGGCCAAAGAGGATGTTGTAGCTGTAGATGGTGAACGGATCTGCCGATCTGTACTCGTACTCTTATGATCCTTATGATACACAGTGAATGAGTATATTACCCAACCATCCAGGCTCAAGCTACTCACCAAACTACCCGCCCCCATCTCACAAACAAGCGCTCCCCGACTCTGCCCCATCAACGACGGCGAGTGTGATCCAGAAGCACGCCTTGACAACTTGATCCCATCCTCATCTCCATCCATTACAGACTCCACGGGGGTTAGATGTACCATCGAAACTCCCAACTTGCTGCTTCTTGTAGATTCCCAGACGATTGGTCGATGATCGAAGCTCCAATCCGGGTCAGCGTGTCTGACAGGTGAGTTTGATGGCCAAGGGATCTGCGGTGGACGGGGTGAAGCTGGGAGGGCGATGTGTTTCGAAAAAGGTGGAAAAGCAAAAGGAAGATAAATATCGTCTGATGGTGAACGTGTCGGTGTTTGGGAGGAGGCTCGAGCGTCCGTCCACACCGCCACCGCGTTCAAGCAGTCACCCCCATACTTCACTGCACCCCCAAGCACCGAGCACCGAGCATCAGCAAGAAGACAATTGGGGTAGACTGAAGACCTCTTCATAAGGGAAAAAATAACTCTTCTCTATTCATTATGGTGTTTGCTTCTCACGTTGATCCATCTTTCTTCTCCTTCTTCTCTTCCTTCTTCTTCTTCTTTTGTATTCTTCTTCAACCTTTACTCGACGGGAGCAGCGCAAGCAAGTAAAAGCAATACGGGTTATTGATGGCACACCGTCGTTTATACAGGTGTTTTTTTTTTTGGTGTGAGGATTTGGGTGATGTGATGGGTTAAGAAAATGCGAAAGATGGAAGGATGGATGCTAGATTGTCGGCTTCAAGATGCACCTACTCCCACCCCATCAGCGACCCCGATCCTGACCCTCACCCTCATCCTCGACCACCCATCCGAAGAACGCAAAAAAACTCACCATCCATCCTCTAATTCCGACACGGATCACAACAAATAATCCCCGCATCCTCACTCCACGCATACCCCCACTGCACCAACGCCTGCATCACACTGGTGCCCAAGCGCGTCTTGCTTGCGCCGCGGTTGGGATCTTGGGTGCCTACGTGTTTTTCGGAGCCTATCACGATGTACGCTATTCACCGTGTCAGCTTTTGCTCAGACAAATGATAAGGGAGAGGAAGAAGAAGAGGGCGACATACCAAGACCCCTGAACCGCTCTCTCTCAAGCTCCGCCAAAAACTGCCCACAAATCTCCACCCCCTCCTGCCCATGCAACGTATGCAAATCCAAAACACACTCCACCCTCTCCCCTTCTTCCAACCCCCCCTTCCCAGCCCCACCCTTGCTACGCCCGGCGTTGCCAGCCAAACTAGCCACAGACGCCACACCCAACACCACCCCCAGTCCCCCGCCGCACGGCTTACCCCTCTCCCTCGCATCTGCCGGGTCGGTAGACCAAGAGAGGGGCCGGGCCATGATGGCTTCGCGGGCGAGGGCGGTACGGACTCTGACAAGTTCTTGCGCAGCTTCGGCTTGCTCGTTCAACATCCTCTGATTGAGCGCTTTGCCCTCGCGCGAAAAGCGCTTCGCAGCACCGCCGTCGCCTCTTCGGAAAGCGTCCGCCGCGCGGGCGAGGCAAGCGTTACGGGCGTGGCCGAGCCGGATTGACCCAGCGCGAGAGGAGAGATACGCTTCATTCGCCACCGTCCCCGTCGGCAACGTCGGCAACAATACCGGTTTCCTCAACGCCACCCTCGACGACGCTTTCGGCACGATCGCCACCCCCGCCGAGTCGTCCGAGTACACCGACGACGGCGCGGGAGGAGGGGGGGCGGTAGCGTGGTCTCGGGGCATGACGGGCGCAGCGCGTTTGAGTGCGTTGGCGAACCTGTTTCTGGAAGGGTCAAATCTCGGTGCGCGGGTCATGCGGGACGAGTTCAAGTCGGGGAATTCGTCCGGGGCTTGTTGGTGGTGCAGATGGCCTTGACCATACCCTGGCGAGTCGGGTCGGGCGTAGTCGTTCATCTCTACTCTCTGTAAAGACGTCTGAAGCGCCGACACATCGAGATTGTTTGGGAACTGATGCAAGAACCTACCCTTTCATCAGCTTCACCCTCTCTCCCTAGTAGTATAAAGACTCACTCGCAATTAGGTCCCTTGGCACAATGCCCCCTCAACCAAAACCTACACATAGCCCTATCCAAATCATGACTAAACCTACAATCACTCCGCCTGCACTCCCCCGCCAAAAAGTACCGGCACATCTTTCCCCCGCCCCCTCCTGCCGCTGGGCTCCGCGGGCCCATGGGGGACATGGAACGTAGCGTCCTCGAGGGGAGGTTGGGGTAGAACCCATCCCGGCCGCCTCGGCCCATGCCCATGGGGCGCGGGGAGGAGACGCGTTGGGGGGTCGATTGGCCCGAGCGAGGGGCGGTGTATTGGGAGACGAGCATCGACATGGCTGCTTCAAAATCATACCCAGCTCTGTGCAAGGCATCTTCCAGCTCATTCCGGGGCACGCTCGTAAAGACACTGCAAAGCACATCCAGCGGCGTCATACCCGCCCCACTCACATCCTCCCCGTTCTCCTCGCCGAATTCGGCAGAGTTGAAGGAGGTATCCGAGTAGGCGCTTGAAGGATAGCCGGGGGTGTAGTCGGAGGAGAGGTAGGAAGTGGGCGGGAAGTAGGGGTTGAAGGGCTTCGAGTCGGGTTTAAGAGCGTTCTCTTGGTGATGCAATTTTGGCAGGCCCGAACCGAAGGGCGAAAACTCGTCGTCATCGTCGTCGTCGGGCACCACACCCCGACTCCTAAGGCTCAGGGCGGGCGAAGCAGTACCAAAGAGGTCTGGCATCTTGACCGGCGTGAGCTGCGGTGTACCCACAGGCGAGTGGAAAGGCGACCCCTTACCGCCAAACAGGGGCGCAGCGATAGCCAAATTCGACGCTGTCCTCGTCATGCCCGACCCGCCAATAGCGCCAAACGGCGAACCGACTCTGGGCGGCGTATCGGGTGCGTCCTTCCACGCATCACTCGGTATGAAGCCTTTCGCCTCCACATTCATAGCCCCCGGGCCAGAGACGGACCGGGCAGAGGGGTTGAACTGCGAAGCTTTGGCATTGAGCAACCTCGGGCTGGCCAGGGGACTGGGCGCGGGCGAAAGGCCTTTGAGACTGCCAGCTGGGAGGACTGGAGAGTGGGCGCGGGAGAGGGGCGTTCGAGCACGGAATGAGGGGACTCGAGAGGGAGTGAATGGGCGGGAGATGGTAGGGCCGCCACGGTTGCGGGTAGGGGTGAGGTGAGGTGCGTAGGGAAGATTCTCCATGTCGTCTTTCCGCTTGTGCATGCAATCGAGACAGACTTGCTCCATCAGAATGTCGTCCTGGAATGTATGAGCAGAGCCCGTCAGAGTACAGCTGCACACTTACCTTGCCAAGCTCGCCCATGTAGGGCTTCAAGACCACCTTCAATTCGTCCTCTTGCTCATTGTCAAGCAGATCCACAATCCGCTTCACCAACTCCTCCTTCTCCGCGCTCGTCGCCTTCTTCGACCCGCCCTCCTCACTGCTCTTGGTCGCCGTACTGGTCTGTGACGCAGCTTCCGACTCGGACTGCGATACGTCCCCGTCCTCATTGTCCATGTCTGCTGATGCGTTGGCCCCGTCGTCGCTACCATCATCCGAGCCACCCGACGAGTGGCTCAGCGGGTGTTTCTCCTTCTCCTTCTCCGGCTTCCCATCGCCCACAGCCGAGCGCGGCGGGGGAAAGTACGCCTTGTTGAGGAGCGAGAATATATAGTGCCCCAAATGCGGGTGGGCCGAGAGAACGTTGGTGGTCGCCGTCGGCGTCGGGGTGGGGGCGGTAGGGGGGTCAAAGTCGGCCTGGGTTATGCTGTAGATGCTGCCCTTGCGCGGGGAGGGCGCGCGGATGGTGGAGTTGTCGCCCATGGCTGCTGGGGATGAATTTCAGAAATGTCAGAGGAGATAGGCGCAGCCCTTATTAGCCTCCTTCGTTACGGATCTGATGACGACACGCCGTGTCCGCGTACAGCATCGGAGTACGTCGGGAATGTCCGCTTCTGGCCCGGACACAAGGGACTGCCGCCAGCGTGTCCGGACCCTCTCACTCAACTGTCAACTGCCGTCTGTAGATTGGAGCAGAGCAACGACCCAACGGAAATTGTCCATAACATGCCACAGCGTCGTTCGTTACGTCTCATATCGATACTCGCCAACACAAAGATAGAGAAGAGTGAAAATGATAGGGGTATAAAGTGGTGAATGATGAGAGACAATCTGATGTTTGCTCCTTCTCATTCCACCAGAAAAGTGAGGGTATAACAATAAAACGTCTCCAGCGCCAAACTATGCAAAAAGAAAAGAAAAAGCAGCACTCGCTACAGCTTCACATCCTGAAACTCCTCCTCCAACCCCTTCGTCGTAGCCGTCGTCGGGCTCTCCACTACACCCATATCCAACACCGCCTTACCACCCCCGTCCTTATAAGGCGAAGGACTCACACTCCTCTCCCTTCCCCCGCCATCCAAAAGCTCATCATTCGAATTCGTCGACATCACGCTATTCTCCCTCTCCATCCTTACCCTCCCACCCGGAGCGAAGGATGTACCGTTCATACTCTTATTCGGGCTCGCGAGCGATCCAGAACCAGAGCCAGAGCCGGTGGCTCGACCGCGAGAGTAAGACTCTGCAGCGCGGATGACAGGCCGGTCTTTCTCTTCTTCTGTCCCAAAGGACGTACCCGAGAATGACCGCGGGGACAACGAAGGGTTGGCAGCCAACGGAGGCGGGCGAATGAGGGAGGAAGACCCCATAGCCGACGTCGGTGTCTGACCCTCAAACGACGGGGATAGCGACACAAGCGGCGAGAGGGGCGAATTCGGTATTGACCCCGACCCAGGCTGCGGAGAAAGTGATTGCGTGTAAGGCATTTGGGTAGGAGGATAACTCGGCGAGAGGGGTGCCCTGGGAGAGGCTTTCGGCGTACGCTCGCCAAGTTGGGGTCCGCCGATTTCATTCGCCAACGGCGACGTCGCTCTCGACATGCTCACCGCCCCCGGCAACCCCACAGGCGACATGCGCCTGTGCTCCAACCCCGCATGCGCCAGCCTCTCTTCCTCCGCCTGTTTCTCAGCTTCTTCCGGCGTCATCTTGGGACTCCCAAAGCGCTCGGCTTTACCGCCTTCCAGGTCAATGTCCACCATCTCGGCAGTATCCAAGCTCGGCCGGCCGCTGGATGAGTGGGATGAGTGGGAAGAGCGGATGGGGTAGGGTAAGGGGAGGTTGTTGAGGGTGGAACGGCGGTGGGCGTTGCCGGCGGATGTATCGAGGTTCATCACCCATCCACCTCTTAGCCCCGCAGTCTCGGCCTGGGCGATCGCAGACATTGCTTGGATATCGGCTCTCGTGGGAAGATCAAGCGCGGCAGGAGCAGGCGCAGGAGGAGGCTGGTTCCGCCGTCTACTCCTCGGCGGAGAATTGGTCGGCGGCGACAGGTAACCTGAGCCAGACCCGCCGGCCTTGAGAGGGTGCTCGATAGTCGACGTTAGGGGTGTAATGACCCTCACGGGGGAGGGTGCTGGATGTCGGATCTTGGGGATCTGCTGTTCGGGTGAGGAAGGTGGGAGGAGGACGTCCGAATCGCGAGGGACTGGGGTAGTGGGTAGGGCAGCAAGTGGGGGTGATGTGGCTGCTCTTCGTCAGCTCATCCCCTCGGGTTTAGAGTTTCGTGCTCACCGTCAACAGGGCTGTTGGCCGCGCTCGTACTGACATTCAGCCCATCGGCTCTCTCCTTCCCCTTACCCTTCTCAACATACCCCGTCAACCGTCTCGCCTCCGCCAATCCCCTCTCCACCGCCTCAATATCCAACCCCATCCCCAGCGCCTCCCACTTGCGCACACTCTTATCCCACCACGCTTCCAACACGTTCCACCCGCGATACTCCCCAGCGAGCTTCAGCCCACTGCCCACATCGCCATAGCTGCCTCCACCGTTATAGCTAGTGTACCCCGCTTCCTCTTCTTCATCAGACGAGCTGACCTGCTCCGCCTCCCACCCTTCTCCCGTCTCAATCTCCTTCACGAAAATGCTCAACCACTTTCCCCACCCTCCTTCCCCATCGCCTCCCCACAATACACACTTTCTATCGAAATCTCGTCCAAACAGGATGACCTGCCCCCAGGAGCCGTTCGTCCCCGGGTCGAGGTCGACGCCGACATAGTTGCCCGCTCGGTCCGAGAGGAGGGGTATCCAGCCTTTGCAGGCGTATCGCGTCTTGATCCATAGAGGCGGGACACTCGCCATCGTCGCCAAGACAGCCTTGTTCTCGCTCACATTCGGGTCGTGTTCTGCAGCTCTCCAGAACGCCCACTCCCGCATGACCTCTTCCAAAGGCAACCAATGCAGCCCATAGAACAGGCCGCCATTGCCAGACACATGGCTCGTAGCGCTAAAGTCCTGCCCGTCTATTATCGTCAGGCTGTCTCTGACTGCCCGGGGTAAAGGACAGCCAAGCTCGGATTCAAATGTCGACAAGAGCATGGGCTCGACGGGGCCGTTGAAGGTTTCGAGCAGCTCGGGGAAAGAGAGGGCGAGCGTTTTCCGGAGACGGTGGAGGGTGTGGGAGAGGGGGGGGTAGTAGTTTGGTGAGGCCGAGTTGCTGAGAGAGAGAGAGGGGAGCACGGACGTTAGCTTGGTTTTTTTTCTCCTAAGCGCGGCGCGAGGTGGTGAGGATTGGGGTAGGCTCGGTGGCTTGGGAAGGGGAGCTGGAGAGCAACACCCCCAGAGCACGAGCCTGACATGCCACCCAGACGTGTGCTTTTCCATTCTAGACGGTGCGCCAAGAGCCCCGCCTCCATCTCCACCTGATCACCCCAAAGTACTCACAAAGTGTCGTTGGGCCCATAAGAGCCATACGCATTACTCCCCCTTCGGCTCGGCCCAGGTGAAGAGCTCGCACTATCCAAATGAGGCTGCGATAAAACGCGTCAGCTTCCTTCCTTCCCGTCTCCCGAGCTCCAACCGCTCCCTCAAAAAGCCACTCACACCTTCCCCATACCCATTCGCAAACCCTCCTACAGGACTCCCCGTACCGAGATGGGTGGGCAAGCTGAAAGCATCAAGCGTCGAATCAATTACCGACCGCCGGGAATTGTTTGTTGATGACGGCTGAGGGGCTTGGGAGAAGAAGCTGGTGAGGGATTGGAGGAAGGGCATGATGCGTTCGACCCGCGAGTGGGGTACGTGTCGTGTCGCGTCGTGACTGGTGGCGGTGGGGGTCGAGGGCAGCGGGGGGAGAAAAGAAAAGGAGAAAGAGGACAGAGAGAGCACCGGAGGATGGAGAAATAGACGAAAGGGCGCGATATCCATAACGCAGCAGTAAGGGTAACTCCTTACGTAACTCTCCTCCGTCGTTTACCCGTTCATGGCAACGCGTCGGTCATGCTTTTCAGGCCCACTATGCATGCATGTCGGTGTGTGTACCAGGCAGGCTACTGGGGATAACCTGGAAATAGATAGTACCCTTGTCGCCTGGAGTTGCATGTTGCTGTTGTGTACAAGGGGCATGGTGCGACGCGTCACTCGCCAAACACTCGCGCAGCACTCGGTCTCACTCTCCTGCAGTGCGCGGTTGAAATGTTGCATCGTCAAAACGTTCAGACAACCTCCTTCCGAGTATATAGCATATATCCTAGCGACTCGACAACAGGAAATTATGTACCGAGTCTATATTACAAACACCCCAAAAAGACAAAGGCGGCTTTCCAAATGGCACCGCGTCGCACACCTGCGCGCATTGAAGTCATCAAAGAAGAAGCATCAGAAGCTGATCAGCAGGATCAAAAGATCTTTTCCAGAATCTTATCTCTCAACGTGGCAGGTGGCCCCTCATCCTTCTGCTGCTGATAATAATCCGTCAGGGCGTCGAAAAAGTCCAAGTCGGTCTCGAGATCAACATCGGACGGTTTCCGGAAAGGCGTTCGCGCAAAGATCTTCCACCCCAGTCCAATCCCCCCGGCTAGCGCGATCTGAGTTCAAAACCAATCAGCTTTGAATGTTCTTCCTCCCCTTCTGTCGCTGACAGTGACAGTTAATGACGTACGATACCGTAGTTGAAGATGAATGTGGCCACGTCCCAGTTCCCTTTCAGAAACACCGAGTAGCCCTGAATCCACAGGAACAAGAATGCCCAGAAGAATGCCCAGTAGCCGGCGTAGGGTTGGAGCTTAGAAGGTGCTGGGAGGAGGGCGAGGCGGTCGACACCTTGGGCTTTCATGGCCTTGTCGAACCGGATCCATGTGAATGCCATGACACACCAGTTACTGGAAAGATTGATGAGCTTGTGGAAATCGCATTACGAGGTTGGTAGCACTCACAACATGGTAGCGGCCGTACAGAAGCTGGATACCGCATGATCAGCAAGTCTATACCATCCGACAACACCTCAAAGACTCACTTCAAAATCCAATTCAAAACCACACTTGAAGTCGACCCAAGCGCCAGGTACGCCAAACAACTCAGCGCCCCCACCGTGCACACTGCCACCCACGGCACTCCATTCTTGTTCAACCTCCTCAACACCTTGGGCGCTTTACCGTCCAGCGCGAGGGCATGGAGGGAGCGAGAGGCGTTGAAGGTGAATGCGTTTCCGGCGGAGATGATGACGATGATGAGGGCGCCGGTGACGATGGAGGGGAGGATGGGGATATTGAGGTTTTGCATGGAGATGACGCTTTGATTCTCGGGGTTAGAAAGGAAAGGGGGAAGAAACGAGGGGACTGGGGGTATTGCGATGAGACTTACTATGGCGACTTGCCGGCGTAATTTTCACCATCGCTGATTCTATAAGTCATGTCAGTTTGCTGTCCTATGAATCCGGTGGGTTACTCACTCAGTGTTGTCCGAAGGAAGCAAGATCCCAACGCAAAGCCCACCCCCGACAAAAAAGATCATCAACCGCCACATCAGCGTCTTGAACGCCCTCGGAACGACCTTCCTCGGATCCTTCGCTTCCCCTAATCTCCCCATCAGCTTCCGTACTCAAGAGAACGAAGGGAATAGAGGAGAGAGAGAGACGTACCAGCAATCATAGAAAGATACTCGGGACCACCCATACTGAACCCCGCGACATTCACGGCATTGACGAATGCTTGAAGACGGGTTGTTGGGGTGTTGCCAGCCCAGGGCCCAGGATTTTTCCAGTATCGAAAGCCAAACGCACTATCGCGATAAATGTCAGTCTGCAGTAGATGATGAAGAGCAGGGTGACGTTACTCGTGGAGAGGATTACCGCCGCACATGACGACCAAAGTGTAGATGAGGAGACCCATAGCGAAAATGATCTTGCCGAGGGCGAACCAGACTGCAACCATTCATCAGCTTTTTGTCCGACGGTGGAGCAAGGGCGTACTTGCATTCGAATTCTCCAAAGACATCTGCACGGTAGACGTTGATGGAAAAGTAGAGCAGGATGGAGATGGAGATCATGATCGCCGGACTCTGGTCATAACCCCAGACACTGAGAAGGGTGTTGATGACGGTGCACTCGAATATGACATACGACGTTTGAGCAAACTGTCACTTCTCAATCAGATTTTTCTACTTGTAAGACGGGGTATGGGAGGTGCGCTTACGAAGTGATTCCATCCCACGGCAACACCCAAAGCAGGATCGACCATCCGGTTGGCAAGACGGATAAAAGCACCATCGTATGGAAACAAGCTGACGACCTCTTGCTGACATTGACCGATAGAAAACACAACAGTCGCCCAGAAAACAAAACCTACATCCAGCCTCATCAGCTCAGCCTCCGATAAGATAAGGCGGAAACAGGCACTCACCTATCAACAAAGCCAACGGCCCCGACGACACTCCCTGCCCGATGGCGACGAACAATGCCGCACCCATAGCCCCTGCGATGGAGGCGAGGTGGATTTGCCGAGGGTTGAGATTGCGGTGGTTGACGGATTCGAGGACCCGAGCTTGGAGGGCTTCGCCATTGTCGGTTGGAAGGGTTTCAGTGACGACGACTTCGGCGGACGCTCTCTTGTCGAGCTCTTCTCCTGTGACAACGGGATCGGACATGATCGTCGTTAGTTAGAGAGGGAAAACCGAGTCCGGAGGGGATATGGGTATATATGCATATCAAGCACCACGGTACAGGAGATGTCCGGTGCTGATAGCCAGATCGACAGGGGTCTCGTGATAAGAGAGCGGGATCCAGCAGGGGACACAAACAGACCTCGCTTGGAGTTCATTGGAGTCTAAAAATGAGCTGGCCGAATCCTCATCGAGGTGTTGCGCGTAGCTCAGCCTTGTACGTAGATAACACCGGCGGCAAAGTCAGGGTCTTGGTCTTGGCCGGAAAGCCGATAGGAGGTGGCTGGTTTATCGGCTTGGTTGAGTCTGGCTTCCGGGCGATTAACGTCCTGTTGAACGGGCACACAATGCACATGACTATCCGTATGGACTGATCCATGCCAAGCGACGAGCGAGTGATGTCAAGGAAAGGGTTGTAACAAAGTCGATCCCACATGGGAGTCCTATGTAGAGCGAGCTAGAGAGCTATCAGCATTCGGGATACGAGAGGATTCCTGTACATAGACAGTGCGTATATGCATACCAAGGATTCGGCTTTGTCCCGCGCTCCCGGTAGATTCGAAGCCGAATCAGCTCTTCGCAGTTTGTCGCTCGGGATCTTCTCGTTGCAGCCCGAGAAACGGAGCATGGGTATCTTCCTCCGAGCGACGGACAATCGCTATCCTCCCTCCAAGCGAGCCCTCCCAGCAGTTCTGGCGTCCAAAAGAGCGATAGATAAGAAGAGAACAACGAAAGAGGTCATGCTCCCGCGCCCGCGAAGATGGAGTCGTGATTTGGAGTCCGCGCGCGGCGGTCAGCTGATGCTGATGCTATCCTACTGTATCGATCGCGTATCTTGCGCCTCTTTCTCTTTCGGAATGCATGTTGAGAGCGTCGGTAATCTTCCGAAGACGTGATCGACGAACACCTGTCCGATGATGGTAGAAAGAAATCCCGGGCTGTCCATTGGTCACCCCGACCGCGATGAGGATATGAGATGCTTGGCCTCGTTCTTTTGAACCATGGATCCTTCCCTTTTATCAATCATCCTCGATGGATTCTTGCGCTTTAATACACCCAATGGATCGCGGCAAGAGGAGCTTCTCAATCATCAACGCGTCGACATCATTGGAGGTGGTCGTCTCTGCTCGAATTTGTGCAAGGAGGAAACGTATTTGCTACGGTACCCTAGGGACTTTGGGGATGCAGATATGCTGCCCGGTGCTTTTCATTACAGTAGTGGAGGGAAGCAAACAGGTTGATGCTAGTGGTAGAACAGATAGAAGGATGGACTTGGAAGGTATCATCGACGCCAGTGTGGGGAAGGGCTCGAAGGCGGCTATGACGAGACCAGTGGACTACAACAAAGTGGTCAAGAAAAGCGTCATCACCCCTCTCTCCAAACCAAGCTCAAAGTAGACCATGATGTACCCAACAGCAGTGCTCTTCCAGACTGGATGGTACTTTGGCGATACGACAAGCCCGTGTGTGATAAGCTTGCGTTAGCTTTTGGCGGGGACGACAATTCATCGATCGCCCGCATCATCTCGTCCGAAGAGCCTTACATGTCCCAGCGGTCTAGATGGTTAGACGTTGATGCACAAGTACTCTCGGTGGATGCTTCTTTATCCATACCGGGGTACTACGCTCAAACCTTTGCTCTGGTCGGTGGTTTGAACATGCTCACAAGTGCTGGTAGCAATCACCGGCCAGCTATATCCCGTCGGACTCCTATACTCCCCAAGGATTATAAGAAGAGGTTTGGTGATTACAGAATGAATCGGTATCTAGCAGACCATTCAAGAATGAGCAGGCACGCGTGGCGGAACCAAAGGGCCGGATCATGATGATCACTCAACATGGCACACTCCATTGTGTTTCTTCGCCTTTAGCTTACTTTGCACCACTTATTTCTATGACTAAGCTGTGATCTGCCCTCTTTTTGTTGTGACATTACTAGTGCCTATGCTCGCTGCTCTGACTTCTACTTCGCCATGAGCAAGCCTCGAATTCTTTTCCTTACATGGTATGTTTCCATGCTCCCAAAGTAGTGTTCCTGGCTGAATTCGATGGAATAGCCCAGAGCATGGTCAGTCCAACGTACACCTTGCCGTCATCTCTTCCATCCTCGAACATCATCCATCTTCAGCCTCCATCCATCTCGCATCGCACCCTGGGTTGAAACCTCGTTGCCCCAGTGGCGTCACATTCCATACGATAAAGAGCAAAGACGCCTTGTATACAGACAATCATAATGGCAAAAGTCCTAGTAAGAAATAACCACACGTCGTGATGCTGGGCTAATGTGGTCTCAAAGGGAAAGGCCTCTACAGCGTCACCTACAAGCCGGGCCTCTTCCCCGCTCTTCGCGCCATGTGCGAGTCCTTCTCCCTCTTTCACCCCGAGCCTCCCTCCTCCTACATATCTACAGCAGACTCCATATCTGCCTTACTCGACACTCTCAACCCGACCTTGGTGGTAGTAGATCACATGTTTGACGCGGCGAGGGATGCGGTTCTGAAGGGAAGATGGAGGAGCGTGAGGCTGAGCCCGAATACGGTCAAGGATGTGGCGATAGACTGTCAGGGCTGGGGCATATTCAAATGGCCTTGGTAGGTACTATCCATCCGCTCCATTTTACCGGAATGGCATACTGACAAAGCGCAAGCTTCGCATCAGGATACCCTTTCCCGCTCCCCTGGTATCTCTTCCTCCCAAACACCATCGGCCTCATCCTCCCCATCATCTACCTCAACTTTTCCCGTACCTTCGCCTCATTCAACATTGCGCGCAACAAGGCTGGCTACCCCGGCATCATCCCGCTCTACTCTTCCGGCGGACCGTTCCCCACAAAAGTCCTGTGCATGTCCACGCCAGAAGCCGACTTGCCCGCCATCATCCCAAAGAACATCATCTGCTGCGGTCCCATCCTCCAAGCCGTCCCTCCCTTGCCTGACCAAGACCGCGAGCTGGACCTCTGGCTCGCCCAAAGACCAACCATCTTGATCTCCCTCGGCTCCCACCTCAAACTCTCCCATTCCTACGCCACGAACCTCCTCCGCGCCATCTCTCATCTCCTCTCCGCTCGTTCGGACGTGCAGGTACTCTGGAAACTGGTCCCAGACGGCTCTTACGATTATGAAGCGTTCTCACAAGAAGAGGGCGAGCTGGGGAGGGAGAAGGACAAGTGGGGCGAGAGGCTGAAAGTCGTGAGATGGCTTAAAGCAGAACCGTTGGCGATAATGAATACGGGAAGGGTGATCTGCTTTGTCAACCACGGAGGCAGCAACTCTTACCACGAAGCTCTTGCGTGAGTCAACGTCTTCTCAACAATGACTTTCTCAACGCTGACAAGTGGTCCAAGCACTGGCGTCCCTCAGATCCTCCTCCCAGCATGGCTAGACTGCTAACGACTTTGCCTCCAGAGTAGGATATCTTCGGAACGGCGTATGGGGCAACAAAAATTCTGCGTAAGCTCTTTCATTCCCATCCCCAAGGCCCATCTCCGCACGTCCACTCACCCTCAAACAGCCCCTCATGCTCTACTCCAGAGCTCATCCGCGCGTTCGACAACATAATCGGTCTCTCCCCTTCAACCTCCTCCTCTTCCCCACCCCTCTTGTACCGACAACGCGCGCTCGAGCTTCAGGCGATCGTCACTCGCAACGGCACGAGGCGAGGTCGAGATGTGGCTGCCGAGGTCGTATGGGAGGAGATGGGGGAGGGGATGATGTGGGGAAACAAGTATGAGGAGGACGAAGGGGGTATGGATGAGGAGGGTGATAGCGTGATGGTCGATGGAGAGGATGGGAAGATCATGGTGTGATAATCTATAGTCCTAATCGTCATCGTGGACGGGTGTGTAATGAGTACCGTTGTATATTAGTATCCCGAGTGGTCTAATGACTGGGACAAGGAACATGAAAATACATTCACCTAGTACAGACCAACACGTCACTGCCGACCATCAACTGGAACAATTAACCCTTTCGCTCACTCTCATTCTCGATCCCTCCCTCTACTCTGCCTTCTCATCTTCGAGATCAGGGGGATACGCATACTCTCCAAGAGGCTTCTCTTTCATCTCCTTCTTCCATTCGTCGAAATCAAACTCGCCAATCGTTTTCTAAAAAGACCAACATCAGTCCTGCGCACAGTCGAGACATGAAATAAAACGTACAAGAATCACTTCCCTGCTCGGCCCCCTCCCCTTCTCCTCTACCCCCCTCTGCCCCCACTGCTCATGCCTCTTCGGATCCTCCACCATCCTCCCCGCCTCCTCCCACCCCCCAGCAACCTGGCTCTGCCCCAAACACGCCGTATCCCTCACCCCCTTTGCCCACTCTCTCGCACTCTCTTCATCCTCACACGCGGCACACAGTGCCAAGCCGTATTGGAAGGCGTCGTGGTACATTTCGACGAAACCTTCGGTGGACATGAGGAGGAGGGCCTCTTCGATGTTTTGCAGAAGGGCTTGAAGGGAGGGGGAGGGGGAGTTTAGGGCGGTTTGCATCGCCTTGTTGAGGAGGGCGATGCTGATTCGGTTTCGGTCAGAGTGCTTGTGCTCTTCGGGGGTGCGCTGGCAAAAAGCGCAATGACAAGTCATTCTAATCTCCGCATACCTCTTTTGGCGGCTTTGAGAAGTCTCGAACCCTTCTTGGGCGCGGACCATGAGAGGGGTGTTGTCGGGTATATCTTTCAAGGAGACCAGCTCTAGTGCAAGAATTAGCGAAATGTAGTCATATGTTGAAAGTGGGAAAAAGAGGACGTACGACCTCGTCTGCGTTGGGCATCCCACACATAATTCGCGTTAGGATCACAAGACGTTTTCAGGAAAGGTATATGCTCCAGCACCACCCTCCACCCAGCAGGATACTGCAGTGCCAAACTATTATCCATCAGCTTCCCATACACAGAATCATCCTCCCTGTCCCTTCCTTCCGACCTGCGCAAACCATCCACCCGCGCTTTCTGCTCAGGCTTGTCCGCGATCGAGTCATACATTGCATTCGCAGCATCAACGTTGAAGTCTGGTCCGAGAAAAGTGACGGGATGGTCCCATAGGAAGACGTGTCCCCTTGGGATGGCACGCCGAGAGAGAAGGGTGTTGGTCTCGGAGCTGCCGGATGAAGGGCCGTATCGCCACCAGAAACCAGTCTCGTTGCGCTCCATACCGGCCTTTTTGCGTGCTTCGGCAGTCTTCTTCTTTTGCCGTTTCTTTTGGTTCGGCGATAGCTGGGGTTGGGCTGGGGTGAGATCGGAGGATTTGTCGTCTGGCTTTTCGGTCACAGTTGTACAAGGGGGTGAAGCAGCCATAGCATCAACGTCGGCGGAGGACGTGATGATTGTTTCTGGTCGAGTATTGTGGTCACCAGAGAGGTTGATAGTCCTAGTGTCGCAACCTGGCTCCTTTACGACCCCCAGCTCCCCTTCTTCAACACCAACGTTCCTTTCAGCCTCCTCCTCTCCAGCTCCTTGTGCTTGTGTCTGACCTCTCTCGGCGATCGAAAGCCGCTCCAAAGACGGGTGATCAGGCAAAGTATCCCCGTCGTTGGTGGCGGCGGAAGGCGAGGGGAGTGGCTGGACAGATAATATGTGTGATGGCAAGTTGACCGAAACCGGCTGACTAATCAAGCTGGTTGATGCACCGTGACCATGCTAGGCGGATCCATGTCAGCTTCAAGCTGAAACCACCCCGTCTACCGTACTCACCAGGTGCGTTTTCTTCAGGGAACCACTTTTCGAACTCTGTCCTCTAGCATCCGTGTACATCTTTTCAGGTTGTTCCGCCACGTCCGGAATGAAAGAGCAAGGGATGGGCGGCAGTTGAGAGATTGGTGAGGCATCTGCGGGAAGCGAGGACGATATATCTGCGGATTGAGCTGTGGTGACAGGATGCGTACTTGAGTGACCCGCCCGTCGAAGCCGCTTACCGTACTGCTTCACCCCTTGTACAACTGTGACCGAAAAGCCAGACCGCAAATCCTCCGATCTCACCCCAGCCCACCCCAAGCTATCACCAAACCAAAAGAAACGGCAAAAGAAGAAGACTGCCGAAGCACGCAGAAAGGCCGGTATGGAGCGCAACGAGACTGGTTTCTGGTGGCGATACGGCCCTTCATCCGGCAGCTCCGAGACCGTCACCCTTCTCTCTCGGCGTGCCATCCCAAGGGGACACGTCTTCCTATGGGACCACCCCGTCACTTTTTCCCCGAGCATCATCGGCAGGCCCAAGTGTCGGCCAGGATGAGATAAGGTCTTGATTGATGGCGGGGGATGGGGTAGAGAGTGTTGATGGGTCTTCGTGGGGGTTGTAGAAAAGACAGAGCTCGTATGAGCCTTTGAGAGGTGGCCGGGGCATGGGGAACGGGAGGCGGCGGGAAGGGCAGGTGAAGGGGAATGAAGATGGGAAGAAGAAGAAGAGAAAACATGTTATATGCAGTGGGTGAGAAACCGTTTGAGCCAGTGTGAGATGCAAAACCAAAGGCATCCAGCGCGACGCGTCGAGTCTCGCCTTGGACGTGTCATCATATTCATTCGGGATATACAAATTGTGTTGAAAAAGGAGGGCTTTATGGTAGAAAGAGGGCAGACATAGCACATGAAGATACGAACTCTGTGACTCGTCATGATCTCTATATGAATACGTTGAAGAAGGGAATAAAAACGAAAGCCTTTGTGTGGGGTATATCATGAAGGCTGAACTAATGCAAGTAGGGTGCGTTATCATAATCGGAACTGTATAAAGAAAAGTGTAAAAGAAAGAATAAAAACCGTATAGAGACTTTGAGGAAGATGATAAGGGGAACGACACGAATCAGTCGACAGTAGAGTTAATTCACATGTCAAAGGGCCGCCCTTATCATCCTTTCTTCGTTTTTGTTTGGTATGGTACAGGGCGTGGCGAGATTGCAGGTTGAGTAGAGGTGTGTCGGAGAAGGAGGCAAGGGAGCGGGGCGAGGCTATAACCTCATCTCCCTCAAGATAGTCTTGGCAAGCATCTGGTACTGCCACCCATCACCCCCGACCCTCCTGAATTGTATACCATGGAGCGGCAGTACCGGCACCTAATTTATCCATCAGCACACATCCAATGACGATTCAAGCGTTGAAAAGGAAAAGAGAAGAACTGACCTTGACAACAAAGATCTCAAACCTCACTATCAAACTGCTCCCCGCCCCACCACCTTGCGCCAAAGCCCAGGCATCCACCTCATCTTCATCCCCTCCTCCGCTGTTCACTGTATGCCTCCTCCCACCACCCGTTGGCGCCGACAGGTGCGTCCCTTCCCCGCCTGAAGGCGTAGCCGAGACGGTGCCAGATGAACTGCCTGTTACGACCCTATGCGGCGCAGGCGAGTTGCCCCGGCTATTGGCAGTCGAGCTCGCCCCACCATTAAGCTGCCCCTTACTCGCCTTCTTCCTCAAACTCGGCTTCCGTCTCGCCCCTCCCACGCCCCCAACCTCAGACGGCACATTCGACAAACTCGTACTCGCCTCATCCCCATTCACCACACTCGCCAAATCAATACTCGGCACATGCACACACTCAAACCCGCCCTTGATCGGCCTGTGCTTGATCCCAAGCCTGTCCACCACAGCTTTGATATCACGCATGAGCACGGGCGCGGATTTGGTGGATGTTGTGGAGACGGAGAAGATGCCTTTGAGGTAGGACGGGCGCGCGACGTCGTGTGGTTCGTCGGTGGTGTATGTTTCCGAGGGGGCGCGGTGGTCGGATGGGGGGTGCGGTGGGGCGGGGGAAGGGGAAGGGGAAGGGGACAATTGCGTTGGTCTGAATTCGTCCGCCTCTGCCGGCGTCGGCGCATCCAACCACGCCGGTCCAGCTCCAGCTCCAGCAGGGGTAGCAGGCGGCGCCGTCCCCTCTCTCTGACTCGACCTCCTCGCAATCGACCCCCCAGCCCTCCCAGCATTATTCGAAAAGCTGCCCGCCGACACCCGCCTCTCATGCTTCTTCTCATGCACTGTCGTAGCCCGGCGATGCTCTGTAATCGGCATAGACGGCGACGGCGACATGCCTTCCCTCTTGCCCGAGATCGACCGTCCAGGCAGGATGGAGCCTGCACTGGGCGGCCGCGAGCCTTTGCCGAGCATGCTAAACCTCTTTGTCAAACCCATCTCTTCCCTCTGCATTCCCCCGCCCCCGCCCCCACCCCCGCCTTCAGCCACATTCCCGCTCGGTAACGGCGGCTGACTCAAAGAAGGCTGACGGCGATGCGCCCCAGAAGGGAATTCATCAATCTGCGACTGCGGCCCGTCCGCCGAGGGATGCGCCATAAGCGGCGTCGGACTCGTAGGGATATAATCCGACCTCGGCCTCGGGAGCGCGTCGTGCCCGCCGCCCATGATATGGGTCGAAGCCGGCGCTTGGAGATGCGGCACCTGCGCGCCATACCCCTGCGAAGCATTGAACGCCTCCAGCGAAAGCTGGGACGACGCGAAATGGCCAGGGCCATACACTTTTTCCCTCTCCATCTTTTCTCGCGCCAAAAAGTAGATTGAAATCAGGGGGTCGTAGCCCCGCGTCGGGTCGACGACGCGCTCTTTGAAGACCACCTCGTCCACCTTCTTGTCTTCTCTAAAGAGACGCTTCTTAAAGTCGAACCCGCTGAAGCGTTTCTTCTTGGGCGAGTCCATCGGTTCTGGCGAGTTGAAACTCGGATTAGACCCGCCCGCTCCTCGGCGCTTCTCCCGACTCGCTTCAAACGTCGACACACAGTTCAAATACTCTTCCGACGTGAGCACCTGGTACAGATCCGCATAAATCGTCTGCGCAGTCCCAAACGTAAACCCCTCCATCGCATTGATCACACTCGGATCGAGCTCGTCCGCCCTCAGCGGTTCGCGCCGGATCAAGAATGAATCCGGCGGCCCGTCAAACCCTTTCGTCATGAACGGGTGGTTGAGGACTTCGGTCAATGTCGCCCGTTCGAGGGGGTTGGTGACGAGCATTCGGCTGAGGAGGGATTTGACTTCGGCGCTGAGCCAGGAGGGGTACTCGACATAGCCGCGCTTGATCTTGGCGTGCAGGGCAGGCATGGATTGGTCGTCAAAGGGGACTTTGCCGCATACGAGTACGTAGATAACGATACCGAAGGACCAAACATCGACCTCTGGTCCCGTATACGCCTTGGCATTGAGCAGCTCTGGCGCAGCAAAGTACAAAGACCCGCAGAATGTCGAGAGATGACGATTCGGAGCGTAGAGGTTGGACAGCCCAAAGTCGATGAGCTTGATATTGCCATTCTTGGAAATCAAGATGTTTTCAATCTTGAGATCCCGATGCACGATTGAGTTTTGATGGCAATAATCCAATGCCGAGCCAATCTGCCTCGCAAACTTGCGCGCCGCCCTCTCCCTCAGCCGTCCATGCGAGATGATATAGTCCAGCATCTGCCCGCCGTCGATAAACTCGAATACCATATAATGGTGGTTGGTGTGCATGATGAATTCGCGCATGCCGCAAATATAGGGGTGGTGCAGAAGGAGCGAGATGTGGGCTTCACGGATGGTGCGGATCTCTTTCGACTCGTCTTTCAGACGTTGTTTCTCGGCTTCTTCCGGTGTTTTGGGCTCTTCGCGACGGGTGGCTTCGGTATATCTTGGGATGATCTTGACCGCACACTAGAGCAGATATCAGCACTGCTTTCCATGATACAAAGGGGACTGACCTTTTCACGCGTGAGCACGTTGGTAGCCAGCTTGACTTTGCCCATACTCCCCGCTCCGAGCGTCTTTTGCAACTGCCAATCCCCCACCACCCTTGTCCTGCTTCTCGATTTCGTCGCCGCCGGCGACGCCGTTCCATTCCCATTACTACTCGTCCCATTCGTCTTCTGTGCGCGCATACTCCGGTCCACAACTGCCGCCGCCTCTTCATTTATCGTAGGCTCTTGCGGAGCGGACGAAGCCATAGCGACGGGCGTTGCTTGCGGCGGCACAAGGGGTGAGCTGTGGGGTAATGATGCCTGCCTCACCGTCGGTTCTGTCGCAGACCGATGAGGAGATGCTGACGCCTCTCTGCTATTCCTGGGGCATTAGCACCAGTTTGACACACTCCCCTCAAAAGCGTCCAAGCTTCCAAACTCACCTCCGACTGTTCCCCCTGCCTCCCACATAATCCCACTGCGCGCCAGTGTCCACCATGCCCATATACGTCGGTGTGGGCACGCCGCCTGAAAAGTGTCGGTCCTGGGCGGCTTGGAGGTGTTGCGGGGCAGGATTGAATGAGGTCATGGAATGATCGTGATGGGATTCGCTGCGGGGGGTGTGGGTGAGGGGGACGGCGCTGGGGCCGTGGGCGGTGGGTGTTGCTCGCCGGGCGGGGTGGGGCAAGCGGGATGGGGTGGGGAGGGGGTGTGGATGGGACCAAAACAGCGGAAGAATGGATGGATCTACCAGGAAATATGACGCGGGAGACGCGGTTTTGCAGGCTAGCGGACGTTGCCGAGGCGGTGCTCCAGCCTGTTCGGGGGGTGCTCGGGGTGGGGTGGGATACAGGGATGCTGGAGGAGGGGGGATGTTGAGAATGGGGAGACCAACGGAGGGTGCAAGAGGTCACAGTGCCAGCGCGAGACCAAACAGTCAAGTCGGCGATTCCCATCTGAACCCGCCGAGTGTGGCATTCTCCATCTCTCCATTACATCTCTATGCATGGTCTCGACGCCGGCCAAGGGAGCCTGGGACGCGTCTCGCTATACGACGCTCCCCTGGTATGGACAGGTATGCAAGGATGGACACGATGAGTGGTACGAGGCGGAGATTTAGCTGGCGCTTGTCTTGTATCCTCCCCTTCTCGTCCAGGGACGTGTCTGTACGGAAGGACATGAGGTGGAGAGCAAGACAGGGCAAAGGGTTTGATGTGGCTGCGTCAAAAGCGAGTCCAGATAAGCGCTGCGAGGCTGTCCAGGGCGAGCTGAACAATAGGGAGGCTGCTGATGGCTGAGGGACAGTGTGTGGACGGAACGGGTGGACATCAGCTCAGCCAATAATTGTCTTCAAAATCAAACTCCATTGCTTCTTACACCGACCGCAATGCACGCCCTATTCCAAGCCAAATGAATAGAAGAAGACCCGAACCAACCTTTCATCTGACCTCAAAATCAACCTGAAAGGGACAAAGAAACACCACGAACAGTCTTGCCTACCTCAACGTGTTTGACTACCGACCACCCTTTCTAGCCCCTCTGGCTTCAAAACACGCTCTCACCGGCCGAAACTATCTTGAGAAATCTTACAAGTACAATACATTAGGTGACGGTGCAAGCTATGGCCATGCCCACATTCCGAGACGTCAAAAGGCGAAAGAGATGAAATCAAGGTATCCTCACAGCAACCCCCCGCCACCCCCATACTCCCTCCTCCCAACCTCCCAACCTCCATCCCCGCCCTCTCCCCCCTCTCCCCCCTCCCCACTCATCCCCCTAACCCCCCTCCCCTCCCAAACCTCACCAACCTCCCTAACGCACCAACGCATCCTCCACCGCGCCCTTCAAGACTTCCACCGCTCATCCAACCCTTCCCACTGGGGTCTCTACCGCCACGGCCTCCGTATCCACGTCCCCGAGAAAGAAGAAGAAGGGTGGGGGATGTGGGTTCTGAGGATTTTTGGGGCTGGCGAGGCTATGGTGCTGGGTTTTGATGGGCCTCCAGGTGCTGGGGTGGGGTATATCAGGGCTGGAGTGGGCGGTGGGATGGGGGTGCCGTTCGGTATGTAAACAGGTGGGTGGGCAGTCCTGACTGGGCGTAGATAGGTCGCGACCGGGCACATATGTATAGTTGAAAATGCTGCCTACTTCCAGGGATACTAGTGCATGTATGCATAGATGGTCATGACAAAACGGAAGAGACAAGTCGATGCAAGAGGTTGCCAGGATTATACTACAGTAGGATCGACCACAAGATTACAGATCTCCCATCCTTCCACGCCTAACCGTCCTTCTCCCTTCTTCCTCTCTTCCCCATTCCCACGATCTTCTCCATCTCCATCTCTTTCGTCGTGAGGACTCTCGAAAGGCTTCTGTTTCCGCTTATGCCTCCGAGGTGGCGCAGGCGAGGTATCCTCATTTGTATTCTGCAGATCCTCCATCCTCATTATCTCTACCCCAACCCTTACACCCCCTGCCCCTCCTCCTCCTCCCCCATCTTTCAAACCCACGACATCCCTCAAAGCCCGCCCCACAACCCACTCAACATAAACAACCCCCACCCCCTCCCCTACCTCCTCCACATCAACTCCTTCTGCCGAGGGGCGGATCAGCCCCGGGTCGCTCTGGGGGTTGTGGTAGATCCCTTCGTATTCTTCTTTCCATTCTACCCCTTGCTCAGGGTTGGTCGGGTCCAGTGGCGGGAGGGGAAGGCCGGTGATGATGAGGCCTTGCGCACCGTGGGCTTTGGCGTATTTCGCTTTTTCGGCAAAAGGGCAGGATCCTCGGGAGATGGCCATCACAAAGCCGTCTTCCGGGAGGTCTTGTATCTTCCCGGCAGGAGACAGGTCGCAGCCCGAAACACCATCAGGCAAGACGAACAGTGTCAAAGGCGCAGCCCCAAACCCCCACCCTTCCCCCACCTCCCCTTCCCGCCCAGACTCTTCTTGCAGCGAAAAGTCTTTCCCAAATATCGCCGTCGCCGCCAGAGCGTGCAAAAACACTTCCCCATCCCCATGGTCTGATGAGTCGGGTTTGTATTTCCGGAACCGCAGGATCACATCCGTAATCCCATGTGACACTTGGCCAGCACCGGCGGGGAGGGGATCGGGTTCGATATCAGCGAGGAGCTGGGGGATCATACTGGGGTCGGTTATTGTTATTTGCTGACCTGGGCGGACTCTATGATGGTCGACTGTGAAGCCACATCAGCCCCGATCCTAGAAGATGAGAGGTAAAAGTTGACATACTGTTGGAGACGTCATACCCCTTGCCATCGAATCGCCATCGGACACCCAGTTTCAGACCTTGGACGTCTCGGATCACATAATCGCCTGTTGTGGTATTCTGCACGACCTTGCTGCTGCTTGGTGAGGCGCTTTTCGTGCCCTTCTTTTTAGTCTTCTTCGGCTTGACTGCCGAGGTAGACTCTGGAGCGTCGGTATTATTGGTCAGAGACAAGTCGAATGCCTGTCCGATTCATCAGCTTCCAAATTCCCACCCACAAATAAGGAGACGAACGAATCTCGGCACTTCCTCAACCCTACAGATACCCCCCTCATACCACCCCTCCCCTCTCCACCTCCCCACCCCCTTCCCATTCCCCTTCCCCTGCTTCTTCCCAAAAACCTTCCTCCCCTCCTTGGCCTCCCAATTCAACCCCTCCTCTCCCCACCCAAACACCAATCCCCGGGCATATTCATACTCTGACGAGTCTTCGATACCCACCCTCAGCCCGAGCTGTTTGGGGTCCGTACCGACTGAAGGGGTTGGTTTGTCTTCTCCTCCACCGCTAGAGCCGGGGGGAGAGGAGGGAGAGTGGCTGCTGGTGAATGCGATAGGGGGGTGATATACCGGGCAGAAGAGTTGTTCGCCCCGGTGTGAGGCTTTGCGGGATTGGCTCCGCGGTTGGAGCAGGTCGGGCGGCATGTACAACGGATGGCCTTCGGTCGTGTATACCCGGTTCTTGTTTTCGAACGGTGTATCCGAAAAGAGCAAGTACAGATACTGCCCACACCCATCAGTCATAGTCGTATGGTTTGGGGGGGAGACGCACTTTGAGAGTTTCGGAAAGCATAAAGCTCTCCATGCGATCTTCCATCTCCCCTGTAAGGATATTCTTGATCGTCGCAAATCCACACGTAGTCTTTGTCTTTCTCGTCAGATCTTGCAGTACCCTCTGTCCTACTTTGAGGTACATCGGGTCTCTCGTCGCCTTCCCCAGCGTCAGCTCAAGTATCAAGAAGACAAAAAGAAAAAACCAACCTGATATAAATAATAAGTACTCTCCACAAACTCTGGCCTCCCCGGCCACCCAGCCCACTCCACCCGCCTCCCTACCCAATCCCAGCTCTCCGGCAAAGCCCCATGCTTCCGCCAGATCATCCACCACACCAAATGCGCGCGGATGGCGGACGAGAGGTCGCCTGCTAGGACTTGGACAGCGGGGAGGAAGGCGGAGAGAGAGTCGATCGTGGAGACTGTTGGTGGTTGGAGGAGGGTTAGGTGGAGCGGTCGGTACTGATCAGAGATTAAGTCAGGGCAAGATATCGAAGAAGGGGAGAGGGGCGTACGATGAAGCCGTCAGAGGTGCGGACGTGTGTCTGAATAGCAGCATAAGAGTCGTAAAAGATGTCGCTATAAGCATCATCATCTGTCTCTCCATCAGCACGGCTTCCAGGCAAGTGAATAAGGCGCACCGAGCATGATACCAGCCTTGATACCATATTCGTAATAACTATCCATCCCCGCCCCGACTCCACTGAGGCCTGGCTGGAGCCATTGCCCGAGAGTGGCGGTGATACCGTTCCCGAGCAGGTTGTGGTCAGACCGGCGATTCCAGAGAGAAGTGTATGCTTTGTATGCGTGTTTCTACAGGTACAGCGTGGGCGTATGACAAGAGAAGATTGAGAGAACGTACTTCATAACGATCATCACCCGTCAACCTCGACAACAATGCAAACTCCAATATCAAACTCCCCGCACCTGCCGTACCTTCCCCCAAATCAGCGACCATCCCTCCCGTAAAAGAGATACTTACAAGTCTCTGCCCCCTCCCTCGACTCTACCCCATGCCTCAAATTTACCCTCGCATAAGGCAGCCCCGCCCCCGTCTTGAACGCCGGCAACATCCTCTTCCCCAAATCCTCCGCCAACTCCAACATCCTCCCCTTATACCGCTTCACATCCACCTCATCCACCGCCTCTTCCTCCACCACACCCCACCACCCCGCTTTCGACCTCGGTTTGTCGAGCCCGAGGATCCGCGCTTGTTCTTCCATACTGTCCGGCAGGTTATCGAGGTACTGGTACATCGACAACAAACCCCCAAGGGCGCGGATGGTCATCTCAAATACTTGCACCTTGACGTCTTGGTCAAAGCTGACTTGGGTTGCGACCTTTTCCAGGGCGTCGGGCAGTGCTGTGGGGTGGAGGAGAGGGATGGTGGAGAGGACGTCGAGGAGGGTGAGGGAGATGTTGGCGTGGAGGTCGTTGATGCCGTAGTCTGCTGCGTTTGGTGATCGGCGAAGAGGCGCGCATGATAGAGGTCGTAGTTCATCCTATCTGGGGGTTAGTTTTCAGACAACAACATGGGAGAAGGAGATCATACAGCGGGATAGGCGTATTTCATATATCCCTCATAGCCATGTTTGAACAGCTAGTCTTTGAGTCAGCCTCCATCCGTAGTAAGCTGGGATATGGATAGAGACTTACAGAAGCAGTCTCATCCCTCAGCTTCAGTCTTTGAGCATCCGACATGGCTGATGCGCTCGGTAACAGAAGATACCAGATGGCGATCAGCCAGAGCCATGTAGGGGCGAGGGGCCGCATCGCTGTGCTCCAGAAAGGGTCGCAGAGGGGGGAGAAGGGAACTGGAAGAGAAGGAGGAAGTTTATCGAATTCTAGGCGTCAAGAAGAGGTGTTGATGATGACTTGAAGGATGAAATTCGTTGGCGGGCGGCTTGCCGAGGGTCGCGTGGAAGCTGCCGCCGGCGAACGCACAAGTTGTAAACAAGGACAGCGGGGCAGAACGAGAATATGCATGTGTACATTATGAACCAAGCTAGATGGATTATTGCGGTATGGATGCCTAGAGAAGAGCAAAATAACAGGAAAATGCGGGTGTTTGAAACAGAAAAGAGTTTGTGGATTATAGAAATGAGTACAGGGTGTATGAGCCGGAGAGGTATATGGACGGCCTCTGGGGAAGACGAGGGTACTGTAGATGTTCTAAGCATTCTAGACAAGAAGCAACCCTCCCAACAATCCCACCACCCCCAACCCAAGACCCAAGAGACCTTCCTCAGGGAACAACGACCTCCTCGCCCCCGAACTGCTCCCCGAACTCGCCGCGCTCGTAGCCGCACTACTCGTCGCTGCCGACCCTCCAGACGTCGTTGAGACCGCCAAACTCGAGCTCGACCCGCTGGATGAAGAAGAAGAAGAAGTGGAGGACGAATTGGCAGTGGCGGAGGAGCCGTTGGAAGTCGTGAGAGGTGCGAGGGTGGAGGTGTTCACCGAGGCGGGGTAGGTGATGGTAGCGCTAGGCAGCGTCACGGGGGATGTAGACGCGAGTGCGCATTGGGAGATGAAGGTATCGAGAATCTCTTGGTATGACGCCCGGGTCGTCTCGGCGGGCGACAGTCCCAGAGCACATTCCAAGCAATCCTTGTACGCCGCCTCAACCGAGTCTGTACAGAGACAGGTAGTGTTCAGAGAAGTTCCCACGCCGCATGTCTACACGACCGATGGATCAGCACCCCGGCGCCAAGAGCGAGGCAAAAGGATGGAGAAGAACGTACAGAGAGGCTGGTGGAGATGTTGTTGCACTGACTCCCACAGCTATCCGGGAATCCGGCCACTGCGCTCGCGCTGGAGGCTGCACTAGAACCGCTGCCGGTCGAAGAAGCAGAAGAGGAAGCGTTGTTGGTGAGAGCGCTGGTAATCGAAGCGAGGGCCGTGGAGTCTGCGCCGCCGGACGTATTCGAGTCGGAGGCAGATTCAGAGGCCGGGGATGTTTGGATAGTGAAGTCCGATGCTGTAGAGGACTGGGAGAAGGCTAGAAAGATGCGTCAGAAGATGGATGGTTGAGAGGGAAGCGAAAGACATACCCGAACCGGCGAGGGAGAGGGCTACAAAGAGCGCAGAGACAGAGACCATCCTGACTGCTTCCTGTCAAGACCTGGTAGAAGGGGCGAGGTTGAGAGTATTGGTAAAGTCGTGGAAGAGACGGGATGCAAAAAGCTGTGGATGTGGTTGACCCTTTGGATCTCGTGTTGTGACCTGCTGTCGCCGCAGGGTCCGCTGATCTCGTGCACCGCTGTGCTGCTTTAGGCTTCAGAGTTTGTCGTTCGGCGCTGCGGCTGTCGGGGCTGTGGGGATGCGGTGGCGGGGGCAAGGGAGTATAGGCGCGTAGAGAGATGCTGGAATGAAAGAGGAGATGATTTTTCCAGGAGAGGCACTTGAAAGACGCGCTCGGCCCAATCCGGCACAGCGCACATGTTCTCTTGCATCTGATCCGGCTCTATACCGCCTCACCAGTCAAGTCACACCACGCTTTGAACCATACCCGTAGCGAAATGGCAGTAGTAGCCTTTGAGAAAGCAATGAATTCACATACCGTGCATGCATGGAAGAATCGCATCCCAGCAACTCCCGGCATCAAATATCATCCTCTTCGTCCTCCACGCAATACCATGTTGGCTCATGTATCCTCATTTTCTTCCCGACCCATTGGACCCCCGGCCATTCTCTCGCCTCCTGAGACGCAGCATTATGATTAGAACAAGCTCACCACTCAGACTTGCATGAGCTTCGCTGCCCCCAAAAGTTGTGAAGGTGTGATTGAATCCTAGTCAGCCAACTTCAAGTGCGAGTACCCATTCCTGTATCTGTTGACAAGTTTGGCGTAGTTGATGGAGTCGAGTCCCCCCGGTTGGACGTTGATGAGCATGATTGAAATCCGCAACGCGTCCTTCAACCTGAAAACGAATGCACTTGACTCTTGAAGGCCAGGGGGATGGGCTTGCGTCAAGTCTTTCGCATCATTCCTTCAATCGTCTCAGGCCAAGCACATGCAGGTTCACCATCTTGTGCATGAGAAATATTCCAGAGGCATTCTGCGGGCCCTCAGCCCCTTCCTCCCGCAACCCCAGGTCTCAGATCGGTCGTGGAGCTGGCGTCCTCGAACTCCCCATCGAGCATACAGCATGGTATTCGTACTTTGTCCTTCCCACAGCGCGGACCTCAGACCCAAACCCTCCCCCTCGATCCTCATCCATCTCTTCCGCTCATCGCCCCTCACCACCATCGCCATCTTTATCCCCTCGCTCAACGCCGCTTTACGCGTGCCTCGTCTAAGGGCGCCCATCTCCGTTCCGAGTGGTGCCGACTCCGGGTGGCTGCCCGTCTAGGACCTTTCCTGCATCTTTTCTTCTTGACGTTTCTGATGCTGCGCAGCGGAGAGTCTATCTTTGTACGCTGCAGTGCTGGCGCTGCACGCGTAAGCATATCAGGGGCGACTGCTGAATGTTGATATGATTTCATTTCTTGTTATTGAGCGATAACGATTCAAACGAGAGCAGTGCCTCCAGATCTGATCTGGCGCCACGTCCATGATCACTTCATCCAAGCAATCTCCATGCAATGACTCCACAGCTGTCTCATACATTTCTCATTACGGTCGGATATTGGTGCACCCGACTTGCCTAGCGCTCACAGCTTGCTGCAGCTGCAAGACCCCCTCGATGCTGGGCGGGCGCTCCAGTGCGGGGTATACGCGGGTTTGCGGGAGCGGGTTGTCGGTTGTACACCACAGGCCAGTCACCAGAGTCACCTCCCCATGCAAAGAGTACATACCCATGTCTCATCTCCCGTGCCCAGGGCCTTGCCATCGTGCCACCGTACCCCACCACACCTCCTCACCCTCGCCCTCGCCCTCGCCCTTCTATGTTCTACCATCTAGTCCCCTTTGCCAGTTCCCAGTTCCCAGTTACCAATAAGCAACAAAAAGAAAAAAAAGAAAAAAAAAAACATGAGACAGAAGACGAAGTGCAAAGAAGGAAAGAAGGGAGAAAAGGGAGAAGAGAGGGTTGAGTGAGAAACGAGCCTAAAAGTGATCGAGATTCAGGACCTGTCTTGCATCTTGCATCATCCTCTTCAGTTCCTCACCCTCGGCCCCCGTCCCCCTCGTCGATTTGTTATCCTCGTCGGTCCCAGGCCCAGGGGAAACTTCGGATGACCGCAGTTGTCTGGCCTGACTGACACTAGCTTCGTCCTGCGACCAGCTTGTTTTTGAGAGCGCTCGCATCATTGTCGTATGCCCTGCTCTTCTCACTCCTCCAGTTCCTACACTGGCAGCTGCACAATGTTCTTCGGCCCTGAACAGATCGTCCACTTAATTGACAAAGTCATCCAACAAGTAGCAATAATAGGCATGTCATAGATCATCATTGAACACCCGACGACTAGGCCGCACTGTAAACCCAACGCGTCACGAGACGAGACACATGTTGACACATTCCCAAAGTCTCTTTTAGATAAGACAGTCCAATTGCGAGTGGATCCGACGAGTACGTACTGTATAACACATTTCATTTGCAGTCCAGTATCTTGCCGACACTGGAAGGCGGCGAGCGTAGCGCTGGAGCGCCGTCATTCAACCTCGATCAATTCGATCACCCTCCACAAACCTCTTCTTCCAGTAGCACCGTTCATGCACCTCCGGGAAGTCTAGTGACAGCTATACCGAGTGGGCAGCCGAAAAGGTCCAAGACAGAAAAGAGACGGCCCGCCGAGGCGTTCGGGCGTCCGGCAGTAGACGGTGGTGGAGTGTCTGTGGCAAAGACGAACGCGGTGCAGAGGTTGGTGACGTGCTTGAATGCATGAGTGACGACTTTGTTCTCGAGATGAGCAGAATGACAAGTTGCATACGCAGAATTCCCTTCTGCAATATGGAAAGATAGAGATGAATGACCCCGACGACGATATGATAAGAGAAAAAGAGGGGGAAAGTGATATGGCTAGGCTACACAGGATTCTCAAAACGAGATATAAAAGGAGAGAGAAGATAGTTGAGAGAAAGGGGAATACGGACGAGAGACACTTTCGATAGCTATCACGAGGAAAAGAACAGGAAAGAGCGATGGAACAATGCCCGAGCTGCTGTTATACCACATTTTGTTTGTTGAAAACCCAAAAGATAAAAGAAGGAATCGATGAAGTGTTATGCACAGAGGGGTAGAAAGACAGCAGAGAAATAGACGGCCACACAGTTGATACAACAAGAGCAAACACCAAAAAAACCTCGACACGTACAGCCCTACACCTACGCCATGGTCCCGGCGCCCTGCCTCCACTCCTCATGCTGCTGATGTATCGGCACCCCATACTCTGGACTAGGCGTCCCAGCCCCAACACCCATCCCTTCCCACCCAGGCGCATGCGGCACATTCCCCTGACTCTGATGAGACCACTCCCTCTGCAACTCTTGCCCTCCCCCGCTGCTGCCGTGCGGATGATGATGAGGCGGCGCATGGTGCGGGTGGTGGTGCAGAGGCGGAAGGGCGGGGGGCGCATCGGACGAGCCCGAACCGCCTGAACCGGATGAAGAAGGTGGGTTGAGGTGATGCCCGTGTCCGGGAGGAGGCGGCCCCAGAGGCGGGGGCGCAGCGTACTCTTGCCTTGTCGGTATCAGTCTCGACGTCTGTCCCTGCCCTCCTTGCTGGCTAGCGTGGATCTGCCAAGGCGCATAACCCGAATACGTGGGCGACGCCATCTGTTCCATATGATGTCCCTCTGGTGGGGGGTAGAAGGACGAAAAGGTGCTCGGTGCAGTGTTGGGCGTGTGATAGTATGGGCTAGGGGTGGGTTTGATATCGTATGAGGCGTCGGGAGAGTACGGCGAGTTTTGGCTGCCGTCAGACGTGCGGCGCGCGTGCACTTGGTACCCCACCGAAGACCCACTGGAATTCCTGTTCCCAGGCCCATACGGCGTATACCGTCGACTCGCCCCGCTCCCAGGCCTGATCGCACTCCCCGTACTTGTCACGCTGCTCCCACTGTTCTGCCTGACAAGAGGCGGGGCGTAGCCCATCCCATTGACCGGACTCTCACTGTAGAACGTGCCCGAACCGGCAGAAGAGGGGCCCATGTAGGACGAGCCCTGCACCGAGTGCGCGGGGGAGGGAAGGGGTACGAGCATGGGTACGTTGATAGGGCGGGAGCGGGGAGAGGACATGCGGTGGAGCTGTTGATGCTGGGGGAGATAGGCGTTGACGGGGTCGTAGTAGTCCGCACCGGCGGCAGGAGGTTGTTGTTGGTAAGCCGGGAAAGAGTAATTGGTGGCGGGGGTATGGGGCGAAGTAGGTTCCTCGGGTTCGCCTCTGTGATCCTGTCAGCTTTGATCTCAAGAAAAGGGGGGTTACGCACCTGTAGCGAGGGATACCGTCCTGCCCGACTTCGACCTGCGGCGGGAACCTGAAATTTTGCTTCTGCAAGTACTCGGCACTGATCTCGAGCGACGCCAGCTCTGGAATAGACGACGGTGTTCTGAGCTTGCCGTTGATGACATCGTCGATCGCATAGTAGGACACCACATGCTGGGCGAACCCATTGACAGATACCGACATGGTCTACTTTTCCATCAGCTGTAGTCCCGGGAAAACGTGTGTGACAATGAGACTGACCTTCTTGACCAGACCACCCTCTTTGAACTTGTAGCTATTCGTCAAGCTCCCGACGAGCTGCCTCTCCTTCTGCCTATCCATATTCCCACCACCTTCACTCGAGCTTCTCGGGCGGGCGAGGGCACCTTGGCCGAGGGGCGATGGTTCCCCGTTGGCTTCGGCGATGGAAGTGTTGATGTGCGGGAGGACAGCCTGGGCTTCAAATTTGTGCGGGGTGGCAGATGACGATGTAGGCCGGACGAGGGTGTTGGAGTTGGACGGAGGCGAAGTCTGGGTGGGCGAGTTGGATGCTTTGGAGGACAATCTTTTGTCCGTTTCTCTATACACCTATAGCCCATGTCAGCCTCTGCTCTTTCCAGGCAAAAGTCTCCGATATGACCCGGTGCCGGCCTTGACGTTGCGGAGAGACTGAGAATGAAAGACTTACCAAAAAGTTGCCCAAGATCCTACTCGGGCTCCAGACAAGCCCATCCGTCCACCGTTTGATCCCACTCTCATGCTCGTCAAATACAAAGACCGCTCCGCTCTGCACCATCCCCCGCTCGCGCTCTATCAAGCGCCTGGTCACGCGGGGAATCATCCCGCGGCGGGCGGCTTCGAATACGAGCAGGGCGTCGAAGGTGGATTCGATGTAGCCTCGGAAGGGCGGGTCGAGGTTGCATGGCGGGCTCGGGGGGGAGGACATTGGTGGCGAGGGCATGGTGGGTGGGAAGGCGAGAGGTGGTGGAGGGTGGAGGTTTGTAAACACAAAAAGGCAAAAGGGGGCTAGATGCGGGGACTATTCGCGGGCGGGCTGGTCAGTTGGGCGAATTGGGGGGAGAAGAGGAGGCTATAGGGCGCGGGGGGCAAGGCGTGTATGTACAGGGGGCAAGACATAGAAGTCGGGAAGGCAGGAGGGTGATATAAGAAGGGGATGACAAGCAAGGAGGAACGCGCAGACGCCCTCGGTGGGAAATAAAGTTGCGATAAAATCCGTCCCTTGCCCTTCTTTGCCCTGCGCAAATATCCAGCCCCTTAACAAGCGAAGGTGACGGGGGCAACGCCATTGCCGAGCCCGGAATCAGGGTCACCACCGTAAAAAAGCCTCATAAGCTTCAGGCTTTTCCGTCCCTTTCAGCTTTTTTGCAAAACCAGCCAGGCCATGATTCCAGTGAATACCCTGGCAGGCCGTCGCCCCACCCCTTTGCGGATACGTATAGGCTACACCCCCGACACAGGGCCAAGGACAACACCTCATCACCACTTTCGTCGCGCTCGCGGCTCTCCCGGTCTAGAGCAGACGTTGGCTCAGCCACCCCCGCATCATCTCGATTACACACCCCGGTAGCCGGCAGTCACCCCCAGACAGAGACAGGAAAGGGAAACAAGAGAATAAGGAGCACGATTCTAGATCAAGTAGAAGCGCTATCTATAGAAGACATTTGGAAGGAACGAGATGAAATATGGTGGCGCAAGACTAGGAGACCGAGATAGTACAGATAAGTGCCGAACTCACGTTATAGGGGTGTTCCTTGACGGCTGAGAAAGTGATCGAGCGTCGGTGACAGGAGGGTCCAATAGGAGGGGATATGGCTGAAAGATGGATGTATGTATCTGCGCGGTTGATGTCAGCTTTCTGCACGAGACTGTTCAGCGTGTAAGACCCGCCTCTTGTTCGCCTTTGTTCTATGACGGCTTCGCCGCGTTCTTTTCCCTGGAACCGGTTCCGTAGTGCAAATGGATAGACTGCAATACAAGCGGTCAGCTCTTCGTTTCTGGAGACAACCATGCCGTAGAGATCAGATCTCTTGTGACGGACGCCGAACGACCTGACAAAAGAACAACCCTGACCAACTCAAAAAAAGTGATTCCAGCAAAACCCTCAACGAAAAAGAATGCCGCTCCAACAGCCTGAAAAACCTCTTTACTCGTCATTCTTCCGCACACCATGCCGAGAGCCCCATAGGGATAGGATCACGTACAAGTACTGCAGGTGGAAAGTTGGACCGGTGACGTTCACCGAAGGCCGAGGGGCGCGACAGGAGAACAGGAAATGCAGGGAACCGGCGACAGGAGAGAATAGAACGAATCCGACAGAAATGACAGATGGCAGAAAAGACAAAGGCAGAGCAGAGTGAGATGGCAGCGTTTTAACTGTTACACCCGGGTGGAGGAGATTGATGGGAGCGCACGCGTAACCTGGGACCTGGGAGGGGGTGCAGGCGGACCCTCGAATGTATTTGCCCGCGCGCAGGAAAAGATAACGACTCAATTCTCCGTCCACGACGCCAGATCCCCATCTCCCAGGCCGTGCACATCCCCGTCGCGCAGCTCGGCACGGCCCACGACAGCAATCAATGTTCCGGCGAGAGGGCGAGGGCGCGAATGTGGAGGCAGGAAGAAGCACAGCGACGGGGCGACACTGGCTGGGCGCGTGACTCCAATTGTCCCCTAGCCCCCAGATCGCAAGGGAGGGGTACGATGGCATGATCCGAGAGCGTAAATCCCCCTCCATCCCCCCCTGGCAAACGCTGGATCGAGACACGGGCAGCAGAGGCACCGCGGGTAACAATGCCCCCCACTCGCTCACAGGTCCTCGTCGTAGCTCGTCGCTCGTAGCGTAACGCAGCATCATGGCACAGAGATCAAGCAACCAAAGGCCCAGGAACGAGGTCCGGGTGACCTCGCCAGCCACGCCTGTGCCACTGGTCATTGCTGAAAGAGGAGAAAGGCAAGGGAGATGGGAAAGACCATAGCGCAGAAAGGGCACGTTCACACACTCAGTGCCTTGCCCATACCCCACTCAGAACCATACCAGGACAGTCCCCCCAAAGGGCAAGTCCCAGGTCCAAGAGCACGTGCTTCACAGCAGCGAATACGCAAGACAACGAGTCACAAAAAGGGAAAGACAATCGGAACAATCGAGCCCACAACACAAAAACCAGCAACAGCAAGAGCCAGAAGGAAGGAAAGGATCGTCGGGGATAAGCGACAAACTCACAAGTGATCAAAGCGGACGTAGATCTGCGGAAGACGGGGTACAATCGAGATGGAGAGAATAAAAAGACGGGCTGGATGAGGTGAGGCAGGGGGTAGGTGGGCGCTGGGGGCGGCTGGTGACGATGGGATGAGGGCGCAGATCACTAGAGAGGGAGAAGCGTTCAGGGATATCGACTGGAGTTACGTAGTAGATTGTGTATCGATTGGCAGACAACGTTGCGTCAGTCAAAATCAATCGACTCGGAGCATAACGGGGTTCTTTCGTACTCACGTTTGATGCAAGTTCTCTCGGATGACCGATGATTGATGCTCGCGCCCAGTCTAGACTAGAGCGGCGGGATTTACACAAACAAGGAGTGAGTGGTGTATAGATGTCGTGGCGTCAAGACGTATGGGGCCTGTTACTAAACAGTGTCAGTTGGAGTCAATACAGTCTGAAAGTCGGTGTTGGAACAAGTTGAACAAGTTGAAAGACAAGAGAACAAGTTAAGGAGAGCAAAGGACCATCGTAGAGTACGATCACATCCTCGAGCTTAAGTATGGTTTCCCGAAGCCAGGATGATCACCGATAGAACCAAAAGAAAACAACCTCCGCCCAGCTCTTCCTTTCCACCCTCATCCCTCCACCTTTGACCGGCAATAAACTGGCTTTTGGCCCCCTTTGCCGATATTGAAGCGGATGGACGGAGGAAAAGTAGGATTGCGGACGCTCCTTTGCGTTGGGGAGCAAGAGGCAGACTAACATACTGAGTCCTTCCAAACATATACCGAACCGAGCCACGAACAAAAGAAGGAGAGGAGAGGGACGAGTTTACAAGGCCAGGGAATGACGGTGGGGGAGAAGGCATATGGGTAAGGAAGGGGATCGGCAGGTCCGCAAGATCGCCAAGGAGGATAAAGGTTGGCGGCAGGATGGCAAGTGCTCGGCATCGTCAAGCGAGTTGAGAGATGGGCACGAGTGGGTGAATGGAAGCCCGCCGTCGGAAAGGGACAGCGCGGAAAGACAACTCTTCATCACACGAGTTCGACAATACTCGAAAGATCCGACGAAAACAAAGCATACGAAACATACGCAAGATGGACAACCCCATGCAAAAGAAGTATTCTTCCCGCACACTGACATAAACCGTCAAACTCTGTTAAGGAAGAAAGTTATGCCAGCATCCGATAAGAGATAACCTCTCGTGAAGGTGAATAAGAAGTTGATGGCTGATGGGAAGGACGAATGACAAACTCAATCGCATGCCGTCCGCGGGGAAAGCGTAATATGCAAAAAGACCGCTCACTGCCGCGCAGGAACCATATAAGCCGCCCATTTTCCCAGCAGCGTTCTGACGCGTCTGGTACAATGCAGGAGCTTGGGAGCAGGTTGATAGATAAGGAGGTGAAAAGGAAGGGACAGTGGGGCAGAGAAGGGGGACGCCGAAGAGAGAGGAAGAGAACGAAGGTCATATCGCGAGGCATTACGTGAAGGGGAACGTACGTACTTGGAAAGACTAAACCTCCTAGTCTTCTTATCTAAGCTCTTCCTCTCGCTTGGGGACGTTGTCGTCTTGGTCGAGAAGAGGTGTGGTTGGGGATGTCGAGGAAGTGGTCGAAATGGACAAGAGATGGGAGATGAAGGCGTCAATCGGACCGGCGAGGATAAGAAGGGTGAAGTGAAAGCCGAGGTGGAGGCAGATTCCCTTCGATGACGACGAAAAAAGGTGACTCTCCTTGGTGACTGCCGGGCGACTTATTTGCAGGGGTGTGTCGCGGGGGTAGACGTAACGTCTGGGAGTCGTATACAGAGTAGTAACAAGAAGGTGAGTTGTCAAGAAGAGATGGAATATATCGAGAGGGGGAAACGCGTATGCGATGGTGGATCACATCACGTGAAGTACAGAACGGGCGATCATCAGCACCCCCAGAGGCCAAGGATGCTCTCGCCGCCGGCCGCTCGTCGGAGGAATCCCACTACGGCCATCACGCTCGCAGCAGCTCTGGATACCAAGACATCGAACGACCCAAATGCTGAGCCCAGTGAAACGTGAAGGCAGCCACCAGATGATCGGCACGATCCCAGGATATCGGAACGCGGATACGTTTGATGAAAATGCAAAGATATTGAGGAAAAGAGGCTCCTGGCCTCAAAGCCTAGATATGAGGAGTAGATCCAAAATGGCTCAATCTGTTTATCATCACGCATTTCTCATATGTGCGAGTAGCCGATCTTTACCGGCTTGACTGAATAACAGGTGCGCCAGCGCTACAAAAAGAACGATCGGATCAGAAATTTCTTCCTATTTTCCTTTCAGGATGCGTAAAACTCAGGATCGTTTGAATTTGAGGAACAAGCTGAAGAAGCCGGGGACCGGGGATTTCCCGTGGCCCCAAAGGGTACGGGATGGAAAACCCGCATTGTTTGTCAAGCTTACAATGCATGAACTGGCACCGGCAGAAGAAGAGGAGAAGGTGAGAAGGTGAGGCCGTCATAGAAAGTTTACGGGACTCGGAGGGGACCTGGCCTGTCGCATTGATCGTACCTCGGTGGTACTCGCTCCACCACCTCATTCCCATGACCACGATACATGATGTTACCCACAGTGAGACCTCGCGCACAGGGCAACACTCATGGTGAGTACATGTGCGGGAAGAAGAGGGTTGAGCGACGCGTTCCGATTGTAAACAAACCACCCAAGCCGAGAGCCGAGAGCCGGGTGGGCTCCACAAGGGCCACAAGCCACCCTTTCGCCACTCCGCGTTGTCCTTGTTTGGTTTCTCGCAATCTTTACCCCGACCCTTGACCCTTGTCATGCTTTTTTTCTGTGGCGATTCATCTATCGTTCCCTCATGTGCCTGAAATCCCTACTTTTTTGTTTTTTGTGAAAGTGTTTCCTCTGGATCTTCAAAATTATTTTTTTCTGCGTCCAGAACTGGAACGATTAAAGTGACTCTACTCAGTGAGGAGATCTCGGATCTCGGATCAGGTATGATGGCCGGTCATTGGCCACTGGCTGTCAGGCGAGTGTGGGCATTGGCATTTGTTGATGGTTCCAATGCGGAGATGATTACACCGTTGCCTGAGCCCTATGAGCCGTAGTCGCAGAGGGGGTTCGTCAACAGAGAGGGCAGGAGCAGGCCGAGAGCGAGATCGAACGATAGAGAGCTGAGAGGTGTTTAACGAAAAGGTAAGAGAGAGCCCTGGTATGATCACCATTTGCTCGTTCAACAAGCTGCTCGCTCTGCGGCTCAACGCTCTAGTCTGGATGTATGATTGTTGGCCGAGCTAGCTGCCACCATGCATTGACGAAGAAAGCGAGTTGATTTCAAAAGAGCAAGGGTATGCAGCTGACAGCTGATCGGGAGCTACTGGTCATTGCTAGTGCTGACTGCTCGGTGCACTACTGGTTCATTCATCTGCCGATGATCTAAGCCCATGGCTTGGGAAAAAAGCATCCGTACGGAATTAAGATGCTACCTGATGTTGAGTTGGGTAAATGGACTCTCGTCTACCCTCAGCTCATTCTTCAGGTGGACCTTATTGAGGAGTCTGGCGTGTCACAGCGCGTTGGACGTCCTTGTTCATGTACAGGCTGTCTCTCTCGTTGAAAGACTTGCAGTTTACTCTCCCGTAAACTTCCATGACGATTTATCTTTATCTGTCAGATTAGACTTATAACTCCTGAGCGACAGCTTTTTGATTGCTGCATGATCGCTGATCATGATCACCAAATGGTGCGCCGGTATTTCCACGTAGTGACGCGACGACGGTGCACACCGGCGGAAATCGGGGGCGCTCCTCCCAGCCAGGTCCCGAGCTGCGTTCAGCAATGACCATCGCCCTGCACATCGCGGCGTATACATACGTGGTACATGGTACACGTCTAACAGGAAAGGTTACGCTATAGAGAGAAAGATCTTTTGCCGTCACCATTGCATGCATCGACCAAGTACAGTTTTGCACGGAACGGAACCTCGGACATTGAAAGAAGGACGCTTTTGCGTCGGGCGATCAAGATGTCTTGTCCGACCCGAAGCTCGAGGCTTGGTTTGATCTTGCTCTCGTAACGTTGTTTGTGATCGTTCTGAGAGATGCCATGGTTTTTGATTGGTGGTGAACGACTATTGATGCAAGAGTCTCCGCACAGGGTAAATGACTCGTCAGCCCACCGTTAGTTTGGGCAGTCTCATCGACTCTTGCACCAGGCCCACCAGGCGTACCAGATGAAAATCGTGTTGATCGAACGTCGCATCACAGATCGATGGCTTTCTTGCCGCACATCATGCCCCTCTTGCTTTCAACGAGCAACATCCAGGGAACAGGTCAAAGACATGGAGCGTAGTAGCAAAAGCAGGCCGACGACACTTTCCGACGGGTGGGTTCGACTCCTCCGAATACCGGATACAAAGCATTCTATGAATTCTATGGCCTATGGTCGCTTGAAGACGGCCTGTTGAATCAAGGTGTATCGTCATCATGTATGCATATGTGTAAGGCCTGGGATGCCGCACGGGAAGCGTCCAAAGCGTGTCACTCTAAAATGATCTCGTCTGCCGGAATCATCTGGACGCCTCAAAGGCAATCGATAAGGCAAGCGTTCCGTAGATCGGGAAATTGAAGGTTTGATCCCGGCTCCTCGTCCCCAGTTCCCAAGCACGTTGGACACGCCACAGCACATGTGATACCTCTTTTCGATTTGCTGTGAGATGAGAGTTTGTTGGAATCTGACGGAATGCTCGAGATCACTGAAAGGTACGAGGTGGCAAGACATGTTCGAGGAAACGAGGTTTATACACTTTGAATGGTTGTCTCGTCATCTTTGCGTCATCTCGTCGATACTTCTTCCATTCCCACAAGCAATATGCAGCGTCCTGCACAGCTTTGTTCTTGTGTTTTCTCGGTTGCATCTCTTCAATCCTGGTCATATCGCTGAGCCTTTGTACACGGTGCAAGGTCTACACGGCCCACAGAGTTCACTGCGCACGGCACACGGCGGGCAAGAAGTATGTAGGCTGCTGCCGCCTACCAGGGTCGAGGTTCGGGCCTTCTTTCGACGATCAATCTGTCATCAATCTGTATGTGCACCTTCGGCATAGATCGGGTGGTGATGGCCTTCGCCGCCCATGCGACAAACGCAGGAGGACTGGAAGCTCATTTGTTGTTTAGGAGATGTCAAAAACAATCACAGCCGGCTTTGTGGAACGGTGAAGCACACGGCTGACGAAGCATCACTGCTGCCCGGAGCCCGTCGTAGTGAGCATGCTGGTTGAGGTATCCGACCTTGACTGTGCTATCGCCATCACCTCTGCCTTTGTTCTATGCAGCTAGCAGATGAAGCATATACCCGTGTCCCAACGGCGCGTTGTTGGACGGTGCTCACTGAAGCACTCTCACTCATTTTTTGCACACCCATTGTGCCTCTTGATCCGAAAGATGGCCGCCGGGTGATTTGCGTTGAAAAGCAAAACACACAGTACTACTTTTCTGTCACAAGAAAGCCTACTAAGGAGGTCTAACAGCAGTCACCCATTCACTTCGCCAGCTGCACATCTGATCTGTTCTCGCTACCAGATTGTCTGGACATCATTCACGAGCCTGTCTCCAAAGGCGACTCGAATGCTTAGATGTACATCCAGCTCGTCCGACTTTTACATCCTGCAGTGACCTCCTCCTTGACACTCGCTCGTCTTGTAGCATCGTCTCTTCTCGCGTCATTTACATCCCCATATCTTCTCGATTTTGCGTCTCAAGTCTCTTCTCGGCCATTCACTCTGACTTGTCATTACTAGTGTGATCTCCTCTTTCATGTCCATAAATGAACTAGGCTGGTGTTATACCCGTGTGTAACCCGACCTTTGGCACATGAGGTGTCAGATAGATACGTCGTCGCGTGAACATGTCTTAGATTACGGTTCATTGATTCGAGCGCATCGAGTCATATAGCAGTGTCCGTTCTTTCGAAGAAATATTCATGCACGCAGTTACCCGATGGTAATACAATGATCAAATGTCACTTGTTCACAACGATAGAGTCGACAATGGCTCGTTGATCGAGGCAGATCTATTACCAGACACTATACGTGAGACCAGTTGTCCCTCTATCAAACATGCCGGGCTCATCGAGAGTTTGTTTACTCTGGTTTCATGATGTATGAGCGTCATGGACTGATAGCTACCAGAAATTCATTACTCGATAACAATCATGATGAGCCAATAATTTTGGACACTTCACGGTCCGGAAGCCCGTGGTATCTGATTTCGTGACAACAGTTCTATCAGTCAGCGCGTCATCTGCCTTATGCAGCTGCAGGCAGCCAAGGACTCTCGTACATGCGTTGAATCAGCAGAGCTGCACAGTCGCCATTTTCTGCGCGATGAAGGTTAGCTGAAAATCGGCCTGGCGATTTGCCTGATCAATGGTAGAAGTTCTGTGAACACCGGCCTTTGGTCGCAACTCCGCGTATCCCTCGAGAAGAGAGTGCGCAGGGCGCAGGCAAAATCGCGGATCTCAGAAGAAGAGACGCATTAGCAAGAGTGCACAGATACTCGAACGATTCTCCAGGATCTCCAGCTTCTCCAGATATCAGCCCAGCCCTGGAGTGCCTCGGAGATAAATTATGTGTAGTGCGTAATATATTTCTCATCGGCTGTCGTGGTATGTCACCAACGACGCTATTGACTGCATTTACATTTGTACTTGTCACCCTTCCCTTTCTTTCCAAGATCCAAGATCCAAAGAATGCAATCCACGGCTCCACGCAGGCTACGGACACCGGAAAATTGGTCCCATGCGCTCCACCTTTTAACCGTACGCCACATTGCAGTCAAAGTCATCTAGAGCAGGGGCCAAAGAGAGCTACATGGGCTTGATTGTGCATACTGCATAGTGTGGTCTGCCAGCATCGGCCGCTTAATCTGTTCTTCTATCTTTGATGGATGCATGCCGCCGAGCCCGCCGAAGAGCTTTAGTCGCACCAGTGGTCCCATGTACAGGCAGCATGCCTAGCTTTCAATACTGCGGTTATCAGAGCCTCAGAGGATCAGAGATGCCGACCATGTCCACCAGGTCTGTTGTTGATTTGCAGATTTCAGCAAGGATCTCTTATAGTCTTACGAGAAGGCCATGTACCTCTTTCATCTGCAATGAATGCGACCTGCACCTGCCCGGCTTATGTCTTGCTCTCTTCTTGTCCTCGTATTTGTAACCCTTGTGGTGCTCAGCAGTGGCTGTCTTCAAGGTTGACAGAACGGGCCCGTCCTTCTCGTCACTCGTGTCCTCACTCTCACTTTAGTTTATACAGTATTCCAATGCCCAGATCATTCGCATCCACATGCAATACCCGTACTCTACTATACATGCATACACCTCCCTCCCCTCCAAGATTATGTCCAACAAACAGAAAAAGTATATAAAGTATAAATATACGATGATACCACACCAGAGCTCTGCTCTACTCTTACTCTTACTCTACAGTTCTTTCAGATAATTACAACAAATGAATCTTCCAGACGGCCCTTTCCCTTGACTCTTCGCAGACCACTGACCACTGACCAGCATTCGGTATCCAGCATCATGCACCGCGCAACCAACACTTAACACCCAGCACCCAGAACCTCAAGACCCAGTCCCTCAAGACCCCAAGACGCCAAGACTCGATCAAGAAGAAGCCGAAGGCACCTCCACAATCCCCGACGCCAGCAAACTATGTCTCACCCCGCTCCTCCTCCTCTCTCCCCTCCCTCCCTTCTCCTTCTCCTTCTCCTTCTCCTTCTCCTTCTCGAGATCCACCCGGTCCTTATCCCGGACTTTATCCCCACCTCTCCGTCCGAGGGAAAGGCTCGCCCGCCGGATGGACGCTGATGCCGACCTTGCTAGGGATGATGCGCGGGGTGGTGACGATTTCGGAGGCGATGGGGAGGGGGAGAGGGAGGCGCGTCTTTGAGTCTTTGTCTGTGTCTGTGACGACGACGAGGAGGACGACGAGGCCGGTTCGGTAGAGGACGATGGATGTGAAGAGGAGGAAGTAAAAGTCGAAGCCAATGTAGGAAACGGAGAAGAAGAAGAAGAAGCAGCTTGCGATGCTCTCGCCGATGTCGGGGGAGGGACGAAATCGCTCGATACCCCACACCCCATCTTCTCTATGGGTGTCTCACCAGAGATGGAGGGGTAGTTTGTGATCCAGATCTCCAACAACCCCACTACTGTGCCATCACCTTCTCCTTCTTCTCCTCCTCCTTCTCGTTCTCCACCAACTTCTCCATCACCTTCTCCATCCCTTCCCCGCCCTTCCACACGCTCACGCATCCCCAAAGGCAGCTTCTTACCCCGCTCAAGACACATCCCCATATCAACCACCTTATCCGGGCCCCCAATGAGCGTCGGGGCGAGCACGATGGCGAGGTTGAGCGCCGACATTTTCGTTGTTGGTTCGTGTTTCGCGAGGGCGTGGAGGAGGGATACGACGGCTGTGAGGAGGAGGGTGTGCGAGGGTGGGAGCTTGTTGAGGAATTGTGGGATGCTTTTGGGTTGTCAGCTCTTTCGCAAGAAGGGAGAGGAGAGGGGACATACTCTGAAGGCAAAGCGACTCGCCTCACATCACCATAAACCTCCCACCCAATCACGGGTCCCGCCAGCTCACTCAAGAATTTGCACAACACTTTAGGCAGCAGCAGTTTGTCTTTTTGCGCGAGGGCGGACCAGGGAAGGTTTGGTTGGGCTTCGAGAGGGAGGGCGAGGAGGGATTGGAGTGGGGCCATGTACGGGGACTGTTCTCTTGTCAGCATTGGTTTCAAGCAAAGAAAGAAGGAGAAGGGAGAAGACTTGCGTTGGACGACCGCCGAAAGATACCTTCAGTCCCCGTACACTCTTCCAAAATGGCCTTACTAACCCTCACCACCATAGGCGGCACCTTGCCCCCGCACTCATCTACCAACCCCCTCAAATCCCGCTTCCAATACCCATCCACCACCGCTTCTCCCACCCTGCTACTATTTGCTGAATGCGTCGGGGAGGGCAGGCGGGAGAGGCCGATGTAGGAAGCCGCGGAGGAGAAGGTGGATGAGATGGAAGACAAGTAGGAGTCGCTGCCTTCTTTACCGTACTTGGATTTGTTGCTATCCCGGCTAGAGATGCGCTGGACATCCAAGAGCTCGGGCCCGCATTCGAGAAGCTCGGGGTGGTCCCGCAAAGCGCGGCCTTCGGACTCCAAGACGGCGAGGGAGAGGTCGATGCCGGTGAGCGGGACGTCATGGGTGTAGTATAATGCTAGGAGGGAGGGGAGGGGGTGGAGTTTGGAATACGATTTGGGAGAGAGGAGGGGGAGGATGAATGGGAGCAGGGCTGGGGTGCGTCAGTTGTGAGTCACCAGGAGGGAGACGATTAGACGAAGGACGTACAGCGGGTGAACAATGACGGGTGGACGATGTACTATGGATGATGATGCGTTAGGCCTGGAATTTAATAGTACGACGCTTGTTGATGACTACTTACGAAACGCTTCAAGTTTTTCCGATACCTAGAGTTGTACCAAGGACCAAAAAAGTACGGCATCGTCAGCAAGAGAATATTTCTATAGTTTTGGAAAAGAATACGAGCATAGTGCACGAGACTAGAGAGGGCTTCCCGATGACTCACTTTCTCGGGATACGCTTCCATTTCCAGACCCACCAGGCCACGCCCGGCAGCTTGCGCGACTCGTCCCCGGCATGTGACGGCTCTGCGGCGGAAGGCGCAGACGCAGACGAAGCAGAAGCAGTGGCGACAGCGCCCTCCGCAGACATGATGACCAGTACATAGCCCCCCTCGCCTTCTTCCCCGACCCACGGTTCGAGGCGCCGCAGTATCACCTGAAACAGCTCGTCATTGCTGAGGGAAGGCGGCGCCGAGGCGATGTGGGCGAGGGATAGGACGAGAATGTTGTATGGCGCTGGTTCGGGGTGGGTGGTGAGGGTGGGGTAGAGGATGGAGGAGGTGTCGAGGGGCTGGGTGCGGAGTTTGTTGGGCGGGGAGGATGTATTTGTAGTGGGGTGGTCGTTGGGAGGGGAGGGCGGCCAGAAGGATCCGATAGACCTTCGCCATGCCTCTTTACCGCCTCTAGCGACGAGGCCCATGATACGGTTGTCTTGAAGGGGGGCGTCGGGGGGCAGGGCGGGGGCGGTGCAGGAGTGGGCGAGCTTGTGGAGGGTGGGGCGGAGGTTGTCTGTGGCGGGGGACGAGATGTGCGGCTCCATCTCCTTTAACAAGAAACGAGATCAAATCAGAGAAGGCGATGATGGTGAGACATCCTTTCCATTAACCCGATCATCCAGCACAGACTCCACAGAGCGTATTTTAGCGTAAACACGTAAACAACAGGGCCGGCGGGGCCTGGACCAAACCCGCGGGCGGCGGCGCATACCGATCTGCTGCACGTGGGTGCCACGCGAGGGGCGATGGCGTGCTTCGGCTTCTTCCCAAAAAAGTCGAGCCTTGTAAGCCGAATGCGAATGGGAGATGCATCTGATGTCTTCTCTCCATCCGCCATGTCCTTCATTCCCAAGAACGTCAACCACCTCCACCGCCTCGCCTCTACTGCCGCCACCGGCAGCCACAAGGTCGTCGTCATCGGCGCCGGTACGTCCCTCAACCCTTAACCCCCATCTCTCGCCTTCCTAACGCCCCCTTAGGTGCCGCCGGTCTCTCCGCCGCCAACCAGATCTACAACGCCTTCAAAGCCCAGGGCCGCACCCTCGCTGACGGCGACGTCGCCATCGTCGATGCCAACAAGAGCCACGACTACCAGCCCGGGTGGACCATCGTCGGCTCCGGGCTCGCCAACAAGGAAGACTACCGCAAGCCCGTCGACTCGTTGATCCCCAAGCACCTCGCGCATATCCCGCAGAACGCTGCGGGCTTTGAGCCCGGGTCGAACCAGGTGGTGCTCGCGGATGGGAGCAAGGTCACATATGATTTCCTTGTCGTCGCTGCCGGGCTTCAGATCAGTACGTTTTTGAAACCCGATTTCGGCCGGTGCGTCATTGACTAACCCATTTTCCATTGCAGACTGGGACAACATCAAAGGTCTCTCGTCAGCCCTCACCGACCCCCTGAAGAACAAGGTCTCCTCCATCTACTCTTATGAAACCGTCGACAAGACCTGGGACCTCATCCGCGCACACAAGGGTAAAGAGGACGGCGAGTCCATCTTCACCCAGCCATTCGGCGTCATCAAGTGCGCCGGTGCGCCCCAAAAGATCGCCTACATGTCCGACTCTTACTGGAAATCCAACGGCATCTCGCCCAGGTCCACATTCATCACTGGTATGCCCACCATGTTTGCCCAGCCTGAATACTCTGTCGCCCTCAACGCTATCCGGGAGAAGAAGGGTATCGACGCCATCTTCAACACCAACCTTGTCGAAGTCAGGCCAGAGACCAAGAGCGCGGTATTCGAAGTCGTCGCAGGCGAGGACAAGGGCAAGAAGGTAGAGAAAGAGTACGGCCTCTTGCACGCCGTGCCCCCTATGGGTCCCCTGAACTTTATCAAGACCTCCCCCCTAGCCGACGCCGCAGGCTGGGTCGACGTCTCCAAAGACACCCTCCAGCACAACAAGTACCCCAACGTCTTCTCCCTCGGCGACTCGTCCTCCCTCCCCACGTCCAAAACCGCCGCCGCCATCACCGGCCAGACGCCCGTGCTCACGCATAATCTGGTGACGTTGATGGAGACGGGCAAGGTGGGGGATGCGGTGTATGATGGGTATACGAGCTGCCCGTTGTTTACTGGGAGGGGAGAGCTGTTGTTGGCAGAGTTCAAGTATGGGGCGCAGAGGAAGGAGACTTTTGGGCAGTTTGTGGATCAGCGGATTCCTAACCGGTATGTTCCTTCCCCTTTTCTTTCATGTCACTATGAGTACCGGCTAAAGCTTTCGCAGAGCATTCTACCACCTCACCAAAGACATCATGCCCCGCGCATACTTTAGCAAGATGCTCAAGGGCGAGTGGTACGGTCCCCGCATGTTCTTCCCTCCCACTTATCTTCCTCAATCTTCATAAACGCGTCTTCAACTCTTGCCTTGCCTTGTGAGGGCCAGGCTGCATGAATGAGGGTTGTGGTTTCGGGAGTTTTGGGGGATATATAAAAAAGCCTTTTCGAAGGCAGTAGGATATGGAAAAGAAGTTGTAGATATAGAGAGGGAAGGGAAAGGGAGCATGAGACATCTAGATGGGGATGTATTGATCTTGCATGGTTTTGGATATATCTTTGGTGGCTGATAGATGGATCATCTTGCACGAAGGCTTCACCTACAGAGTCTGCCACGGTCAACGATGAGTCAACTTGCTACATGACGGTCGGGTCGGCGATGACCGACCTTGCACGCGCTCCTCTCTTTCCGTCTTTGACCTTCCAATGCCTGTCAACTCTTCTTCGTTGTCCATCCTTCATCCCCCATCCTTCTTTCTCCCTATATAGTACTTTCAAGAATGTCCGCCCCTCCCCCATCCCTACCCCAGTCCACCCAAAACTCAGCAGCCCCCTCTCCCGTCCCGAGCCACACACCCACACCGCCTACAACCCTTAACGGCCTGCCTCGTCCCGTTCCCCCCGCCGCCGCAGGACCTGCAGGACCCGCAGGAGCCGTAGGAGCTGGAGCTGGAGTTAACGCTTCGATTCCTGGCGCTGCTCAAGGTATGCAGGCTGTGAGACCTTTGAGCGCTGGTACCGTAAGTGGTGGTGGTGCTGGAGTAGGAGCGGGAGCAGGAGCAGGAGTAGGCAGCGTACGTGCTCCCCTCCCTGCGGGTCAGTTCCAAAGAACCTTCCCTCCCTCTACTCCTTCTACCCAAGGAGTTCCTTCTGCTTCTGCTTCAGCATCTGCAACCGGCGCCAGACCTCCCGCTCCTTCCTCCGCACCATCCCTACCCCATTCCCAGGGCCAGGGCCAAGCACAAGCTGGAGGAGGATCAGGAAATGCCAACCCAGGCCCCAGTACACCATCAGCAGAAGACAATTTCTGGGCCGCCAGGCGGGAGGAAGAAGTTCGGAGGAGGGATAGGAGTTTGGGAGAGTTGTTGGTCATGTTGGATGGGTATACGCCTTTGGTAAGACTTCGCCTTCTTCCTCCTCCTCTTGATACTTTAGCGTTGTGTGTCATGGTGGAGCTGGGGGTGGATGCTGATGGTGTGTATAGGTGCCAGAAGAAGTGACGGAATACTTTTTACAGAAATCTGGGTTTGACTGCTCTGATCCTAGGCTGTATGTCCCCCCTCTCCCTCTTTCTCCTACCCTTCGCCACGAGCCCGAAGCTGACGGAGTGGGTTCAGGAAACGGCTCTTATCACTCGTCTCCCAGAAATTCATCTCAGACTTGTCCAAAGACGCATTCTACTACTCCAAACTGCGCGTTAATGGGGCGCCTGGGGCGAGGGGAAGGCCTACTACTGGTACCGTACGTCCCCCCCCCCCTCTCCTTCCACTTTCTCCATGACTATGAGGTTGAGAGGAATTTGGGCTGATGGCCGTGTTTTGGGTAGGACAAGAATAGGGTGGTATTGACGATGGACGATTTGAGTCTCGCTTTGGGTGAACATGGGGTGAATGTGAAGGCCCCGGATTACTGTACGTTGCTCTTTATTCCTATACTTTTTTGCGTGGGAGATGAAGCTGATGGTGGGTGTAGATATTTGATTTGTATGATGAATGAGAGGATGACGATACGGGCGTATGTAATATTATCGGACGTGCTCTTTCGGTTTCCTCTCGTAGCGCAATTTCCCATCTTGGACGACCTGCCGCGGATTCCCCAAACATGCCAGCTTGGACAAAGGTCTCTATGCCTTCTCGATGGCTTCGCAAGGCAAGACGAGCGGCATTACTGCACCACGACCACGTTCTTCCCGCCACCTTCACCTTCCAACCCCAACCCCAAACGAGATCGCTCCCACCTTGCGCCTACCTGACGGACAAACGTGCAGAGGCGACCTGCTTGGCCCGCGGGATCTCAATACAAACTCCAAAAACGGCGCGCGCAAAAAGGGAAAGATCAACCCCACCCTTCAGCTCAAAGGATCAGCGGCGCCGACGTTTTCGCATCGTTCAAAGGAAAGTGTATCTGGGCGCGAAGAATCCTGGGCTGGGGATGTCTTCTTTCTCCGCTGATGTGGGGATTTGGGACAAAAGCACGTTTGGATGGTCGAAGGATCGCCTTGGGGCTTGAGAGTTGGATGGGGGTATATAAGCTGACTTGTAAACGTATGGAGATGAAGGGATAACCATCACTTTTCTCCCGATACGCTATCTGCTCACAACGACTTTTATCAGGTTATAGGCTATGCTTCTCTACCTTGTTCGCCACGGCCAGACGGCTCTGTAAGCCCGTCTCTCCTTGAACCGAGTTCAAAACTGATATCCGCAAAGGAACCAAACCAACACCAACCAAGGCCAATCCCTCGACCCCCACCTTTCTTCCAAGGGCCTCGCCCAAGCCCACACCCTCGCATCCCACCTCGCCCTTGTCCCCTTCACCTCCGCCTACACCTCCCCCCTGCACCGCGCCCTCGAAACCGCCGAAGTCATCCTCGACGCCCAAGGCAAAGGCCGCGACGACAAGCGCATCAAAGTCAAAATCGACGACCGGCTCATCCCTCGCGGTATGGGCATTGCCGAAGGCAGGGAGTGGGAAGAGGTGGAGCATGAGTTGGGGAGTGGCGAGTTTGGAGTGGAGGAGGATGAGGCGGTCAGGAGGAGGCTGAGTGGGTGGTTGGGTTCGTTGTTGAAGTTGCATACGCCGGCGGGGGCCAGGACGCCGGGGACGCCGAGCTTCGGGTTCACGAGGGCTAAGAATGGCGAGGCGGTCAACCCATTTGAGCTGATGAAGGCTCTTCCCAGACCGGGGATCAGCAGGACACCGACAACGGCCGCTGGTGGCGGCTTGGGCTCGGGTGTAGTACTCTGCGTCACCCATCAAGAATGTCTCACAGCACTCCTTACCCTCCTCATGCCATCCTCCTCGCCTCCCGCCTCTCCTAATCCGAGCAAGGGCAAGGTGAACATCAAGCGACCTTTGATCGACGTGCAGATCCCCGAGAGCGTCAAGTTGAGGGAGAATGTGGGGAACACGGGGGTGGCAATTTTGAGGGTGTGGTGGGAGGAGGGAGAGGATGGGGAGCTGCAGCCGAAAGGGCGATTGGAGGCGTGGGGGATGGATGAGCATCTGGAGATTGAGGATTAGATTGCTTCTCAATGTGACTTGTCTGATCTTGAGAGTGCCGTTTCGCTCTGTCCTTAATGCAAAAAGTCCAGTCATGTACTGTTCCATTATGTACATCATCACTCTTGACCACTCACCATATCTACATCAATCAATAGCGCGATCTTCGTCGTTCAAGTGTCTCTACGCGTATATTTGATCAGCAAGAAGCCCACTGGCACATCTGGACGGCTTGTGCATTGCCAAGTTTGTCGCCATCCGCAGCATGTTGGCGTCGGTTAGATGGTGAAGCGTGTAAAGTCATGGCAGTAGAGTCAACTGGTAAACTGCTCCCAGAGGTCGACATTCGTACTCATTCTATTAGTATCGACTTCCTAGCCACCGATACCTGCTAGTAAGCATTTCTGCGAGAACTGACAAGCGAAGAGTCCCTGCAGAAGCCGCGCTAACAGATAGTAGAATCCATGTCGTGCATGTCATCGAAGCTCGTACCCGAAACCATCTATCTAAAGCAACAAAAGCATCGAAATCCGGCAATATTATATATCAGAAACGACAATCCCAACATCCCATGATGACACCCCGCGCATACCCTCTTTGACACCTCTCCTTACTTTTTGGGCGCAAACTTCTGCCCGACCAGCTTGCCCACCGCAGACCTCTCCTTCGCCCTCTGCACCTCCATCCGCATTACCTCCTTATTCCAGTCCCCCTCGCCTTGCTCCTGGTCCAAGCCCACGGCAGCTTTTGTGCCCTGCGTACTCGCCGAACCGAAACGGCTGGTGTGCGGCCGGCCTTGTTCCGGCTCTGGGGTGGCGACGTAATGGCTGGGGTTTGATTTCGGCTGTGGTCCAGAGATATCTTGAGGCTCGGCGTTGAGCACGTCGTTGAGACTGAGGGAGAAAGAGGATCCTTCTTCGGCATTGTCATAGTCCGAGTCGTCTTCTGAATCCGATTCGTCAAAATCTGTGGCGCGGAGTGTGTTGGCCGAGTCGGGCGAGGTGGGGGAGGTGGCTGAAGAAGGAGAAGAGGATCGCTTTTGGCGGCGGGCGATTTTACGCATGTTGATACTATATATCCCAATCAGCTGTTGCCCCTCATTTTGAATGTACGAGATAAGGACTCACCGCTCAAGCTCCAAAGCCCGCTCCTCCTTCCATCGCTCCATCTCCATCCTCAGCCTCTCCAACTCATCCCTCTGACTCTCGCCGAGCTCAATGTCGGCGAGCTCCTTGACAGTGGGGTGGGCAACACCGGCGATACGGAGTACTTCGGGGGCCTCCATATGGTCTATTCACGAGGGGTCAGTCGACCTTCGGGAACCGCAGAAGAGACAAGAACGTACTGGAGGCGTTGGTCATACGGTGCGCCATGTCATTGGTATTTCCATACGAAAAAATAAACTCGCCTCCGAGCTGCGCGAGTGATCCTGGCTGCAGCACGGCTTCCTTGGGCATCTTTGTAGCGACATTCTATATCTTTAGTCAGCAAAATCGCTCCCAACAAGACGAGGAAACGCACAGATAGACCATGCAGAACCTGAGTGGGCACAGGACGCTGGTTGTACTCGGCCCGATTCTTCCAGAAATGACCCCAGGGGTTAAGATAGTTGATACCTTTCGTCAACCTGTTCCAAGTCAGGTTTTTGCCCCTGCGGAGAAGAGAGATACTCACCCCATGAGACGGTACAATCTCCTCGGCCCATCCACATAGATATCAAACGGACAATTGAACAGGTTTCTGTAAGCCTTCAAGACCTTCCAGTTACCATGTCCGACGATCACTACCCTCACACCCGCCTTCTCAAGCGCTTCCTTGGAGAGGATGGAAATAGACGCGAGAGTGTAATCTTGACATTGCCCACACCAGAACGAACGGATAAAGAAGATGACAGTTTTTTGGCCCGGCGCCGAGGGAAGGAGGGAAGAGACGGGGACGGCGTTGCCTTCTTCGTCTCTCACAAAGCACTTGGCAGCTTCTTCCACTCTTGCGCGGGTGACGAGCCTATCCACCGAAAAGGTAATGTCTGCCTCAGTCTCACCTTCCATCAATAGCGGGTTTCGCCTCTTGTCCTTGTTGTACTTTTTCGCCAGGCGCTCCTTCTCCTTGCGCTCCTTCTTCTCCTTCTTGGCGAGCGAGCTGTCAGAGGACGACTTGGCAGCTTGGTACATGGCGCGGCGGGCGTACTCGGACGAGCCGTAAGACGCGTGGGAGAGGGTAGTGACAGGGGTGACAATGTGCTCCGAGGGAGCGCCAGAGGCAGAGGTCGAAGAGACGGATCGACGGTGGCCATCGCTGGCGAGGTGCGGCACTGCAGGGAGAGGACGTTCAGGCTTGACCGCCCGGATCATGGCAGCGTGGTCGACAGGGTACGGCGCATTGTTAATCCTCAGCTCATTCAGCCTTTCGTCCAACCCCTCCAGTCCCGCCTTGTCCACGCCCCAGAAACTTTTCACGCTCGGCTGGTGTTCGAGTCCGGGCGACTGGGCGGTGGAAGAAGGGAGGGAAGGAGGAGCAGAAGGACCGTAAGAGTCTGAATCGGCGTAGGTAAAGCTCTCGGGGGTGGAGGGGAACTCGACGGGGCTGGTGGCGGAGCTGGTAGCGTCCAGCTTGGGGGTGACGCTGGGCGCGGGTACGCTGCTACGGGAGGAGACCCGATGAGGCGGTACGGGGGCGAATCGACCGTGAGACCCGCTCTTCAAGCTCGGATTGTGGTTGGAGAGACTCTCGACCTCGTTCCCAGAACCCTCGGAAGGGTTGTATGACACGCTCCTCGACATGATGGGGGATGGGTTGGCAAACGGGTGGTTGGACGGCAAACCAAGACCAAGCTGTGGGTTGCCACTGCCAAAGTCAGAGTCTGGGATCACAAAGCCGCTCGCATTGACGGGCTGTGCGAGCGGGGTGGGGACGGGCTTGCGCCTGACTTGCTGGGTGGCGGACATGGTGGATGTAGATGAGCTCGAGCGAGCGAGGTTGGGAGTGTCCTTTAGATGAGGTGAGCCAGGAGACGGCTGCAAGGGCGGGTGGTAGAAGAGATTGCGCGACTGGATCGAGGGGGTGGGGGAGATGGAGCGGGTCGACTGGGGGCGATGGCGGGCGGTCGGAAGCTGGAGGAATGTCGGGGGGGGAGGGGGGCGAGGAGGGCATATTTAGTATTTGTAGGCTCGTTTTTTTGTAGATGGTAGCGGATGTCTCGGGCGTTCGCGTCCTGTTGGCCCGATCAAAACGAGACCAGAGTGACTACCTTACTACCAGTCCCTTTACTCCGGGATTTCCTGAGCCACCTTTCGGATCTACTGTTGGGTCCGTGCGCTCTTCTGCGCCACGTTCTGCCGTGCAAAGGGGAACGGCAGTCGAACGAGGGGGGTTAGAGAGGATGAGAGCGAAGAGAGCGAGGCGTTTGCCCAGGTCGCGTGGCCCAGTTGCATCCGACACAGCCAGGGCAGAGACTCAATTACAAGGTTTGAAGTCTCCAAAGTCCTCTCAATTTCCACCAGCTTCTGCAATTGAGATCTTGCAGCTCTTCACTTTTCTTACAGTCAGCCGTGGGCGGCTAGTGCTTTGGTCCACTCTTCCTCCATATGCTTTAGCCTTTTACACTAGAGTCATATTACGACGTGTTTACGACAGAAGCGTGCTCTTGCAAGACATTCTTCCATCTTGAAAAAATCCAATCGCCTCTCGTTATCGGTCCAATATTTCTTCTTCTTAATGTGCTAATCGCCTTTCCGATGTGTAGTTTGCCATCGCCCATCACTCTCCACTCCATGCACCATCGCCTATCTTCCCTAGGCTTCCCGTTCATCACAGCCGTCCTTCCCTGCACGCCCTGCACGCCCTGCACTCCATGGGCCATGGGCCGGATGGGAGTCCATGCACTGATCACCTTGTCGAATCTTCTTCTCTCAATGTGCGCACAGAGCGCTTTGAGGTGGCGTCACGGTTACGACCGAAGAACAGGGAGAGAACAGGGAGCGGGGAGAAGAAGTCCTGCCTCCTCGGCCCAGGTACGAAAAATTACGCCTCTTCGCTTCTTTCTACCATCAAGATCTCTAGGGGTCTTTTTTGGTAGTCGTGGTCAGGTTTTCTTCGGCTTTCGTGTGCAATCCAGGCGAAATGCAGACCATCATTCCCCTTGTTGCTTGGTTCTCCTATCAATCCATCAGCCCATCGCCCATCGCAAAGCCATGTGTGCTCGCATACCAATCCCCGTCACGTGGCCGCGACCACGTAACACCTGGCTATTCACCCCCGCTTGGATGTATATCAGAGCTGCGCATTAACGCCGCTGTAAAGCCCCGCCTCGCCTTTCCCTTGTAATTAAAGGGCCAAGGGGGATGGAAGGGGCAAAAGAGTCGTGGAGTCGTAGGCCGTCAGTCACTCTATACGTAGCTCTATCGTCAATCAGAGCACTGCAGTCTGGCAGCGCAGCAGCAGAATGACTCGGCAGAACCGCGGCATCTTCATTACCGAACGCCCGTCGACACAGACCACGCAGGTATGTACAGCCATGCAGCAGGTACAGAGCGTGGGTCACCAGCTGTACAAGTACTGAGTGAAGGTCCAAAATATATCATTTAGCCGTTCTTGGGACAGAAGCTACTGGGAGTATGTACTAATAGAGCGCCCAGCTTACCCACCCACCGCATTGTGAAGAAACCAAAGAAACAGTCAACCTCTTCCGTCGTCATCGTAGGCGACGGCGTAGATGAGGAGACTCGGAGAGTGACATCTTACAAAAGCATGCCCCCTTTCCTGTCCTCGTCACCTCTGTCTCAGTCGATGTCTCTCCGCCCTTCAAAATCTATAAAAAAGTGCAGATCTCCCTCTCTCATGATCGTCATCTCCATCGCCGCCGCCTGGAAAGACCAAAAAAGAGGATGATAAGCGCCTGGATTCTCGGGCTTACCACTTTGAGCATCGCCTGTTCGTCTATATCCATCCATGAATTTGGTTCGTTACGATGTGATTGCAATGCACAATCTGCGTCCCATCTCCGCGTTCAGCGTAAGCATCGATGGGCAGAATGGTCGTCAAGAGACTCCTCATTCGCCATCGAAGACATCGCGCTGCTAATCAGCACTAATGTTGAACGATTGGTTGTGCTGCTGTGCACCGGTGCATTCGGAGGTCCGAGATCCGATGTTGTCTCTCAAGTTTCAAGTTCCAAGGTGATACGCCGCCAAACGAGAGAACGAGGCGAGACATCAAACTAACCAGGACCATCACCAAATCTCAGACACGAAATGGAAAGGAACGAAACAGGTTTAATCGTTGGCGGATTCAGGTTACCCCGCGACAGGTTGACAACCCGAGCCCAGCCCGGGGGTTCAGGCTGCAGGTCTGCTCATCTATACATACATATGTACGTGTATCTCTTCTGTTTCTGTTTGTTGTTGGATCACCACCTCTCTCCACTGACCTCTGAGACCTCCGAACGTTTACCCCAAGAGCGCAAAACGCTATGTACTCGTACAACAGTACATGACAATCCATCACTGCGTTTAAGCCAATCCATCACTGTGTTCAAGCCAATCCATCACCACTCCATCACCTATCAGCTAGATTCCTCAGTCATTTCAATCGTCTCACATAGTTCCGTACCTTGTCCCGTCAGATGACAGAAGACAGGTCCTCCGCAGTGGTTTGATTGTTTGATCGCATCGTCATCACCCCTTCACCCTTCACCCATCACTCACCACCCATCGCTCATCGCTCAACAAGCAAGAGTTGGCGAGGAACTGAAAGTACAACCGACGTCTACCTTGGATCACTTGGGACCTTGGGCCTTGGGCTCCTCGCTACCTCCTCAAACATCAAATCCAATTCCAGAGCCATCCTTCCCTTTCCCACGTGGACGTAGATCCCACTCACCCACTCCTCTTCCAACTCCAGACGGCCTTCTTCTGGACCCGAACCTCGAATCCCCAAAAGTAACAAGAATGAATAAAAACTGCCTTGGTAAGGCCACAAATGATGAGAGATTAGATAGAAAGATTTCCATAACCCAACTACGTAGCTCAACAGGAAATCGCACAACTATATAATGTCAAACGATACGCACAAAATCCCTCCTCACACCCTCTTCACCCCACACACCCTCACAGCCACCTCGATCCCTAATGAAACGCAAACGCAAACGCAAGCAAAAGGAAAGAGACCCAATTCTCGCCCGATAGTCCAGCTGGGCCCCAAGTATAGAATAGAATAGAAATATAATCACGTAGTGAAAAGAGGTATATTCAAGAAGAAGGAGGTGATTTGTTGGATGAGGAATTCGGTATTGTTTTTTGTTTGTTTTGGAGTTTTGTCGTTGTGGTATACGAAAAAAGAGAGAGGGGAGAGGAGGAAAAGCAAAAGAATTGTCCATACACAGCGCGAAGGTATAAAAGATCCACCAAAAATGGATCATGAGAGAAATATGGAATGATACTAGACACAGCTCAAGCCAACGAGAACAGGAAAGAAAAGAAATACACTGAAAAACTCCACACCTCCTCCTCCTCCATTACGGACCACCTCACCTACTCGCCCCCTCGAGGCCCAGGCTTCGGCAGCGCATTAACAGCATCCGCACTAACCTCCCCCCTATTCAAATGCACATAACTCTTCATCTCCACCGGCGCGCCCCTCTCCCCCTCCCCCCCATCGCCCCCCACATCCTGGCTCAAAGCCGACGCCGCCGGCGAGTTGGGCGCATTCTTCTTGGAGAAAAATGGGATCTTGATGGACGACGGTTGTTTGGCCATGTTGGGTCTGGTGGTCGATGGGGACGAAGGGGAGGATGGGAGGGGAGGGGAGAGGGCGCCGGCGCGTTGGGCCGCGTAGAGGGCGAGCATGTCGTCTGGGTCTGCGCCCGCGTGCTGGGGAGACGGCGAAGGCATAGCGGGCACAGCACCCTCACCCTTGGCGGGGGAAAGACCGGGGGAAGAGGTGGCTTGGCTCAGGACGGATTTACGGTGCAGGACCATGTTTTCCATATCCCTCAATTCATCCACCGACCCGCGGGCGGAAGCGGCAGACTTGAAGTCGTCCCCAGAGAGGGCGGATGCGACGGATTGACGTTTGTCGTTGGACCCGCCGATGGAGAGGAATGAGCGTCGGCCGGTACGTTGGCCAGAGGCGACGCGGCGCATGTCGTTATCGCCAAAGCCGAGGGGACCTTCCTTCTGCGAAGGCGACACCGAGATGTGCTCCTCCTCATCGTCGAGGGCAGAACCAGTAGCGTAAGCGAGCTTGGTGTTCATACCAGCCAAGTCATTCGCGCTCTTGGACGCGCCCGGTAGTCTAAACACGGACGAAGGCCTGATATCGCCCCCCAGGGAAGCACGGGAACGACGGTCAGGACGCGCGTGTTCGGCAAACGAGATACGGGACTGCCTGACTTGACCGTCGGGCATGACGACGGACGAACGAGAGGTGGAGAGGTTGTCGGCAGAAGCAGAGCGGAGGCCAGCCATTTCGGGGCGGAAGAAGGCGCCGCCGGAGGCGCCGGCACCGGCCATGTTGTTTTCGAGGCCGTAGAGAGAGTCGGCGGGACGGTTACCGTACGAAGACATGCTGGGTCGGGTACCCATGGACGTGCGTCCGCCCATCGAGGGACGACCACCCATAGAAGGCCGGCCGCCCATGGAAGCTCGGCCCTTCTCGCCGGGCAGGGCACCCTTCTCCCATTCGAGATTCGAATGCGTCGACAAGGCCTGGGACCACCTCTTTCGCTTCTCCGCCTCGCGCAAACGCCAGAACCTGACAGCGACACCGATGATGACGGCGATCACGACGAAGGGGACGACGACGGCAGCGGCGATGGCGCCCTTGGAGATGCTGCTCTTGTCGCCAGAGTTGGTGTTGGAGACGTCTTCAAAGACGGTGTCTTTGGATTGGGTGGCAGCGGCGGCGAGGGTGGAGGTGACGGCCTGGCCGTTGGAGGTGGTGGTAGAGTACATGGCCGAGGTGGCATAGTTGACGGTAAAGTAGGGACCAGCGGGGGACGAAGTATCCCAGCTTTCAGCACCGTGGTCGGTAATGCTCATCTGCAACTCGGCAGTGGACGTGTCGTTCCACCACTTGGGCTGCAGCGTCACTTGGTACTCGCCATCACTGAACGGCCTGCCCATCCATTTGTGGATGAGACCCCCAGCATAGTAGAGGGAAAGGTCAATAGTGTCAGTCGCGACGGTACAGCCAGTGTTCCACTTGAAGGTGAGGGCCTGGGTGGCGTCGATGGTGGAGGAAGAGTTGGGGTAGAGGTAAAGGTCGCCGTTGGAAAGGTCGCAGGCTGTTGTGGGGGGTAAAGGGTCAGCGGGGGTTGTGCGCGGAGGAGACAGGGGCATACCTCGCTTTTCCATTTGACGGTGGATGATATCAGAGTGGGAGGGCCCACCGGCAAGGCCAATACGGCCGAGAAAGTTGGCGGGCATGAGGGTTTCTGGGGGAGGGTCAGTGGATGGGTAGGGAAAGTATGAAAGGCGACGGACAGATGAAAGGGATTTGCGGTGGTGGTCGGTGGTAGGGGTGTGCTGGCGAGGGGTGGTGGTGTACAAAAGAGTGTGGGTGCGGTCTACGCAGACTATATAGAGTGGATGTTGGACGATGAAGCTGGAGAGAGAAAGAAAGACGGAGAAGACATTCACATGGACGACGATTCAGGGTCCGTCTCCGCTTGTTTGCCTTTGTTTGTCCAGATCCACGCGTCGCGTCTCTCAACTTGCCTCTTTCGGCCACCTCCCAGCCCATGCATCGTCATATCTGTCATGCATGTGCTTCGAGGGTGTATTATTGCATGCATAGACTCCTGCCTCCTCCCATCGCCCTCAGCTCTCAGCCCTGTCTCTTGGGCCTTGGCAGACAAGGGCAGCACAAACCTGCCGGAAATCTGCGGTGTTTTTCCTTGTGGCACTCTGTACCTATAATCCAAGTGGCCAGTCATTCGATTCAAGGTATGCAAGCGCAAAGCAAGATACAGAAGAGGTCATGATATCCATGGCAAGGGTGCACAAACAACGAGACCTTGATGACAAGATGTCGATGGAGCGTATTCATATCCCCAGCAGGGAGTCGCGCTAGCGAGATAGCGTAATCGATGTTTGGCGGAGACGCTATCCCGCCTATCTGCATGGCGGCGTCCCGTCCCAGCTGCTGTTGCCACCCCTGCTGCCGTGGCGCCCCGTCTCTGAGACACGGACAGAGGACGCGACGGATGCATGGGAGGGCGGCCAATGGCGGGGCGAGTTCGGCAAGAGGGTGGCTCGGCTGTCATGATTCAACGGGGCGGAGAAACAAGTGCCACGTTCGGCGGTTCGGACCGCGACGTCATGAGGTGGGGACGTGGCTCGCCTCTTATTCCATCGCCATCTCCCGTCTTCTTTTCTTCAACACTACACAAAAATCACAATGCCCTCCCAACTCGAAGCCCTCAAAGCGTGAGCACCCCCAGCCTGCCCCCGGGAGCCGTACTGACCAAGCTGCCTCCCGCCCCTCTACCTCTTCTCGACCACCTCGCTTCTGCAATCTCTTGACACATTAGCTCCGGCACCACCGTCGTCTCTGACACTGGTGACTTCAAGTCCATTGACGAGTTCAAACCCCAGGATGCCACCACCAACCCCTCCCTCATGTGCGTCCTCTCCCTCTGCTCTCGCTCTATATCCCGAGCCTTTTCGGCCGGGCGTTTTTTTAGCGAGAGTGATTTCTGAAAAAGACTGGGGTGCTGACTATTGCATGTAGCTTGGCCGCTACCAAGGACCCCAAGTATGCCGCTCTCATCGAGCCCGCTGTGGAGTTTGCCAAGTCCAAGGGCGGGTAAGTCTCATCTCTCTACGACCGTCTGGTCCTCCTGTCCACGTGTCCCATTTTCCACCTTCCATATGCTGATAACGATGGCAGTTCCATCGAGGTCCAGACCGAGAACGCCATGGACCGACTCCTCGTCGAGTTTGGTACCGAGATTTTGAAGATCGTTCCCGGCCGTGTCTCCACCGAGGTCGACGCCGCTTTCTCTTTCAACACCCGTGCGTCCCTCTCTCCTTCCACATTTTTCAAGCACTGACGCTTGGAGCAGAGGACACCATCAACAAGGCCCACCAGATCATTGACCTCTATAAGGAGCAGGGTGTCGACAAGGAGCGAGTCCTCATCAAGATTGCCTCCACCTACGAGGGTATCCTCGCTGCCAAGCAGCTCGAGTCTGAGGGTATCCACTGCAACTTGACCCTCTTGTTCGGTTTCGGCCAGGCCGTTGCCTGTGCCGAGGCTGGCGTCACCCTCATCTCCCCCTTCGTTGGCCGAGTAAGTCACCATGTGTGCCTTTGAGTGAACAGTCGCTAATATGACTGTTAGATCCTCGACTGGCACAAGAAGAACTCTCCTGACGCCGACTTCTCTGGCGCCAAGGACCCCGGAGTTGTTTCCGTCACCAAGATCTTCAAGTATGCCCCTTCCTCCTTCTCGCCTTGCCCCCAACTAATAATCTCTTTAGCTACTACAAGCAGCACGGCTACAAGACCATCGTCATGGGCGCCTCTTTCCGAAACACTGGCGAGATCGCCGCCCTCGCCGGTTGCGACTTCCTCACCATCGCCCCCAAGCTCCTCTCCGAGCTCGCCGCCTCTCAAGACGCCCTCCCCAAGGTCCTCGACGCCAACAAGGTCACCGAGAAGATTGAGAAGGTGTCGTACCTCAACGACGAGGCCAAGTTTAGGTGGGAGCTGTTTGACGATGTGATGGCGTTTGACAAGCTGCACGAGGGTATCAGGGGTTTCGCCAAGGATGGCCAGACTTTGAAGGACATCCTCAAGGCCAAGCTCCAGTAAGCGTTTGGATTTTTGTCGGAAACTTGTGTAGCGTATGAAGACAGCAGACTAGATGGATTTCATGTATCCTTGTGGATCTTATCAGCCGGGTCCCACCGCATTTCTCACATTTCACAGCTGACTTTTTTCGGCGCCACCCAGCCATCTGGCCGGTTGGAGGGGAATCGAGGAGGTGAACAGAAGATTTGTCACCTGGCTTACCTCGAGGGAGCTCATACTAGTCTTGAATTGCTGGCCTCGCAGAGAGAACAGCGCCTACCGGTCTTTTCGATCGGCGCGCGTTCTACGAGTACCGTTGAACGCTGGACCTATCACCCGCTCTATCTCTTTCTTTTCCATTTCAAGAGAGCCAGGCTAGGGTACGCAAGGGGCTCCCGTCAGATATCATTATCATTTCACTTGTACGTGTCGTTGTACGACCGACTCACAATCCTTGTGACGGATGATTTGAGCTATCGCGCCGTCAGTCTTGTTGGGTCTCGATCGGTTGTGGAAAGTCTATCACGCAGATCTTTCTACACAGACAGATAAATAGATAGATGAAGGGTGAGATGATGGGTGAGACGTGAGATGTTTCCAAGCTAGTGACCGATCTATCCGTATCATTCAAGCAATGGGAGTAAACGGGGTAATGGAAGCAATGGCCACCATGACATTGTCGCTCTACTCGAGGATATGATGACCAAGTTTTACTGCAGTAGATCTTTCCCCAAAAAATCACCATCAACCTTCCATAGATCCCACTTTCGTCTTTTATCAAAACACAGGTGAGTGGGCGGCTGCAGTGACCATGATATCTGATCAGACTAGCGCGAACGGGGAGATTGGATTTGGGAGATTTGTTTTGACCACATCAGCAAAGTCGGAGATGTACTCGTACTGGACTGTAGGGCATGTCTGTCACGGCCGAGCTGGGACGCAGCAAAAGCCACTTCAGGGAATTACTACGTGTGACAATGACCGACCTTCTTTTATTGTACTGTTGGTGCTGGATGTTGATCTTGAGTTGTTGCGAGGAGGAGGCATGTCAATATGGTTATGTATTCCGTCAAGCGGTGACACACTATTCGGCGGATGAGGAGATCAAATATCAGTAACTCTCGAGAGTTGCTTGTAGCTGCCACTCATCACATGCTGGTCCAAGAAAATCAGACTTGAAGGGCTAGCACTTTGTCGTGATAATCACGAATACTGAAGAAAGAGCCAGAGTGGTATATATGGCTGTTGAAGCTGTTTGATTATCTTCTTGCGGGGAAGAATGGAAAGGTTTTGGACTGTCATGTGGACGATGAGTTGACTGGCTCCCAGTGAGCACCCTCCCCCCGTCTGCATAATAAGAATGCAAAAAGACAGAAGGCAGAAGGTTTTCGATACATCTGCATCCCTCATCCGAGTCGCCATAGAGATTATGACCATGGAATCAACGTCGGTCATTGCGTCAACGAAGAGGTCACCTTTCTCTTACTTCACTTCTCCCCAGTGTGGCGATGAAATCAGAAGAGAGAGAACATGTATATCTCGCTTGGTGGGCTCTGAGAGCGACTGGTGGACTGGCTCTTCTCGCCGTCACCCCCAACTGTCCAGCGACGAACGACTCGATGTTGTTTATGCTTAAGATTGATCTTGCTTGACGCTCTCGAAGTCTTCAGAGAGCCCGGAGCTAAGGATACGTCAAGCTGATGCTTATCCCTCAGAAGACGTCAAATGATTGTCGGATATCATTCAACATCTCTAACGTGCCGGCGTGGCTTCACTTGCTGTACGTCTTCCCAATGATATACTCGTGCTGATGGTCATGAGTGCACCACCACTATAATCTCCTGGTCTTTGCGCGTGGATATCCCTGCTTGTTGAGCCAGGTGCCGCACAGAGCGCTCGGCCTAGATACTAATACAGATAGATTGGTTGCGAACCGAGACAAGAAGAAGACACTCAGCGCTCGATCTGAAGCCCCCGATTGCTGGATGTCGAAATCGCTTTGCATGTTCCTGGCATCGCAGAGCCCGCCGGAATCACCCTAGGCCTGAATCTTATTAACAGCGTCATTGATATGGACCCGGGTATTCTTTTTTGTTCCGTAAGTCTACAAATGCCTTGGCTAGGCCCATTTGCTAATGGAATGCCAGACGCATATTACAGCCTGCGAGGTTTGCCGTTAAGGAAGATTAGATTCGGGGGCTTTGAGGTGACCGCCGGCCGGTCTGTGGCTCATATCGGCAGCGTTCATCTCTTGACATCCTCTGCGTCTCTTCATAGGCATCTCCCCATCACAGTAAGTTGCTCGCATCCATGTCCAACCGCTGCCGCTGATCCGCAATGCAGCATGCCACCGCCCAGTGTAAACCACCAAAATCAACAGCCCCCACAACTATCCCATGGCTCCGGAGCCCAGTCCCCTTACTCCCCCACTTCGACTCGATCATCTGCCCCAGATCATGCCCCGCCCGGCTCCTCCACAGACCCGTCTCTGAGTCCGACCCTACGCTCTTCAGAGTTTGTTTTTCCCAGTCGCCCCGTCTATCAAGGGAGGATGTCTGACTTTCAAGGATCCTCCAATTCTGAAAACTCGCGCAAAACATCTGATGTCCAAGAGAGCGATATCGGGCTCGATACCATCACCCAGATGCTTCAAAAAGACAAAGAAGCCGATGAGCTCAAACCCCGACCTCGCCCCGGCGCCGCGACCTACCATGGCAAACACGATAGAGATCAGCGTATGTCTACTTCTAGTGCCGAGAACGCACCGGCGCCACATCCGCAACATGGGGCTTCAACGATGGTGGGGAAATTGAGCACGCCATACTCGACGGACGAGGGCGATGAGCGGCAACCCAGTCTGGGGTTCGACCAGGCATTCCAAGGGCTGGATCTTAGCGATAAGGAAGGGCAGCGTGGGGAGGCGCAGGGGGAGGAATCCTCAACGCCTCGCGACTCTTCAAATCCTACCCCGACCCATCCTTCCATCGCCACACCCCAGCCGTACCCCGCCCAGTCTCCCAATCCCCAGCTTGATCACAAGCACAGCCGGCATCCTACCGCCGAAAATAGAAAATGCCATTCGTCTCCCTCGTCGTCCGACGACTCACCCGTCACTATCGATGCCGACGAGTCTGGTGAACCGTCTCTGGTCAGTGATTTGAGCGGCATCGTTCGGTTAGGCAACCTTGGCTGGGACGATGCTGGGCCAAATCCCCGGGCAAAGCATGCAGCTCGCCAGGGTTCTGTCGAGGACTTTGTCAACGACCAGGCGCAGACGACAAACATGCAAGACCCAAATGCATCGGGGCTTGCTGATGAAGAAGGCGTGAAGAGGGGTGAAGCGGCAGGGCAGGAGAAGGATACACAGGTTCATGACCAGTTTGAAGAACCTCAAGACGAACCTGCTCTTACTGCTCGTTTTGAGCATGTCATGACTGAAGACGGGCATCATGTCATTAATGGCAGGGAAGGCGTCTTGAAGAAGTGTGAGGACGAGCCGATCACGACGCCGGGGGCGGTACAAGGTTTCGGCGTGCTGATGGTCTTGGAGGAGGATGAGGAGAGTGGCAAGCTGGCGATACGGCAGGTCTCAGAGGTATGTCTTTGTACAACAAAATAAAAGTAATGAAACTGACGTGATGGTTCACAGAACTCGTCAAAGATATTGGGACTTTCGCCAAAATACCTGTTCCAACTCGACTGCTTCACCCGCCTCCTCACCAACGAGCAGCACAATGTCCTGCGCGATATGCTCGAATACCTCCCCGACCCTTCCCACTACCTTTCCGAAGAAGCCAAGAAGGATGCCACCAAAAGGCTCGTCGACCAAGGCCCCTTGGTCTTCCTGCTCTCTGGTTTCGGCGAGCCTGGCAGCAGTCACGCGGGGCAAAAAGGGGCCGCTTCGAGCTCGAGTGCGCATGAAGGAAGACGGCAGTGGACTAGCTGGGTGGCAGCACACAGGCCCCAGGACAACACGCTGTTAAAGGTGGATGAGCAACAGAAGCCGGTGCCACCGTCCAATATCATCATACTCGAGTTTGAGCTGGAGGAAGACTCGTATAATCCACCTTTCCCGACGCCGGAAGACACTCCCTTAGTACCACGCGCCCGGTCTCATACCACCGACTCCGAGTCCGCTAGAGGTACCGGCGCGACCGCCGACTCCAATTTCTCGGCAACCAGCGAGTCGGGTGAACAGGACGGGGACATCCCAGAAGAGAAGGTCCAGGAGAGCACGACCAATCGCGCTGTACCTCTGCAGGCTTTGATGCGCATGCGGGGGCAGTTGCCGGATAAGAGTGGCTCGTCACGACCCCGGACGAGACCGATACGTTCACGCCCTCCAGGGGGATCTGGGACGATGGATACCTTTGCTGTCATGAGTGAGATCAATGAGCAGCTTGGGGCAGCGCCCGACCTCGAAACCTTCCTCGACGTCACAGTGGGACTAGTGCAGGATGTCTCGAGGTTTCATCGGGTGATGATCTATCAGTTCGATGAGGCGATGCACGGGGTGGTGGTGTCTGAACTCGCGGATAGGAGCAAGATGAAGGATCTCTATAGAGGCTTGAGGTTCCCGGCGGCAGACATACCTCCGCAAGCGAGAGAGTTGTACAAGATCAACAAGGTGCGGATGCTGTATGACAGACATCTCCCCACGGCGAGGATGGTGTTGAAATATCGAGAGGACCTTGATTATCCGCTGGATATGACGCATTCTTACCTGCGTGCCATGAGCCCCATACATTTACAATGTAAGTTCCTTCTCCTGCTGAAGCAAGGTTGTCCACTGATCTGTGTCTAGACCTTGCCAACATGGGTGCGTGCTCGTCCATGTCCATCTCCATCATGGCCTTTGGTCAGCTCTGGGGCCTTATCGCTTGTCACTCGGCCGGGAAATCGGGGATGCGCGTGTCGTTTCCTTTCAGGCAGATGCTTCGGCTATTGTCAGAATCGATATCGAAAAACATCGAGAGGCTGAGTTATGCGCAGAGATTGAAGACGAGAAAGATTGTGGGTGTGTCTCTGTCTCGGAGAGATCAGCTGCTGACAGATTCCAAGATTTCTACGGTCCCCTCGACGAATCATCCCACTGGCTATATTGTCAGCAATGCGGACGATCTTTTACAAATCTTCCAGGCTGATGCCGGGCTATTGGTGATTGGTGACGGCTGCAAGCTGCTGGGAAGGTGAGCATTCTGCGCGTGAGCCTTGACACCTATTGATGGACATGTTAGGCAAAAACAGGGACCATCTATGATGGCCATCGCCGAGTACCTCCGTGCCAAGCAGCTCATCGCTGTCAAAGCCTCCTCCTCACTTGTCAAAGATTTTCCCGATCTCACTCTCCCCAAGACACCCGACACCGCCGCCGGTCTTCTCTACATTCCCCTTTCCTCTCAGGCCGGTCAAGACTTTATCGTCTTTCTTCGTAGGAGCCAAGTCCGGGAAGTCCAATGGGCTGGAAAGCCCTCCAAGGACGAGGCCAGCGAAGGGGCGAATTTGCAGCCGAGGTTGAGCTTTGATCTGTGGGTTGAGCAGGTGATGGGCACCACTCGGGTCTGGTCGGATGACCAGCTAGAGTCCGCGGGGGTACTTGCTCTCATCTATGGCAAGTTTATCCAAGTCTGGAGGGAAAAGCAGACGGCTATGGCTTCCAGCCAGCTTACCGCCATTCTCCTCACCAACACGAGTCATGCCATACGCACGCCTCTCAGTCAGATCATCAACACTCTCGAGCTCGCTCTTTCTGGTACAATCGACAAGAAGACGCGTAATATGCTTCAAAGCAGTCATGACGCGTCTAGGTCTTTGCTCTTCCACGTCCACGACTTGCTTGACTTGACGCGAATTGAAACGGGGAACGAAACGACTTTCAGAGATCCTTTTGACCTTCGCCAGAGCATCACGGAGGCTGTCCGCCTTTACGAGACCGAGATATCCAGGAGGGGTGTCGAGTTCCGAGTCAAGACTGGTGAGAATCTGCCCAAGTTTGTCATTGGCGATTCGAAGAAAGTGCGCACCGTCATCTCCAACCTGGTCGCAAACTCGGTCAAGTTTACATCCAAAGGCTTTATCGAGGTCTACTGCGGTGTACGGTCGCAAACTGCCACCTCTAACGACAATGAACCTTCAGACCGAACGGTGAATATCGAGATCGTCATCAGCGACTCTGGATGTGGCATTGCCAACGACAAGCTCCAGGCAATGTTCCTCACTCTTGAGGGCTCCGAAGAGAGCTCGCAGGACTCGGGCGTGGGTCTAGGATTAGCTGTAGTTGCTCGTATCGTCGAACAGCTACAAGGTCAGCTGCGCGCAGAGTCAGAGGAGGGCATTGGTACGAGGATATTATTCTCCCTTCCCATGAAGGTTCATGACCCGACCCGTCCCAAAGCAGCTCGGTCACGGGACTCTAGAAGTACTTCAAAGAAAACCTCTAGTCGAAAGCGTCGATCCAGCACCAAGTCCAAGGCGGCTCTTCGGTTTGATCGGTCACACGTGCCCGATATCGATTCATTTGTGCAAGATTTGCAGAGCAATCATCTTTCTGCTGCCCCCGAGGACGATGAGAGGCTCGAAGCTGCTGGGGTCAGGATGAGCCAGCCTGGGTCATTCCCCGTAGCCGACTCGAGTTTCCCCGTCATGCCAGCAAAGCTCTCCACCGAAGCAGAAGCTCTCGCAAGATCACCATCACCTGAGCGGGATAACGTTCGCCAAGGGTCCTTAAGATTTCGCCGAGAGTCCTCTGACCAGTCATCTCAGTCCTCCTCTCAGTCTCATTCTCAGACCTCTACCGTGCCCTCTCCCGCTTCCTCTCCCAACAATGTCGTAACTCCTTCCGAGAGCATACCTTCAGCCTCTCCGAAGCAAAGCAAACAGGGCCTAGAGGACAAGTCCCAGCTTCGTGTCATGGTTGTTGAGGACGATGTTATCAACTCTCAGATATTGCAAAAGAGGTTGAAGATGGACAAGCATCTTGTAGTTGCGGTCACAAATGGGCAGGAATGTGTGGATTTCTTGAGAAATGACAGGAATATAGATGCGATTTTGATGGACATTCAGTGAGTGCGATTTAATCTATTCGAGGGTTCTTGCTGATGTGACTGTAGAATGCCAATCATGGACGGGCGTTCTGCTGCCCGGGAGATTCGCAAACTCGAAAGCGAAAGCAAGCCACCATCCGATATCACGCCCTTACTCGTCGACGGCCGAATACCTATATTCGCAGTCTCAGCGAGCTTGTACGAGAGTGATAGGACGAACCTGTCAGAGAACTTTGATGGGTGGTTGTTGAAGCCTCTAGGTGAGCTGCCTTTACCCGTATGGAGCGTTGCTGACGATGCCTTCTCAGACTTTTCGCGTATGCGCGCAATCCTGGCTGGCCTGCAAGATCCGTCAAAGAGGTCGGAAGAAGTGTACAAGCAAGGGAATTGGGAGGCGGGTGGATATTTCCGAGGTACGTCAAAGGGCCGTCTTCGTCCAGGATAGCTGCTCATACGGCGTACAGGACCCGAGTCGGTTCCTTCAAGCCCATCCTCCTCCCCTCCGTCGTCGGACGTATAGATTAGATTGACTTGGTGTTTAGGGGTGCTGCAGTGCTTGAGGGCGATGATCAGGGATATCATGTTGTATCAGCCTTCGTTTGTGATTATAGAACCTGGTGTTCTGCCGTATTACGTTCTCGTTTATCTTTGCCCTTTGAGGCTTATCTCTTTCAAACATCTTGATCTTTGTTACGCCTTGTGTCAGATCTGTACCGATTATCAGTAGTTAATCATATAGCGCATACATACATAGAGTCGCAGGCATGTCCAGGGTGTGATGATATCCTCCTTGAGCTTCTTGTCTGTCGCGTAAAAGACATGCCTCTGTCGATACCTATCCACCTCTTTTCACCTGCATCACCTGATCACATGGTGTCTTCTCTACCCCGTCCGGAGCCCCATATTGCCCGGAGAACTACTCGCTGGAATCGGTGGAAAAGCAAGAGCAGTTGGGATGCAACAGTGCTTTACATTTCGCACCAAGCTTCCACTCATGCATCGACGGCCATAGCCTCCTCAAAGTACCGCGTCCCGTCTGATCCGCGAAGTCAACTAGGAGAGCGCTCGGTTAGTACCAGGGTGGGGGACCACCTGGGAATCCCGGGTGCCGTCGTTTTTTCTTTTTCCTCTTCTGACTTCTTTTTGTTTGCTGCATCAGCTGGGAGAAGAATACAAGTACAGGAGGGAGGAAGTATTTGCGGATTGGGGTGGATGTCTTGACATTATTGCGTACAGTCACATTTGTGAGTATCAAGTCATAACTCAAGTGTGTATGTATCAAAATGGTCTTCCCGATCTCGGTCAACTCTGCTCCTAGCTCAATCTGGTCGTTCTCCGCAGTGTCCGAGATCCGAAGCTGCGTTTTTCAAAAAACGAGGAGATAAAAAATAAATCTACGAGGCGGGAGTTAAGACGCTTATCTCTTTGATGCACGGTCCACGGATGCATAAACGCGACAAAAGCCTCATGCATCTCAAGTGTTCACGCAGAGCCAAAGTGCGGAGTGCCAGACCTCAGAGGGCAAAGATGACATTCCAGAAGGTGCCGATGGCCGATGGGTTTGCCGATGATGTGCAAACCTTGTCCCCAGGGTGACTACCTTGCCGAAGTCTGACTGTAGTCTGGTCTGTTCCCACCTCCCTATGATGATTCCATGATTCCAACAAAAGCCAGTTTCAGAAGCATGCTTTTTCTTCCTTAATAATCGGCACATCCTACCAGAAGCCAGAAACTAGCATCCTGTGCATCCTGGACGCCTAGGATTCATTCATTCGTGCCGAGACGGCGAAGGAGAGCCGAGTGTTCGGTAGATACTCGCTTGTGTCGACCTCATGATCGAACGTTTTGCATGAAATCTCGACTCTGAGCTCTGCTGGCAGGTTCGGCGCATTGTCAGACAGCTATGGGGACATTTTGGATCAAGCCATGCACCATGATTTGCCCATACTCTCCGGATAAGCCGAGGCAAGTCGAGAAAGAGGAAAGAAGCGGTTACGTACGCAGCCGTGGTGGTGACTTGCATCATGTCAAGGAGACACAATTATGTCATTAAACGTATGATCTAGCGCTGTCAATGTGACTTGTGGCTCATAATAATTCATCACATCCATGCTGAGCAGGTCAGCATACAGTGAGATCAGTAAAGGTAGGTGAGTTCTTTGGTACAAGAGACGATAGTTGAACGACGAGCGTGGCATAACGCGGCGCCCCCCCCAATATTTATACCGATCCACAATGTCGATGGCTGGTTCATAACCAGATCGTGCCTGGCCCATTTCCTGACTTCCGGGGGCATTTGGTCACAGCTCAAGCCGGGCTGGCCTTCTCCGTTTCTAATGCTTCCAATGCTGGGGTCTGCATTTTGTAATGCACGCTTAGTATACCCGGGGAGAGGTGAATGCATAGCAGACTAGTTGCTAATCGATGCCGAGGAAAAAAAGGGTGGTCATAAGCAATTCGATCTTTGGGACGCGGTGAGAGCCCGTTGGTAGTCTCGGTGCTCTTATTTGTGACCTTTTTCATCCAAACCTCTCGGCATCAATCCACATCTCCCAATCGCCACTTTTCTCACTTGTATCTCTCTACCACCCTCACCCATCAGCAACACAACACATTCCCGACTGATCTTCCCAGAAACGCCCCTCGCCGCTCCGCCCCTTGCGCTTCTTTCGTCATCTGGCGGCGACTTGGCTACCATTCTTGAGGCAATCATATCATAATCCGACCACGGCGGCCCCGTGGTGCGTACACACATCTCAAGCCATGCCCTACAATTACAGCGAGCTGACTGTCTACAGCAGGGATCATGTCAAAGATACCACCAAGCACTCCCGACGCTGAACGCTCTCCTTCTCCATCTCATGACGACTCTCAATCCTTTACAACGATCGCAGACACCTCCTACTTCTCCCCCCATCGCGAAGACCGACCGGGGCATATCGCTGCCCCCGCCTACTCTCCCTTGGGCTCCCCCTCCGGCCCTCTGAGTCCTGCCCACAGTGCTTCAAGTTTTGTCTTTCCCATACGCTCCGTCTACCAGGGCATGGTCACGTCTGATTCTCAAAGATCGGATGGGTCCGACCCGCCCCGCAAATCGTCGGGGAACAGCACCCAGTCGTATCAATCGGGCAAGTCTGCTCTTCCGCCTGGGTGGGAACGTGATCGTCTCGAGGACCCCGACGCTGGTATCCAATCTATTGTGCAGCTGTTGCAGCAGGGCCAACAGGGGCAGCAGAGTCAGCAGGGCCAACAGGGGCAACAGAGTCAGCAGGGTCAACAGGGACAGGAGAGCCAGCAGGGTCAACAGATCCAGCAGGACGGCAGCGACACTCATTCAATGCTACCCCGGCAACAGCAGGCGGGTGCCGCTACCTACCACAGCAAGCACGATCGGGAACGAAATACATCAAGTGGCGGCGGGGACGGCATGTCGGCGCCATCGCAGTATGGAGACTCAACCGCTGTAGGCGATCTCAGTACGCCTTATTCGACAGAGGAGGATGGAAGGAGGCCGAGTCTAGCGTTTGTTGAAGCGCTGGCTGGTCTCGAGCTGGGTGGGGATGGGAATGGAAAAGAGGAGGATGCCAAGAAGGAAGAGACGGAGAGACCGGCTTCCGATGGGGGAGAGAGACCGAATCTGGGGCACTCTGGCAGTGGCGAGACTGTTAAACAGGTGTTTGACGGCGGCCACGCGATCCACAATCCTGTGTCAACACCCGACGCCAGCGCCGGGCCAAGCTCTGCCTCGCACAATTATCGTCATTTTCCCAATGAAGATGCCCCCAGTCAAGCTACCCCCGTCGCCGACGCTCACACCTCCCCTCGCCGCTTCTCATCAATCAAACAAAAGCGCGGCTCACCAACACAACAACCAGGCGTCGAGCTACAACATCCCATACCACAACGCCCCTCTTCCCCATCATCAAAGGCGAACAAGGCGGCTGAAAAGAGCCGAAAAGCGCGAGGTACATCTTCGCATGGTTCAAAAGTCAGTATCGACGTTGACGAGTCTGGTGTCCGCTCGTTGATCAGTGATCTGAGCGGTATCGTGCGACTGGGTGACGTGGGATCCTACAATGGGTCAAAGACGGGCACGGGCACAAAGGGTACCTCTGGTACGGATGGCAGTGTCGAGCATTCTGGGTTCAATTCTGCCAACGCGGACCACGTCCATGGCAGAGCCGAATCGCATGGCTCGGGTCCTCGGTCAAAGAGGGCAAAGTTTACTGCACGCCAGAATAGTGTACGCGACTTTGTGCAAGATCAGGCCCAGACGACCAACTTGCAAGACCCGAATGCTCCCACTCCCTCTCCGACCCCACATGCGATTGAAGAGGCGAGCGAGGAGGAGGAGGGAGATGGGAAGACGCCATCTCAACTGGAAGAGGAATTGTCGCTGCCTGCGACGCCTTCAAAGCTGCATCAGCCGTTAGGGAGTGAGCGGACGGCCGGAGAGAGTCAACCGGCGGCTGCTGGTGTTTCTGGGGATCCGGACGCCCCGGATGAGCCAGCAGTGACGATGCGTTTCGAGCATGTTGCTACCGAGGAAGGGCACCATATCGTCGCCGGTCGAGAAGGGACTTTGAAAAAGTGTGAGGATGAGCCGATTACGACGCCGGGCGCTGTGCAGGGTTTCGGAGTGTTGTTGGTATTGGAAGAGGATGAGGAGACTGGGGACATGCCTATCAGACAAGTTTCAGAGGTATGTGCTTTGAACTGAATTCTACATGACAGTCGCTGACGAACTCTATTAGAATTCTACCGAAATCCTGGGACTGTCGCCAAAGTACCTTTTCCAACTCGATTGCTTCACCCGCCTTCTGGCAACCGATCAAGAAGATAATCTTCGGGACACTCTTGATTACCTCCCTGCTCTGGACCGATCCTCAGGCGAGACTGCCATAGAAGATGACGGACCGTCCGTCTTCCTTCTTTCTGGCTTTGGCGAGCCCGGCAGCGAGGAAGATGGCGAAGAAGGTGACAGCATTGGTTCGAGTGCAGGCGGCAAGAGAAGAGAATGGACATGCTGGGTGGCGGCGCACAGGCCGGGACACAAAAACTGGACTAAAAAGGACGCGGATGGGAAAGACGTGCCGCCGCCGAATCTCATCATCCTCGAGTTTGAGCTCGAAAGAGATGTCTACAACCCTCTTTTCAATTCCGGTGAATCCTCTACTGCTCCCACTTCCGCTGCTTCTCCTGCTCGACCTTCGACTCCTGATTCTGGAAACACAGCTAGCAACAACAGCGGCAGCGCTCGTACTGGCGGTGACCGATCGCTCGACAGTCTTGCGGGTAACGGTGCCGGACCTCGCGCCGGTGGCTCAAAAGGCTCATCATCAACAGTCAGCGAATTCACGACCGTCGCCCGACCTCACTCATCCAGTCAAACTTCCTTCACCAGCATGCCCCCGCATCCCGACGACCCCATGGGTCTAGAAGGGCTGGACATGGACATGTCTCCCGAGCGCATGATGGAATCGACCACAAACCATGCCAAGCCGCTTCGTGCGTTGGAAAGGATGAGGGGAAAGGCCTCGGAGGCGGTTGAGGAAAGGAACAAACGCACAGGCAGACTGCCTCGTCCCCGAACAGGGACCTCGACGGGGACGATGGATATCTTTGCTGTCCTCGGTCAGATCAATGACCAGCTCGGGTCCGCGCCCGACCTTGACACATTTCTCAAGGTCACTGTCGGTCTGGTACAAGATGTCTGCCGGTTTCATAGAGTCTTGATCTATCAGTTTGACGAGCAGATGAACGGGCTAGTCGTCTCTGAGCTCGTTGAGTGGGGCAAAACGACAGATTTGTATCGGGGGCTCAGATTCCCTGCGGCGGATATTCCACCGCAGGCGAGAGAACTGTACAAGATCAACAAGGTGCGAATGTTGTATGACCGTAGTCTGACGACGGCGCGAATGGTGCTGCGACACAAGGAGGACTTGGATTATCCGCTGGATATGACACATTGTTATCTGCGCGCGATGAGTCCTATCCATCTCAAATGTGAGCCTTCTCTTCTTCCAACTTATCAATGCTAACCTTTTCATAGACCTTGCCAATATGGGTGTTCGCTCATCAATGTCTGTTTCCATCATGGCGTTTGGTCAGCTCTGGGGTTTGATCGCTTGTCATTCTTATGGCCAACACGGCATGCGTGTATCGTTCCCGGTCAGGCAAATGCTCCGTATCTTGTCAGACTCGATATCAAAAAATATCGAGAGGCTGAGTTATGCGCAGAGACTTCATACGAGAAAGCTTGTGAGTCGTTGTGAGGGTTGTTCGCAGTATGGAGGCTGACCTCACTTCGAGATCTCTACCGTCCCTTCACCGGCGCACCCTACTGGTTATATCGTCAGCAATGCGGATGACCTTCTGCAAATATTTGACGCAGATGCTGGATTGTTGGTCATTGGTGATGGCTGTAAACTTCTTGGGCAGTGCGTGCTAGACGGGCTTGATTTGGTCCTATTGCTGATATATCTTAGGAACGGCCAAGGCCATGCCATGTTGGCGATTGCTGAGTATCTTCGTATCATGAAGTTTGGCACAATTAAATACACCTCCTCCATTGTCCGAGACTACCCCGACCTTCTTCTTCCCCGAGCTCCCGATACCATCGCAGGCCTGCTCTATATCCCTCTCACCGCCAAAGCAGGCCAAGATTTTATCGTGTTCTTGAGAAAGGGCCAAGTGCGCGACGTCCAATGGGCCGGAAAGCCCTTCAAGGACGAGGAATCAGGAAAGGCCGCGAGCTTGGAGCCGAGGAAGAGTTTCAAAACTTGGACTCAGCGAGTCACGGGAACCAGTCGAGTGTGGACGGACGATCAGCTCGAGTCGGCCGGCGTGCTGGCCCTCATCTATGGCAAGTTTATTCAGGTGTGGAGAGAAAAGCAGTCTGCTATGGTCTCAAACCAGCTTACTGCCATCCTCTTGTCCAACACGAGCCATGCCGTCCGCACGCCGCTTAGCCAGATCATCAATACCCTGGAGCTGGCTTTGGCCGGCGATGTCGATGCCGACGTGCGCAAAATGTTGGAGAACAGTCACCAGGCGTCTCGAGCTCTTCTCTTCCACGTGCACGACTTGCTTGACTTGACTCGTATCGAGACGGGCAACGAGACGGCCTTCAACGATCCGTTCGACCTTCGCCAGTCCATCTCTGAAGCTGTTCGCCTCTATGAGACGGAACTGATCCGCAGAGGCATCGATTTCCGAGTCAAGATTGGCGATGGTCTGCCTCAATTCGTTATTGGCGATGCTCGAAAGATCCGTACCGTCATCTCCAACCTCGTCGCCAATTCGGTCAAGTTTACACCTAAAGGCTTTATCGAGGTGTATTGCGGTCTACGGTCACACGACAACGGTTCCAGTACTGGCTTATCGTTGGACAATTCTGTAAACATCGAGATCGTCATCAGCGACTCTGGTTGTGGAATCCCCAATGAAAAGCTCGAAGAAATCTTTGTCACTCTTGAGGGTGCTGAAGAGGGTATACAGAAGAATTCTGGTGTGGGCTTGGGCCTGGCAGTCGTCGCTCGTATCGTCGAACAGCTTGAGGGTCAGCTTCGAGCTGAATCGGAGGTCGGAGTAGGAACGAGATTCTTCTTCCACCTTCCCATGGCTATTCACGACCCATCCAAACCCAGATCTCGCTCATCTCATGCCGGCTCAAGTCAGCACGCCTCCCGAGCAGACAGCTCTAGCTCCAAATCCCTGGTATCTCTGCGCTCAGATGGTTCGGGCGTGCCGGAAATCGACTCTTTCGTGCAGGATCTCCAGGGCAGCCATATGGAACACGCACCAGAGGACGACGAGCGTTTGGAGGCTGCGAGGAAGAGGATGAGTGAGCCTGGAGTGTTCCCTGTCACCGACTCGAGTTGGCCCATCAGGCCTTCAAGAATGTCTACCGAAGCGCAGTCTGTCAGTCCTACATCCATGTCACCCGACAATAGCGTCCCCAAGCGAAAATCCCCAAGGCCACTCCTGGCTCGCGATAGCCGCTCAGCCAAGCGTCTTACTTCTGGCGATCCCAAGACCGATACGCCTGTCCCTCAATCATCAGTCGATGGTGCCTCCTCCCTGCCTCCACATCGCAACAAGGTCGGTCCTACGGGAAAGACTCTGATGCGTATCATGGTCGTGGAGGATGATGCGATCAACTCGACGATTCTGCAGAAGCGGTTGAGGATGGACAAGCATTCCGTGATTGCGGTCACCAATGGGCAAGAATGTGTAGACTTTTTGAAGAGGGATAGGGATATCGATGCGATTCTGATGGACATCCAGTGAGTGAAAGCCGTTTGAAAACCCTTTTAATCAACTGACATTCATCTAGAATGCCTATTATGGATGGCCGAACCGCTGCTTCTGAAATTCGCAAGCTGGAAAGCGAGGGCAAGCCTCAAATAGAGGTCGGCTCCTTTACTGTCGACGGCCGAATTCCAATCTTCGCCGTATCGGCAAGCTTGTATGAGTCTGACAGGAGCAATCTGGCGAAGAATTTCGACGGGTGGCTGCTCAAGCCTCTTGGTCAGTATCACATATTGCCTGGCTGACTGTTGCTGATTATAAACACAGATTTCGCTCGAGTGCGCGAGATATTACAGGGATTGGAGTCTTCCAAGAAGAGGAAGGAGAATGTGTATCAGCAAGGTCAATGGGAGAAGGGTGGATACTTCAGAAGTGCGTTCTAGTCCGGGTGGTAGGCGGTCGCTGACATTTTTACCAAGAACCTTCATCGCATGCTCCTTCGCCAGCTGCTTCAACACCATCCAATTCGTCGCCGTCTGTCCCAACGCTGTCTGCTTCGAAGCCATCGTCTTCATCGCCTGCTCAGACTAGCTGAGGGCGAATAGAAAGTAGCTTGATTCTTTGGTTCCTTTGTCTTCGATTCGTATTGTGGTTTGTCACAAGTGTATTCTGTATCTGTTACGTGGTGGGGTGGGGAGTTTAGTAACGTATCAATCAACGTTGTTGCGATAGACGTGGCAGTATCATCTTTTTATCATCTCTTTTCGGGTTGTTTCATCTTAGCATTTTCATCTTTCATCACTTATAGAATATTCATATAGTCGTGGCAAAAATTCTAATTGCTCATTGGGGCAACATCTTCATGCACGTTGCCATGGCCTTGAGCCCTTGTTTTGACCTCAAAATTCCCCCGCCAAATACCCATAATGATGCCAAGGGGCTGGATCTGACGGCTCTGATACAGGTCTTCGCAGATACAAGTGTACGTACTTATATTTGGGAGGAGCCGCAGGCTCTCGCCCGGCCGCATGCACCCGGCTTCACTGCTCAACAGCACACGAGTTACCTGGCGTCGAGCCAGACGACTTACACTTCACACTTCACAGCGCTGACGTGCCGACATTGGTTTTTCAGGGACTTTTGACTTTTCGGACCTGTTCCTCTTGTCTCAACCCTCGAGACATGCCGCCTTCCTCTGCTCTTCTGCCCGTCTTCTCTTCTGCTGGTGCAGCAGGTGAGAGAAGGTGTCGCATGTGGAAAGACATGTGGCCGCACATGTGCATGCCCCCCACACCCGGGCAGCACCTTGGTACATATCTGACTCTGCCTGCAATTGGGTTCATGTTTACGTATGCAATTATACTTATCGCAGCTGCGTGACGGCGCTGCGTTGGGACTAAGTTGACGCTAGCCCAGTTGACTTCTCTAGCTTCTCACCTCGAGCTAGCATTTCCGATTGCTCGCACCATTTCATTTGCATCTTGTTCCCTTTTATATCTCTTCAATCTCCACTCTTCTTGTCCGACTGCGTCGTTCAACAATCTCTCTCCGTCAATCCGATCCAAACGTCATATACAAAGACTCTCCAGGCAGCGCCTTATTCCCACCCTCAAGACTTTACCACCCACCTCAACGCCGCCACTCTTGAAGAATGCGTGATTTAACCTTGCTCGTCTCTTTGAGCCTTATCAGCTCTGTCATCGCTGGTACGTCTCTCGCCACCATCTCTCCCTCTCGAAAACTGACTCTTACTGCAGCCCCAGCCCCCCAGCCCGGCCTCTCCCCTCTCTTCTCCAAAGACCCTCTCTCCCTCCACCGCCGTTCAGTAGCTCCTGACGCCGAGGCCGACTCTGTCATCCTCGCATACGACCCCGACGCCGCCTCCTCCGACGACACCCTCTCCTCCTCTTCTTCCTCCAACTCTGAATCCGACATTCCCATTGTTGCCACCGAGCCTGAAATGTATGAAGTCGAAGAAGCGCCGGCGGAGGATGCTTGTGCGGACGTATGTGGTGTGACGAGAGTGGAGGGGGCGAAGAGTGAGAAGGAGGCGCTTTGTAGCGGACCGGGATTGAGGGCCACTTGTGAGTCCTTCTTCTTGCAAGAGTGGGTGACAAAACTGATCTTGATAATCAGATACGTGTGCCCAGTGTATTGATCAGACATGGCCCGACAATGTATGGGAAGACTCGGCTATGGCCGAGTATGAGAAGATTGCTTCTGCGTGCGACAATTCTCTCCAGCAGTGAGTATTCTCGAAATGATCATGTGATGGTGTTCGTTGGCTGATTATCCGCAGACCTATTCGCCGAGGACGTGCTTCTGCTTAAGAATCCGCCTCTGCTTGAAATGCCTGGACCCCTCCGCTGTCGTACACGCCCATACACCATCACTGTATCACCAAACACGAACACGCACCAACTCCATGCCCGGCGCCTGGAACAATCTTTAGGCGGAGACTTGGAGACTGAGATCAGAAGATAGAGACTGGAAAGGAATTCAGAAGAATTTTCTCTGGAAGAAATAGAGACGCGTGTAGTAATATAGTATTTGTAGAGTGATGGTTTCAACATATACGGATAGTCGCTCATGAAGGGCAATTGTCATTCTTTATAGTAGTCAATGCAACGTATTCATGTCCATCATTTTTCCCAACTTGAGAGGTCAATGGTCAAGATGATACTTCATTTGAGCTATGCTTTTGAAGCTGACTACTTGACCCGACCAGAACAAGAATGCGAGCAAGGCATGAAAAGCAACCAAGCACCACCGAATACCCTTTTACTGTAAAATTACAACATTTGGAGAGAAAATGAAGAGCAAGGGAGCTTAGAGTCTCTGATGATGAGGCACACTCTCAACATGCTCCACCCCAGCCTTCTCAATACTCCCCTGTCTCTCAATCCCCGAGCCCGAGCCCGCCTTCTCCTCATCATCCAACCCCTGCCCTCGCCCCTCCAACCCCTGCGCCTGCCTCGCAATCTCCGCCTCTCTCTCCTCCTTCGTGATCGCCCCAAAGATGACATCCATACTCTCCAACGAGACACCCCCGGTCTCGGGCAAGAACAAGGCGCCGACAAAGGAGATCATGTTGACGGCGGCGAAGAAGAAGAAGATACCGCCGTGGGGCAGGTGGATGACCATCAGGGGGGTGGCTTTGGTCACGCTGCGATCCGTTCCGTGAGTGGGGGGTTCTTGGGGTGGGTGAGGGGGAGAGGGTGGACTTACGCAAAGTTCCACAACCACTGTGTAGCAGCGGCTGTCATGAGACCATAGTGTCGTGTTCGGTTGTTGAAGATTTCAGAGCAGATGACCCAAGGAAGAGGACCGACGGAGAAGCACTGTATGGGTATCAGTATATGTCTCTATCGGTGGGATTCGAGGGGTGGGACTGACGTAGGGAATGACGTAGAGGTAGATCAATACAGCTGCGACAAGTCAGCACGAGACAAGAGAAAGTAGAGAGGGGCACGTACCCATGCCAATGGAAGCAGGTGGGACCCCCTCAGCATCAGCAGCCGGCGGGTGCGTGTTGAAGACTGCTCCAATCTAGTCCACTCCCGTCAGCGCCCAGTTCACTTATTGAGAGCAGAAGGAAAGAACTCACAATCCAGAGGAACAAGGACATGAGGGCAACACCGAGCAGCAAAGGCTTCTTTCGTCCGAATCGCTCAACACCGAAAAAGATGAAGAGGGAGGTCGCGACGATCTTGACGATACCGTAGACACCGCTCGCCAAGAGACCGGATTTGCTTCCCTTCAAACCTAAGCGTGACGTTAGCCATCTATCATCCATCCATTCATCCAAGGAAGGAGAGGGGCTTACCAATAGACTGGAAGATGGTGGGCGCATAGTAAGAGATGGAGTTTTGCCCACTCCATTGCTGCAACGTGAAAATCACGAACGTAATGACAAATCGAATCCAGTTTCCCTTTGTAAAGACCTCCCTCCAGCTCGCCCCCTTTGTCGCACCCTCCTCCTCCTTGATCGCCGCCGCAATCTCGGCATACTCGAGCTGAACACTCGGGTCAGAGACGGGCAGTTTGCGGATCCAGGCCAGGTTTGCGATGGCGTCGGCGTCGCGGTGCTTGGTAGCGAGCCATCGCGGGGATTCTTTGAGGATGGGGAGAAGGATGACCATGATACCGACAGGGACAAACTGGAATCCGATGGGGATACGCCAGACGATGTTGCCGCGGGATTGGTCCATGTACCTGTGCCATGGGTTAGCGAGGGGGGGGCGAGGAAGGATGGGAGGAGGCTTTACGTGACACCATAGTTGACCCAGTAGGAGATGGCGACGCCGATGACGACGACGATCTGGAAGAGACCCGTGATACGGCCCCGGATTTCCTTGGGCGCAATCTCACCTGAAAATATTACATCAGCTTTTGCTCGACAGTTGGAGGAAGAAGAGATATACTGGCATAAGTGGGGCAGACTGAAGACATGAGACCGACACCAAAGCCAGAAGTAAATCTTCCGCCATAGACCCAGGAGAGCTGGGAGGAAGCGGCGGTTTGGAAGATGGCGCCAATGATGAAGATCCAGCAGCCGACTGAAGTTGGATTAGTAAAGCTTCAACGCTGTGTTATGTGGCCAAAGTGATTCGTACCCATGAGAGACTATTGCGGAATCAGCTATGATCCGGCATGCAGGAGCGGAATACAAGACTCACCCTCTTACGACCCAACCAGTCATTCAGCCAAGCCGCAATGATTGCTCCAAAGAACGCCCCGCCCTGGAGGATAGCCACGATATTACCTTTCAAATCCGCCACGTAGTCGTCGCTTCCTTCGATCTTGAAGGACGTCGCAAAACTCTCGAGGGCAATGACACCTCCACCGAGACCGGTGTCGTACCCGAAAAGGAGGATACCGAGAAAGCCGACGGCGGCGAGGAGGTATGAGCGGGAGTGGGCATGCCAGGGGCGGGCGGCGGCGGTGGCGGTGGGAACGATGGAGGTTTCTGCTGCTTGCTGACGCAGCTTCTTGGAGCTGTGGAGAGTTAGAGATGGTGGGTGTGTGATGAGATGCGGGAACGAACCCGAATCCGACCATGTTGGCTAGATTGTCAGCTTGTGGTAAATGAATGAGTAGATTCCGAGTTGATGATTGGAGCGAAACGATGGAGATGGAAGGGGAAATAGATGCGGGGGGATGTGATGTTATATGCATAGGTCTGCTGCCCATTGGCCAGGAAACGGCAAATCGGCGCGGACAGTGAGTACCATAGACAGAACGGCCCGGCGGCCCCGACGGATACAGCGGACCGAGGAATCAATTGACAGATGAGGCGGCGTACGACAGTGGAGAGGCTTGCCCGGGGGCCAGAGAGTTCGCCGCCAGCCGCCAGCCAGTATGACGAGGGTGCGCCCAATTATTACGGTGGGGAGCTCCACAGGCAGATAAGATCACGGGGGCGGTTTGAGGAGTAAGAGAAGATGAGACGAGTACCATCACAAGGAGCACGGGTCCATCTGTCGCCCAGCTGCAAGAGGACTATACCAAAGCAGCCCTCGAGAATCCGAAGGAAGCGGAAGGCTGAATGAGGGCGCCATATGGGAGACCGGCTGTTGAGATTTCCGCCACAGTCGATTGCTGGACTGTCACTCGTGACTTGCTGTTGCTGAAATGATGGGAGCTCGACGCGCCGGCAATCTCCCAGGCACCGGTCCGCCCAGCTGGAAAGCGTTTGTGGCGGTTCTACTTGAACGACCATGGGCCATGCATATGCGTAACGAAAGCTTCCATCTTTCTTTTGTAGCACCAATGCATACATGTACTCGATTATGGACCTTCTTGTGCCTCCCTCACACATCACACATACCCTCGCCAATAAGACTCCTTTGCGTCCATTGGGGATCTCGTGGACAGGGGCTGAATGAACGGCTCCGGGTCCGTCACGAGAACGAGAGCGCTTGTTTCCGTTGACTTTCCCGCTGTGGTGAGTCAGTACCAGGGGAGGAACTCATCTCAGCACACATCTCATCACTGCAGTATCATGTCACTGTGGTCAGTGGGACTCGAGGCCACGGGCCTCTGGCTAAATCAGCTCTCCGTCTCGATGTTTCACGAGTCTGGGTGCCTGCATGGAACGCGAACCTTTGTGTCTGCACATACACTCGCATGGCCAAAGTCCTACACTTCAAGCCCACTATCATACCTCATTACTGATACCTCTGCCTCCGACTCTTCCACTGCTCGAATTGAAATCTCTCATCGACCTCCTTTTTCAAATGATCCCAATACTCCTTCGCCCTCGACTTTGAATCCTTCGCACTCGGCTCGGTATACTCTATCACATCGAAAGAGAATTCACCCTCCAACCAAAAAAATCACCGCATTCCTCAAATGGGCATAGACTTCCCTATCGCGCTTCACCCAGTCGGCGCTGGTGACCGGGTCGACAAAGATTTCATCGCCGTCGAGGATCGAGAGAAGACCTTTGGTGAGGAGGTAGAGTTTCATAGCGCGGGCCCAGCGGTGGTAGCCCCATGTGTCGAATGCGCGAAGCTCGTAGACTTTGATGCCGTCGATGAGGAGGAATGGGGGTTCGTCGGCTTGGCTGGTGGGCATTGGGTTCCCCATTGTAGGAGTATTGGATGATGGGGGAGTAGAGTTGGTGGAGATGAGGGGGTGTGAACGAGCTGCCGTCTGACCGGCGGAGCACTGCTCATAAGGCGAAGTGGAAGTGAAGTGGTGATGTGGAGGCTACGCGTCGGCGACATCCGACCTGCGGTGTGATCTTCTGCTCTTTGCCTCTTTCGTTTCCATCTGTGATCTGGCGCTTGTCATACACTCCAGATACACGCTGCCATGACTGTGCATGTACTCGTACAAATCTTCGCGCAGATCAAGAGCCCACCTCCACGGCACAACGATCCTCAATAAAACGGTCTCCCTCCCACACCGCCCGCTCTGTTCCTCTTATACACCTCCTCCTTTATCAAGTCCCAAAACCTCCTCGCCCTCGAATGCGCATGCTCCGTACTCGGCTCCGAATAATCAACCGTATCACTACTCAGCGCCTTCTCCACCTCAAAAGCCACAGCATTCCTCAAATACGCAAACGCCTCCCTATCCCTCTTCACCCACTCGGTACTCGTCGTGGGGCTGATGAAGATTTCATCTTGCTGGAGGATGGGCAGGAGCCCTTTGATGAGGAGGAGGGTTTTGATGGAGCGGGCCCAGCGTTGAAATGAGTACGCGTCGAGGGAACGGAGCTCGTAGATCTTTATACCGTCGATGAAGAAGAAGGGGATTTCGCCGGCTGGGTTCATGGTGGGGTAGTATGGGGCTGTGAGGTATTGTCAGTGGTCGTCCCTAGGGCCCATGCAGATACGTACATTTCCAATTGGCAGCAGAGAGCTGAGGGTCCGAGTCATACGGCGGCGACAGGGAAGAACTGTAGAATGCGGTGGGCTCCAGGGTCTGTTGAACATGTCTGACCTTTGACCTGTTTTATAGAGAGGGAATGGATGGTAAACGTTTACAATCGAGCGTCAATCTCTATATAGCCGCACCAGGTGTCATGTCAGGGGATGATCATGAGATAAGGGCCTATTCTTGACGGAACAACGAGGCACATCAAGGTCACCGCCCCTTGTCGGCACGAGGCGGCCGCGTGTCCAATCCAAAGGAGTGTTTGTATAACTATGCGGCCTACCGGGAACCTCGCCGTGATAAGTGATAAGTCAGGGGTGCATACGATCTACGTGTCTGTTCGGGATTGATGGTATCATAAGTCGTCAAATCATGATAGTAATGTCGCGATGATGGCCTCTGATCCCTGTCCTGCCACAAGACTTTCTAATTGGATGATCATGCTGACACTACAAACCCTCTTGTATCTCTCATAAGAATGACATTTGAACACATTATAAGCTGAAAAATTGAAACTCTACACCAAAAAAAGAAACCCTCGACCCCAGCTTGTCATCTCTGCTCATTCCTTCTTCTATTCTATACAGCGTCTAAAACTCCCCAGGCCCTTTGCCAAAGTAACTCCCATCAGCCACTGTGTACGCCGGCACGCTATTTGCATCATACGTATCCGACCCCACCGTGTTGCCCCACCAGTTGAACGTGATGCCGTTGTAGGAGAGGGCAAAGAAGATGATGATGGTGGCGAGGGCGGTACCGGTGTCCATGGCTGCTTGGGTGAGGTCTATGGCGGGTGGTTAGCTACTGTTCGAGGGAGGAGAGAAGGAGGGGACGTACAATTGTATCGCTTCCACCAGGCGAAAGCCCTCGTTCGGATAAGGTAGTTGAAGATGAATCCAAAGATGAACCACAACGAGTATTGGGCTATCTCATAGTCAGCTTCACAAAATCGAGCAGAAGACGAGAGGCGACGTACTGGTGTTGGCGGGAGGGATGTTACCAGCAGCGTTGAAGAAGATCGGCACGTTGACCAGCCTGAGCCAACTGTTGGGGTATCGTCTGTACAGCAAGTACACTGCCACCGTCACCACAGGCTACACAAATCCCATCAGCCCTTGCTCGAACCCATGAGCAAAAGGAGACTCACGCCGATAGCGAAAAAGTACATCAAAGACGAATACACTTGCCCATGCTGGAACATTCTCTGCGGTCCGATGGTACCCCAGATGATGGAAGCGTTGTAGACGACCTTGGCGCCGGCACAAGTGAAACGGTCTTTGTTGGTAGATTTGCAGAGATCTTTGATGTTGCCTATCATCCAGCGCAGTACTAGAGACGGGTGTCGGCAGCAGGTATGGAGAGAGGAGAAGGGACGTACCACCGGTTTGAGTCATACTAGCCAGAACTGTCGAGTAAAGCTGAGCAGCAAACAACGTCCTTGGTGGGATTTTCTACCATCCGTCAATCAGCATTCGTGCTTGAGGATGGGAATTAGAGAGGGCTTACCATGTATTGACCAAGCTTCAAATCCATAGCAAAGTCCATTCCATGTTTGACAGAGTTGTAGCCATAAGTCTTGACCATCATATTAGCGATGGGTTTGCCGGGCCAGGCATAGCCCGCGATAAGTTCGGTGATGATATTCAAGAAGACTAGTTCCTCATCAGCGACTTGCTTATACAAGAACAGGGGTGGGGCTTACTTCTCTGATTGGTGGTCCCTTCCAAGATACCCTCCGGAACCAACAAGAAGACACACATCCCAAAGCAGACGATGATGAACCCCCAGACCGGCAACTGCGTATCCCAATACCTGATGGTAAAGATCCCCAGCCCAAGCACCACCACCGTCAAAATCGCATACCACCAATCCGGCACTTCCTTATACTCGTTCATCAACCTCTTGTGGATATCTTCTCCGCCATGTTTGGCGTTCTTGAACTTGGCCCAGATTTCTTTGCCGTTATAGAGGATGGTGTAAATGACGATGGAGGTGACGGCGGCGAAGGAGAGGGCGTAGGAGAGGGAGTAGGACATGGAGATGTACATGGGGGAGTATTCTTGGTATTGGGAGAGGACGAAGTCGAGGTTGGAGTCGATCACTTTGGTGATGTTGTATTTGCCGCCGGTGTTGTCGAATGTGGATGATGAGAGCAAGGGAAGGCTGGGAAAGAGTCAGATTGGTCGAGCCAAGATGATGAGAGAGGAGCTTACTGTCCGCTATACCAGACATCCTTGTAATAAAGCTGCATCCCAGCCATCAGTCAACGTTCTCAATCTCTAGGACATGAAGGGCTTACGATAGGGGACAAGAAGAGGTAAAAGATGACGATAGTCGCGAATGCGTTACAAGTGATGTAGAACGGGGTCGTCAGAGGCTGGCCGGCGTAGGTGATCTGGGTCCAATCGAGACTGATCGGTAAGAGACCGAGACCAGAGTTCATCTACCCTTTGCATCAGCACCCACTCCTCTCCAGTAGATGAGACACAGAGGATATGAACGTACGCCAAAGATGGTGTTGACTTTTTGGTTGTTTGGCGCAATCCACGTCGCAAACGCAAACGTACTCAAACTCGTCCAGATATAATCCGGGAACCAGTACCACACAAACGCTCCAATTGTAGCGTAGGAGAAGAATCGGTATCGTGTGATGGTCCAGCCGTTGGCGGGGGAGTGGTCTTGGGGTTCGTGTAGAGCCCGGAAAAGGACTGTGGAGGCGAGGGAGGTGGGCCAGATGAGGGCGGCGGGGTAGACTAGCCAGCGGCGGGAGAGACCGGCGAGGCCAAAGCTAGACATTCGGATTAGTGAGATGCTGTTGGGGAGGGAGAGGAGGAGCGACGTACCCGAGAGATTGAGAGGTGAGGAGGTAGAGGAAGGAGAAGCCCGCTCCCCAGTCTGACTCTCATATCAGCTTCGATCGTGTGACGCCCTGCGTGAGAGACTCACCTCTGTCCCAGTACTCGGGGGATACGATAGCCACAAGAGAACCCATACCATACGCCGTACTTGCTGTCAAGTTTACACACTGCATCACAATGTCAGCGCGACACGATTGATAAGCTAAAGAGACCGACAATAACGATCAAAGCGTGCTCTTTGATGGTGAACTTTCCAGGATTCAGGTAGAATGAAAATCGCCCAAGAGGGACCTGCCATTGAGGCAGTTTCTCCCAAGCTCGACCGATAGGAAAGACAAGCAATTGCGCTACAACATAGCCGATCGTCAAAGAGGGCTATCAAGTGGTCAGTATTCATCAGGGAAGAAGAATGAACCGGAGCGCTCACGTATCGGAGACCAAAGAATTGGTTCACACCGGCAAAGAGCATCACAAAAATTGTCATCAAGATCCAAGCTCGAACGGCTAGACAACTCGTCAGATATCGTCGCTGTCTGTCAAAGTACAAGACTCACTGTTGCAAGCCATGGTCGGGTCATCCGTGTTGGGCACACAAGCCGCTACTTCTGGGACTATGTCAAGTCAGCGGCTGCTCCACAAGCCTCGACACCACTCACATGGCGACTGGTCTCCATCGACAGCCCAAGTAAACGCCTCATTAGGCGTGAGCTCTTTCCCTTCCAGATGGTCTGTAGACAAGTATCGGACATTGATGTCCTCGTCAGAGTCCTGCTGCTTCTCAAGGTCGTTGCCGTATCTGTCCTTTTCCACTGATTTGGTATCGATATCGTCAATGGGGCGACCGTCGACTGGGGTGTCATTGGTGAGGTGTTCCGTGCCAACGTTGGCGGCGGGCATGGTGGCGGTGTGTTACTTTTGCGGAATGAGTGGAGTGAGAAAGAGGCATCTCGCAATCCCGCCGTGGTTTATAGGATTGGAGGATGCCGATAACCAAAAACCCGGCAAATTAATTGGAGATAACGCCATAGCGTGCGATGTATACACTCCAGGAACACGACTGCGGCAGCTCCTCCTGCGTCTCCCAGTTACTCCCAGTTTGCATTCCGCCTGTCTCTCGTGAGACATCTCCTGCTTTCCGTAGCCGCCGGGAGTACAGCTGAATGCATTTTCCAGTGTGGAGATGGCGGAAAGAAGGTTTATTTCAGGAGGACGGAAATACCGGCCTTGGCAATGATGGGCAAAGAGGAACCAGGAACGCGGCTAGATAACGTCGAATATCGCCTTCTTATCTTTGCAAACTTTGCCACTGATCGACCCGTGTCAGAGGTCGTGTCGTAAAACGAGTATATATAGAGCAGGCCATCATGAACAGGGCCACCCCCTCTCGAAAGAATACCCAATGAACACAGCTGACCACAGCACGCTCCACAGATACAAACTTTACCCAATGTACATGAGACTCATACTCTCCGTCTGCTCAAACTAAGCGAATCACGCCAGCTGTTGCACTCGCGCCCATATGTATATGTTCGTCTCTCGTCATCTCCTACACAGATATCTTTCAAAATCCGCCAATGATATTCCGGGGATATAAACATCACCTCAACGGGTAACGAGTCGTTTGGGCCGATGCGCTTCTCTTCGGCTCGGGAGTATTACCCGCTCACATCAACCATGTAACGCCCACTATAGCGCCCACATCGACATCCACTTTGACGCCCGCTTGCAAATCAGGCGCAGCCGGAGGCAAGAGGAATGATCGGGATGGTTGATGATAGTCATGATGTTGCGGTACTGTCATCAAACATTCAAAGGAGCATACGGCTCGAATAAGCTGACAGAGTCGCACGCCAGTCTACCGCAAGGTCTCATTGCGGCTGGGTACGTTGAGCAAGACAATTTATCCGAACAATGACCTGTAGACTTCAGCGCCTATGCGATGCCAACGAAGGCGCAATTCAGATCAGACTATATGGTCCGATCCAACCAGCGTCATAGTAGAGGAATGACCGGAACTGCCACGCCCCTCAGCGTCGTTGTCGGCAATCACCCACCGACGTTTGAGACTTCAAAGGCGCATGCTCCACCGCAGCCTCCGTCTTGCTCCACGTGCTGTACAGTCCATCATCATCGACGGTGGATTTGTAGTCTATGATAAACTCGGGAGGGACCGTGACGTTGCCTGATTCTATGAGATTTGACCGATTGACGATAGTTGCTCATCCTTAAGCAAGAAATTGAGCATCTGCATCATACGCCACCCATGATGTGACTCGCGGCTCTTGATGAGAGCATCCACGTGTTCGAAAGCTCCTCGGGTACATCAAAACTATCGGCTTGTATCATTTCTTCGGCGACAGTCCAGTCCCGCGGTATACGAGAACTGGCATCATTTGGAGGTGTAGTATTAGACGGCATGATGGATGCTGCCCTGTACGGTTTATGAGGAGGGTGAGATTATTAGACAGTTGGGTTGTCGTGGATGTTCTTGTGGAAGAGCCGGGGAACCTGCGATTTTATCATTGACTGACATTTCGTTACTCAAATGGATAATCACGTCCGAGGGAAATTGGGCAGGGTTCAGTGGTTTCTCGCGATGGTATAGCGGGTGGAACGAAGCTCGTCATGGTCTATAGACGCGTTCACCATTCGCTGTTGGGAAACGAGTAGTCAAATGGACTTTTGGTGTTCACTCGCTGACATATCACCGCTCTGGCCATGACTGCTATATAAAACAGCCCCCAAGCATCACCAAAGTCTGAGTAGCAGTACTCCCCAGCTGCTACCACTTCTTCTCATGATCATTGCATATTCATTGTTGTTTGGGCTCTCATCAGTCGCTCCTCCGGCTGCAGAAGCGACCTCACTCTCTTCCGCTTCTGAAACAGTCTGACTTTCCGATGTTTCTGGAGAAGAATCACTTTCTTAATCTGTCGTCTGTCCATGTCAGGTGACCTCGAGAGCATGCTCAACAGCTGTCTCCGTCATGCTTTCAGTAGCTCTCAGCTCGTCATCGTTGGTGATGGATTTGTAATCAATAATGAGCTCGGAGACGACTGTGACTCTTCCTTCTGCAATGTGCGACCTTGTCAATGCACGCTGAGAGACCATCCTGGAGTGTTCCATGGTAGTTTTCCATATGTCTTCTTCTTCCTTATCTATCAAACCTATGACACCTTACAGCAAGATCCGGGCTCTCACTTTGCATCATCATTACTGCCTTGGCTCTTGTCATCAGCCGCGCTCGTGCCGTTGGCAGTCGCGGCCATCTGAAGTCCCGATCGAAGCGCATGTGCCACGGCCGCCCTAGTTTTCTCCTCGGTTGCGCGCAATGCATCATCATCGGTGATGGACTTGTAGTCGATGATCAGCTCGGAAGGAACTGTGACCCTTCCTTGGGATATGTGAGACATTGCCGATGCTCGACACGACTTCAACCTCGAGGTGGATCAGTATCTACTTGTGTTCCGGGTGCCACATAAGCTGGGATGACTCACGCAGCCTTAAAGTCCTCGGGGACGTCGAACACATCTTCCAGCCATTGTTGGGCGGCTGTAGGTGTGGGTAGTCTCGACACTCGGGTGATGACCGCCAACACTTACTGCTCCGAAACACCCGCCAAAGTCTCATTGCTGATGAGACTCCAAGCCATGATTTCCGATAGTAAACTGAGAGATTCGCCCGAATGAAGACCTTCTTGATTTTCGTCTTGAAATCTAAGCAGATATTCTGTTAGCAAGTCGCTCTCAAACCACCACTATCCGGACTCTTCGGAATAGTAGAAGATATTGGGTGACTCATGTGACGAACTTACACTCGATACTCTTCTTGACGTAGGGGGTCATCTGCCAGTCCTTGGCCAACACCATTGTTGGCGCGGCGCAAAGAAAGGGCTTGTGTCGAGCCAGATATAGTCCTGAGTAAGCGTTTTATCATATGCGGGAAGTGCTCTGAGGAAGAGTCGAAGAGACTAACCCCTATTCACAATGGTTGCAAGAAGCCGTCTCACGTAGCGTGATCGCACACGGTCTTGCGATGAAAGGATCCATGTCGACAGTACGATTGAGCCTGCGCGGTAAAGCCTCCTTGTGGATGTGGATGAGAAAACGGAACCAATCAAGGGAAGACATGTAGCTTTCAACGCATTCACTGTCGTCAGGTAGCCGACGGGTCGTCCACCCTCTTTGTTCTGGTGGGAGCTATACTTGGGAAAGGTTTCGGAACAATGGATGGAAGAAGCACCTGGCGGACCAAAAGTTGCATGGCCGCACACAGCAATGATACGGTCAAAGGAGATCGTATTGTCTGATTTCAAACTTCTCGGCTGCTGGCTGCTAGTTGAGGGCCTTCGCACTTCTCATTGCTGGGGGCGTCGATCCCTTTTTCCAAGCTGTGAAGATTATGGGATGATCAAGTCGTCGGATGATGAGGAACGGAAAAGTTTGGGTTCTGGCAAGATGGGTAGCGTTCGATAGGCGAGCGAGGACCCCGGGAAGACCGTCCATGGGATTGGTGGCGAGTCGTTGACAGACGTGAAGCCAATGGCGAGACCACACCATATGTTTTCGAGCTTCTCCGTTATTCCTTTCAACTACCACATCCTTCTCCAAGTCGGCGACTGCTATGCTTTTCATGAGCTGTTCTTCCAGACCCTCGCTCTTCCTAGGTCATCGTCGCCTTGCAATTTTCACAACCCCAAAGCCATCCATGCAAGTACAATAATCTAGAAAAATTAGACGACGGTACCGGCGTTGGCGGCAATACGGGGCCAGAGGTCGGCACACTCCTTGGCAACACTACCCTCTATCAGCTACTGCTCATTTGAGAGGATGGAGGTGGTACTCACGGTCCCTGGATAGCACTACCCTTCATCTCACCCTTGGCGTTGACAATGACACCGGCATTGTCCTCAAAGTAGAGGAAGATACCGTCCCTTCTCCTCCAGGGCTTCCTCTGTCGGAGGATCACGGCGGGCATGACTGTTGCACCCGTCAGTCTCAAATGATGAGGGTAGAGAGATAGGAAAGTGACTTACCCTTCTTACGGAGCTCGGGCTTACCCTTCTTGACGGAAGCCATGACCATGTCACCGGCAGCGGCGGCAGGGAGCCTGTTAAGACGGGCACCGAAACCAATGACGGAGATAACGTAGAGGTCTGCACACACCAACGTCAGCTTTCGTCCCCATTCACGGAAAGAGGAGACGCACTCTTGGCACCAGAGTTGTCGGCACAGTTCATGACGGCACCGACGGGGAGACCGAGGGACATGCGGAACTTGGTACCGGCGGCGGCAGCTAAGACGGGGAGGGTTAGTGGAAGGTCGTGTGGAAGGGTTTGGGAGCGATGGGTGATGGGCGATTTCGGGATTTTGGTGTAATTTCGAGGTCGTTGTCGAATGTGAAATTGGTGTCGAGGGGTCGTATGGCGTGTCGTGTCGATACACTCTAAGTGCAGTGTCTCTCCCTGTTCGCTCCATCGCCCCCGCCCTCAAACACACTCTCACCCCATCCTCCACAACGCGTCCCGCAACCTCAAATTCCCTCTCCACCCCGTCCCTCGTCTGCTATGTCCTCCCAGTCGATGTCGGATTCCCATGTTCGTGTTGCCCATCACCCATGTGGCTGTTGTTGCTTTGCTGCTACTCACACTTGGCGGACATGTTTGCTGGTGGTTGTTTTTGACGGTTGAGAGGAAGCCTTCGATACGCTGTGACTTGCATCGAAAAGCCAGAAGAATTTCGCCGAGCGCGGGGTTATAGCGTGTGGCGAAATGTGGTACGTAATCATTGAAAGGATCGATTGCGTGTCGGCGATGTCCGCTGGATTTTTGCGCGACGCGTCTGAGTGATGATCGATCGCGAAATAGTCAATCGCCCAAGAAGACACCCTGTTGCTGTAGGGGCTCGTATACCATGTCCACTGTCACCCCCTCCCTCGCCAACACCACCGCCGCTTCCTCCCCCTTGCCTGCTTCCCCGCGCGCCTCCAACGAGGGCGACCAGGCCCAGATAGCCTCCAAGGACGTGCAAGACGCGCAGGACGACCAGGAGGAGACAGACGAGGATAAGCAGCTGGTAGAGAAGATGATGGAGGAAGTACAAGATGACCCTGAGGTGAGTACCGCGGAAGACTCGTCTCGTTGGATGTGGCGGTTGAAGCACACAAGGGTGTGTGGTTTGTTTGGTTCATAATCGCTGACTGTGGATGCTCCTTTGTCTTGCCTCTTGCTTTAATCGCATTAATTTGTCAATCTTCCACTCGTCTTTTCATCCATATCCCCCGCAATGACCTTCTCACCCTATACGCCCATCGACCCCACCGCTCCCGATGACCAACAGGCGTCCGCCCGCGCCTCACGCCTCTCTTTCCTCCTCGACAAATCGGCCATCTACGCCAAGATTATCGGCGACCGTATGGCGCGCCAGCAGATCGAGAAGCGCAAGGCGGAACAGCGAGCTGAAGTGAGAAAGGCCAACAAGGAGAAGAAGGCTGAGGTGGAGGAGCCTGTGGCCAAGGGGAGGAGCAAGGGAACGAGAGCAAGTGCGAGGGAGAAGAAAGTTGAGCCTGTGGAAGCGGAGGCGGAGGAGGTGAAGGGGAAGAGAAAGAGGCAGAGTGTTGGGGGGAGAGGCGAGAAGAAGGCCAAGGTGGAAGAGGAAGTGAGTGCTTCCATCTCTTAAGTCACTTACTCACAATTTCCAGGCCGATGAAGCTGAACCCCTCGAGTCACCTACCAAACCTACCGGCGACGCCGACAACGAAGCCGAAGCTGAAGCCGAAGAAAACATTCAATACTCCTTCAAACAACCCGAGCTCGTCACCGGTGCCAAACTCCGAGATTACCAACTCGCCGGCGTGCAATGGATGATCTCTCTCTACGAAAACGGCTTGAACGGGATCCTAGCGGACGAAATGGGCCTGGGCAAGACTCTGCAAACCATCTCTTTCCTAGCGCATCTGCGCGCAAAGGGGACGTGGGGCCCGTTTTTGATCGTCTGTCCGTTGTCGGTTTTGAACAATTGGATCATGGAGTTTGAAAAGTTTACCCCTGATATCCCTGTAAGTCTGCATCGAAGAGGGGCGGCAACATGGCTGACTTGTATCAGGTGATCATGTACCACGGTACCCCCGACTATCGCGCCGAGCTCCGCGCAACCCGTCTTCAACCCCCCACTGCCACCCCCATGGGCAGCACTTCCGCCAAGACCAAGGGTCGTAAAAATACCAAGACCGGCGGCAACACTACGGCCTCGTTCCCGATTGTCGTCACGACGTATGATATCTGTATGAAAGACAAGCAGTTCTTGAGTGGGATCATGTGGAAGTTTATCGTTGTTGATGAGGGGCATCGGTTGAAGAATCTGGATTGCAAGTGAGTCGGCTTTGTTTTGGTGTCGAGGAAAAGCTGATCTGGGGTAGACTTATTCGGGAGCTCAAGTCGTATACCAGTGCCAACCGGATGATCCTGACCGGTACGCCCCTACACGTACGTCCTCCCATCCATGTAAGGTCCACTTGCTGACATCTCGACAGAATAATCTCGCCGAACTCTGGTCCCTTCTCAACTTTATCCTCCCCGACATATTCGACGACCTCGACTCGTTCCAACAATGGTTCAATTTCGACGAGATGAACAACAACACCACCACCACCGACTCTCTCCTCGACAAGACCAAGGTCGTCTCCTCCCTGCACGCTATCCTGAAACCATTCTTGTTGAGGAGGTTGAAGGTGGATGTGGAGAAGGACCTGCCGCCGAAGAAGGAGTATCTGCTGTATGCGCCGTTGACGCAGATGCAGAAAGACGTCTATCAGGCGATCGCTACGGGCAAGATTCGGGAGTACCTTATCGACAAGGTAACCAACGGTGACTCTGGGGCCAACACACCGGCTGAAGAGCCTGAACCCGAGGTCGCAAGAGGCAAGGGGCAGAGGAAGAAGAACAAGGTCAATTATGCGATTGAAGAGAATGATAACAAGTATATCGATGATCTCGAGAGCGGCAAGACGAGGTCGACTGGGATCACGTTTACGGAGAAGAGCGCTACGGACGTTGGGAAAGAGTGGGCGCTTAAACAAGCTAGTACGTCCCTCTCAATCTTTTTCATGGCGTAGCTGACGGTGGTGTAGCCAAGCGAGTGAACAACATGCACCTTCAGAACATCGTCATGCAACTACGCAAAATCTCGTCCCATCCCTACCTCTTTGAATGGCCGAGCGACCCTACCACCGGCCAGCTGGTGGTCGACGACAATCTGGTGAATGCGAGTGGTAAGATGCTCCTGTTGAACAGGCTCTTGGACTCTTTGTTTGAGAGAGGACATCGGGTGCTGCTGTTCAGTCAGTTTACGACCATGCTCGACGTTATCGCAAGTCTCCCCATCCCTCCATAGATCCATATTGACGAAGGAGTAGGAAGATTGGGCGACATCATACAAAGGCTGGGAAGTCTGCCGTATCGACGGCTCCACATCACAAGAGTCCAGACGGGAACAGATGGACTCGTATAACGCTGGCAGAGACGACCCCGACGCTTGCAAGTTGTTCTTGTTGAGTACGAGAGCGGGCGGGTTGGGTATCAACCTCGTTTCGGCTGATACTGTCATATTCTTTGACCAAGATTGGAGTACGTCCCACTTTCCCACACATCGATGGATAAGGCTGATATGGGGGAACAGACCCGCAGATGGACCTGCAAGCCCAAGACCGAGCCCACCGAATCGGCCAAACCAAGCCCGTCCTCATCTTCCGCCTCGTATCCGCCCACACGATCGAATCCAAGATCCTCCAACGCGCGGGCAACAAACGGAAACTCGAAGAGCTCGTCATCTCGCAAGGCAAGTTTGGAGCGGTGGTGGATGAGAATGGGAAAGTGTTGTTGGGGCGGAAAGGGGAGAAGGGGGCGGGAGGAGCGGGAGGAGGAGGAGGTGGGGGGAAGGAGACGGTGGCGGAGATGGCGAAGGCGCTTTTGGCGTTGGAGGGGGAGGAGATTAATGTTGCTTCGAAGGATGATCAGATCATCAGGTAAGTTTTTCCCTCACTTTTTTCGTGCAAGCCGGTACTAATGGAATGTCAGTGACGCCGACCTCGACATCCTCCTCGACCGTTCCCCCGCCGCTTTCGCCCGAGAAAAGGGCTGGTCTGCCGGTCTCGGCAAGACGGGCGCCGACGGTAGGGCAGAGCAGCTCAAGAAGGGCGAAAAGACATTGTTTGAGGTGTTTGAGAGCGCAAAGGAAGGAGAGGGAGGGTTGAGTGGAATGTTTGGGGGTACGGAGGAGGTGCAGTAGACTACCAGAGTCGGCTTCTGGTTTTATAAAGCGAAGACTTTGCTTCTGTTGTGTTGTTACTTTTGACTTTTTACCTGTCTTCTCTTGGTATCCTGATTCCTCTTGGATGAATACACAGTAGTAGATAAGTAGATAGAAAGAGAATCTTGTATTTTGACGAAATAGTATGATATGCGCGTAATATGATATGCGCGTATTCCATTTACTTGGCACATTTACAGAGGATATCGATGAGCGAAGGGGATAGGCATGTGCAAGGAGGTAATGAGTGTTGGGCCACCGAGAGGCTTTGCTGGCTAACACAGATCGGGCCAAGGATGAGACCTCCTCGGCAATAGCGACAGGGATACGTATACACGATACCCTAGGCGTTGGTATCACACAGACGAGTAATCACCGACGGAAACAGGTTCCGGCTTTGGAAACATGCTTGCCAATCAACTGTCGAGTGTCGATCCTTGGGTGATGTCGAACAAACTTATCAGGCCGTATCATTCGCGGGTGATCGCAAAGATGGGTATCTCGCCGGTGGTAGCCAACAGGCAGGTTCGGTATTATATGTAGTACTTTGGCTTCAGTTGTTGTGTAGGGCCTGCAGAATGTAGCAAGGGGCAGATTGTAGCAGCAGGGCCACATGCAATCAAATGTACTCTCTTGGATGCCGACTATTCAGGATGTCCGGAAGCAATACCAACGAAACGACCGACGGAAAGTAGTTGCCGCAGCAGGGCAGGGCTCGGCAACTTATCTGATTTCCATTTTAGCGCGTATCGGGTGAACCTCCCGAGTGGCCAAGCGGTAGCTGCCTTTCGTAGGCCGTCGAGCATCATGGGGTATCGAGTTTGGTGACGGATTGCCGTGCTACTCCTCAGCGCAGTGTGATGGCGGCCCACATGGCAGTTTTGGAGCTGGGACTTGACAAGGTAATGCTGCACTGTTTTTGCCCTAAGTAAACACACAGCAGGCGTTGAGTTGGCTTACGAGAGATGCCAAGGAAAGGGTGGTCTATCATGAACGGAAAACTTTTTCCGTTGCCATCTCCCTCCTACCGACGGCGTTTCAGTTTGGTCCCCGCGCCCGCTTAGAGTTATCACCAAAAGCCCCTTTCGGTTCCCCGAACTAATCAACTGTTGAGATGTCATTAGAAAATGTGGATGTCGTTTGCTTATCTCGATTACAAATACGCGTAAGTTTCCCTGAAGGGGTATGTGCTCTTTGTGCTCTATGTGCTATGTGTTTTTGTGCACAACGCGGTTGCCCTAGTGTGCTCCACTCACACGGGCCAGGCAGAGCGAACGCCGCAAGGGAAACCAGGTATGTCCTCGGCGGATGAAGGTATGTATGCATAGCTGGTGACTGGACGGTCGCAGAGTTACGCGTCAGGTAAAAAAGGTCCCGTACAGGTCGATGCCCGGCCATCGTCTCATATCGTCTCACTTGCCCTTTCACTTCATCTTCGTCCACAGCGACTCGCCATATACACGGGTAACACCCGTTCACCCCCATCAACACATCGCCCTCCGCCCCCCTTCTACAGCCAACCATGTTTCATCACGATTTTCCCGGCAACCTCCCTCTCCACCTATATTCTCTTCCCAATCCCGTACCACAGCCTCAAGAAACATCCCATACTCACCACGATCTCGCTCAAGACACGGGCCTTGGACCAAACACCAGTCAGAGGACGTGGGATACATTTGTTTGGCCCCCTACTCCTTGGGGCCTTTCAACTCTTCCTACTACCGCTACCTCCCAAGCCCAAGTAGACGGGGCAAGGCTCGACCCATATCTCGCAGGCGCCGACACGCGCCAATCACCTCCTCGCCCCGACATTCAGCAGCCAATCTCCAACGACAACGCCCATCACGACCCTTCACTAGGCGCCTTTGATCTCGCTAACTTCGGTGACTTGTAAATCCTCTCACATGAATGTGTAAAAGTCAAAGGAGCTCATATCCAGTAGACACCGCCCCCAATCTTCACCGTCGCCCGCACCTGCCCCCACCACCAACTATCTCGACCAATATCTGCCTGAGCATTTCCAGTTACCATGGGCCATAGCCCCTCCTTCGGTCAAAAATGTTGCTCCGTAAGCCCGAACTCTTTGTCCTCGGTGTATCGCGAAAGAGGAGGCAGCTAATGTCAAGCCCTGAAAGTGCGCGGGTAAGGACAGAGTATGGTGACCGATATCAGCAGCTGTTACAGACGAAACTGTCAGACTCGCCTGTGACGCCGTCTACATCCTTTCCTGGGCCTGGGGGAGAACCATGTGCGTTTGGGCAGGTTGCGACGAGTGGTATGTTCTGTTTTCATTTCCACATGACGAGTGTCCTAATTGATGAAGGTGTTATAGCGCCCGTGACAGACATGAACGTTGGAGAGAGATATGACGAGTTGCTAAAGATGAAGTTGGGGTCGTATATCTCGGACCCGTCAGCCTCTACTTCTGGGGCGTCTGGCCAGGGGGAACAGGCAAGAGAGAGATACAGAACCCACGCCAATCTTCGCCGAAATGTCCTCGAAGACGGTTGTGGCATGATGTCTAGCGGGGCTGTACCTACCGTCGTTCAGCGGGGCAGTTTCGCAGGGCTCGGTCAAGATGTTGGTCTTAGTCCTGATGTTGGTGCTGGAAGTAGGAAGGGGAAAGAAAGAGCCTGGACGTATGTGATCTCTCTTGACCTTGAACCGATACATTCGCTTACCGACTCTGGAACAGTCACGACAACAGTACCATCTCTCCTCCACTCTCCCGCCCGGTCTCTCACTCGCCTGCGCCAGACTTTGCGAATCCGCAAGCATGGTCCGACCGTCTCCCTGCTCGTTCCGCACCGACAACAGGGATGGATGCGGGGTATCTCGAGACACTCTTTTCAGACTATCTTCCTCGGCCTTTGACGCAACAAGAGACGAATGTACGTCCTTTTCTTCTCGCAGACGAAGCAGCCACAAGAGAGATAAGCAGGCTGACGTACCGTATAGCAAGCGTACCCCCAATCATTTTCCGTACCGCCGTCGAGCTCGTATGAGCAGAGTCAAAGCCTTGATGTACCACTCGAGAAGAGTATTGGATTTTCACTAGATGGCAATCACGGTGGTCAGTCTTCGTCGAACTGGGACATGGCCGCCGCTGCCGATGACAACACCGAACGTCGAGCTTCGTTCTCCGTCTCCCCACCATCGCCCGCTCACCCATCCGTCCGATTCTCATACACGCCCACCCACCACTCTCCTCCTCCTGCGCCCTCTCGCCCTCATTCTTCGCTTGATACCACCACCAAAGAGGGCTCCACCTCATGGCAAGCCCCAGACCCAGATACACCCCCTGTCCTCAAGATCAAAGTCCACAAACGCAATATCCTCCCGCCTTCTGCCGATGAATTGGAGGATGCGGATATCCATCCTGTTATACGGATGATACCGCCTTCGTTCCCGCTCTTGCATGGCGGTGGTGATGGATGTTTTCGTCCTTCTTTTGGGGATGGGGAGGGAGATGATGGGAAAGGTGATGAGGAGGGAGAGGGGATGAGGATGAGGAGGGAGCCAATTGTGAAGCGTGAAAGATCGAGCAAGGGCAAGCGGAAAGCCTCCTCGCTAGTCGGCGATACCGAGAGTCAGAGCGAGTCGGAGGAAGGCGAGGGGTTTATAAGGAAGGGCAAGAATGGGCGAAAGATCTATGCCAAAACTTCTATCGCTTGCAACTACTGTCGGGTCAAGAAACTCAAGTAAGCTTCATACCCTCCTCATATGCTTTTGAAAACCTACTCACAAGTTGTATAGGTGTGATGGTGTTAGACCGATCTGCTGTCACTGCGCGAAGCGAGAAAGCACGGACTGCGTCTTTGCCGCGACACTCCGTCGCCGAGGTCCTGCAAAGACTGCACGTCGTCGGGGTGCGCAGAAGGCGGCATCTGTGAGGGGGGAATTGTCTTTGCCGGATGATGACGAGGAGTCGGGAAGGGGCGGAAGGATGGGAGCGAATGTGTCGATGTTGGGGGATGATCCTCCGCTGGGAGGGCGAGGGAAGATGGCAGGGTCGCGAGGCTCGAAGAAGCGAGGGAGAGCAGGAGGAGAGCGGGAGAGAGAAGATACTTGAGATGTTGGAGAGTATCTTTCTCAGCGCCGTCGTTCTTGTCGCATTGACGAGGATGAACAGGAAGGGGATTAATAAGACGGAGAGGATGGGGAGGAAGAAAAAGAAGAAGATGAGATCGAGGATGCTGGAAGAGCGAAGCTACCGAAGTCGCAGTCAGTCAGTACAGGGGTGACGCTACCGACATCGGGAACGAGAGGTGGAGCGGGCATTCTGACGAAGCGAGCTTGGATTCAGGGCGATTCGCAGTTGATCCAGCGCTGGGGCAGTGCGGCAGAGGTGTAATGGGAGATGCAGGTAATCAATAGATTGTAGAGCACTGTAGTATACTCGAGAGTCAACAAAACTGTATAGTACGCTTGAACATATTAGCATCCGGATGGTGACTGACACCACGATCGGTCAATCTACTTTATGCCGGCGGAATAGTGTATGTCCTTATCATTGCGGACTGGCCCTGATGCATTGCAAAGTATAATCTCATTCACTTTCATGGGGTGCCTGGCGCACTACAAGCACCCCCTGACTTTCGATCGCCTCTCTATACCGCAGCTTGAGTAATGAAAGAGCACACAAAGCAGTCGCGTTTTGTGCGAGTCGACCTCCACTCTCGCGTCGTGGGTCGGCTGCCGTTTCTTGTGCGAGTGCAGAAGATGTCTTTACATCTGTCCCTGGACTTTCGAAATCTCTTTTCTTCTGCATGCGCTATCCTCGATTTCCTCCTTACACCGCACGGCATGTTCTCAAGCGATCAAGATGCTCGGCCTCGGTGGGAGGAAGATGCCAAGGAGGAGACCTCGCGAGCGACTGCGCCAGTCCAAGCTGTCACCGACCGCAAGACTCGTATCCCTTTCCCGACAGCCGGCGAGGGGCCATCTTCAACCATCAATAACGATGAAGAATCGACCTCCCATGATGCGCCAGCCATCAACGACGAAACAGCATCTCACGTCGAACCAGCCTGGGACGACCGGCCCACCTTCGACGAACAGCCAAACATCTATCCCATCGAGCAACATGCACCATCAGGCCCATCATACGTCCTTACCTACTATGTACCCTACGTGAGTCTGCATGGGTGCTCGACGAGCATGTAAAGAGGATGCTGACCGGAGGACGCAGCCCGTGTTCTCTAATGAAGATACGGTCAACAAGCCCCACCCCGTCTACTATCCTGTCGTCGTCCACCCTCCCACAAGTTCGCCTCCTTTTCACACGGCCTACGACCAATGGAACTACAGCCAATGGAGATATGCGCAACCAAGACCTGAGCTACAGGTTGATGCTACCACAGGACTACAAGTACATTCATCCAGACACAGATCTGCGCCTTCAATGCGTTCGTTTTCTACCTGGTACACCCCCAGCCCCCACCTTGTCGATGACTCAGCGTTCTGGCAGGGATACATGACAGTGAGTCACGAGTACTGTGAGGGTGCCCCGTCGCTAAATTGCGCTTCAGCCTCCACCACCCCTACAACTGGACCCCTCAAGCTATGCCTGGCATAACGCACAGCCGCAGTATGGATACTACACCGGCCAGGACATGTATGCTATTTACGGAGCTCAACCTGCAATAGCTCAACAGGCAGCACCAACGTACCCAACCGAGATACACCGTCAAATTGAAAAACAGGGCTCGGGGCCCGCATTTCATCGTTCGAGTATCGGATCCGCTCTCGGGCGTGACCCGGCATCTTTAGGGTATAATAATCCAGTATGGCTCTATATGGAAATGGCGGAATCCTTTTGACTGATGTGGATTGGCAGTACGCGACGACGAGCGCTCAATATAGGAACCCGAAGCGACAGAATAATTCAAAAGCAGACCATAACCGTACCCAAAAGCCTGGATCGATGGGCCATCCGAAGAGCCAACGATCGCAGTATCCGAGAGAAAGTCAGTATCCCGAGCACACTCATCCCCAGACTCAAGTTCGTACCCAATTCCCATACATACTGCGCCTCTCGACTGACGGGTCTCTAGGTCAATGAAGCACCCCCTCTTTCTCAGCCCACCCCTTCCAGACGCCGATCATTCTTGGATACAAGACCTATCGCGAGCATGACGGGCTTTGTGAGCCGACACATCTCACGCTCAGCCTCACCGTCCAAACGTCCCGGCAGTCTGGCTGGATCCGAAACTTCTCGACAGTCCGAGGGAGGAGGCCAAAGTCGTGTTGGTGCGGGGCTGAAGCGACAGCTATCTCGTCTTCTGAGGGACAAGTCCGATCCTGAGGTGAGCAGTGTCTCTGCTAGTATACTCAATGTGGACTGAACAGTGTCAATCAGCCATCATACCCCAAACTCCCATCCGATGGGCTTCTCAAACCCCCTTCCACATCTCGCCCCTCTCGCTCTCCTACACCACCTCATACCCCCAAGAACGCGTCCAGCACCCCTCCCGCCCCATGGTCAGCTCGGGCAGAAAGCCTACAGGTAGTTGCGTCCGATACCCCAGGCATTCTTCGGTTAAAGAATAGAAAGGAAAGCGAAGGATGGGGCGTGGACCGTCAGCCGGCACAGTGGGACCGGATATGGTCGACTGCAGAGGCCGAGAGCAATACTCGTACACCGAGACCCTTCGACGTGGGTACTGGTCCGGCTACGTCGTTCCGTCATCACTGACACCGTAGCAGCCTCAGTCTCCCAAGCCAAAGTCGCCCAAGGTACCCATTTCCCTCTCATCATCGACTCCCTCATACAGCTTGAAGCCTCCCAGAGCCCAGGCCGATGAAGATGGTTGGCAGACAGTACGGCATTCCAGATCTGCCACTTTGATCATGAACTTGGGCAAAGGCAAGGGGAAGAAGGAGTTGGGGAAGGACTTGAAGGCTAGCCAGAGCTCGGAGACCCTTCAGAATGAGAGGAAGAAGGTTTTGGAGACAGAGGTTGGGGTCAGGGATATGTTTCCGGGTGCTGGTGATGGGAAGGCGGAGAGCGCGGGAGATGGTTGGCGCCGAAGCGATGCCGATGTGAGTCCTTTGACCATGGATTGCAGAGAGAAGGGCTGACAGGCGCTTAGGGACAAGTTTCACACCAAGCACGGAGTCTCGAACAGGATCTGGATATCTCAGGCTTCAATACTCAGTACGTATCAGAAGCTCACCAAGAATCCACGACGCCTAAAATCGCCTCGCCGAGGATATTGACGCCTGCACTGGATGACCTCGCCTCCCACAGTACGAATATAGTCGGAGATTCGCCCGCGGACATTGAACTTCAAGCCCCCCAAATCGAGGATACCATTGGAAATCCAGACGAATCTACAGCGACGAATTCCGAGAACGAAAGAGACGAGCAAGAGACGGACTTGATGACAGTGACGACGAGGGCAAGGAAGGAGGAGGAGGAAGACGCCGGGGCAGAGGTTCTGGATGAGGACAATCAAGACTGCGACCCGTCGGAATCTAGGACCGAGGATCGAACCTTCACTACTCCGAAACGCAAACATCCCAAGAAGAAAACACCAAAGAAGAACAAGAAGTCGCAAGACCTCAAGCCTCCTCCGCCTTTCTTGGACGACGACTTCCTGATACCCACTCCCCCGCGGTCGCCGGAACATTCACCAACACTCGAGACACTCGACGCCGATACTCCCACAAAGAAGACGCAAGGACAGAAGAAGAGAGAGAAAGAGAAGTTGAAGAGGCTACAGAAGACTTGGGATGAAGAGATATTGAAGGAGAAGGAAGGCTTCTACGAGTACGTCCTTGCCCACGATCTGATTGTCCTTGAGCTCACGCATGCGGTAGCGATTTACGAAATAGGGCGCTCACTGCCTATACATATGATCACACCAACGACTCCTGCTGGTGGTATACCGATTCTAACCTCCCTCCTTCACAGCCACCCGCATATTATGCACGCCGATACATCCCCAGAGGGACTATCTTCATGTGGGAGCGGCCTTTCATGTGTGTATACAACGATCCGGCTATGAACGAAGCCGCCACCCTTTTCACTGCAGGCTTGCAGCCAGGTGCAGGGAAATCGAAGTATGACAAACTAGTATCTCGCTTTCACAAAGCTGGGGAAGAGGGAAAAATTTGGTCCAATTCTATGATCTTGACCAATGATCCGAAGTCGAACTGTCACTGGTGGGGTCTTTATGAGCGACTCGCACTGATGCGCAGGAGCTGTCATTCATCTGCGATGTATATATGGGACGAGAAAAGGACTGTGGGATGTGAGTATCTGGGGAGCTGTGGTGTAGCATGACTGATAGTATTCACAGATCTTATCGCTCGCCAAGACATCTCCCGGAACAAAGAAATCACACTCCCCTGGACAGCCGGCATGGAATTCCAAGACTACGCCACCCGAAAGGCGTTTCTCCACAGCCTATACTCCATCGATAGCTGTGGGTGTTACCGCTGTACCCAATCACTCACAGTCCGCCGTTATAGCGATGGGGCGCGAGCTCGGCTACAGAACTTTTTCAACGACCAATCGCTTCCAATCTCTGCCGTACAGAGCCCTGTCCTTTACTACAACGCTATTAATACATGCTTGGACGATTGTGTAGGCGAGTGTTCTGTGGTCGCCATGGCGAAAGCTCTAGAGACAGGCTTCTGGCTGTGTTGTCATTGGAGCGATGCGGAGAGTGCGAAGGTCTGGGCTGGATACGTCAGGGAGGTAGACTTGTGGCAGTGGGGAGGCATTCTCAGTGGAAGAAGTGGAGCGAGTATGTGCGGTGTATTGAGCAGGAGGACTGGGATGGTCTACAAGGACAGTGGGGTCTGCACGGTGATATGACAGTAGGCGAACCTTCGTCAATGCTTATCGACGTAAGCTATCTTGATACTGTGTGTTGATTGGGACTTGCTGATCGGACATGGTCAATAGGTCGTCTTCCGCCGTTCCACTTTCAAGTACTTTGAAGAGATCTATGCCCAACGCCGAGAAAACGCCCTGGACGGCCCTCCTCTTCCAAACATAGTCACACCCAGCAAAGAAGATTGGGCGACGGCTCGCGAGAAACGATTCATGGACATGGAGCGATTTCACAACTCCAACAAAGTATCGGCAGGGCAGCTCAAGGAACCAGATACGGCCGGGGATGAAGAGACTTTGGCTGAAGGTGAAGAAGAAGGGACAGTAGGGAAATGACGAGCAACGTGATGATACGACAGTTCAGATGAACCAACAACATAGCGAGACCTTTTGAGTGATATGCCAGCGCGTTATCTCGCCAAATGAATTCTCCATCGCGTTATGGGCGCAGGCTGTAGATTGTTGCTGCCGAGTTGAGCGAGTAGAGAGAGATTGGCGTAAAGACAGTGCAAAGATATCTGTGGGAACCGGCGGCCGGAGAGCATGTGGCCCAGGCACATCTGCCGCGTTGTCGGTTTGTTTTCCTTTTGTCCTTTCTTTTGCTTTTGCTTTTCGTTTTCATCCGCTTTCTCGCCAGCCCTGCCATGGATCCCACGCTCTCTTCCACCACACTATTATCACCTATCACCTCACACGCTCTCTCCTTCCTCTTCACCTCCTCCTACGTCGGCTCCCTCTACACTACCCATCTCTTCGCCGCCCTTCCCTCCCCCCGAACCACCCCCACCGCTACCCCGCCAGAAGCTGCCAATGGGCAAGTCCCCCTCCCTCCCATCTCTGCCGACAAAGATGCGCTAGATGCCCAAGATCTCGAAACGGGGCCCAAAGTGGGGAGTCGGGACCACCCGCTCACGGTCCGCGCGCGGATGAAAGCCGTGTCGTGTTCGACGCTTATTTCTATCTTCGGTGTCTATGCCACCTACAAACACGCCTCCGGTTCTTCGTTCTCAGAATCAATCATTCCCTCCCTTAAACTCATGGGCTTGCCAACGGGGCTGACAGGGAGTGGGGTGGGTCTCGGCTTGCCGAGAATTCTGCCGTATGTGTTGGCGCCGACAATGATGCTTGGTCCACTATACGCCATGTACCTCTGCGACGATATCCCGATCAACAGCTGGCGGAGAAACTCAGAGCCGTGGTCGGCCATGCTGAAGCGTGAATTTGGTCTGCTTGAAGTACGAAATTATGTCGTCGTGAGTACCGTGCCTCTGTTCATTTCGATGCAAGTGCTGATGGATATGCAAGGGCCCGTTGACAGAAGAGCTGGTCTTCCGATCCACTGTTCTCGCTGCATCTATTCTCGGTGGGCTATCTTTCAAGTCTCTCATATTCGGTACACCTCTCTGGTTCGGACTTGGTGAGTCTTTCCGCGACTTGTAGATGGGACAATACTGATATCTGTGTCAGCCCATGTCCATCATGGATTAGAGTCATACCGCAAGAACGGACGTACATCTCAAGCAGCCTTTCATGCCCTTTTTTCTTGCCGTGAATTCCTCTCTTCTCCCGTCTTCGCTCAGGACTAACGTGCCGGAATAGTGTTCCAACTAACATACACTACCCTCTTCGGATGGTTCGCTTCATACCTTTTCCTGCGTACCGGTAAGCTCCTTTGTCGGTCTCTTGAGTGATGGGCTTGTACTTATATCATTCTCAGGATCAGTGGTACCACCCCTAGTCGCCCACATGTTCTGCAATGTGATGGGGATATATTTTCCTGGGAACGCTATCAGAAGAGAACCGGGCAAGAAAGCTCGTAAGTTGCCATTCATCCTCTTGCTATCTTTCGTCGCCGTTTCCCATTCCCTATGAAACAATCTGGCGAGGAATATGGACGTCTGCTAATGGATCTGTCAGTCATTTACGGAGCTTATCTCGCTGGTATCGTCGGCTTCTTTTTCGGTGTCAAAGCTCTGTAAGCTTCTCTCCCATCAGCAGAATATACAAAGGAGGGAAGGAGAGGTACGAAGGAGGGAGGAAGAACAGTCAACCTTGGGCCTTTGTCGTTTTCATTGCATGTAGCATGTACTTTATGTCTACTCCTTTTTGAGTCACGAGGCTATTGATAGCAGGTTTTGCACCGAACCGTGCAATCCTTTCGGCGATCCAGCTGCCTCTGCTCCGATACTTCCAATGTTAGACGTCGGCATAGCCAAGCAAGGTCCTGGCTTGGTGAGAAGGTACAGGTGGTGCGTGCCACTCGAATGATGAAGTCGTTCATCACCAACGGCAAAGTCAGCGTTCCCCCCGAGCTAATCATCGACTACAAGGCCATCAAAACTGATGAAGAGTTTGAGGCAATCGCTGCAACAACACGGACAGCTGTAGAGCATGCCATTGCGACAAGACGTACCTGGGGGACTTCCAGGGCGTCGGGTGGACGAGGAGATGCTGCATCTGGTGCTTCCGATGGTGGTGCCCAGGAGGATAAAGAGGAGTGAAGCTAGAAGATTATTTCCAATCTGCCTCGGTTCAGCCGGCAGGTTGAGCTCCATAATTTTGTCTAGATGAATGATGTCGATCCGGGTGCTACTGCCTTCTCACTTTTGCCCGAATCATAGTGGTGTTACGGAAAGCAGTGAGGATCAGCTTCTGCATGCACTTTTTGACGGCCTCTTCTGTAGAGTCCATGGCACTTGTCGATAATGTACTACGGTGCTACTCTGACTGACAACGTCCCCGCTTGTCGTCTTCTACCGCTATAGCATACGAAGAGAGAAAAAGAAGAGTCAGTTCCGCGTCTCGTCATTACCGTTGCATGTCGCATACCGGCCGCATATAAGTCATCCTCATACAGCCTCCCCTGATAGCACGTGTCCCGCACCCACCAGCTGTGCTGCACGTTGGTGTTACCCTTATCATCTTCACCCGATCCATTCTGCTTCACAACCTTCGCCCTCCATTCACAGAAGACGATCTAAAATCACGTCGCAAGCAGTTCGAAGGCCCGGCAAAATTCCCGAGCCGAGCTGCCACCGAATACATAAGTTTCTACTGCCTTCTTTGGACTTTCTTGTGGTTAAATAGATTGATAGCGCCGCCACAACAACACCAGTTTTCTGGAATCCCCGCAAGTCTTGCCACCCTTTCATCGGCTTGTCATGTTCATCCTAACACCTTCCGCGGCTGTCTGGTATTGGTAGATTGTTGGTATTGATAGACGGTCGAGTATTGATAGACCGTGCCATTTGAACGACCGTTGAGCCCGATCAGGGAGGACCTTGCACAATGAAAGTACTCGCTCGTATATATCCCCCAAACTTTCCTGACGGAATAAAAACCAAACGACACCGCAACAGTATCAGTCATTCCCAACATCTGACAAACGCACAAGTAACTCGACATGGCATTCAACGAAAACATCAACGAACAGGGTTTCACTCCCCACACTATCGACCCAACACAACAGATGTTTGAAAGACTATCCACAAGATTCCACATGATGTTCTATGAAGCATTGAATGATCCGTCTCATGCTGAAGATAAGTTATCGTAAGTTCACCTTGCCCCTCGCCTCTTTCGCCGATTGTGGATGTACGGTAAGAGTGCTGATTGGGAGCTAGGTTTGAGGATCGAGACGGTGACGATGCGGATCTGGCAAAAGCCGAACAAGATGCCTGGAGTTATGTGAGTAACGGAAAGACTGAGGCGGATTTTGAACTCGAGTGAGTACAGGATCTACGGATAATCGTGAAAAGGTATTGGACTGACGGAAAGGGGCAAAGGGAGGGCGGACTCGATAATCTATTAGAACTAGCGCCGCCTTGGCTCAGAGATGAGTACGTCCTGTTCCCTCTCGCGTCTGCTCACGCCACAAATACACGAGTACAGTATGAGATGATATTCTGACGAGAGCGATAGGATGAAGGGCACGACACGAAAGATGCAATCGTTCATCACCAGCGGGAAAGTCAGCGTCCCTCCAGAGCTCATCATCGACTACACGGCTATCGTGACTGAAGAAGACTTTGAGGCGTCTGCTGGTACAGCGCAAGCAGCTGTGGAGCATGCTCTTGAAGCGAGGCGAGAATGGGCTTTCGGGACGCCAGACGAAAGTGGGGATGCTGCTTCTGATGTTTCGGAGAGCGTTTCGGATTCGGAAAGTGGTGAGGAGGATGATGAAGACGAGATTGTGGGAACGCCATGATCGGTCTGCGGACATCGATTGTAGTTGTGAATGAAGCAGGATTTTCAACAAAGATTCTCAATGCATAAAGTCAATGATGCAAAAAGAAACCCTTAGTAGACGTAAGCAAGGATCTTGCCACCAACCTATAGCCCAAGTCAGTACATGATTGCAAACTCCAAGTAAATCCAACTTACGTGCTTGTTACGGGCCTCGGTGTGGTCCATGATACCAGCAGAGGTAGTAAGGATGATCTTACCGAAAGATCGGGCGGGGAGGAGCTGAGAGACCCAGTTCTCGATAGAGTCGACAGAGACGTTGAAGCGGGGGGAGATGACACCACACTTGTTGAGTCGACCGTTGAGCTGGATGACAATCTTGCCACCTCGGTGGTCGTCAATGACCTCGAACTCGCCGATGTAACCTGAGCCAAAGTGTCAGCTTCTGAATTATCGAAACAAAAGCTGATAGCAATCTGGGAATGTGCTCCCCCAATCAGCCAGCCCTCCGGGACACCCCGGCCATGCGGCCTTGAGCGAGAAGAGCTGGATTAGTTGGGGAGTGTATTTTGATTTTCCGGGGACTTAAAGCCTCTCCTCGGTGTGAAAGAGCGAAGAGTTGCAGTTATTCTCCGGGTGGAATGTCGAGATGGATTGGGGATGGACGGAAAGATGGGAAAGGCGACTAACCGTGCTTCTGCATGACGGAGAGGACCTTGACCACAACCTTGGAGGAGGGGTGGATAAGGACCTGTCGCTTTCCTCGTCGCTCGGCGTTGACGATGTTGTTCTGCAAAATTTCGTCAGCATGGCCTCTTTTGATTTTGCGTGCTCCCTCTTCCTTCCTTCATCTCGACATTGCTCTCCATCCCCCCAATCTCCTTCCATAGTCCCGAGTCCTTCCTCCTCCATTGCATGAAGTGGACGATACTCACGAGGCAGTCGTTAAGAACGGAAACTCGGACCATCTTGCTTGTTTTGGGTTGTTTTCTAAGTTGAAAAAAGGTTGGTGTCAGAAACTTGCGGGAGATTACTCGATGCGGGTGTGCTCACTAAAGCAGCCGTAAAGAGTGTAGGTGAAGAGGGGTTTTGGTGCGGAGACGAAAAGGGCCAAATTGTGACAAGATGGCAGAGTTTCTCGGCGGAGGACGCCGACGCCTCGGTCTTTGGCGGGGAAAAGACGCGTGGCAGGGTGGGCGGTGATGGCCGCCGACCACGTGGGATGCAATTGTCTTTACCATTTCGTTGCACTTTTGACAACAGCGGCAGCACGAGCAAGATGGCACCAACCGCACCAAAAGGGAAGGGGAAAGCTCCAGTGGCGGTCCACGACGAGTCAAAGTCAATCCGCGCACAGTCAAAGAAGGACAAACCAAAGCAGGACAGTGCAGACAAGAGTGCTCTCAGCAAGGATGTGCAGAAAGCAGTATTGGCCAACCCCTTGACCGTCCCTTGGTTCGTTCAATGACATGTTTAAAGCGCACTACTGATACAGCAACAGGCCGAATATCCCAAAATACCTCCAAGACAACGTCCTCCACCTCTGCAACGAGCTCGTCCCGTCCCACGTCGCCGACTACCATGTCCTCCGTGCCAGGTGTCAACAATCCGACAAGCGCAGAAGAAGAGCCCAAGAACACAAGGCCAAGAATCCACCTAAAGATGAAGATGCGACAATGTCTGAACCAGAATCAGAGTCTGCCGAAACAGGCCAAAAGCGCAAACGGCCCACAGCAAGTGCAAAGACTGCTACGACCTCTGGTCCGCCTGAGAAGCCCGAGATCCTCTCTCATCTCGTCATGGGAATCAACGAAGTCATCAAGGGTCTTGAAACTCAGATTGATGATCTGAAATTGCAGCTACTTGTAATGGGCGATACCCTCAACGGGAACCAGCCGGGCAAACCTGGGAAACCCGACCTGCTTCCTACAGCTCCTCGCTCGCCATCTCCTTCTTCTGAGGGCGACGTCGAAGATCTATCAGACCCTGCGCCAGCACCCAAAAAGAAGGCACCCCCAATCACATTCATCATCGTCCCCCTCCTCTCCATCAACCCCCAATCCCTCGTCTCCCCCATCCCATCCTACTGCGCCACCTACAACGCCCTAGCGTACCAACACGCCCAACTATCCAAAATCCTGCAGACTAGGTTGAAGAAGGAAAAGTGGGCGGACGTTATGGGAGAGGAGAGGGAAGAGGTGAGGGTCGTGCCGCTGGGAGCTGTGGAGAAGGAGATGGCGGAGATTGTTGGGTTGAGGCGGTTGGCGTGTTTGGGCATCAGGGTGAGTCTTCTCATGCGAGATGATTATTGGGAGAGTCTTAGTTGAAGAGCAGGAATCGCATCCCGACGTCTCTCGCCTCCAAGAACTCCTCCCCAAAGCGAAACTCCCCCCGCCACGCCATAGCATCACTCTTCCCTTCCCCACTTCTTCCCTTACCGTCCACACCGGTCGTCAATCATCCTCCAACCCTCCCAACTCCGCCTTCTCCAACCCCCAGAATCTGCCCCCGGTGACATACGCCGCACTGCATATCAAAGGTATACAGACTAAACAGCCTGCCGACGGGAATTCGCGCAAGGCGAAGCGGTTACAGGAAGTGAGAGGGAAGAGGGAGGAAGCGAAGGCGAGGAAGGTTGAAGCGAAGAAGGCTGGGAAGGGGAAAGGGAGTAAGGGAGAGAAGAATGGGAAGGGGAAGAAATGGACGGCGGCGCAGGTGGAGAAGACTGCGTGAAGAGCAAACAGCATTATCATCATCACATCCGGCAAATGCATGGTCATATCATATCGCAAGACCAGCAAGTCACCCACCCAACACAACACAGTGCGATCGGCTACATGCATAGCGTATGTGCCTGGTCGCCTTTGAGCTAACACCCAGCCGACACTTTCTTTCAATAGTAGTGTATTCATCTCAAAGCAACAACCAAACGCTTAGCGAATAGCGTGAAACAAGTGCAAAAAGCTAATTCAAAGTATCCTCAGCGACAACGAAAAAAGATGACATTGCTCTTGCTCAATCTCGTATCTCCCAACCCTAAAACCCAGCTCTGTCAGCTACGCTATCACGGCAAACCGAGGACTCACGTTGAAGTACCCATACCCTCCAAACCCGCACTTGCCTGGCATCCTGCCATGAAGAGAATACCCAGTCATCAACCTAGCAGAGCATCGTGAGTGAACGCCGATAATCGCAGATGGAGGAAGACTTACGCGCCAAGACCATAGTATCGCCTCCAAGAAGCCGCCGTATTATCAATCTTTGTCCCCACACCCCACGATAACGACGTCCCTAATGGATGCGGCATACCCATCGCCTATTCATTCTCCTCGTCAGCACTACCCTCTTGACCTCGAAACCAAACGTACTCCTGGTCCAACCCCGATATTCGGCCCGGCATATCTCGTCTTGACAGCAGGGTAGATGGCCACACGCCCGCCGCCTGGGAGGGTGTATGTTGGGAAGGGGAGTTCTTGGGGGTTGACGTAGGGGTGGTGGATCTCGGTGTGGTCGATGTTTAACGGCACTGCGAGTACATCGCTCAGTCGGAGATAGCGGAGTGGTTCTAGACTTACTCTTGGAGGAGGGAGTTTGAAATGGTTGGGCTGGTGCAGTAAAGAGCGAGGTGTCTCTCCAACAGCTGGCGGCTCAGATGTTGGTGATGCTCTTGACTTTATAAGCGTTCGTGACTCCTTTGTTCGTTCATATGCCTTCATTCTTGCCGCCCATGCTGATCAGTCTCGTGCTTCTTAGCAAAAGGAATGGATCTTCCTTTGTCCTCGAGAAATGGCAAGCCAGTGCATGCTTTCGCTGGAACGCCCGATTATCGACAACTGAGATTGTATTCTACAACAGATGATCCCGCGAAGGATCCAAAAGAGCGGTCAGTAAACGGACCTGCCGTTCACCATCCAAACGCTTCGGTATGCACCTGCGTCGAGTCAGAATACGCCCCTAAATACAAGGCATAGTATATGACATACCGTCACACCACCGATATCCCTTCTCTCCTGCCACGGCACAACCCTCACCGCCTTCTTCGTCTCATTCACAAGCCTCATCGGCCCGCAAACGCCCACCACAAGCCCGCAAGTCCCCACATTCCCACTCAACACCTCCACCCTCGTCCTACTGACAACCCCATCAAGGATGTTGGCGAGCTCGGGGCGGCGGTGCACGATCTCGATACCGCCCTCGGAATAGGCAGAGCTGGATTGGGAGCGGGTGAGGTAGATGGATATTTTGGGGGTGAGGTTGGTGGTGGATGCGCGGGACATGAGGTCGACGAGGCGGGGGATGAGGGGCTCGGCGTCATCTGCGACGATTTGTAAGTAGTGATTTGGGAGGAGAGCAGGAGACGAACCGTAGTTCTTGCAGACCCAGACAAAGTGGATTGTCTTGGCTCGGCAGTGTCCCATGAAAGCTTTCTTGATGAGATCGTCCAGTACTGACAAAGCAAAGGTTACACCGCTACCGCCAGAAACCAACAGTACGCTCGAGTAGCTCGCCATGACAAGAGGACCAGGGCCGCCCTTTCACCAAATCAGCATACGCTCCCACCACGAACAGGGCCGACTCACATATGGACCTTCAACGATGACCCTACACTCTTTCCCGACATTCGCATACCCCTTCTCCATCCCCTTCTCGCCATTCATATCTCCCTGGCTAGCAAGCTCATACAAAGCTCTGGTCCAGTCCCCAGCCCTCTTCACCACCAGCACCATCTCATCCCCCTCGGCACTCGCCACACTGAAAGGGTGGTTCTCCCAAAAGCTCATACCGCCAACTTGACGCAAAGCGGGGACACGGAGAAAGACGTGTTGCCCTGCGCGCCAGCCGGATTGGAAGGAGGTGATGACCTGAATGGACTGGGAGCCGGGGAGGGGGACGAGGCGGGCGTTGGTGACGCGGGTTTTGAGGGCGAGGCGGAGGATGATGTCTTTGCCGTAGATGATCAGGGAGACGATACTGAGGAGTTTTGTGAGTTAGCGGCTTTGGATGTTGAAGGGGGTGCTTACGCCAGCATTGCAGTAGGAGGCTCGTGATATGCGAGGGCGATAACGGCAACAGTGTAGCCGATCCAGTGACACATCCAGAAGAAGCCGTAGATCCTGGTACGGATGAAGGGGACGGAAGTGACACCCATGAACATGAATGCTGCCCAGGCCACTATCGTTTACCATCAGCTCTGTCCTACCAATATGATTGGGCTGAGCTTACCGATACCGGCAGTGATGAATGGCGTCGAAGCTGACTCAGCAAAAGTTCCTTTCTTGACCCATTTCACAGCTGCGATAAGGTCAGTGATAGGAACATGCGGCTACGATGAGAAACTTACCGTAGTATCCAGCATGGAAAGTACCGCCAACACTGCAAAGATCATCAGCACCCGGTAAAGTGAGGGGCTTATGAATCACTCACAAAAGTAAACGGCCGGTGAATCTGCGTATAAAAATTAGCGACTGTCTCAACATGTCTTCGATTGACTTACCGGTGCAGATAGTTCAACTTCTCGTAACCCTTACCGACCAAAAGGCCAAGATCATTGACCTTCATACCCAGACCGACCACCACAGGCAACAACCAAACAGCAACGTAGCCTGCTCGATTGCCATCCGCAAGAGGACTATGCTATCGTCAGCACCCGCTACCAATGGGTTTCAAGGCGACTCACTCGTTCATGTAGACCATGCTGATCACGAAAATTGCCACCCAAGCTCCACAGACCGCCATCTGCCCGATAGTCATATGCGCATAAGGAACAGTGATATTCACCAGCTCGCCGCCCGGTACGACGGCGCTCATACTCGGCCAATGTTTGGGAGGGTTGTCGGCAGCTTTTGTGAGGCCACCAGCGTACGCGCTTGTCGAGCCGGCCATGTCGTTGTTCTGTGGCTCTTTGGTGGAAAGAAGGTTGCCCTTGAAGAACTCGCCACCGTTTGACGAAGAGGCTAGGCGGACGAGAAGACGGGGAAGGTGGGAGAGGAAGAAGAGGGCGAGGAGACCGCCGGCGAGGAAGATGAGGAACTTGGGAGGCTCGGTAGTGTCAGTGCCACCGCCCCCTGCTCCTCCCCCGCCACCACCGCCGCCGCCTCCAGAAGCAGCAGCCTGTGTTGAGCTGGCAGAAGTGGTGTTGCCGGTGCTCAAAGATCCACCAGAGCCGCCGGCGGCTCGGATGGCGATGGCGTCAAAGGCCGTGTGAATGAGGGTACTGTCGAAGGACATCGAGCCAGCTCGTGTGGTGTCGTAGGGTGGCGTGAAAGCGAATGGGTGCCGGACCTTTTGAAGAGAAAAAGAATAAGAATACTGTGCAGCACGGACCAGCCGTTTTCGTCAAAGTTGAATGAAGAACAGCAAAAGAGTCTAGCTTCAGCGTAGTACTGCGAGTCGTTTATCCGCTGTTCTTATATACCATGCGAATGTATATTTCCTGTCACGGGGTTCGGAGAACTATATGGAAACCACCCCCAAAGCTATGTACATCGCTCAAGCAACACCCTAATGATTGGCCAGGGGAGATTCGAGGCTCGTTGTTTGCAGGGGCCGAAAGGCTGCGCTCCGCCAGAGTGACGATTTCAGCGATACACGCAGCGAAGGAGTGCAGAAGGCGCAGAAGATGGCGAAGGGCGGCACGAGATAAGAGGCAATGATGCAGGAAATGGAACGGTAAACTAGCAACCAGCAGTGTCGGGGACGGTTTTGTAGAGACGACGGCAGCGTCCGCAGCGTGGCGAGGGCGCGTAACCAGGTGCAGCATCTTTGGCGTGTTTGGTCGCTGCCATTTTGACCGCCGCAACCCTTCATTGCTCCGCCGTCCGAGTGCCTATTAGGTGGTGAGTCATTCCCATCTATGATGAAACGGTGGCGTGATGCGCAAAGATGTGCAGGGGAAGTATCAATCAAACGGGAAGGAACCAAGGGAGCGAGCGTGTGGCGGTTTGGGTTGCCATGATTGCAACTTGATTATTGGCTGCCGAATTGTCTGTCGTTCAGATATATAGTCTAGGTTGTGTACAAATACGTAGAACTTGGTGGAGCGTAGTAAAGCGACGTGCAACTGTGAAAAAAGAGGTGAGTGCGGTGGAAGAACATTTGACCGCAGCATCCGCCGCGCACTCTGCAGCAGCTTATACTGCTTGTTGTCTATGATCTAGAATTTGCAAAAGACGGCCAGGCCTGTACTGAACAAGAAAGCACACTGCACAGACAACATCATGATGATCACCACGCGGCCGTTGCATGCCATGGTACTAACCAACGAACGCGCCCATCCAGCCCTAGCTGCGGCACAACAATAATACTACGAGCTCAAACATCTAACAGCCTACTCGTAGAACTCAACCATATCTACCACACCATTATCTACCCTATCGTCCCACTTCTCTCCTTTCCTCTCGCGCATGGTAGGAAGGACGGGGGCGTTGGGTTCGCCGGGTTTGCGTTTGTGGGTGTGGGTGATAAAGTCGTCCCAGTTGAAGCCACCGAGTAATGCCTGTTTGTTTTTGGAGATGATGATAGAGTGGGGAGTCAATGACGAGAATGATCAGGCGACAAATAACGATCGAGCATGGACATGAAGACAGTCAGCTATCATTTCGGAAAAGCAGTTCGGCACTTGCCTGTCTAGCCTCGTCCCGCGGTCCTGATAGCTTGATCTCCCCCAACGTCCCCCACTGCGGATCCTTCTTCAACATCTCACCCTTCACCGCCCTATCCAAATCCCCATGCTTCCCCAACGCTTCCCCCTTCAAAACCAACACCACATCCCTCTGCAACGCCAACCACCTCTGCGCACTCTCCAAATCGGCGCACTTGACGCAGCAGAGAATCATATTGCCGATGAGCTTTTCTTGCTCTGTGGGGAGGGCTTGGAATATAGCGAGGAGGTGGGCTTCGTGGAGACAGGTAAAGTTGGTGAGAGCGGCTTCTTTGGTGAGGTGGTTGGTTTGGCTGGCTCGGGTGAGGTTGTAGTATCTGTCGAGGAGGTTGTCGTCTTTGGTAAGGTCGGTGGGGGCCATGGAGCATTTGGGGCACGTGCAAATGTGGCCGACGTCTTTGAGAGCGACATGGCGGGTGGGAGATTGGTCGTAAACGTAGAGTGGATCCCATCTGATGAATATCTCGCCGTCACGAGGGATGTCTTCAGCAGCAATGATATCTGCAAGCCCATCAGCTGTCGTCCAACATGAAAAACAAGAGACTCACATCCAGCACAACGCTCTTCATCCCAAACAAAATGCGCATTAGGCTCACAGCTTCTCGGCACCCTCATAATACTCTCAAAAACCCCAAACATCCTCCCCTTAATCGGCTTATCACACAACACTGAATTCCCAAACCACCTCCCATACTCTCCCAGCTTTGGATAATTGTTCGGCAAGGCCTCAATCTTGTCCTTGGAACCTTGAGAGAGTTGAGAGTGGAAGTGGAGAAAGCGGTCGGCGGCATTTTGACAGTCGTATAGGATGAGGGGTCGTTCCCACATGATTACTCGGCCTTTGAAGATGTGGCGTTTGGCGAGGAAACGTTCGCGGAACGTGGGGAGGGTGGGGTCGGTCTTTGTGTAGAGCCATGATTCTTGAGGGGTGTCGTATGTGTAGTTGGTGGCGACGATGGAGTGGGAAGGTCTATTGAGGGTTCAGCGTCTATGCAATCAATTACCAAGCACACCGTTTGACGCACGACAATTGAGACTCAACAGCGTTCCCTGTAGAGGTTTCGTCGACATCCTTCGGCTCGCTCGGCTCGACTTGGAACCCAAGCTTCTTCATGCTTTGCTGAATGCTTTCAAGCTCCGCCTGTTGTTCACCCTCCTCCTTACTTGTCCCTGACCCCTTCATCTCACCCGCGACAGAAGCCTTGCGCTCCTCGCCGGTCCTCGCCTCACCATCATGTGTCTCACCGAAAGCGCCTGGTCCATGCTCGTCATCCTGTTTCTCTGCGCCCTTCTGAAAATCACCTTGGGATGTGAGACTGTCGCCATCGGAAAGCGTAGGAGGCGTGACCAAGAGCCGAAAGGATATGTCGCTGTTGGTGGGACTCTTGTCGACGGGAGCAATGATGGGGGTGGTAGGGCTTGAAGAGCCGTGGTCGGACGGAGTGTTGTCGTTGTTCTGCTGCCTCGCACTCGGCGCATGAACCGCAACACGCTCTTCCTCAACATCAACATCCTCCCACGCCCCACCGATGCCCCCCACGTCCCTGCCTGTCACCTGCTCCTTTAACTCGGCTATCATATCCCGGTCGACGCTCTCTGCTTGAGTATCTGCTACGGCTTGCTATGTCTTGGAGGGTGTGAGGGCGAAGAGAAGTGGGCGGTGAAGGATGGGGGAATGTTGCTTTTTATAAGTAGAAAGTGCGAAACAAACAAATTCGATTGTTGTTTCTTATACCACAATGGAAGGATCGCCAGGTCCGGTTAGAGCTTCCGTGTGCAGAATGGGGTCCTTGGAGATGTTCCTTCCGGTCTTGGGCTGACCCTTGGTACGCGCTTGATCTTGTCTTTCAAAGTTGGTGCCGATTGTAGCAGTTGACACTTGTAGTCAAGTCCGCTTGTGGCCGAAGAGAGTAGAGGGGTTGCTTTGGGCGACCGTGAAGAGTTTAGAAAAAGCGTCGATCAGTGCAGGGCGTAAAGTCGTGCCGAGTAGTGGGCACGATCGAAGGCTGGGACTGTTCGAGGCAGACAGAGACGTGCCGGATCACAGTAAGCTGAAATGTTGAGCTCCATCTGCATGGCATAATGGGATGGTTGAAAGATGGAAGGGGAAGAACTGCACAGAGTTGAGCAGCGTCTGATGTGCGCTCGGCCTCGAACGCGTCGACGCGTCAAATTCGGACATTCGGGACGCGACTTGAACATCATCTTTGGACTCTGCCAACTGCTACTTGTACTTCGCCTCATACACTGTCTTGCAACAATTGCATTGTCAGTACATTTGTCATCGATAGTCTCTCTTGCCCTATCTTCCGTCTTCTATTAGTGTCACGGCCTAGCTGGGACGCAGCAGGTGTGCGGTATTATCGCATGGAAAGAGTAGAACAATGAGATATGATTTGAGTATGTACACCGCGAGTCCTTCGACCATCCACGCAACTGGACGCGAATGCCACCTCAGGGATTTACTAAGTGTGACAATTAGTTCACTCCAACAAAAGACGAAGATATTTCTGTGAGCAACTGGATTGAATGACCAAGTTATTCTGTTTGCCCGTCGTGTTTCATCTGTCACAAATGAAAACATGTCAGGAGCTTTAGCTCAGTGGTAGAGTAGTAGATTCCAATTCTGGTTTGTTCATCTATTGGTCACAGGTTCAAGTCCTGTAAGCTTCATATTTTTGCTCCTTTTTTGCGCCCCGGCGACCCCTCACTCGCTTCTAGAATCCTCTATAATCTCCACCTATACTGGTAGATGCTCCCTACTCTCTAGTGAACTTTCCAAAGCTGCTGCTGTTCGAAAGGCATCCAGGGCAATTTGGAGCGAGCTTGTTTAGGCGTCATCATTCTCTGGCTTCGGCAGCTCTTCCAGTCAGATCAGCTATTTGCCATCTGTTTGCCTTTGTGCTCGCAAGCATTCTCAACTAGACCTCGTGATTTACTGACCCCCCTCTCCCGCCATCCCGCCATCCCAGCATTTCACCAATGGCGTCCACGACCAACGAATCCAGCAAGAAACGGAAAACAAGAGGCGACGCGACTTCGGCTGATCTTACGCCTGCCGCATCGCCGGTCGACCCGCCACTCGATGAGCGCTGGAACACTGATGGGGATACCCTACTTGTTTCGAGCGATGGGACAGGGTTTCTGCTCGAGAGCTATATGCTCAAGGCTCATAGGTACGTCTGATGATCGCGCCCCGAGTCCACGGACTGACGGTTTCGACTATAGCTCTGTCTTTCGAGATATGCTTTCCTCAAACGATCTCCTCCCCTCTTACTCTTCGTCGCCTTCGGGAAGAGCGCGCCTCAATCTTTCCGAAGACACTGAAAACGCCTTGACGGTGTCTACAGTGCTCTAGATCCTTGACCAGCCACCAGCACTGACTGCGCTGGTCAGCAAACTGCGCGACAAGTCAATCGTCGTGCTGGACAATGTCCTCCACTTCTCCAAGAAATGGGACATGGCCTTCCTATCGAACTACCTGGATTTTTTGCTCAGCAAGGCGCTACGACCAGAAGAGGGTGTACATCCAGACACGGACCCGCGTTTGAGCCATGGGGACATCTTCATCTTGGCCGCCCGCGCGGATAAGCATGATCTAGCAAAGACTGCGATTGAAAGGATTCCTTATTACTTTGATCGGTCCTTCGTGACCGAATACAGTGACTTGCGGCCGCTATTCACTCATTGGTGGCACCCCGAGGGCAATGATCACCCGGTCTTCCCTGCTTTCCCGCCGAAGGCGTTTGCAGCGACCCCTCGCAAATATATGTGGGCTCTCATGCAAGTGGGCAGTGCGCAAATCAATCATTCGGTGCGCGGGAAACGGTTCAGGCGGCTTTTAGGTGATCACCAGTCTCGGTGCGCGGAACCTTGATGTAGAACGGACGGGATTCATAGGCAGGTCCTGATAAGCTCCCCAAACGGTTCCAGTACTGGACATTGGCCAACAGACCATGTATATTTTTGTATGTAGAAGGAGGAGCAGACTTTGTTTTCAGTGGCTCCAACGGCAGTCCTTCCGCATTCGGAGCTTTGTCTCGTCTCGTACTCCCCAATCTCGCTCTCGGCTCTCCCCGATTTGTCGCCGACTTTGAACATCACACATGCTTGCCCACCCGTCTCCTCATCACCATAGCTCCTGCATCGATAGACTCGCATTTGATTGATTGATGCGGGCCACCTGCTGAATATTGACATGTATATACTGCTTTGAGAAATCATGAGTTGAAAATGCCCGAGCCAAACGCGAGACGCGTCTTGGACGCGTCCGCATGTCCGGGGCCGCCTGGACGGCGTCGGCTGGACATCAATTCATCTTTCTTGCCTTTGCCTTCTCGCTCGTGATCCCCAGTAATCCCGCACATACAATTCTACATTCACCAGACCCTCATCCTCCTCAATCCCATCAATGGCGTCCCCAACCAAACAGACCCGCAAGAAACGAAAGACAGCAGGCGACACGACCTCTGGTCCTTCACCCTCCACATCAAAAAGCGAACCGCCACTTCACGACCATTGGAGCACTGAAGGAGATACTATACTTGTTTCGAGCGATGGGACAGGGTTTTTGGTCGAGAGCTATATGCTCGCTCAAGGCTCATAGGTACGTCTGATGGTCGCGCCCCGAGTCCACGGACTGACGGTTTCGACTATAGCTCTGTCTTTCGAAATATGCTTTCCTCAAATGATCTCCTCCCCTCTTATTCTTCGTCGCCTTCAGGAAGAGCACGCCTGGATCTTTCCGGAGACATCGAGAACGCTGCCACCGTGAAGACCGTTCTTTCTATCCTCCACGACGGCCTGATGCTGCCTGCGCTGGTCGATGACCTCAAACTCCGGTCGATTCCTGTGCTAGACAACGTGCTTCACTTTGCTAAAAAATGGGACATGCCTTTCCTCTCAAATCACGTCGAGGGTATCCTCAGCAAGGCGCTGCAACATCCCGACGACCTGTCACGACAATTTGCGGAAGAGAGATTGAGTCCCGGGGACATCTTCATTTTGGCTGCTCGTTCAGCATTGCCTCACCTGGCGAGGCTTGCGGTCGCGAGAATGTCCTATTGGTTCGATGGATCGGGCAGGCCCGGGGAAGACGATACACCACCGATATATACCCATTGGTGGGACCCGGTGGACAGACTTGGTGCGGCTTTTCCTTGCATGATGAAACCGAGAGCCTTCGCCATGATCCCAAACAAGTATATATGGGCTCTTCTGGCATCAGGCAACCTAACTATCGACAAATCAGAGCGCGGGGATGAATTCTTGCTATCTATCAATTGTTATGACTACTGGTGCCTCCATGATCTTTGATGTGAAGGTAGAAAAGGGGCGGTGAATTGCCCAACGTGATTGATACTAGAGCTGCATTTGATTGTAGGTCCTGATAATATTTCCAGACGTACTTGTACCAAGTACTGACCACTGGCTCGCAGGAGCTGTATGTTGTTGTATATGACCTAGCGCCGAGTATCATTTTATACCTCAAGCTTCTTTCTTCCATCATACCATACCATACTCGAGTATAGAACGTTATCGTATAAATCACCACGCCGCACCAGAACCCATGCCTAACCCTCCAGCCCCAGCCCCAGCCCCAGGTCCACCAGTCCTCCTTTGATCCCTAAACGCGTTACTCCAAGATCCACTCCCATCTCCTCTTTCTCTCCTATCTCCCCTCTCGCCCCTTTCTCCCCTTTCTCCCCTATCTCCACGCTCACCCCGCTCGCCCCGCTCCCGGTGCCCCCGCTCATGATGATGATGCCCATAACTCCTCGGCTGATACTCGACATTCCCTCCTTCTCCCACCCCCGCGTGCATCCCGACGCCGGGGGTGGTGCCGGTCCCATTCTGGAGCGGGTTGTTCGGGAGGGGGAGGGTGCCGTTGATATTGGAGGAAGAGTTGGTGGTGGTTTGGGATTTGGTGGCGTTTTCGAGGAGAGCGCGGTTAGCGCGGTAGTCGCATACGGTTGTCGATGGGAGGTTCAACAATGATAGGATCTTTGCCCTATTTTTCATATCATCAGCATTCCCACTTCTTTCATTATTTCAAAGGGGTGGGGGGGCGTACTTGAGGGCACCGCTTCGAACAGCATCACTCTCATCCTCCACCCACACACTCAAGATCCCCTCCGCCTGCCTAACACTGAGGACACACCCGACCACATGGTCCGATTCGTCGAATTGGTCGCCGATGAGGGAGAAGAGGAGGGATTCGTAGAGGACGGGGGTGATGGGGTGGACGAGGCGGATTGTAAAGCGGCCGCCGCTACATGGGGAGAAATGTGTCAGCGATGGCAGGTTGGGGGGAGGGGAGGGGCTTACTCGCGCATCTCTTCCCAGATACCGGGCCGGGCGATACGGCTGACGAATACGAGCATGTCGGTGACAGGGGGTAGTTCGTTCACCGGGGTAAGGTGGGAGTATAGGTGGAGGAATGATTCGATCTACCCCATCTCAACGTCAGCTCATCCTCTCCAAGAGTCTGCAAAAGGGGGATTGAACGTACAGAACCAAAAGTAGCGACTCGGCGAATCTCCTTCTCATAGTCCACCTTCGCGTTGGGAGGTCGGTGGACGTAAGACAGAGACCAGCTGGATACGGTCGTTAGCTGAGCCGTTTTGAATACCGGTACGAGACTCGACTCACTCTTGCCGGAGAGGATGACGTCCAGCAACAGGCGCCGGGACAGCATTGGTAGCCTTGTCCACACTCAACGACAACCTGGATGATCCTCCGTGGGAGATGGCTCGGCGGCTGGGGGCGGTAGATTGAGACATGCTGATCAAAGGCGACGAGTTTAGAGGTCGAGACGATGGAAGCGTCTTGGGGAGCTGCTGTGGCTGCTGTAAGGCTGTTCAAGGGTGCGGCAAAGGTGTATGGCGAAGCGGGTGGGTGGCTGACGTTACGGGATGTTGAGTGATGGGATGTGGCAGCTGGGGGGAGGAGTGCGTGGTGGGTGTCTTTTTCGTTCTTGCGCTTTTGCCAAACTGAACTCGGCCAAACGAACTCGCCGTTGTGCAAATTAGGCGCGGGGTTTCAGGCGGGGAGGACCGCCGGGGTGTGCCTGGGGGATGACGGTGTTGACGTCACGCCCTCACCGCATGGCCCGACGAGTATATATAGACTGGTAAGTCAACAGATGCCCCATACACTTGATCAAACAGCATACACCATGTCTTCTTACCCTCCCACCAACACTTTTAACAACGTCCAGCCTGCTCTCCAGGAGAACCCCTACGTCCAGAAACAGCCCATGACCCAGCCCTCCATGGGTAAGTCTTTTCCGAAAAAAAAGCTCTTTGGCACATGCTGACCATGATGGCAGACGCTCAGCAGGTCCCTGCTGGATCCAACCAGGAAGATGAACAAGTCATGAGGCTGCGAGGTGGATGTCCCGGTCATTTCTGCGGTTTGCGTGAGTCTTCTACTCTTTCACCGTCGGAATGAAAGGATGGATCTGACTTTGAACACAGCCATCTTGCCTTGCCGGTACGCTTCTCCACTCTTTCACTCTCCAAGTCATATGCTGACAGGCGCATAGATGCGACATCTGTATCTTCCCCATCCCTTGCTGTTGATCCAGAATTGCACCAAATATTGTTTCGTCATAATCTCTACGGACCGTTGTACCAGCACACGCACTACATGTATCGATATTCCTTCCCACTTCCCCACCTTTCTTTCTTACTGCGCTGAATGGATTTGATCAACAATCAGCGTTCGCTGCGGAAGTGGCCCGTGGTGAGGAACCGCTGTGCTTCTGCGGACATGTTGCCCCAGGCGTAGTCGTCGTGGTCGTGGTCGCTGTTAGGGTTAGGGTCGTTGGGATCGCCGGCGGCGGTGTTGGGTGGGTGGATGGTGTGTGGGGGTGAGTTTGAGGCGAATTGCACGCGTTTGGAAGTTTTGTCTGTAGGGGTGTCGACGGGTCGTGATTTGTCGGAAACGTTTGAGCTGGTCTGACTTGCTAGCCGATTGAGTGCAGCTCGTTTGGTGGCTGTGGTCCCTGCTGGTAGACCTCGTAGAAAGTCTTCAGCGTGGTCGGACAATGCTAAATCAGTCTCAGGCAGACGACTCGTCCCCGTCGTGTCAATATCAAAGCCTACTGCTGACGCTTGCGGCTGCTGGCTCTGAGCGGATGATTGTCGCGTTGCCTGACCAAACTCCAACGAAAACACATTCCTCCCAGCGCTCATATATGTAGAAGACCCCGTCCCAGCCGACTTTGCCCCCCTCTCCCACCCCCCACTCCCACCAACAAGCTTCTGCTCCTCCCACCCCTCCTCCTCTCCCCCTCCCCCGTCCCTTTCTCTTCTTCTCCTTCCTCCCGTCCCTGTCCATCCCACACCCCTCCCATGACCCACCCTCCGAAACATCCCCCCACCCCGCACATACCCCCTCCTCCCAGACAAATACTCTCCCGCCTCAATATCATCCCTTACCATCCCCTCCCCACACCCGCACTCGCATTCTGCTTCTCGAAGAAGGGCGGGGATGGAGGAGACGGATATGTGGTGGTTTGTTAGGGGGGGTAATGTAGGAGACGAGGTGGAGGTTTAGGGTCTCGCCAGGTCGTTTCTTGCCTTCCTTCCTCCTCTCTTTTACTTGTACTCTTTGCGGCAGATTTGTGGTTGGTCGTGGGCGGGGTGAGCTCAGTCCAAGGTTCCCTAGCAGTAGCTTCTTCAAGCATATAAAGCTTATTCGTCTTTCTCTCAGTCTCGGGCGTGCTCAGGTTGATGGTAGGTTTATCTCGTGACCGGGCATGTGATGGTGAAGAGGAGGAGAGGCGTGAAGCGAGGTGAGAGGCGGCTTCGAAGATGGATGAGATCGTTGGGGTTGGCCAGCTCATTGTATTTCTTTGGTGCTTGGAGGGGATAGATGGAGGATAGATGTAGAGTGGTGAATGAAGATGGTCTTGTGGGTTCAGTATCGAGAGAACATCAAATAGCCAGATACAAGTATATATCTTACATGAAAGGATGGGCGTTAGGGAATATATTAGAAGGCTACCGAATACACATGACAAGCTGTAACGTGATTCGCGATCACGAGTACTCGAGTACGAGTACTGTACTCTTCCACAGAAGGACTCAATCATTCAACGGCCGAATCCAGTAGTGGTCGAAGGCGAAAGAAGCCGCAGGACGACTCTTATCGGTGATTGATAAGAACCTGGAAGGCCGATTGAAAGGAAGTGCGACATGGCTACCATACTCGGAAGATGGGTATGGAGGAGTTGGAGAAGCGCAAGAAGAGAGGGTACCGACAGCGCGAGCTGGGGCTGGAAAGAGAAGGAGGAGGAGGAGGAGGAGGAGGAGGAGTTGGACTAGAAGCGAGGTGTAATAGTGTTAATGCAACGTTATGAGCGAGAGCTTTGTATGCACATGCATTTATAACAGCCAGCTACCAGAACGCATGGATACTTCTCCTCGACTGCCATATATATCTCTTTGTCCAGCTTGCTGTTGATGTACGCTCCCTCAAAGTCTCCCTGTCTCACTGTGAGTCCTTCGGCTGCTGCAATGGTGAAAAGGACGCGGATCGAGGTTGTACGAGAAACTGGTGCGAAGGTCTCGTCAAAATCCACGCCGGGGATCTGCGTGAACCCCTTTGCCACCAGCCTCGCCTTGTACTTGACGATGTTACCATTGGAATCGCGCTTGATCGCGAATACCCAACGACAATTCACAGCCTATCTCACGCGTCAACGCCGTCACCTTTGCCATGCTCTGTTGGAAAGTCGGGGCGTTCTGGTTCATCGCCAAGCGACTTCGCAGGATGCTCACCTCACTCCTGTACGTCTCCGCCTTCTCTTTCGCAACCCTCTGCTTCTTCTCCTTGACTACCACGGGTGCACTTCCTGTCCAGTCTGGCTGTGCGGTGGAAGGCGTCAGCGAGATGCTCTATTTGCTGCTTTCACATACAGGCTACCACTCACCTTTGAGAGGGTCATTCTGGTCGAGATCGCCGTTCCCGGTATAACTGAGCTCTGTGCGAGCGTCATAGAACGACTGCGCCAGTGCTTGTATCTGACATCCGTCTTCTCGTCAGCACAAGATACGAGTCACGAGAAAGAGGGGTACTCACACGGTCGTTCACACCCTTGACCTTACGTCTCTCATCGCACCCCGCCGCAATGAGCAGCTCATGCGCGGCCACGTAGCTTCCGACCCATTTTGCATACCAACCCACAGTCCGAGTTCTCTGTGACACTCATAGCGGAATTGGAGGTCGGCAGCTGACAGAGTGAAGGACGCCTGTCCATCTGGACCGTCGAGGAAGGGTGTGCCATCGTCGTTGGGCTCGGGTCACTTGTCAAACACCCAGACTGCTTTTCGCCTTGGCGTCCTCCCAGACCAACGAGTCTCCGAACAGCCTGTCGTGCCGTATTCTACCGTCGAGGTCAGCAAAAGCAAAGGAGGTAGAGGAGATAAAACTTACCGTCACAGACTCTCGCTCTCGTAGGCTCAGATCCTCATACTCCCGCTTTGCGAGAAAGATGAAGAGCATAAGGTGCATTATGTAATCACCCCAAACGCAACAACACTTGCCTCCACTTTTCTGCTGCGCCAGAGACGTGTTCTCTTCGGGTTCTCTTTGAATTTTCTGTGAACTTTTTGACCATCATGATCCTCCTCTACCTCCTCCTCCTCCTCCCCCTCGCCCAAGCCCTCCAACAAGCCCAACTCCGCGACCGATCAATCTACCAACTCCTCACCGACCGCTTCGCCCGCTCCGACACCACCTCCCCCTACTGCGACGTCACCAAGAAAGAGTACTGCGGCGGGACGTGGAAGGGGATCGAGGCGAGGCTGGGGTATATACAGGGGATGGGGTTTGATACGGTGTGGATATCGCCTGTTGTGGCGAATGTGGAGCTGGAGGGGAGGGGGCATGAAGCTTATCATGGGTATTGGGCTTCGGATATTCACCGTGGGTTTTCTTTTTTTGGCCGTGGGCCGTGGGTGATGAGGGGATGCTGACGAGGGGGAAGAGTTGAATAAGCGTTTCGGGACGCCGGAGGATTTGAGGGATCTGAGTGAGGCGTTGCATAAGAGGGGCATGTACCTCATGGTCGACGTCGTTGCGAACCATGTCGGTGTGCAGGACCTCAAGTCCTTCTCCCCGGGCCCGCATTACGGCCCCTTCACCTCGGCTGACGACTTTCACAAGTATTGTATCCCCGAATGGGATAAGAACAACCAAACCGAGATTGAAAACTGTAAGCCCCCTCTCCAGCCCACCTCGCTCGGAACTCGGGACGACTTTACTGACCAGGTGGTTTTGCAAACAGGCTGGCTAGCCCCCGAAATGCCAGACCTCAATACCGAATCCCCGCGCGTCATCTCCCTCCTCAACACCTGGATATCCAACCTCGTTGAAATCTTCAACATTGACCTCATCCGGATCGACACTGTCAAGCATGTGCGCAAAGATTTTTGGCCGGGGTTTGTGGAGGCTGCGGGGGTGGGGGCGATGGGGGAGGTTTTGCATGGGGATCCGAGCTATTTGGCGCCTTATCAGAGGGAGAGTGTTGGGAGTTTGTTGGATTTTGCTACATTCTTTCATTTACAGTATGCTTTGTTTCTTTGGTGGAGAAAAGTGTCGCTGATATAGACTGCAGACGAGCGTTCGAAAATACTCTGGGCAGTATTGGAGAATTGCGAAAGATGATTACCGAGGTGCATCAGTCATTCCCCGACCCGTCTTCCTTGGGATCTTTTCTGGAGTGAGTCCAAGGCCGTCTTTCGACCTCTGATTGGATTGACAAGTGATAATAAGCAATCATGACTTTCCGCGTTTTGCTGGCAAGACACGAGACCCGGTGCTCATCAAGAACGCCATGGTCTACCCATTCGTCAATGACGGTTTCCCCATCGTATACTCGGGTCAAGAGCATAATCTAGAAGGCGGGGACGATCCTTTCAATCGCGAAGCGATCTGGTCTTTTGGATACAGTACAGACACCGTACGTCCTCTCACACTCTGCTTGTCACCACTGACCATCTTGTAGGAAAAGTACACTCTCTTGCAAACCCTCAACAAGGCCCGTTCCCGCGCATCCACCTCCCCCTCCTTCCCAGCACTTTGCAAACCCTACCAACACATCAACCACACCCTCGCCATATCCAAACCGCCCCTCCTCTCTGTTCTGAACAACTACGGCTCATACCAAGTCGTCAACGTGCACTACATCCCACCGGAGCAGACGGGTTATAGAGGGGAGCTGGCGGTGGTGGATGTGGTGTCGGGGCAGGTATTTGGGACGGACCCGAAGGGGGGGTTGAGTGTGCCTATAGTGAATGGGGAGCCGAGGGTGTTTTTGCCGTTGGGCGTGTGGGAAGGGAAGGTGGGGGATGGGGAGTGGCAGAGGAAAGAAGTCGAGGAAAAGGCAGAGCTGGGTTTGGGCTTGGGGATGGGGCTGGGGGCGGGGATTTCGCCGAGATCGCCTCCCCTAAGCCCGCGGTTGGCGAGCAGTTTCGGGGCGATGATGTCGTGGTTTGGGAATAAGAATGGTGGGGGGAGTGGGAAGGGGAGGGATCTGTGAGATGGCTCAGAGTGTATCGCTAGGATAGGTCAGCTGTATTACTACCACGGACAATTCTAGAGAATGTATTGAGTATGCTTGACTCTACACTACACACTCCCTCAAGCATCAGGGCCCATACCTCACCTCCATCATCGCTGAAGCACCGGGAGACGATGCGCGCGTGTCAACAAAGACGCGTTTGTCTTTGTGATTTCCTTTGACTCTTGACGTATTCATACCCGAATCGCACACCAGCAGCGAGTAATGCTGGACGTAGGCGTCCCTCTCTTCCCATCTCTCCGCCACCCCCTGCCGCACGCCGACCAACCCACCCCCAACACTGAACCCCTCCCAAGCCAACCAGCCCCCCATGTCACACCAGAACCTCCCACCCGCACAGGACTAGGACTATACCGCCTCTCCTCATTCTACAACCCCCACCGCCCGCCGGGACCTGACCCCTCAAACAATGATGATGATGATGGAGCAGCGAGTGACACGGGGTCCCACCGCTCGCGCGCTTCTGCCCCGAGTTTCCTGCCTACCAGCAGGTGGACGGGTTCGCAATACTTTCGGCTTCGCAAGGATCAAGGGGAGTATGTGGAGAGGGAGAGGCCGAGGTCGGCGCCGGGGGTGATGGCGGGGACGCAAGAGCTCTTTGAAGAGCTGAGGGTGGGATCGCCGTTGAAGGGAGATGTTTTGGTGCGGAATAAGACTCTGGGTCGGTATGCTGGTGAAGTCTCTCGGACTCGGTCTGATTCGGCACCGCCATTCGCTGGGGATGAGCTTGGATGGAAAGATGGAGCGGGGGTCTCTTTAGAAGCCGGCCCGGTGAGTTTCATCTACAATATTCAACGCCACGAATGATGTCTGATGTACAGTATGTTCAGACAGTATCGCTGCAGTATGATTCTTCTCTCTCATCTTCTGCCACTCTCCTCAACACCTCTATCGGACCGTCCCCAACGCCCACCTTGGTGGACCTCATCAACACCAACCTAAAGTCAACTCAAGAGACTCCAGATTCTCATCCCGCCTCGGACAGCAACGACAAACCTCAAAGTATCAAGACCACCCCAAACGTCAAAACAAGCAAGAAGCACGGAAGGCTAGGGGCGAAGGAGAGGAGGAAGAAGATGTCTATGAGGAATATGCGAGAGAGGGGTAAAAAGTTGGAAATGAACGAGGAGGAGGCGCGGGGTAGAGAGCAGGGACGAGGAAATATGGTTGATGAGCTTCCTTCCCTCGACTCCGACCTGTCGTTCCCTACTCCAGCGTCCGCCTACGACAGTCGATACTCTTCTAATTCCAGTGATGCGCAAGTTGCCAGTGCCAACGATACCTCAAAGACTATTCAAAACCAGACTACCACCTCGACAGCGCCCACTACGGTAATACACGACCAAGCCACACCTGATCCGGAACAAGAGGTCGATGGAGCGTCTCGACAGACTACTACCCTGGAGGACACACAAGTCAAAGACAAGAGCACGCAAGTCGACAAGACGGGGCGGCAACCGAAAACGAGCGGGAAGAAGAGCTCGACAGCAAACGAAAAGAAGGATTTGAAGCGAGAGATGAGAATGGCGCCAACGCAAGTCACATTTCTCTTCGTGCAAAACCTTCTCTAACGTCTGTTCTTTCCTAGAAACACACTTGAAAGAGCTCGAATCAACTACACTTACAACGAACTCTCCGACACCCACTGGTATTACACCACCGAGCAACCCCATCTCAAGACCTTCAAAACCCACTTCTTCGCCCGGCGTTTCATCCCTCAAGGCAAGATATTCATGTGGGAACGAATGCTGACATGTCTTCCTGGCGATCTCAAAGGTCTTGAAGAACGCCACGCATATCAGGCTATACCCAAGGACCTGCGACCGCAGTTTGAACGGTTACCGGATAACACGAAAGGGATAGGTTTTTGGCGAGGCCGACTGCTGAGCAACTCGTTCGTCCCAGAGGGCAAGTATGATTATAGTGGTAGACGTGCGCGATGTGTTTTTGAAAAGATGGGGAGGGTACCGAGGAGCTGTCAGTGGAATGCGAGGGTGTTGCTGGATCCGAAAGAACAAGCTGGTTGTGGGTCCCCTATTCCCTTTCGCTTTCTCCAAAAGAACGCAAGCTGACAAGATGTAGATCTCCTAGCGCTTCACGATATCCTAGCCGACACGGAAATCTTGATTCGATGGGACGAATACTTCAACAGCGAGATCCCTCTCGACTTTAAACCCTATCACTTTACCTGCTCTTGTCCCATCTGCGCCTCTCCAAACAAACCCGCCAACAAGCACATACGCGAACAACGACTCGCTTTTATCAAGCTCTTCAACGACGTCATGGTCGGCCAACTTCAGCTCCAGCTTGGCGCTGCTGCAGATCCTCTCCCCCAGCTGTGTCGAATCGAGCACGCTATCGAGATTGCGATGAAACAGGGATACAGAGAGTCTTTGGAGATGATGTATGCTGCTGGATGGAGCTTGGCGGTGCAGTGCTGTGCGGAGGACTGTATCCTCGCATGGGCAGCGGGTGTAAGGGATTCGAGCCTCCTTTTCATGGGAGAGACGTTGGGGGAACGAAGGGATATCAAAATGACGCTGGAGAGATATACGAAGGGGAATGTTGACGAATGCGGTCTTTTGGGGCAGTTCAAGATTCGGGGTCCGAACAGAGAACTAGTCAAGGTGGGTGTTCAAGTCGTGGTGAAGTTCCTGGGAGGGACAAGGCTGACTATCTTTTGATTGCCAAGCCAATATTCGACAAATTCAGCTGGGAAGACTATGAGCAGATCAGACGGTCCCGATCCCCCGACGATCCTATTAGGCCTGTGATTGTGGCGGTCAATCCGGCTACTGGCCGTCTTCCGGACCTTACGCTGGACGAGCTGGCTGCGTTTATTGATGGCGATGCTGAGGAGAAGGGAAAAGAGATGGAGAGTAAGGCAAAAAAGGCAAAGGTGGGCAAGAAGAAGTCGAGGAAGATGCGAGGCTGAAGGGAGAAATTAGTTCAGAGTCACTTGTACGAGTATTTTCGGCATCGGTATGCATTCATCCTCGTCTGTTTCTGGGCTGTTACAATTGCGTCAGGGGATGATTTACGTCTACAGGCTGAGGCAAGGGCTGAGGCCATCTGTAATAAGCGTGGGCGCCGGGTCTCAGATCGGAAGGCCGACGCGATGCTTGCCGTCGATTGTGGGCCGGCGGCGTTGTCGCACTAGTCAGCATCATCATGTCAAACTATGAACAAGGTATTTACGCAACACGGGAGTCGATGGTGGAGCCACGCATCATCAGGATTCCCATATATATTGATCTCACATCTTCCTTCTCTCTAGACCCGCCCCACTCATCCTTCTTCATCAGCACACGACCATGTCAAGAATCGGCCCAACCCAGCGAATCGCGCTCATCACAGGCTGCTCCTCCGCCAATGGAATAGCCTCCAACATTGCAACTGCCCTTCACTCTCGTGGCTACTATGTCTTCTGCAGCGTCCGCCACCAGGGCGATTTGGACCATCTGGCAGGGAAGAGCGAATGCCAGGAGGTGATCATGGATGTCACCGATTTGGAGAGTATCAAGAGGGCGGCGGCGGGTGTGGGTGAGCAGACTGGAGGAAGGCTTGATGTATTGGTAAACAATGTGAGTGGGCCGTATGTGTGGAAGGCGAAGAAGCATTGACCTTGCGTTAGGCCGGCGTGGACATGTTCTCGCCCCTTCTCGATACCTCAATCGACTCCCTTCGACAAGTATTCGAGATCAACACCATTGCCCCAATCTCTGTCACCCAGGCATTCGCACCTTACCTTATCGAGACGGCCAGAAAGACGGAGCGCAAGAGCGTCGTCCTGAACGTGGGCAGTATGGCCAAATTTGGAGTCCCATGGAAGGGGGCATATTGCTCCAGCAAGGCTGCATTGGAGTGCCTTAGCGATACTCTGAGAATGGAGATGGCTGGGCTGAATGTCAAGGTCATGAATTTGCATGTCGGTGCGTACTCTCTTAGGCTCGTGATACGTCAAGACTGACCATGAATAGGCTCTGTCAAAACCGACATGTTTGATAACGGCAAGCTCTTCCCCACTCTCTCCTCTACTCCAAGCGGTTTCTACCCAGCCTGGCCAGAGATCAAATCAAGGATCAATGAAGACTCAAAGTCCCAAGAGCCCCTGACCTCGTCCCCCAAGAAGGTCGGCGAGCATGTAGCAAGCCAGATCGACAAGGTGAACCCTCCTGGTTATGTCAGAACGGCGAACGGGTCGTTTGCCATCGACTTGGCCATGTGGGCACTCAGCATGGTTGGTCTGAAGGATTGGTTCTGGGGCAGGATGTGGTATACTTGGATGGTTGGAAGGCCCCAGGACAAGAAGCGCACATGAGGAGACGTGCACTCTGTAGCAAAGTGAAATTCCTCGCCTGTATCCTGAGTAACCATGTATCATTCGTGTCGAAAACCCGATAGAAACCAAGATTCAGAAATGCGTTTTACGTACAACACCCTAGCAAGTAAATATATGAAATGTCCAGAACCCCTTGAGCGATCAATGTACCTTCTTCTACTCGTCATCCTCTTCCTCTTCTTCCTCGTCCTCGCTCTCCACTACCTTCTTTCTCCCTCTCCGCGCAGGCGCTTTCTTGGCAGCTGGCGCCTTTTTCCCTCGTTTCGGTCTGACCTCTTCCTCGTCCACCTCTTCCTCGGCTTCCACAGCTTCCTCCTCCAACCCCGCATCCTCTTCTTCTTCATCCTCTTCTCGGGCCGCAGCCTTGCGCCTGGAGGTTCGCGTGTTGGTTTGGGCTGGTCTTTTGGCGGCTCGTCGTTTGGCTGCTTTGGTCTTGCGCAGTACGTCGGCTTCGAGAGCTTGGTCTTCGAGGCCCTTGGCTTGATGTTCGTTAAGAATCTGCGATTATATCAGCACAAGATTCTCGAAGATGATGAAGAAACGTACACGCTCGAATTCTTGCATCTCTGTCTCGGGCTTGTTGGCAGCCTTGTTGGCTCGAGCCTTCGCCAGGATCTCAACGAAACGCTTGAAGACTGTCTCCTCGTGAAGCTTGTCTTGATAGAACGGCAGACTAGGTCAAATTAGCCCATGCGCCATTGGATTGGGCTTCAGACATACCCTTCAATGAGCCTCTTCAAAGACCTCTCGGACTTGAACGGCAAGAGCGACAGACAGTACGATATATCGCGCCATTGTCTTTCGTCCGTTGCCAGCCTGAATCTCTGACAGAGCTTTTCCACAATAGCTTCCGCTTGCTTGTCCTAAGCCCATGATCAGCGATCAAGCCATATGATAGTAAGACCACATACCTTCTCGATGAAGGTGAAGATGAACCGCATAGTCCTCTCGAAAGTCTCTTCATCCACCGCGTGCGCGCCAATACTGAGATGACTGATGACATCCTGCAAGTTGTTGTACAGAGCATTGTCCTTGGTGGAGAGCTCGGTGAAGAACAATTTGGCAAGGTCGGAGATACGCTGATCGGGATCTTCGAGGCACTTGGCCATTTCACCGAGCTGTCCCTTGACCTTGATCATACCATTGAGGATCAGATGGGTGAGGACCATCAAGGTGTTCTTCTTCACGACAAGGTCGGAGTCGGCGAGGCCTTGATACAAGCGTTCAGAGTTCTGGAAGATCATCAGCGCCTGTCCTGGCATGCCCGTTTGACACTCACGTCGTCTATAAGGTTTCCGAAGCAGACCGCAATATCACCGAGAGCAATCACGATGTTGCTCCTCACCACCGGGTCCTTGCTAGTCTCAAGAATTCGGAATACCAAGAGCAAATGCGCCTCACAAAACTCAGCAGAGACACACATGAGCTTTGTCATCGCAAGAGTCGCGGCTTGACGGAGAGTGGGATTCTGCATCGCTGTCAGTAGAGATATCTCCACGAAATTCGTGGACTCACGCGGTATCGCTTGGGACTGGCACATATGTGCGCAATCATTGGTCCATACACCGCCAGCAGACTCTGCTCTCCATAGAGCAGCTCCTTCTCACGAACGCCAGAGATCAGATCGCCAATATCATCCTCAGCATTACCGGCGACAGCGTCAAGATCATTCTGGTCCTTCTCTCCAGCCTTGCCTGCAGCCTTCTCTGTAAAGGGGTCAGTCCAACTCGAACAAGACACGGCTCACCTTTGGCCTTCTCGTCCTTTCTTCTCTTGAATTCTCTCTCAACCAGCTCGAGGTAGACAATATGCTTGATAGCGACGTGGCCGACACTGAATACAAGCTGGGCGAGGCGGAAACTGCTGGTAGTTCCTGGCTTGTCCTCTTGGGCATCTGCGACGGGCGTAGCAGGAGTCTCGGGGGCTTCGGGAGCCTCGGAAGCTTCAACAGCAGCCTCCCCATCGGGCGCCGCTTCCTCCGTTTCAACCCCCTCCTGACCTTGCCCCTGCTCTTCAGCAACCGGCTCAGCCTCCTTCTCCGCCGCCACCGCCGCCTCCTTCTTCTGCCCCTCATAAACCCTCTTTGTCAGATTTTTCACAATCTGCCCACAAAGCCCATCAGGCTGCTCGCCCAACAGATAAATCGTATTGATAGCCTGTTCGGCCATCGCAAACCAGTGGGGCAATTGCGATTTCGGAGAATACTCGATAATGTCGCGAAGCTTGATGAAGATGGGATTGTCCATAGGTAGACGCATGGTCTTGTCTGTGAGGGAACCTTTGACTTTTTTGACGGAACCGCCGAGACGTTGGAGGGCGATACAGCTGTATCGGGCGAGCACCAAGTCGTGCTGGAAGGATGAGTAAGACTTGGCTCACTGGGAAACTATACAAAACTCACCATGCCTAAAGACCCGAGACCGATTTTGAGAAGGCTTTCGACCCTCTCTGTCACGACCTCTCGCTTGGCGAGAGCGAGCATACCAAGTATAATGATAGCGCCTTGACGTTGAGGTTTGGGGATCTCTTGGTCCGTACCTAAACCACATGAGCCCTTGGACTGAAGCGCTGGGGAGGTAAACGTACTGTAAACCTGCCAGAGCTTGTTGATCACATCACTATGCACTCCACCCTCATTCATCATCGTCCGCATCAACTCTTCCAAACTCGTCAACTCTGCCAACGTAGCATTATAAGTCCGCCTGCACACTATCAGCACCATCTCTATCGCTTGAATCGAAAGACTCACTCGATCATGTTCTTTGCGATCCTATTCACCTGCTGCTTGGGCGACAAGTCCGGGACGACATCAAAGTACAAGCTCCTATAACACTCAATAACACTCCCCCTCACACCCTTACCCTCATTCTCCTCCCCAGCCGTCGCATTATTATCCTTTGCCCAAATCAGATGCAACATCGTCTTGATCCCCTGCTCCGCCCCAGCAAGATCATACTCGTACGCCACCCTGAAGAAGCGCATCGCTTCCAAGACCTCCGTCTTGGTGGTGGAGACGAGCAGCTGGCAGAGGGTGGGGATGGCGTTTTCGAGCTGGGTGACGAAACGGAGAGCGTCGGCGTAGTATTTCTTGGTGAGGCGGAGTGTGTTGACGAGTTTGGGGTCGAGTTGGGTTTGTTCGGATTGGATGCCGGAGAGGTCGAGGTGGGATTGACGAGGCTTCTTCTTTTCTTTCGCAGGGGCGGCCTCGCCATCTTCTCCAGCTTCGCCTGCCTCTTCGGTCTTGACAGTACTCTCCTGGCTCTCCTCATCCTCATCGACCTCCGTCTTCTCCCCCTCATCCTCTTCATCCTCCTCCGTCACACCAACCTCCCTTTTCGCCTTCTCCAACTCCACCGCATCCACCTTCTTCAACTCTTCATTGACTTTCGTATACCTCTCCTGCCACTCTTCAATATTCAGCGTCCCCCCATGGAGCGCTCCGAACGGGTGCGTTTCGAGCAGTTTGCATAGGAGCTGGATGGCGTATCGCCGGGCGGAGGAGGTCTTGTCTTCGAGGGTGCGGATGGTGAGTTCTGTTATCTGGCGGCGTTGTTTGGGGAATTTTGCTGGGAGGCTAATCATTCTTATCAGGTTTTGCACTCAGTCCGAGGTGAGAGGTTTACGTACTCGCAGAGCTTGATCAGTGTTGTCAAGACTTTACATCTCACCCAAGAGTTGAGATCGAGATAACGCTCCATGAGCAACTCAAAGAACTTGTTGATCTGCTTTGTCTTTTGCTCTTCGTCGCCTTCGTCGGAGGATGAGATGTCGCGGATGAGGATACCGATGATTTCGACAATCGCCATTCGCATGGGATGCGCCTGTATACAAGTCAGCTTCAGTCACGAAACCAACAGGGCACTTAGGGAGGGCTCACATCGCTATCCAGATGAGCTAGTAAAAGCGGCATCTGCTTCTGCACCATTCTCGGACTCAGCTCCGCCAGCCTCACCAAAAACTTTGAGAAACTCCTCGGACCCTTTGCATCATTATGCGCAAAGCTCTTTCCCGCCACATCCCTCAAAACCTCTTCACCCAACTGCGAAAAATCAAACTCCTTCTCCAAGATCGCTAGCAGCTCCGCCATCGGTTCGGACAGGTGTTCGAAATAGGTGAGGTTTTGCATGATGCTGGTTTGGGCACCAAAGGCGTGTTGGTGGAATTTGACGGCGAGGCAGATGGTTTTGTAGATGCCGAGGCGGATCTCTTGGACTTTGAGATAGGCTTCGGTCTCTGCCAGTTGGTAGGCTGGCTTGACGAAGCAAGAAATGAAGGCTTCTCTTTCGGAGCTGGTGCGCCATAAGCGGGAAGAAGGGATTCGGAGCGTCTTGTACATGGCACCGAGGACGAGGGGGAGGTGGTCGCCGAATTGGAAAGAGGTGGATGGAGGAGCGTTCTTTGTCTTCTTCTTTCCTCTTCCCGTTGTAGCTCGGGGCTCGTCGTTCGTCCGTCCAGCACCTCGTTCCGCGGCATTCACCAGCCACTGCAGTAAAAACGCCCACATCTCCAGAGGCTGCTTGTGGATCATCGGCGCGTCCATATCAGCCTCGCTCCCGAACGACTGGCTGTTGACGATCGTCATGACAGCATTGGAGTGGTGCGTCAAGCCAGAGACAATCACGTCTAGCAGCTTGGTCAAGACTGTCGCATTGATCTGAGGTTGGTCGGCGTATTTGAGGATAGAGAGGAAGATGTCGAATGTCTGGGGGGAGGAGTGGTACAGCGCATCAGGGTCACCGGCGATGATTTCTATCGCTGTGGAGAGGGAGGAATCGATGCTGTTGGCGGAGAGGGAGGGGACGTCGAGTTCGGACTGGATCTGGTAGAGGGAAGGGTCGGAGAGGGCGAGCAGGTTCTCTTGGAGGGTGAATTCGGACATGGCTGCCGAGGTGGGCGATGGCGAGGGGCGGTTCCCCGGGTGCGGCGAAGAATGAAAAGATGGAGATAGATGAGAAGAGCGGAAATGTTTGTTGACACGAAAGACGCGTCGCGTATAACAATTCCCCAAAGGGGTAATTTTGAGGTAAAAATCCTAGTTACGTAACCACCAATTATCCGCCGCCCGCCGCCGCCGCCGACGACCGTCGTGCCACGCATCGCATCGTGCATCTCGACATTTCTTGTGACAGAAGTATACTTTAGACACCATGAGCGAGCCCCAATTCTTCGAGACTATCACCAAGGTGCGCCCCTCCGGCTCTCCGAGGATCAGAACGGCGATCAGAACCAGAAGCTTACTTTGGCGCTAGTCTTTCACGGATGTGACCATCACTGAGGCTGGTGTCAACACTGCCGAGTTCCTCGAAGCTGCCGAGGGCCTTGTCAAGATCTTCAGTGAGTATACGCCTGCGTGGTGCTCAGCGATAGATGTTGATTGATCCACAGACCTCTTCGGTAACCCTGCTTTCACCGTCGTCCAGAACGACTTGACTGGTAACATCGCCGTAAGTGTTCGATGGACACTTTGTGTCGCTGGTTCTCCAGCAAAGTAGCATCAGCTGACTGCTTTCCTCTGCTTCTCTTTATTGTGTTCGCCCACCCTACCGAATCCACAATTTCACCGTGAACCCTCTCCCCTCCCCTCAATCCCGCTCGCCCCTCCAGAAAATCCGAGCCTACCTCGCCCAGAACCCCACCTCCGCCTCCACCCTCGAATCTCTTCTCGCCACCGAAAAGGCCAACGTCCCCAAGCCCAAAGACCGCGTCGCCACCGACGCCCTCATGTGGTTGCTCCGTGGCCTCAAGTTTACCTCCCTGGGCTTGAAGATCAACTTGGAGAATAAGGATGAGGAGCTTTCGGCGTCGTTCACAAAGGCGTACGAGCAGAGTCTGAAAAAGTATCATGGGATGATGGTTAGGCCTGTCTTCTACGTACGTCCCTCCGCCTCATCCTCCTCCTGCCGGAGTGCGACAGACTGACTTGGTGTGCAGCTCGCCATGAAGGCTTGCCCCTACCGAGCTACCTTCTACCCCAAGCTCGGCGAGCCCCAAGCGGAAGTCACTGTCAAGCTCGAGGCCTGGCTCAAGGCCTTGTACGATATCGTCGAGAAGGAGACAACCGTCTTCAAGGCTGGGTCTTATGGGGAGATCTAAGGGCGAGAAGCCGCTGGGGGAAGTGGTTTTGTACAAGTTGTACTGAGGCATGGATCAGTAGTCCTTGCATGCATATAGAATGTGTGTCGATGTGCTATGCTAGACTGGTACTGGCGATTGCTTGGTGGTCATTGACAGGACACCCCGGAAACCTGCAAGACCGCGTACGTACCTATCTCATTTTGCGTGAGCGGAATCACAGCTGTATCTTCCATTTTCTTTTTTAAGTCCCGAAGATCATTCGAGTAGACACTCTATTGTGAGTGGCATCTACAGGTATAAATTGCAGTGTTGATGCCAAAGTAGCCAAACTAACGAAAACACCTTATCCACCATCCCCCTTCGTCATGCCCGACACCCTCAAACCCGATAGCTCCAGTTCCCCCACCACGGTTCAAGACGCCCCGCAAACGCAGCCATCCCAAACTACTCCGACGTCTTCCTCCCCATTTGTAAAAGAAACACATCAAGACTGGACAGATGATTCTCTAGACGCTCTGCTAGCCAGCAGCGATGGTGTTGGATTTTGCGTCCCGGCGTATATGCTGCAAGCTCATAGGTATTTTTCTGTTGACCATGAGAGCGGCTAGCGGAATAGTGCTTACCTCGGTTCCTAGTACGGTCTTTCGCGATATCATCTCCGGCGGAGTGACCGGACAGACTCGGGCTCAAAGCGACCCTTCCACCAAACACCGCGCTCTCGAGTTGACAGACAACACTTTCGAGACTTCTACTGTCGTCGCATGGGTATTGCAATTGATGGATGGCACATTCGACACAAAGGCTTTCGTAGAGGACCAAAAATCCGAAACAAGATTTAGCCTGACAAAGGTGAAATCGTTCGCCAACAAATGGGATTGTCGTTCAGTATTGGACGGTCTTGAGCGCGCCATTATTGCCATCAGTTGCGAGAGCCATACCGAACCTTGCAACAAACTTGCTCAATTCGACATTTTGACTGTGGCAGCTGATATCAATCGTCCTTACGCGGCTTATGCGGTACTCCTCCATTGGGATGTACCCGATAGCGACGAGAAGCGGGAGTACGGTTACTCCAGTGTGATAATCACCAAGAAGAATCCTTTCAATGTTGATTGTCTCTCACGGTTCGGTTTCAGCCTATTTCCGACAGATTATCTTTATGCGCTTCACAAGTCGCGCAGGCAATATCCTACGGACCAAAAGCTCCGGGCGGATGCGTTCCGCAAGCTTCTAGAGGAACCAATGACATAACAGGAAACAAGGGTGGGATGTACTTTTGCGGAGGCATTATCCGCTCGATGAATACAGACTAGCACTTCTCTCAAGCTTTCCATATATGTGATTGATGTATAAAGGCTAAATCTAGGCCAACACCCTCTCGAACAGCTCTCACAACTTGAGGCCCGCGCGGAAGATGATCACTATCAGCATATGAGGTGCTCAACCCGAATCGAACTCGCAGTCAGTCGGACGGAAGACCCAGAACTGTGATAATGTAGCTGGGGCCTACCGACTGTTATGGAGGTAAAGAGCACTCAAGTTCTGGGTAGTATTCACTTGCTGAGCAGTTGCTCAATCTCACTCTCTCGTGTAGCTCTCTGGTGAACCTCGGGTGCCCGATTTGACGCGCCCAAAACCCAAAGCAGGTTGCGGTGCTCGCCGGTGTTGTGGCTCGCTTTTCGCGACGACTCCAGTCCAGCTCCAGTCACAACTCGAAGTCACAACAGACGGATCATCTTTGATTGTTTCCGATCCTCATCTTTCAGTTTATACTACTTTCTCTTTCCCCTTCCCTCCCGCCCCATGTCCAACTCCGCTAGACAACATTGGAACAAGCGCAAAGCCCGGGCTTCGTCGATCTGAACTCCGACGACATGGTCGCCTACGATCTGACCTCCAACGGCTTGCTCACCTACTCTTACGCCGATCAGAACAAGCAACCGCCCATACCCCCCTCCCGCCCCACGCTCAACTCCGCTACACAACATTGGAACAAGCGCAAAAGCCCCGGCTTCGTCGATCTGATCTCCGACGGCTTGGACACCTACTCTTACGCCGATCAGAACAAGCAACCGTCCCGAAAGCGGGCAAAGACAGCTTCGACGTGGACAGACGATTCGCACGATGTCAAGCTCGTCAGTAGTGACGAAGAGGTGGGTACAAATTTGAAGCGCGATACTGTGGATGAAGCTGACTTGGGGATAGTGCAGTCTTTCGGGACATGCTCTCAAGCGAGCTGCTAGATTCCTCCTTGTCAAGGTTGGACGGAGATGCCAAATCAACCCCTCAACGGCATCACCATGTCCTCGAGCTCATAGATGACGAGCTCGAAAACGCCGAAAACCTCACTATCGTCCTCACCCTCCTCGACTCTCTCAACTATAAGCTCACCGACTTTGTAGCCACCCACAAATCCAAAACCCCCACCATCATGTGGTCCATCCTCCTCTTTGCCAAGAAGTGGGGCATGCCCTTTCTTTGCTCCCGCCTGAGCGACTGGATCTGCCAGCTCGCCGTCGAATCCCACAAACCCCCTTACACCAAATTCAGCCAATACGACTTTTTCAAGCTGGCAGCTTGTTTCGGTCTGCTGCATGCGGCGTCGGTGGTGCTCTCGACGTGGTGGTGTCCGCGGGACAAGCCGGAATGGACAGTGTGGGCGTTTCCGGGATTTGGGCCCTTGGACCCAGAGTTGTTGACGAGGAGGGAGTGGGTGGCGTTGCCGTTTGAGTATATGAGTGCTTTGCAGACGTCGTTAGCGTTGCATCCCAGGGATAGGCTGGAGAGGGCGAGGATGTTTCACGCGTTGGTCACGACGGACATGTAGAGCTGGGATGGGAGGAGGTTACATGGTTAAATGGCTCTTGTGCGATAGGGTCCTGTATGTATTGCTGCATTCAACGCAGGTTGGAACTTGTGAAGCGCGTGGTACCGGCGTATAACCGGACTGGTTAAGTACCTCTACCCTCTCCAAGAAGTCCTCCACCGAGAACCCAACGTTGAACACAACTCAGTCAAGGCTATGGTGGTCGAGCAGACGGATTAAGCATCTTTCACTGTCAAATCTTCGGCTGTAGTTCTCCTCTTTCAGTACATACGTATCTTATCTCATACGCTCTACTCTATAGCCGCTCTGCGTGTTGTTATGTACTGTACTCGTACATCTCCACTACATAGAGTTGATCAAGATCATCTGGCGGAATCAAATTACTCGACCGGCTGCGCGCTGGGATCTTCGCACTGCAGGATCTTCCTGGTCCTCCGTATCACCAAGCGCACCTATATCAATCCCAAACACCTTCTCCACCTACCTGGTCTCTACAGTGACCCAAGAAGACATCGTTGTAGGTGACATATGGGGGCATGGGCTCCAGGACTGACTTCATAGCAGCAAATCTGTGCTCAATTAGCGACTTCCATCCATCAGATCCCCTCAGCCCCCTATCATACACCGAAATCCTCGCTACGATGTCAGAATCCATAGCCAGTCCTCAAGACGCGCCGAAAGAGCAGTCACCCCAGACGACTTCGGCTTCGCCGTCTCCCGCTTCGAAGATACACGAGGAGTGGAAGGATGATTCTTTGGACGCTTTGCTGGTCAGCAGCGACGGTGTCGGATTCTATGTTCCGGCTTATAAGCTACAAGCCCACAGGTAAGTCGTCTCAATACACTGGTGGCGGCAGAATATGCTGACACTTGCTGGTAGCACTGCCTTCTGCGACATCATAACCGACCATGCCAAGGGGCAGTCTTCATCCAGCCCTTCCTCTTCAAACTCAAAAGGGGCCTCCGGCAACACCCATCATACTCTAGAGTTGACAGACGACTCTTTTGAGACTTCCATTGTCGTCGCATGGGTACTGCAATTGATGGATGGCACGTTTGACGTGAAGGCTTTCGTGGAGGCCAACAAAGCCAAAACTTTGCCGATTCTGTTGAACCTGAAGTCGTTTGCCAACAAATGGGACTGTCGTCTGGTGCTGGATGGTCTTGAACGCGCCATTGTCACTATCAGCTCTAGAAGCAGCTCTGAGCCTTTCAGTAAGCTTGAGCAATTCGACATCCTCAGAGTTGCGTCAAATATCGACCGTCCTTTCGCCGCTTATTCGGTACTTCTTCTATGGGACATGCCCGAAGGAAGTGATGGGGAAAAAAGAGAGTATGCCCATGATAATGTAATAATCACCAAGAGAAAGCATTTTGCAATCAATACTCTCAGTAAACGCGGGTTCAACTACTTTTCTCCCGACTATCTCTACGCTTTCTACAAGTCTTCGAAGAAGCATGCTGCCGACCAGCGACTCCGCGCGGACGAGTTTCTCAGGCTTATATCTGAGTAAGCGGTTGTTTCCCGCACCAAACCTTTGATCCATACCTCCTGTCTACTTAGTCCCTGTACTGTATGTGAACTGTTCATATACGACGACGCATACACACTCAGTACGATTGATTTCGGGTTTCCGAAATTCCACGCGGCGACCTCCACTGCCACCGACGCTTCTGATGAGCTCTGACATGCGTCTTTCATTCTCTTCTTTCCTGCCATAACACCCTTCTTGCCTTCAACTTTTCGCCATGCCCTCCCTGTTCCGCCCCATTCTCGCCATCCTCCTTTACCCCCTCTTCCTCCTCCTTCACCTCACCTTCACCCTCACCTCCCTCTCCCTCCGCATCTTCCAGTCCCTTACGACCCCCGTCCCTCATACCATCGACATCGAGCACGTCTCCCCCCCACGGCACGTCGCTCTCGTGCTCGTGCCCTCTGCGCCTGGGCAGAATGTAGGGCTCGGCGGGAAAGGTGGCGCGTCGGGTCGGGCGGAGAGGAGAAGAAAGGAGAGGGAAGGATTGGTGGAGAGTGGTAAGAGGGTGGTTCAGTGGGCGGGCGAGAGGGGGGTGGCGGAGCTTTCGATATGGGATGGACAAGGTGTGTTCTTTCCAAACATGCTTCTCAAGGCGTCGTGAACGCATGGCTGACTTTTTTCACGTGTCCTCAAGGCCTCACGCAGGCGGCACTGCCAACACTACTGCGCACCCTAACCACCGCCTCCTCCCTACCCCCTTCGCCCCCCACCTCCCCTTCCTCCAAGCCAACACAAGACGCATCCCCCTTCTCCCGCCCTTCTTCCCCCTCGCCGTCTCCGCCGAAGAGGACGGAAACGCTGGGCGGCGGGGTGACGAGTATCACGGTCTGGCCGTCCTTCTTTGGGAAAGGGGATTCGAAAAAGGCGCAGGCGGGGGCGGGGGGGAGCAGGAAAGAGCTTGTGGTGCATTTCGTACCGCCTTCCAGTGGTGCTGTGGGAGTTGTGAATCTGACCAAGCAGTATGTCAAGGGCAAGGTGGAGGTGGAGGAGGTCACGGTGAACAAGGTGGATGAGGATATGAAAAGTAAGCTTTTTGGGGGATATGGGGTTGGGATATGAGCTGATGAGGTGCTGTAGAGCAGCTGCATTTCCGAGATTATCCTGACTTGCTGGTCATACATCACCTTACCCCTCCGCCATTCTACGCGACGCTTTTGCCGAGACGAGCACCAGAACTCTGGGGATACCCCTTCTGGGCGCTTCGAATCACCGAAATATAGTACGTCCCCCTTCAGACCCTTATGTCCCCCCAGCTGACTGACTCTTCACCAGCCAACACCCAACGCCAATGCCATTCCTCCACTACCTAAGTTTCTTTATAACAACCCTTCGCAACTCGTCTCTTCCCTCTATCAGGAAAGTTGGCAACGCCATAGGGGAGCCGGGAAAGCCCGCGGGCAATGCTTTGAGCCGAGATGAGTGGGATGGGGCGATGAGGGCTTGGGTGAAGGTGGAGCAGAGGCTGGGAAAGTAGATCTGTCTGTGGTTGCATCTTGCATGTTTGCACTGCACTGTTCATATGTGAGCATATATGTCGTTATGATATGTCAACGTGGAGCCCGAGAAGGCTGTACGCTTTTTCTGTTGATTTCGTATCCTCCGTAAAAAGTGCATTCTCATGTCCAGATCACCAGTCCAGGACACATGTATCTGGTTTCTCATCAGTCGCTGGATCTTCGCTGCTAAAATCGACGAAGAACGTGACGATCTGACGAGTGTCCGTTCAAGTGATGGCTTCTGCAATTGAACTTGACTCTAGCTACCCACGATATACCTTTACGTCATCGTACATGATATGCACAAAGATAGTCGTGTTGGTTGAATGAAAGAGGAGATGGGCGCAGGTTACGTAAATAATGCCACATCAGTGACGCCGCCGCGCACTCGCGTCGCTCTTTCGCTGTCTCCTTATACTCTCCACCCCATCCTATCCCGCCATGTCCGTCTCCAACGTCAGTCCCGGTGCCCTCGAGCGGGAGTGAAGTGCTGACCACTCTGCAGCACCCTGCCCTCTGGAAGCAGCCCGCTCCCACCCACTCCACCTTCAACGACTACAACACCTTCCCCCTCGCCCAGACTAACCGCGCCCACCAACAACCCGTCTCTCACACCTCCCAGCCTATCGTCACCGGTACCTCTGTCCTCGGTGTCAAGTTTGATGGGGGTGTCATGATTGCTGCTGACAACCTTGGTATGTAAAGGACTCTGCAAAGTGCGAAGCATGAGGGATATCAGAGGGCTGATGGGGTGAATAGGTTCTTATGGATCTCTTGCGAGGTTCAAGGATATTCAGCGTCTGCATCCTCTTGGCAAGAACACTTTGATTGGTGTTGCTGGTGATATGGCGGACTACCAGTGGTTGAAGAAGGAGCTCGACGCTTTGTTGTAAGCACCCCTTCCCATCACATCCGGCAAACAACTGACATTGGGGGATAGACGCGAAGAAGACACATTCAACCTCACCGACTCCCACCCCTCCCTCTCACCTTCCAACCTCTACACCCTCCTCTCCAACCTCTTCTACGCCCGTCGTTCCAAGGTCGACCCCATCTGGAACGCCGTCCTCCTCGGCGGCGTCGACCCCAAGTCTGCCGAGCCTTTCCTCGCTTATGTCGACTTGCTCGGTACGACCTACACTGCGCCGACGTTGGCGACGGGTTTCGGCGCGCATTTGGCGCAACCGCTTTTGAGGGAGGCGTATGAGAAGAAGGCGGGGATTGATGGGAAGGGACCGAAATTGACAGAGGCGGAGGCGGAGAAGTTGGTGGAGGACTGTATGAAGGTCTTGTTCTACAGGGATGCGAGGAGCATCAACAAGGTGAGCTGCTTTTGGCTATGTAGTTTGAAAGGAGCTGACGGCTGGGTAGTACCAAATTGCGACCATCACAGCAGAGGGTATCAAGATCAGCGACTCAAAGTCTGCTGCCACCGAGTGGGGCTTTGCCGAGGGTTTGAGAGGGTACGGCGCGCAGCTTCAGTAAAGAAGAAATGTAGAAGGGCTACTTGTAATGCATATATGATTTCAGACCCAAAGAGAACTGTAGGAGGAGGGCGCTTTCACCATGGCACAATGCCAAACCGTAGACTCTATGGGATTCAAGCCGATTGCTGTTGGAGAAGCCTGATAAAACCAGCCGATCCTGTGTACGAGTACGAGTACTGTTTCCTTCTGTGACTCTGACGGCATGATGCGCTCAACGTGGTATGTTGAAACTTTGATGATAGAACAAATGCAAATCCCAAAGCGTACATATGATCTCATTAATGTTTCAATAACGGTTACGATGTGAGGTGCTTGATAGAAGAAGCAGCACTTTTCTGTTTATCCCCCGGCGAGTCGACTGAAGAATGCTGAAGCGCGTAAAGCCACTCTGGTGTCCATTCTGCCCAAGCCTTCTTCGACCACTTCATGATGTCCAGCGCATCTTCACTTCTGACTGCCCAGTACCCATACTCTTGCAGAACCACTGGCAACGTCCATGAGCTGATCACAGCATGCGCAGCGTAGGGCAGGTCTGCCAACATTGCCAACTTCAGAAAGTCATGCTGGCTGAACTTGTTGTACGGCGCCTTGTAGCTCTCAAGAGCGACTTTGCAGATCCATTCGTGGAGGTGGGATATCAGGAATCGCATCTCCCACTTTTTGGCAAAGAGGGGGACATGGTAAAGAATGGGTACAGTTCTGACACCAGCAAAGGTGACGAGGCGGGAGAGCGTGTATTGGGCGTCTTCGAGGATGAAGAGGAGGGTGCAGATGGTTTGGGAGTCTTCGGAGGTGGTGTCGGTGAGCTCGAGCAGACGTGGGTAGGGGGATCCTGATGAGCAAGGAGAGAGGGGTGTTTGGGGTGGGGAGGTGGCAGCTCGCACAGAGAACATGTCCCGGAACACGGTGCTGGGGCGCGGCACGGTCAGCTCAGGCTCCATCATTAGAAAAAGACGATAACGCACCTATGCCCCTCGAGCATGCATCCCTCGATGTAGAACCTCTTGTTATCGCTGCTAACGATCAGGGTGTCCAGAGAGTCATCAGACCAACCTTTGTAGAGCACTCGGCCGTCAGGTGTCTTTCGCTGGACTGGAGAGACTTTCTTGGGCTCTTCGTCGTCGTCCTTGCTGGCTCGTTTGGGCGTGGAAAAAGGGATGGGGGTGAGGGGGGTAGACATGGCTACGATATGAAAAAAGGTTATATGGAGGTTCTGATAGAAAACAAGACCAATACAGTATGATGGCCAGCAAATTGTAGCTTATAGATTTGGTCAGTCAACGTGATAGACAACATGATCGCGGCGATGACCGATGTTCGGCTGGCCGATACTCCTCATCATCAAGTACACTATCTTCGACGTCGAGGTCAATGCATTAGTGAGCGTACCCTGGGCAGAGATTGACGCGCATATATCTATCGAACGTGCATCGTATTTCATACCTGTCTGCTTGGAATATAGATCACATGGATCCCACCTTCTTATCTGATGTCTCATCGCCCCTCGCGTCCCTTCCCTGAGCTGGCGTTCCTCTTCCCAATATACTCATCGGGCTACCTGACATGCTCGGCCATAGAAAGTACAAAATTCCGCGTCCCGTTCGATCCGCGAAGACAACTTGCTTATCGCTTGGTCAGTACCAGGGTGGGGGACCACCTGGGAATCCCGAGTGCCGAGTTTTTTTGCCTTTTTGATCCGTACGCGTGGTGCCAGCACCAGGTGGGCTCGCTGAGTGTTGACCAAGAGCATCTTTTGCACTGAGACAGATGGAGACATCGATGATATCAAGGTAAGGGACACATTTGGCGTAGTCGTCGATTGAAGAGGCAATTGATATCGTGCAGACGTGAAGACAGTATGAGAGACGCGGACAGGCGGACATATCCGGACACGCGACTTTCCGAGCCGAGCCGTCACCTGCAGTCTTGACTTTCTATTTCACTTTATATTTCCCGTACAACACCATGCGCCCCTCTCTCCGACTGCTCACCAGGACACCCAACTACCCAGGCCACATCCCCCTCTCCTACGCCCAGAATGCCCTCCTCGCAGTCGGATCGGGCGTCATGGGTGTCGTAGACGTTTCGCGCGGCGACCTCATCGCATCTCTTTCCGAGTCTACGGCCGGCATATTCTTGCCAGCCCTACACGACAAGATGAAGGTCACTCCCGAAGGACGTCAAATCATGAAAGATCGCCCGCAAATAACGAGTCAGACGATTGAGGGGCTGAAGAACTTGAAGAGGGGTACGCTGGGGAGAGAGTATGTGGAGTGGATGGGCGATGGGGGGCTGGAACCAGAGAGTAGAGTACCAGTGAGTGCATATTGGTCTTTTGAAGCACTAACTGATCGTCTCAACAGGTGAATTACATCGACTCTCCAACTCTGGCCTACACCATGCTCCGCTACCGCCAAACCCACGACCTCTACCACACCCTCTTCTCCCTGCCCCCCACTCTCCCACATGAGCTTTCTCTCAAGGTCCTCGAATTCTCCAACATGAAACTCCCCGTCGCACTCCTCTCCTCAGTATTCGGTCCTCTGCGGCTGAAACGCAAGGAGACCTGGTCGAGAGACTGGGTCCCATGGGCGCTTCGTACCGGCCGAGAAGGAAGAAGCTTGGTAACGGTGTACTGGGAGAAGAGGTGGGAGCAAGGGGTAGGAGAGCTTAGACGGGAGCTGGGTGTTTCAAGGAATGATGCGAATGGAGTAGAGGCTCGATGGGGTGGGTATAGGAAGCTGAGAGAGGAGGAGAGGGAGCTGAGAAGAAAGGGAGAGTGGGTGGATGAGCCTGAAGAGTGGTAGATGTATGCACGGATTCGTTCGCAGGATTTGAAGGTATGGACACTTAGCTGCTATGGACGACGGTGCGGAAGAAGCCATACTGTCTCTGATCTGCTACTTCTTGATCATCTAGAGCTCTGCATTATATTCACACCCTAGCAAGCCTAATCAACTCTTGCACACCGCTCAGCTCTTCCATCACGTGGGTGACAATCTACGGGTACATCATCACGCCCACCAATTATCGCTCAACTCCTCTGGCAAAGCCAAACGTCCCACGGGCCTGTCGTTGGGGACGACGCTCTCAGAAGAGAGCTGACGACGTGCTTCCCTGGCCAAGCTCCCTGTCCATTGGGACGGGTAGTTTGCAAAGGTCAACCTATTTGGGATGCCTTTCGCATCGGCTACCTGGCTTTGAAGGTTGACCCCAACACTGTCATGGATGGTACCGTCATAATGCCCGTACGCAAAGTTGTCGCACGTTTGCTGTCCATCGTATATGAAGCTCTCCGCAATGGTTTGATTGACCTTGTCGGTGAATCTTTTGACGAACGCTGAATGATACTCGGGAGTATTCCGGTGAACACGATGCCTGGGCTGGATGGAATTACCAGTCATGACAAAGTGGGCGAGCAAGCTTGCGGGGCGGAGGTAGTATCCTTGAGCTGTGAGCTGAGACTCGACGTGTATCTCATTACCATCAATATTCGGAAAAACGGGGGCAAACTTGAGGGATGGACAAGTACGGATAATACTGTGGCTGACATTTGGATCTTCGCTGCCTCCAAATGTCCATGCGAGGTCGGCAAGTCCACTCTGGGCATAGCCTCGTAAGACCATAGTACTGGAAATCCTGATGTGTCACGATATATGACAACAGGATTGACGTGGAGAACGGTCCCATCTCTGGAGAAGAAAGGGTCGGTGCTGGTGCGAAGCTCGTATTGTGTGTCTCCGACATTGTCATCATTGAGAGATGTCCTACTGCGGGCTATGCTGCTGTCTTCGTGTAGCGACATCGTTTACTTTATGAAGAAGAACAATTAGGAAAATTTATCGTAATGAAAATGATGTGGGAATACTTTTGCTGATGGTATATATAGTCTTCGTTCGCTGATAGTAATTGATGTGGAGTTCAGTTCGATGAAAGGATTATGATGGTCGAAGAAAGGACCATACATATTACACATATGAGAAGAGCCAATGGTGAAAAGAGAGAATACGGTTCGTGAGCTCCGCGTGAATGGTGATGTATAGTGTTAGATGCCAGACAGTGAGAACAAGAAGCGAAGTTGCATGATAATGCCATCACTTGCCTTCTGTTTACCAAGGATCCCCTCCCCTCCGCCATATATCAATCGCCTGTACTACACTACACCAGCCTGGACTCCTTTCGTCCCTCGGCGAGGAAACCTCATGGGCCCCAGGCGGAGTTTCATACATGCGAGGGCCAGGCTCCAAGCTCTGCACTCGAACGCTCAGTCACATCTTCAAAGAATTTGTGCGAGTATCTCGGAATGAAGATACTTTCGGGAACTCCTCGATCATCCGCCGAGTCCGCGTTCACTCTCAACTCCAATGACTCAGACTGGGCAGCATCACCCACGTACGACGTGTACGTATCGTTATCCTTCATGACTTGTCCATCGCGAATGAAACTTTCAGCGATGGAATGATTGATACCTTCCAGAAGCCTGATCGTGAAGGTATCCTGATAATCGGGAGCGTCGCGGTGAGTACGACGACTTTCGGCAATACTCGCCCCAGTCGCACTAAGGTTGCCAATGAGACACGCCGGGCTGACAAAATGCATACTATCCTCATGAGTGATATCGGTATTCACGCCAAGGGGAGCCATGCGAGGAAATGAGGTTTATGATCCAGCGAAGGGCAGGTTTTGTTGATGCTTTCAGCGACACTAGGATCTTCATCTCCCCCGAACGACTTCGCCAGACTGTCCAATTCTGAGTCAGGATAATGGCGAAGGACAACCCAACTTGGCTTCTTCTTCTCGTCGGTCCCCTCCGAGATATTGATTCGAAGAGGAACTGTCACGTTTCGTCTCACCTTCTCGAAAGAACTGAGTCCCATAAAATACTCTCCGCCTGGAGCTGGCGGCTCATTTTCAAAGACAATCTTATCCAAGACCTCTTCGAGAGTTGCTACTCTTTCATTCGGATCATTGTCAGAAGAAGCGTAAAGCGGGTTGTTGTTCCAGGTATCGATACTCTTTGCGATCATGTCAGGCGAGAGAAATCCGGCTCGCCCATTCAAGTTTCCCTTGGTGCACACCATGACTGGATCCAAATGGACAGCGTCATCCTCAGTAGAGATGAAGGGATTGCTGACAGTGCCCAAGTTGTATTCGGATCGCTCCACCTGGGCGTTAGCATTATCAATAGAGCCATCGTCTTGCGACTGACGCTGGTTCTCTCCGGGAGCTGACATGTTTGCTGAATGGGTATCAGGATCTGATAGGCCGCCCGCTTATAAAGTAAAGCCTTAAGGTTGATCACACTTATTGCGACAATCATTTCTATCCCCGATTTTTCGGCAGAAAGGATGACCGACTGTCTAGGCTTCAACGTCATTATCGGACGACTTCCAGGAGTGTAACGGAACGAAATACCCCGTTCAAAGTTGAGAATGCGAGGAACAATTGTGGAGGGGTTCAATGAGTAAGATTGGAAATAGAGATCTATAGTAAGTGACATATGCAGTCAATGATTCCAGCTAACGATGGCCAATTAGATTGGTCACGAAGATAGCATGAACGTCTCATCATCGCCTTCCAACGACCACCATCATCACAGGTTTGATGTTCATCTACTCTATCACAAAGGTTTTTGAGACACGTCGAAGGAACCGAGTACAAAAAGGACGCGATAGTCGTATTGCTGTGCTGCCATGTAGGCAGACCAAAGGGCCGTGGATGGCACATCGTAGTATATAAAGCATCGAGGCTGGATGTCACAGTCATTCTTCTACCCTCATTTTTTGAAACAATCATTTCCATGATGAGGACTCTGACAAGACCTCGACGACAGGTATCGGATACCTAGATCAGGATGAAACAACTACTGAAAGGAAGTGACGATGAGGAACCGCTATGTATTACGAAACCTGTACAATACACGTACATGACATAGAGAAACCCTATCTAGCCAAATGCCCCTGAACTTTGCTACCAGTCCTTGATCCAGAGGTAATAATCATGAGACCAAAACAGTCGTCGCCAATAACTCAATCCTGCACTGTGGGCCCCGGGCGGGGTTGTTTCTACCCATCACTGGGTTCTCTCTACCCACACCTATGGTTTTGACCCCAGGGCGTGGTACCAGTAAGCATGGCCTTTTGAGTGTCCTGAAAATGACCCATGACGGGGGCTACGGTCAGTCAGACATCTTTTTCAAAAACTGCCAAGTCGCGTCGCGTCCTTGTCGTTGAGTGATTGTTATCTTTCTTCTCTTCCACCTCTCTACACTTCCCTCCCGCCTTCCACCACACCCCTTCCACCCACCAACCACTCATACGCCCCACCCGGTCCTCCCCTAGGCTCCCCTCAACGACGCCGTCCCCCCGCGCCGCATTCCCAGCAGCTTTCAACAGCAGCGCCGACGTCGTCAACACCACCCGGATTCGCCACCCGGCAGAGGTCCGTGCGCTGTCTTCCCCAAAGAACCCATCCTTGCTGACCCTTATGCTCATACCTGACGACCTTCCTCCTGCCTCCAGCGAGATGCTCTTCCCCACTCATCAAGCGTGATGTGTTTTGCGGTACTCGGAAAACATCTGAGTACGTTGCCTTTGTCGTCGCTCTGCGTCAATGAACCGATCTATCTCTACGCTCGAAAACCCTTCTCCACCCCCTTCTCAAGACGACCTCTGCTCGCTCCATGGCGCCTCCACTAGCTCTTCTTCAGGACGCTCGACGACTCGTCCCTCAGCGCTCCTTTGCTGTACCGGCCCTTCGCCAGGGAGCTTTCTTTTCCTTCGTTCCTGTTCGTTGAATTCGTCACCGTTCGCCGGAATGTGAGTCGTCAGGTTATGTGTTGAAATTCCGCTAATCACTTTATGCAGGCTGCAGCTCATGTAAACATCCATCAAAGCAGGTAGCGTCAAGCAATGGCTGTAACACGACTAGAGGTATAGCAGTCTGATTCGCAGCAATCTTTGTATCGTGGCCATAGATAGCGAGGGTAGTACTTAGAGCTTTCATACGAGGCCATGTTAGATGCATCTTTTGACCCAGATTGTAAGCTGAAACTACCCGCATACAATGCTGAACCTACCCACATTCGATGCTGAAACTACCCCGCTCTCAAGGTTGAAGCAACCATGGTTCAGGGTTGTCCTAGCACAACCACTCAACCCACTTACTGGCTTGCATAGGCAAGTACGTATGACGGAGAAGACAACCCCGCGTGCGGCCCACAGTCAGTGCTGCCCGCAGTTTTGTATGACGATGCTATCATTCTCATATCATGGCGTCCTCCTCTGTACTGGAAGAGCAGCATATATCCACCCTCTGGCCACATAGCAAACTCTACAGTACAATGTACTACATTATCTACCTACACCCCATCAATTCCTTGGCCAAGAACCCTTGCGAGCTCCAACCGAATGCTTTTCGTCCGAGAAGCGGGGTCCAAGCTCTGTGTTTGAACGCTCTGTCACATCGTCAATTGATTTGTGTGAATAGCCTCGAACGACGATGGTTTCCGGGACCCCTCTCTCATCAGCTAAGGCCTCGTTCATTCTCAACTCCACTCTCTCCGATTTGGCAGCATCATTCCCGTACGACGTGTACGCATCGTCATCCTTCATGACTTGTCCATCACCAATGAAGCTCCTAGGGATCGAACTCAACACAAAGACACCGCCGCAAACCCAATGAATGACCTACGATGCTTTTTATTCTCGATCTCTTGAGGAACTCCAGTTTATCACATCTGGGATCGACTATGACAATGATGATCGTAAAAGAGATGAGACGAAACAATCATTACCCACGACTGATCATGAAGCCAGCCCGTGAAGTTGCAAGATGAGGATGGCATCGTTCTCGCATCATGGCAGTTCATATGAAATCATTTGAGCTGTTGATCGTGGTGATCCTAGGAATACATACTTAGAGTTAGCAGACCATCCAGCAAATAGAGTCCCATGAATTCCGATTGAAGGTGATCAAACGGATATGTAGCGGACATGCATCTCCCAGCTGCCACAAACCGAACACCTATATTCCACAAGCGTAAACACCAACTATTACTCGGTGTGAAGGCCATATGGACCCCAGGCGAGTTCTTCATCTGCCGAGGGGCGGGGCCCAAGCTCTGTACTTGAACGCTCCGTCACATCTCTATGGGATTCGCTCGGGTAGCTCGGAACAACAATGGTCTCGGGAACTCCTCGTTCATCAGCCGAGGCCCCGTTCACTCTCAACACCAATCTCTTAGACTCGGCAGCATCATTCTTGTATGACGTGTAGACATCGTTGTCCTTCACGACTTGTCCATCACGAATGAAACCCTCAGCGATAGAATGGTTGATACCATCCAGGAAATTATTTGCGAAGGTACTCTGATAACTGGTAGCGTCACGTTGTGTACGACGATTTTCGGCAATATCCTCCCCAGCGACACGAAGGTTGTCAATGAGACACGCAGGTCTGACAAAATACTTACTGCCCTCATGGGTGATATCGATGTTGACTCCGAGAGCCGTTCCAGTCTGCGATTCGAAAAACTGGGGTATATTATCCAGCGAAGGGCAAACTTTGTTCATATTTTCAATGATACTAGGGTCTTCATCTCCCCCGAACGATTTTGTAAGACCTTCCAGCTGAGAAATGGGATAGCCGCGAAGGACAAGCCAGCTCGGCTTCTTGTCATTGGTCTCCCCAGAGCTGTTGACTTGCAAGGGAACTATCACGTTCCTTCTCAAATCGTTGCTTTTAGTGAGCTCCATGAACGACTCTCCGCCTGGAGCCGGTGGCGCGTCGTCGATGAGGACCTCCGCCATGATATCCTCGAGGATTCCTGCTCTTTCGTCCCTTTCATCATTCGAATCATCGCCAGAGGTAGGGTCGTCATTCAGGCCATCGGTCCAAATACCAATACCCTTGGCGATCATGTCGGCTTCGATGATTCCGACTCGTATGGTACCGTCGGCCTTGTTGGTGTAGATGTATGTCGGGTTTAGGTGAACAAAATCACCCTGAGAAGAGACGTAGGAGTGGGTCATACTGCGCACTTGGTATTCAGGTGATTCCACCTGGGCGATGTCATTGTCGATAGAGCCGTCGGCATTTTCTTGCGACTGAAGCTGTTGATTTTCTTCGTGAGCTGACATTGCTGGATGGGTTTGGAAGTCTGATTTCTGTTTGTGAAAGACCCTTATATAATTGTAAAGAGCTACCCCAAGGCTGGCCATACTTAGATTCTTGACGTAATCTTTTATATGCCCGGCATTCTTCTGGCATTTTTGGTAGAGACAACAACAAAGAGCTCAAAGGAGTTCAATACACCGCTCAAAGTCTAGAATGCAAGAAACACTCGTCTAGGAGCTCGAGGAGTAAAATTAGAAGAGGACATCGAAATCAAACGACATACGCCCAAAATGCCAGCCGAGAATAGCCATACCGGTCTGGTCACGAACGGAGCGCCATGAAGTACACCGGGGGACTCGTTGCCTTCTATGTGAGGATCGCCGTCATCGCAAGGGAGGTGTTTATATACTCTAAGTCGGCCTTAGGGACTCTGGGAAGCAGCCGAGTGTTCAAAGTATATAACTGCCGTATCATTGGCTTGCATTAGAAGAAAGACATAGTAGGAGCCGTGCGCAGCACGTTTGTGCCATGCTTCTTGGTGCCGCCGGTCCGCTTGCCAGCTCCAAAGTCGGTCCTTTCTTCTTGAACCGACCCTCTCGAAGGCCAGTACTGTAAGAAAGTCGCCAAGGTCTCGCGGACAAATATCATAAATCTAGATCACATTCAAATGGCTACTGAAAGCAAGTAACGAAAGAGAACCCATATTAGATAGTCCTATGCCATATACAGAATACCCTTGTGCTTTGGTCGCCAAAGGAAACATCCAATCTTATATTCATCCTCGCCAGACGACCTCCCTACAGCCCAGCCTTCAAGATAACAGATAACTCAACACAAAGACAACCGACACCAGTCCGGTTTACGACCTACCTACCATCATTGCTGTTCTCAAATCCTGTGAAGCTCCACCTTAATGAATTTGTACAAGATCACGAGTGCCAACGCCGTCGTTCTCGCATGATGACTTTAAAATCCAGGTAATCAGACGGATATGTACATAGCGGAAATGCATCACATCATTTACCAGCTGCCACAAACCGAGCACCAACTTTACCCCGAAGTAAATACCAACTATTACTCGGTGAGAATGCCATATGGACCCGAGGCGAGTTCTTCTTCCTCCGAGGGGCGAAGTCCAAGCTCTGTGATTGAACGCGCTTTCACTTCCTCAAGGAGTTCGCCTGGGTAGTTCGGAACAACAATAGTTCCGGGAACTCCTCGTTTATCAGCTGAGGCCGCGTTCACTCTCAACACCAAGTTCTTATAATAGGCATCATCATTATCGTACGACGCGTAGGCATCGTTATCCTTCACCACTTGTCCATCGCGAATGAAACTCTCAGAGATCGAATGGTTGATACTTTCCACGAGGCTGTTTTGGAAGGCGCGCTGATATCTGCGAGGGATGTGTGGAGAAATATGATCCTCCACAACACTCTCTCCAGTTGCACGGATGTTGTTAATGAGACATGAAGGGGTGACATGATACTTTCTACCCTCATGGGTGATATCGGCGTTTACTCCAACGGTCGTTCCAGTCCGCGATTCGTAAAACTGGGTCATATGATCCAGCGAAGGACAGGTTTGATTGATACTTTCAGCGATGCTAGGGTTTTCATCTCCCCCGAACGATTTCGCCAGACCTTCTAGCTGAGAGATAGGATAGTGGCGGAGGACAAGCCAGCTCGGCTTCTTGTAGTCGGTCTCCTCATCTGTCTTCTCAACGGAGCTGTTGGCTTGCAGGGGAACTATCACGTTTCGTTTCAGCAACCGTGTTGGAATCGACTTGATGCCCATGAACGACTCTCCGCCTGGAGCTGGTGGCGCATCATTGACGACGACCTCACTGAAGGCTTCCACGATGTATGATACTCTTTCATCGTCATCCTCGGCCAAATCATCTTCTAACCAGAGGTCGATACTCTTTGCGATCATGTCTGGTGGGAGGAACCCGGTTTGCTGGGTTCCGTCGGCGGTCTTGGTGTAGAGCATTGTCGGGTGTAGGTGAACAAAATCACCTTGAGAAGAGACGTGAGGGCGAGTAAATTCTTCCCTTTTGTAATCGGATGACACCAGGGCAACGTCGCCAGAGAAAAGATCGTAGTCGTCGGCTCCGCCTTGCGACTGATAACGTTGATCTTCTTCGTTAGCTGACATGATTGCTGGATGGGTTTGAAACTTTGATACCTGTATGTGAGAGACCCTTATATACCCGTGTAAAGCTAACTCAAGGCTGGCCGTACTTAGATTATTGACGTGATCAATTCTGTTCCCGGCATTCTTCTGGCGTTTTTGGTGGAGACAACACATCTAAGAGCTCAACGGAGGACAATACACCGCTCAAAGTCTAGAAAGCAAGCAACACTCGTCCAGGAATTTGAGGAGTAAAATTGGAAGGAGACATAGAAATCAAACGACATACGCCTAAGATGCCAGCCTAGAATAGCCATACCGGTCTGGTCACGAACGGAGCGCCATGATGTCCACCGGAGGACTCGTTGACTTCTATGTAAGGATCGCCCTCATCACGAAACAAGTGTTCATATACTCTACATCGGCCTTTGGGGCTCTTGAAAGGAGCCGAGTGTTCAAAGTATAGGATTGCCGTATCATTGGCTTGCATTATTAGAAGGAAGACATAGCAGGCGCCGTGTGTAGCACGTTTGTACCATGTTTCTTCGTTTGCCAGCGCCAGAGTCGGTCCTTTCTTCTTAACGACCCTTTCGAAGGCCAGTCCTGTAAGGAAGTCGCCAAGATCTCGCGGACAAAGATCATAAACCTAGATCACATTCAAATGACTACTGACAGCAAGTAACGAATAAAGAACCCCTATTGCGATAGTCCTGTTCGATATACAAAAAAAAGACCTCGTGTTTCAGTCGTGCATGAAATGCCCATTCTTAGATATATCCACAACAAATCTCCATCTCCTCCATTCCAACCTTTCAAAAACTCTTTCAAAAGAACAAATAAGTCAACACAAAGACACCTGCCACAAGTCCGACGACCACTTCGAGCGGCACACCTTGCTGAGCAGCAACAGCCGCCGCCTGCACAGGCTTCTCCACAATCGTATCCGCCCCACCCTGCACACCCCTCTTCCTCAACCCAGTCACCTGAGGACCAGTTTTTTCGGCAACCTCGGCCTTGAGACGCTCAATTTCCTTGAGAGCGACGGCAAGCTTCTCAGAGTCGCTCGTGGTAGCAGAGAGGGACTTTTCGAGGGCGGCGTTGGTGGGTTGGATGTCGGCGGCAGAAAGGGGTGGAAGGGCGGGCTCGTTGACGGCGGGGGCAGAAGGGCCGGCGGCGAAAGACCTGGAGGGATCGCTGGGGCCAACAGACCTGTCGAGGGGTGTGGGTGAAGTCTGGGCGTGGCTGAAGATGGCCTTGGAGATTGTCAGCTTTGGATTCTTGCAGTTGCAGGTCAATTTGTGGGGTATATGGCATGAACAAAAGTGGAGATGTATAGGGGGTTGAGTATGGGTACCAACAGTGACGGGCTTGTGGAGAACGGGAGCCTTTGGGACGTAGATAGGCTTGTTGTAAGGGTCTTCCCAGACGGAAAGCCCTTTGTTCGGGAACAAGGCAGGGTCATACTCTTTCTCGGGCTTGGTGGTCCACCTTGTAAGACCATCGTGGGGATCGTTGAACTTGCCAGAGCAGGAATTGGTTTGCAAAAAAGAAAGAATTGAAGTGGAAGATCGGAAAAAGGAGCGAAAAGAAGGGCGGGTCAAATCGACCGCCGCCAGAGAATGGACTGATGGACTCACTGATTCCTCAATTCTGCTATCTTCCATCTCCTCTGGGATACCCTGACCATCGGCCTGACCTTCGGGGGCCAAGAAGACAACCTTGAGCTTCTTCTCCTCGATACCGGCCTTGTTGGTCTGTTCCAGCAGAGTCCACTACATAGGTAATTAGCATGTACTCGGAACGAGCGAAGCGGTACGTACCATCTGTGACAAAGAGCGCACTTCGTCATCGGCGTGGATGAATGCAGACTGGACCAAGAACTTGTCCTTGCACTTGGCGTGGGCTGGCGGTTCCTCGGCCATGGGTTGCAACATGACTGCGCAGTACAGTCAGAAATAGCTCATCTCTGACCACACCCGTCCAGGGCCTCAGAGAGGGAAGCTTTACTCACTGTTCACATCAACGCTGTCTCCCGGCTCGATACGCCCCGAGTTGGGCCTCACAGAGTACTGCTTGGGAGCGGTGGTCTTGACCTTGAAGGCGACGGGGTAGGAGTGGGGGTTGTGGATGTAGAGGGTTCGCTTGGTGATGGCGGTAAAGGGACCTTGAGGTGAGATGTCAGCATCAAGCAACGTGTAGCGTGCTGCTATAGCAGAGCAAAGGCAGGAGGGACCCCATAGTGCGGCAACCGTAGCAGCCGCCTTCGCTCCATCCGACGCGTCCATCGACTCAATCCAATGGTGACTGGCAGTTGCCACCCATACCGCAACCCCCATCTACCCCAGGACTCTTATCACGCTCACCAAGAACACAACTTACGAGGGAAACCCAACTGAGTAGCGGGGCTGAGTTCGACAGACATTTCGACGTTTTGTTCTTGCTTGGTGCTTGTGTGACAGGAGTGGTGTCTCTGGGAAAAGTGTCAACTCCTGGGCGTAGGTTGAAGTCGGAAAGGCTGACGGAAGACCAAACAGGCGATGGAAGCAAGTGTATGAGGTTGATTGACGGACACGAGGTGGGGTCACGCGAGGGGGCTGCTGGGTGCGATGCGGCAGTTGCTGGCGGGGTGTCGTGGGGTCACTTGGGGGCGGCGACAGGCAGTCTGAGGCGGGGGAGAACAAAAGAACAAAAGAAATAGAAAGGAAAGGGAAATGGTTGTTGTCGAAACAAGCACCTCATGACGCAGAGAAAGGCGGGGACTGCCACGTCACTTTCGCCGGGTAATGCCGCTGATAAGACACACAGACCGTCACTGCACGCAGCTTATTGTTGCCTGACGAGATCGTTCAACGTCTCATGCATGCATGCTGTCGACTTCATGTAGAGTGCTCATCGATGTATCACAGCTTTGATAGCAAACGGTGTCGTCTACACTGGCCGATCTACCTGGGAAGACATCTCACCTCAAGGTCCCTTTACCGCCATCACCAAGCGAACCCTCTACATCCACAACCCCCACTCCTACCCCGTCGCCTTCAAGGTCAAGACCACCGCTCCCAAGCAGTACTCTGTGAGGCCCTACTCGGGGCGTATCGAGCCGGGAGACAGCGTTGATGTGAACAGTGAGTAAAGCTTCCCTCTCTGAGGCCCTGGACGGGTGTGGTCAGAGATGAGCTATTTCTGACTGTACTGCGCAGTCATGTTGCAACCCATGGCCGAGGAACCGCCAGCCCACGCCAAGTGCAAGGACAAGTTCTTGGTCCAGTCTGCATTCATCCACGCCGATGACGAAGTGCGCTCTTTGTCACAGATGGTACGTACCGCTTCGCTCGTTCCGAGTACATGCTAATTACCTATGTAGTGGACTCTGCTGGAACAGACCAACAAGGCCGGTATCGAGGAGAAGAAGCTCAAGGTTGTCTTCTTGGCCCCCGAAGGTCAGGCCGATGGTCAGGGTATCCCAGAGGAGATGGAAGATAGCAGAATTGAGGAATCAGTGAGTCCATCAGTCCATTCTCTGGCGGCGGTCGATTTGACCCGCCCTTCTTTTCGCTCCTTTTTCCGATCTTCCACTTCAATTCTTTCTTTTTTGCAAACCAATTCCTGCTCTGGCAAGTTCAACGATCCCCACGATGGTCTTACAAGGTGGACCACCAAGCCCGAGAAAGAGTATGACCCTGCCTTGTTCCCGAACAAAGGGCTTTCCGTCTGGGAAGACCCTTGCAACAAGCCTATCTACGTCCCAAAGGCTCCCGTTCTCCACAAGCCCGTCACTGTTGGTACCCATCTCGTCTATGCATCTTCCATCTTTAAGTCGTTCAACATTCTCTTCGGCGCTGACCGTAATCATGTGGTCAAAGAGGTTACGTCATCAGCGGAAAAGTCATGAGCCCAGATATAATCAAGATATAATTCGTCTCACTTTCTCCTCTTCTCTCTCCCTTGATCCCTGCACACCTCGCCCCCACCAAAGCTCAAGCACCATGTCCTCCCGCTCCTCCGTCCTCCCAGGTGCATATTACTACTTCTTCTGGCTTATCGAGCCCCTCCTCACAGTCGCCGGCGGTGTCTCTGCAATCTACGACCCTGTCGCGTTTGCCAAAGACAGTTTGCCTCTGAATATTGAGAGGGCTAGTGCATTGGTTGGGAAGAGTGTTAGGGGGCAGCTTGTGACTACGCAGCTTGGGTCTTGTAAGTTGCATTTGTTAAAGGGGTATGGGGTGGATCAAGCTGGGAAAGTGCTGATACCAGGGCAGGCTTCTTGCTTTTGGCGATGATTTCGTTCTCGCTCTTCTGGGTAATCAAAAAGAACTTCAAGGATCAGCCTGCTGTTCAAGAAAAGCTTGTCAAGGCGTTGCTTATCCCTCTTTCTATCGCCGATGTAAGTGCTATTGAAAATGTGTTGCGCATTTCACTGACTTTTATGTAGCTCGTCCAGTAAGCAGATTGGCTGCTTGACGATAGAATCATCCTTTGACTGTATTATAGCATTGGTATCACGCTCCTCGCCCTCCCCGTATCACACCTCCAGGACCCCTCCGCCTGGACTTATGTTCTCAAAGGAAACGTCTGGATCACCTCCGTCCTCTTCCTCGTCCGGTAAGTCTCCACCACTCTCCCCATTTCTTCCCTACTAACCCCCCCTACAGCTCTGCCTGGCTCCTCGGTATTGCCCGCCCCACCGCCTCCTCCATCCACGACTCCGCCCTATCACCCCACAAACAAGCCCGCCTCCCGCTCCCCAAGACCGTTTCTGAATACGCCGTTGAGCAAGTCGTGGAGATTGACAGCAAGCCGTCAGAGAGGGAAGCTATTCCTAAGGCTGTGGAGACGCCTACTTCTGCTAAGAGGAGGACGCCTAGATCGAAGAAGATTGTTCAGGATGATTAGGCGGAGGGACGTTGGGGGGATGTGATGGAGAAGGTGGAAGAAGAATACAGAAGAATAGTAGGCAGATGACTATCAATGCATACATTATCGATTCGAAAGCTGCAGTCGTCGTGTCTAGCCTGTGGCTACTCCATGAAGACTGCGGTCAGCCACTGCGATGCGGATATGCTGCTCCATGAATGTCAACACACCCCATCGTCATGCCCCATCGGGCCCGGAGTGTCGCGGTGGAGGTCGCTTTCCTCTCGCTCATTCCACGCGTTTCAGCCATCCACCTTTACTGTTTCCATCTTTCGCTTCTCACCCTTTTGCCCTCCAAGCACAGACAGAACAATGTCGGACGACCTCGAATCTCTTCCCCCTACGCTCCAGAACATTATCGACCAGCAGAGCTTGAAATGGATCTTTTGCGGTACGCTCCTCTCTTCATGTGACTTGGTATTCCGCTGACAATGAATGATAGGTGGTAAAGGTGGTGTTGGTAAGTGTCTATGATGTATGGAGAAAAGGAAGAGGAGAAGCTGACTTGGGGGTGATGCGTAGGCAAGACAACCACTTCATGTTCGCTCGCCGTCCAGCTCGCCCAGCATCGGGAGTCTGTCTTGCTTATCGTATGTCCTCATCCCCTCTTATCATCACCATACGACCTCTTACTCTTCATCGAACTCTATGACATTACCAAGAGTAGCGCTGATAAAGAGAATAGTCTACAGACCCCGCACACAACTTGTCCGACGCCTTCTCCCAGAAATTCGGCAAAGACGCTACCAAAGTCAACGGTTTCGACAACCTCTATGCCATGGAGATCGACCCGAATGGAAGCTTGCAGGAGATGATTGAGAACTGTATGTCTATCCCCAAACGTTCGGAGGGGGATGCGGACGCTGGAGGGAGCTTGATTAAGAGAAGGAGGCTGGTGGAGGAGTGAGCCGCTCGGGTGGCGCGGGAGGGGTGGGTGGAAAGAGAGGGAACATGGCGTATATGAGGAGCATTGAACTGACAGAGACGCTTAGCCGACCAATCAGGAGGTGGTATGGGCGGTATGATGCAAGACCTCGCATTCGCCATCCCAGGTGTCGACGAAGCCATGGGTTTCGCTGAAATCATGAAGTCAGTCCCTCCTCTCCTCTTCCCCTTCTCTCCCCTGTGGATGCTATCACTAACTCTCCTCTAGGCATGTCAAGTCCATGGAGTTTTCTACCATCGTATTCGACACCGCCCCCACCGGCCACACCCTCCGTTTCCTCTCCTTCCCCTCCGTCCTCGAAAAAGCCCTCGGCAAACTCTCCTCCCTCTCTGGCAAGTTTGGCCCCATGATCAACCAGATGCAGAGCATGTTTGGTGGTGGCGCAGCCGGCGGGACGGATGATATGTTTGCCAAGTTGGAGGGTATGAGGGAGATTATCACAGAGGTCAACAACCAGTTCAAGGATCCTGTACGTCCATCTTTTCTTCTCTCTTCCCTCTTTTCTTTGTGAGCGAGGTGTGGGAGCTGATGGGGGAATAGGAAAAAACAACATTCGTCTGTGTCTGCATCTCCGAGTTCCTCTCCCTCTACGAAACCGAGCGTCTCATCCAAGAACTCACTTCCTACCAAATCGACACCCACAACATTGTCGTCAACCAGCTGCTCTACCCCAAACCCGGAGACCACTGCGAACAATGCAGCGTCAGGCAGAAAATGCAGAAAAAGTATCTTGGGGAGGCGTATGAGCTTTATGAGGGCGAGTTCCATATTGTGGAGTTGCCGCTTTTGACGGAGGAGGTCAGGGGGGTGGAGAAGATCAAAAAGTTCAGTAAGGTGAGTCATTTCGCTTTGGTCTGAGGTGGGTGAAAAGGGTGCTGATTGGTGTGTAGATGCTGCTCGAGCCGTACACCCCGCCTCAATAGACGGTTGTAGAACGATATCATCAGGTCCGATCATTGACATGTATGCGTTGTCCATCTTCAGCCCTGCTCACACTGTTCATCAATCATGACAAATGACTCTGCATAATACTTTGAATCGTCGCTCCGACTTTCATCGCCTACCCCCTCGTATATGGTGCTCGATGAGCAATACAACCGTGTATAAAATATAGTAAAAGCGAACAAGGTATAGCTACAAAACAGAACTGCGAAAAAAAGGTAAAGGGGTATAGTATAAGAGGAAAGAAGGGTCCCGCGAGCGGAGGTGGTTGGTATCACAGACATGGTACTACAAATCAACAACCAATGGTGGCAACGCGATTCCTCGCCAACGCTCGAACTGAACGCGAGGGCGAAAAGGGGGCAAGCGAAAAAGCGAAAGAACGAAAGATCGAAGTGGCGGGAGAAGGAAAGTGGGGTAGTGGTACAACCTAGTGGAAACAGATGTGGTGGGAGGATGGATACAAGTGGGTATAGAGAGCAGACCGTCCTCGAAGGGAAGCATGCTTTGAAGAGTAGGAGTAAGAGTAGGAGTGGGAGAAGAGATTCGGTTCGGGAAAGTGTTTGGTTTTCAGTAGAACTGACCCTGGACCCCAGCGATAGGGCAAAGCGACTCCATCTCCCTCGCATTCATCCCTCCCGTCACCTCATTGTCATCCTCTCCCTCTCCATCGCTGGTATCAGAAGGCGAAGACGAAGTCCACCCAGTGAACCACTCTGCCAAACCCGCCATGATCCTCCGACTCTTCCACTCTACCTCTTCCGCAATCGTCTCCTGCTCATCCTGCTCTTCGCGCTTCTCTTCCTCTCCTTTGCCGGCTTTAGCAGCCATCTTCGCATCGGCCCTCGCGCACGCAGCGAAAAACACCGAAGGGGTCGGGCTTGGGGTCTGCGGTACGACGGCAGGAAGGTGGACGCCGAGACGGGAAGAAGAGCGGTGAGCGTATCGCACTCTTCTCTTTGGTGCTGCAGCGGAGGGAGGAGGGGAGCCTGCGACTTTGAGGATGTGCTGGGGCTCGATGAAGGTGGGAGGGAGGAGAGAGGTAGCAAAAGGATTAGGGGCAGGGGCTCGCTGCTGTAGCTGTGGCTGTGGACATGCAGAGGTCTGAGAGGGCTGACAGGGATCGGTGAAGGCAGCTTGGGAGGGCTGCTGCTGCGACTGCTGCAAAGTCTTTGCTGGATCATCGACTTGCCCATCATCGATCGTGTCTTGGGATCCGGAGATTCGCTCTGGGTCGATATCGGGAGTCGGCGGGGATGGCACGCGCTCGGGTGGGTGATCGAGCTGTTTCAAGGTGTTAGGACGGAAGAGAGACTATAGGAGAGGGACGTACTTGGTCGACAGAGCCGGTGGCAAAGTGGGCGCGTCGTTTGGGGGTATGCACGGGGTTGCGCTGCATCTTAACGGGGTTCTGCTGTAGCTGGTCAACCTAGAGTCACGTCAGCAATGGATCCTCCTCAGGAAAGAGACGACGCACCACCTGCTGGCGATCCATGATCACTCCGCTGACTTCATACAACGGCCAGCTAATTACTCTCTCCACCGACACCTCCCCCTTCAAGTCTCGCTCGAGCATGCTCTCATCCACGCTCGCCTCGATCTTGAATTTGGTCCTGTTCGCCACCGCTCGCGTCCAGCGGCGCGTACCTGGGTCTTTCTCCGCGAGCAGCGCCGTGAGAGCGACGTCCTGCTTCGAGTCTGCGAATCTGCGAGGAGTAGCGAGAGAAGGGACTGCCTGGTAGTAGGTAGAGGTCTGTCGGCGAGAGGGCGGGCGGGAGAGAGAAGACGAGAGGAGAGAAGTTGAGAGAGGCGGAGTTGCACAAAGAAGGTTGGATGACGAGAGGGGGCTAGGAGGGATGGTGAAGGAGCCCGCCATTCGATGAGGGAGGGTAGGATCTTGTAAGGTCGGCTGAGAATAAACGGCAGAAAGGTTTGCCACTGCCACCTGTATATGTACTTCTGCAGACGCAGCGTTGGGAGCACCGCCCGCGACCTCACCCCCAGCCTCGCCTTCAGCCTCGGCGCCACCACGCCCCTCATACGCGTCGGCGCGCGTCGCGCCTTCCGTCCTTTCCGGCTTTGAATCAGACTCGTGGCCGTCGTCTACCACACGGATCGGGTTGCAGTCGGAAAGAAACTTGAGGTAGGCGGCGGCGCGCTGTGATGGGGACTGGTCGTCGGTGGCAAAAGGCGGAGGGCTGGGTTTTGCAGAGGGAGGGAGGAAGGGGGAGGGAGTGGGGTCGAGAGGGGTGGTAACTTGGTCGTCGTCGGGAGAGGCGAAAGAGGAATGGGGGAGTGTGAGGTGTGGTGGGCGGAAAGATGCGACGAGGGTAGTGCTGGACATGCTGGGTATTTTGAGCTCATTGAGAGAAAGAGAAGAAGAGAAAAGGAAATGGAGGGACGATCTATATATCATTTGTTGTTCTTTGGCTCTGCGGCGGTAACACCTCCTTTCCCTATCCGCACGACGAAAAATTCCTCGCCTCTTTCCGTCCACCCTTTTCCGTCGCTCATACATGGCCATTGATCAAGTACGCATGCGCACCACTCGCTAGCTACCGATAGAGTCAAGTGGAGCATACGGAGCGGAGCATTGACGGGTGTGGAAAACCGGTCGCGTTGTGAGTGTATGCGCGCGTCCTTTCTCCCCTCAACGCTAAAAATGGGGGGTCGTTACATTTGCATACACACGCGGCAGGGTCGGCGTGCGGCAGGGCAGGTACAGCGATTGGCTGCTGGCTGCAGAGAGCGGGGAGAGATAGTCGTCATATGCACGTCACGAGCCATATCTTAAACACACTGAAGATGGGGGCCGGACGGAAGTGTCGGTAGCTGGAAGGAAAGGAGGACGCGCGCCGCCTGGATGGACATCTGAGGTGAACCGCGTGCATGCCGCGTAGCGTCAGCAATCTCTCTCTATACAGTAGGTGGCGCAAAACCAGACGCCGGTGTATGTCCATATCATCGCCCCGCTCCCCTTGCTGATCCCCAAATTCAGTCACGGGTGACCTAGTTTACCGTTCCATGTGCCAACACCACCCCTCCTTTCGATTTCAATTCTCCCCGCCAAACGGTTGTTCGGGCAGTGCAAATAGGACACGCATGATTGGATGGTTGCCAGGCTGCAGAGGCACAAAGTGGTGAGAAACGACTGCGATAAGGTCCTTGCTCTAGAGGTCTTGATGGGACGAAAGTTTGATGATGCGAGTGTAGCGTGCTAGCGCCCGCACGCCCCATGGATTCTTTTAGCTTTACTAGGCTCCGTCTTCGTTACCGTTACTCGTCGTTCTCGTTTTCTTCCTCTCTTCTAGCAAGGTTGTCTGATGCACATCGACACGCCCATATTCGCTAGCCTTACCTTCTTCCTCCCGTCTCCTCATTTCTTATTGTCTTTACAGCCTTTTCGCACGCGTCGCTGGTCGACTTGTACCCTTATTCGCTTCGTGCCGTAGTCGTGTCACGTAGTCGCTTTGTTTATCGTCTCGTCGCTCATTCATGTTCACCAGAAGAAAGGCTGGGACAGAGACTTCATCAAAGAACTCTTTGACTCTCCTCTCTCCCCTCCTCTTCTTCTTTAGCCTCCTCCACTGCTCCTTCCAAAACCTCAGCCAAGCACAACTGTGTACTCCTCTTCACGTACTTGGACTCGACCTTCCATTACACTCGCTCGGTGATGACTTCAGCTCTCACCCCAGAGCAGGCCTGATCACCACAGCGAGATCTGTAACCCGAGACGGGGCGTTGGGCGATGCCTGGGCCATTGAAGTGCGAGATCACAAGGTAGGAGCAGCTCGGCGCACATTTGGTAGCATGGAAGGTACTGCTTCGGTAGATCATGCATTGTCAACGAAAGGTCTACCGATACTACTGTGCATATGATGAACATGGCCCAACGTCAAAACGCTGTCCGCCCTTTCTCGAAATCCTAATGCCCATCCTAATCATCATCACCCCTCTGCTAATGCGATTACAACAAACCCTAATGAAAGACTGTGAACGCACAGCGCTCGGGACACCCTGCACCGATGGGTTTGCCATTTTCAGCAGGAGGGATTTGCTGTTTCCAGCAAACGGGATTTGCAGGTTTTCCAAAATCGGAAAACTGGTTTCAGGCTTTCAGCAAATGCAACCTGCAAAACCACAAATCCTCTTTTAGTCAGCTTTTGGTGGATAACGTTTCCGACCGGGTGTCCCGAGCGCTGTGTGTTCAACCCTTTACGCCTCTGCATCTGCCTTGTTTGTATGTCTCTGGGCGCAGAGGCCAAGAATGGCAGGTCAAAACATCTTCAGCGGAGAAAGAGATATGCATGGTCAAGATTATCTATGGAACAATCCAGATAAACATTCCCAGCACGTCCGGCCGGACGTCCACGCTGGAGTGTTTCATAGTAGTCTTCCATATGTCTTCTTTCTTATCTACAAATCCTATGAAACCTTACAACAGGCAGTGGGGTTGTTTGATGATGATGGCGATCAGTGGGCGCAATCCTGGCGCGGTACCTGGTCTTTGTTCATCCCTCACTACCACGTCGCGGCCCATGTCACTTTAGATGCTTTTTGCACCCCGAAGACAAAGAAGCCGACTGTTGTAGCATTCAAAAAGCTTTATATATATACCATGACACGCTCGGCGGGGCATCGGAGGGGAGACCATACACCTACTGTAGCTAGCTACGGCGGTGAGTTGCGCTGTGGTGCCTTATATGGTTCACGCAAGGGACCTGGCCGATGAGAAGATGGATCTAGAGTACGATGAGTATGAGAGGGAGGATGTTGAGCAGGGATATATCGAGGCCGCGCGCTCTCAGAGGATGAAGCGAGACCGGCTGTGAAGGGTTTACACGGAAGGTGGTGGCGGCTTCATTATTGGCAAGACTAAGCAAGATGGACAGGAAGAGCATGGAAGATGAATAAGCGCATTTGGATGATAGACATGCATATTGGACTTGGCATGTGAGAGCTCTTGTATCTAATGGGACTCTATCTGAGCTGAGCGCTCTTCTCGGGCTCTTCACCAAGATATGCCAACTTGCAGCTCGGAGCACCGACGCTCAGCTCGTCGTTATCTGCTCCCACCCTTCACCGGGCTTTTCGGAGCTCCGTGGCTGGGTCTTGTTCTTTGCTTGTTCTCGTTTTTATCTGGCTTTATTCTTTCGCGCTTTTCCATTTTGTTCTATCAATACATACTCACCACTAGCTATCACAACCCTCTACCCAGATGTCTTCCCACCCACCTCAAACTCTACTCAAAGCTCTCCTCAAAACTACTACCGACGATATCATCCCCCTCACAGCTCCCGCCGTCGCAGCTGGCTGCAAAGTGTTTGGCGCTGCCATACTGCGTAAGGATGACCTTAGCTTGGTGATTGCGGGGACCAATCAAGAGACAGAGTCGCCTTTGCTTGTGAGTTCCCTTCCTCTGCTCCGATAGGAAGAGAATTGGGATGGACGACGGCTGATAAGCCTGTAGCATGGAGAAATCTCGTGTATCCAGAACTTCTATGCACTCCCAAAAGACAAGCGACCAGATGCGAAAGACTGTGTGTTCTTTGCGACACATGAGCCTTGTTCTCTATGTGGGTTTTCAGCCATTGTGTCTCCACTTAGCCAGTGGGCGATCGAAGTCGAGTACTTGTGCTCACATCTCTTGCACCTAGGTCTATCAGGGATAACGTGGTCCGGATTCGACAACATCCACTTCCTTTTCACCTATGAAGACACCAGAGACGCGTTCAGCATTCCGCACGACATCAAAATCCTGGAAGAAGTGCGTTTACATGTCTTTTCCCATCTCCATCTCGGTCTCGTCGTCTTCTGTTCTGTCGTCGGGATAAGGACAACAACATCAGCTGATGAATGATACAGGTGTTTCGGGTCCCCTCCCTCTCTCCCCACGAAAATTCCTCCCAGCTCGCCCAGCGTCCATTGTACAACAAAACGAACCATTTCTTCTCCGCTTTTTCCATCGCCGACCTCATCGCCGACGTTCCACAAGGGGAAAGAGCAGAGTGGGAGGCGAAGGTGAAAGCGGTCCGGGATCAGTACAATGCTTTGAGTAGCGTATATCAGGAAGGAAAGGGTGGGGACGGGATTCCTCTAGCCTGAAATGGGAGAATGACGGGGATCGTTCGGAGCAGGGGTATGACAAGGCGAACCTTTCTGGTTGTTTAGATCAATCGTTGCATGCAGCAGCTCAAATAGCCAGACCGAGTCAATGATGGAGCTTTCCCCATCGGAGATAGAACTTGGTCGTCTCCAGCAGCGGATACTCATCCCCCATATCCCTATCCCTATCGTTTAGCAACACCAACCTGTTTCACCCGTCATTCTACGATCTCCACAACCGCATGCGCCACTTACAGCATGTCAACAACCCTCCCGTCTGCCCTTTTGTTGAGGAAGGGAGAATCCTTGCCCGTGAGATAGTCGTATGCGTCTTGTGCGTTGGCAGGTTCTAAGCCTTATCATAGAGAGGCGAAAGGGTAGAGGGGCTGTTGTTATCTCTGGCACCCTAATTTGCTAAAAAGGTGGATCGGAGACGTACCTGGAGTCCGAGCGACCGAGTTGGTGAGCTTACTTTCGCTGAGAAAGACTACCGTATGGAATCTATGCCACCATCGTCAATGGCGCGTAAAGACGAGATGACGACGAACCTCTTCCAATCAAAGACATCCCCTTGTTCGTATTTTGCCCCAAACGTTCTGGCGAGTCTTCTTTCGAGCTTGGAGCCTGGAGGCCGGATGTTCTTTGGTACTGGAAGCGAAGACGGTGGGGTGGGCGCCGCCGGGGGCAGGGTCGCTTCCGGCGTTGGAGGCACCTCTGGATCTGTCTGGCTCGGGTGTAGGCGCCGTGACGATCTGAGGAAGTACACTCCCCGACCCTACTCGCAAACTAGTACCAGTCGGCGGCAGATCGCCTTCGAAGTCAATGTCCAGTGCTGACGGTGGCGATATTGGCTCTTGTGCGTGAGAGTACAGATAGAACCCGATGGCGGTTGTTAGAGCGCCGATGAGGAGAGAAGTGCCGATCATGAAGGCTTTACTTGTCATTATGGCTGTGGTTAGTTCAGTCAAACACTGGTTGAGACGTTTGCGGGCACAAGCACTGTTCAAATTGAGGGAATCGTTAAATGCGGTAGTGAAAGACGCTTCGTGGGCGTCAAAACGGAAGGTGAACACGAGGATGCGATGGACATCATTCGGGGGAGGTTTACACGCTTAGCATCTACCATGCTTGCTGTATACTAGCGGCCCCTGTGAAGTTTAGGATATTATCCGTGTAGATTCATAAGAAAATCGATAGAGATTGATATATGGCACTGGCAGATGATTGCATGTAATAAGAGTTTGATCGCAGCTTTGTTCAGTGTCATCGTGGGTAGCTCAGATCATACTGCTTTTGAGTGCTCCCGTCAAACTGTGTGATCGCCGATCTTGAATAGGGTCGTTGTTCACTACACGCAGTGCATGCCGAATTTACTTGAAAGAATTAATCCTGCAGTCATTCCTCGACAACTGCAGCTCAAGTCAAGCGACATTAGTCTTTTTATACAGCGTACTTGGGCCGAGACCACATCATCGGCCACAACGGCCAATCCTTCTTCTCCGCCGGTGGCGGCGGTGCAGGCTTCCCTTTTGCTTTACCGCACAAGGCGGCGAGGAACGACCCTTCTCCACCAGCTTTCTTCCAGCGGCGGTAGGCCCACCAAAGCCAGATGAGAGCCTAACTTGGGGGTGAGTTTTGCGTTGAGAGCAGGTAGAAGAGGAGAGAGGAACGTACAAGACCTGCAAGACCTCCGAGTATGCCGCCTATGATGCCTGCAGTTGAATCTCCGCCTGGTCCAGAGTTACTGTTCGCTTGACCGTCGCCAAATACCGCTGTTGCGCTTGGACCACTTCCACTTCCTGTAGCTGTCGCTGTTCCGACCCCACCTGATCCAGACACCGACCCGGATCCAGAGCTTTGGGGCGCTACGGCAACAAAGTAATCCAGAGCCAGGACCATCCCGTCGTTGACATTCTTGACCTCCACTTGATGTTCCGTTCCCGCGTCGAGGTAGGTCGTAAAAAAGAGGAGGATACTGGATGTTGATATGGTGGTGGAAGCATTGAATGTGCCGTAAGAGGACGAGTCGATGGTGATGGAAAAGCAGCCAAAATCGGGGCCAGTCATGCCAAAAATGTACAAGGCAGAACCTGCATCCAACATGCAATGTCAGTCCGATTCTGCTCTTGACGGCAGAAGCGACACACCTGTGAACGAGAAGGCCGCCGTAGCATCCGCAGCGTTCGTCCAGCTTATGGTATCCTTGTAGAAGCTGCCTTCGTTGATAGCCTCTATGGAAGATCCGGAAGGAGACGTAGATTGGAAACCCGTATATGTTACTTGAGAGGAAGCGTCGTCTAGGGTTGCATTGTTGGGAGTTCTGAAGCAATGTCAGCGCTCGGACCCTTTCACCTTCTTTCATCGAGAAGTACGCACCCAGACTCGACCACTTCGGTTTGAACCACGACCCCCGTCAGCTGAAACCCCCCAGTTCCACCTCCATCACCACCCTCGCACTCCAACCTGGCCGAATGGTTACCGAAGCTCTGAGTGCTTAGCGTTGCTACGCCTTGATCAGAGGTTGCTGAAAGGGAGCCGTCGAGGCCAGCCTTGACGGTGTATGACGAGGATGTAGAGTAGAAAAATGCTATGTCCGAGACTGATAATTTAATCAGCTATGGTGCCTACAGAGATGACTACACGCTTACAGTATAGGGCGTCAACTTCAACGGCAAAGGTGCTCGACCCCTGACATTCGCTCGAACCACCATCAACCTGAAGCCAAGACGAGCCTAATACACCGTTTCTCCCTGGCGAGTAGGTGAGTAATGGAGAGCTTGGAGGGATGTATACGTTTACGGATGTATCGCCTGATGTCGAACCGGAAGGGATGCTCGCGGAGGCACCCATGCTAGACTACCGTCGTCTCGCACTGATGAGCGCAGTGGGCATAGCTCTCTGTCGTCAAGCAGGCTATTCTGCAACTTCCGGCCGTAGACGTTTCCGGGGACGCTTGTCATCATTGCTGTATTTTTGTTATCTCAAAGCAAAGACTATCATAAAGGATCCGAAAGAAAGACTTGTCATGGGACACAAAGGACATCACCTGACCTCTTTTCACACAAACAGCCTTCCTTGGCTGCCCCCGCCCTGGGGGTCCCCGGATGGGTCAAAGGATGCTGAGAATTGCGACTTGTTTCAATTTCGGTTGTGAGGAGGACACTTCCAAGTGATGTTTTGTGCGAGATTACCCGTGGTCGGGTGACTCGGCAAACTGGAAAGATATAAGAGAACAGCCAGCGGCGCAAGTATCTCTTTCTTCGACAACAACTATTTCAACTTGAACAAGATATACCTACAACTGTCAGCAGAGCTGCCCCTTGCTTGAAGCAAATACAAATAGACACCTATCAATCAAGTAAGTCCCTAGCTCCTGACGATCAAGCGCATGCACTCACAAGCACTCAGCATGCTCATGTACACCGCCGCCGGCCCCATTATGTCCTCTGCCCCCTTCTACAACCCCGTATACGGGAGCATGTACACCGGCTGGGGGCGATATGGTGTCGGACCAAACTATGGTACTGGATGGGGGGGAAGCTGGTACGGGCAGAACCCTTACGCTTACATGTCGGGAACCTATTGGTAGACGATGGCGAGGGTTGAGGGGAACGAGTCAGAAGTCCAACAAGATATGTCATATTATAAGCTCTGTTGCTATCGTCACCTGTACTAGCCATGCATCTGTTTCACTATGTCTGTGTACATTTCGCATGTGTACCGGATTGCTGATGCTCAGTGACTTCCATAATACGCCGCCCGAGAGCTCTTCGCACTGCTGCTTTCCCGCACGTCCAATATATCATCTCCGCGCTCATCCGACCCGTCGTGCTCATCGTCTGGTCCTGCTGCCATGCCGCTATGTGCCACCTCGTATAGCTTCACCACTGCACCACCTTATTTTTTTTCCACCTTTGTTTCTCACTGTTGAACTGCTACGTGAGAAAAGAACCTAAGGTGTACTATCGGGCCAGGCTCACGAGTCTCAAGCCGGGTCACCGGGTGATCGGGTGCGCTTGAACCCGGCCGCCGTCAGGGAAGATCAGGGGCTTAGGGGCCACTGAAAGGACCGGCTGAAAGGACCGGCTGAAAGGTTTGTTTGTTAACGGGTGGGGAGTAAAACATACCCGGGTAGTAACGTAGATGACATTACCGTGCAGTGGCGAGATCTCGATGCACCATCGTCGTACAATCAGATTTATAACACCCATCGACACGACAGCCAATGTCATGAGCCGCCACGCCCACTTCACACCCTCTACTTATACCTCTGATTCAAGCCACAACGGCAACGCGAACCATCACTGCGACTCCTACAATCGCCCTGCTTATCACACCAACCCCACCCCCGTGTTCTACGACAACCCTGAAGGCGGATTTCTCAAGCGAGACTCTCATCGCCCCCCTCACTATCCGAGCGTGCGCGATCCTCACTCCACGCAGGTATACTACGACAATCCCGAGGGTGGATTCATCACCGCCGATTCCACTCTTCCGCCTCCAAACAACGCCCACATGTACACCACACACTACATCCCTCTTCTCGGCCACGCACATCCCCGACCGCACCCTTACACCCCTTCCCAGCCTCTACAAGATCTCGGCTTCGGCCCAACGCCGCTCTTTGGGTGGGGGTCCGTGACGCCGCTGACGGGGGGTCATACGTATGGGCAGCCAAAGTATCTGAGGTATCAGAAGCCGGATCATAGGCGGTTTTGTTATAGTGTGGGGAAGGCGGATGTGCCGTATGCCTCCTTGCCTGGAGGGCCACTATGGGGATATCCGGCGCATATGGCGGAGCAATTGGTTAGGAGATGATAAGGGTATTTGGAAGTGATAACATGTTGTAACAGCAGAAAATTGTGATAGTGTAGCAACATAGATACTGTACCAATGCAAATACGGTGTTGATTTGAAATTGCTGTTGACAGTGAACCCGAGGCCATATCCGTTAGTATCAGTTGTTCGTCGTAGGATGACCCCTTCAGCACCTATCCCGAGAGCATGACATTGAGGGGAACCTAGCCTCCTACCCCAAGCCCGATCCTTTACTCCAACTCCATCCGGGGAGAATCCTTTGTAGACTCACTTCCTTTTGCCACATCTCACGCCCATCATGATGCCAATATAACATCCCAGTCTTGTCAGATATTGCATCCCGACATCTATCAGGGAGAATACTTGACAATCATGGCGACGCCTGAGCCACCAATGATGCCGGGCGGCTATCCAAGGTAAGTCGAAGATAGATTCCATCAGTCAACAGGGTACTAGTAGCCGCGTTTGCGACGCTGCGTTTACGACTAGTCATGAAACCTGGAAGCTCATCAAGCATTGCAGCTTTCCCCAGGATAACTCTTCTGGTCAGTACCCTCCCGAGTACTATCAACAGCACCAACCACACCCTCCACAATCTCCATACGCTCAGACAAAGCAGCAGTACCCAGAACAAGCCCACCAGGCTCCTTACTACGCTCAACAACAGCCACCACCTCCTCCACCTCTTCCTCCTCACCCCCCTCAAGGGCAAGGATACTACCCTCCGCCTGAAAATGTCCCGCCATCATCCCCTCCGCCCAATCATGTACCACCCGCAGACCCTCAGGGGTTGTATCACTATCCGCAGTCAAACGACCCGGCGACATACCAAAACGGCCATCAAAACGTTGACGTTCAGGGTCTTGCACCTGCGGTGTACTGGCAGCCTATGCCACCGGACGTCCATCACCCCCCTGTCCCTCCGCCTCCTCATCAGCCCGGCCATGTACCGCCCCAGCACTATTCAGGTGATGGGCTGCGACAGCAGTATCGTTATCATCATCACCCGCACGACTCGTATGATCCTTGGCAAGGAACGCCTCCTCCGCCACCACCTCCAGCACCGGTCCCGCCCTCTTCACCACCTCAGCAGCAGCAGCATAAAAGCCGAGCGAACGAGAGGGAGGAAAGGCAGTATAAGCAGGTTAAAAGGTACAAAGAGCCTAAAGAGAAAGAATTGTTCGTCTTTGCCCCTCGCTCGACCCGTCTATTGCTGACGACATACAGACCTCAGACTATTCAAATCATCACTCAAGGCGGACAGGACGCCAGCTCCTCTTCATCGTCCTCGTCAAACAAGATGGCAGACCAAATGCAAATGATGATGATGAACCAGATGATGATGCAGCAAATGCAAGGCCAACAAATGCAAGTTGCTCAAATGGCTGCTATGACTCATCAGAGTATGCAGAACATACAGAACAGCGCTGCCAATCAAGGTAACAACAACAATAACAACGACAATAACAACAACGGGAGGAACGATTATGGTTATGGAGAAGGAAGAGAGGGTAGAAGGAGGAGAGAGAAAAGGCCGAAGATCAGTGTACACAGTGAGTGCTGATGTTGGGAAGCTTACATGACGACTGGCAGAGCTGCAGGTGTACAACATAAGACGAAGCGAAGCAGGCCAAAAACGAAAGTCATCCACGCCGGCCCGCCTCCTGCCGACGATCCAAAAATTGTCATAGTCCCACAAGTCCCACAAGCAGCTCCTCCTCGTAAGCTATTACTTTCCTCCCCTTGGCTGAAGAGAGGGACTAAGCGTCTATGTCACCGTAGCCCCCGCTGCGGCGATAGCACCCCCGCCGGTGGATCCGGTAGACTCTTTAGCGCTGGACAATTGGCAAGAGGCTACCATCATACTATGCTTTGCCGCTGTGGGATTGATTTACCTCATCATCTCGAGGGCGAATGAGAAGGATCCGAAGAAGAAGACAGACCTCGCAAAAAAACATATGTCTTAAGGTATACCACCAAGCGTTACGCGATGGAGGTGATGATGAATCATCGATGGCCGGTAACCCGCGGTGTTTAGGACCTCGAACTGATACACATCCAGCAGGACAAATCCTTTGTGCTGCCTTTGGGGCTAAATGTATCTTGAAGCAAGACAAAGGATATTTCATCTCGTTGATATCACAGTCTATGCAAGAGTGCCATACTTGATACCTTGCCCACACTCTCGATGTTTCTGCTACTAACCTTAGCTTTTACGCAAACCGTCCTGTTATCGACTGCTTTTGCCGATAATGGATTCATAGATCCCAAAGAAGGGAATGGGACTATGCTCACTGTGCGTCATCTCTCTTCCATTTGAGGTTCACGTCTGAGATAAGTCAAGTACGCGTTATGGACCACGCCAGCCAACCTCGGTGAACCTCTCAATATCATTATCTCCAACCTATCCTCCCCCCGCGTCCTGGCCGAGACGATGTTTGAAGGTGGACTCTACAACTATCTAGAGGCAGCAGGGTTTGGCGGGGAGTGTATGGGGCTGCATTTGGGGGACGCACAGCAAGTCAATCTGGGAGATGGTAATAAGAATCGTGAGTCCAAGGTCTGCTGACGTTTTGTGCCTCTCAGCGAAGAGGCTCCAGCGCGACTAGTGCTGGAGCTGACAGAACATAACAAGAAACGCAGCGAAGTATACTCAGGTATCAATACTTCCATGACCACTTTCTAGGAACCTGTTTAGAGTCGATATATGGCGGTAATCATGTGAGGATCTTCAAACAAGCGACCAGGTAATTATCATTGTGTGCTGCTGATGCAAGCATGAAGCTCACAGGGGACGTAGCGGGGCATACTTTCTGAGCTCATCTGCTGAGATGGATAGCACGACTAATCATGATCTTGGCACTGACGCGTATGTAAGGAGTAATCTTTTATACATCTGGTGGCTTACAATATCCACTGCAGTTACGATCAAGGACGAGACCTTTTATGTGGCAACATCACCGGAAAGGAGATAGGAAACGAGCTTACCGCCCGCTCAGAGACCACTGGGGAGATCGAAAACAGAGGATATAGATACCGGACAACGATCACTTACCAGGACGGGCTGTTGCCGAGTAATCGGAGTAAGTGGTTTTCATGTCATATCAAGTCCACCAACGAGCCTGACACGTATCACAGCTGAATGGAACCATTATACCGGGTATGTGATATCTTGTTGTGGACCATCATGTACCATTGAGACCTCAAAACACTGACGTGATCATATGCGGAAGAGTACAGGTAGTTGGTGAGAAAGTCTCAGATGGTCTCGTAGCGATCTTGACAGTGGATGTGGTCTCGACCCCATGATAATTTCTACTACATGATTCTGTAGCACTATTACTCTACATGTGTGATGCACGACCTTTGCATTCAAGCAGAACATCTTCCTTTCAACGCTCCCTTCTCGCCTATGTGACAAAGGATCTGAATCACATACTTCATCTTATTTATCTGGTATATGTACAGAAGCACCCCTCTTTGCATCGTCGCTTGGGTAAAGATGGAGGCCTTCCCCATCTATCAAGACATCCCGCCAGAGTACCCTCAGCAAGCGCCCCCAGAATACATTGATTATGCCTCCCCGCCTCTCCCCGACTACGACTACCCGCCCCAGGTCCCTCCAGACTATGGAATTGTTGAAGACTACTCCCATGCTCCTGAGCCTATCTATAAATTGCCAGAGTATGCTTCCTCGGAAGAGGTCCCTCTCGACGATATCGAAATACATGACGAGTGGGTTGATCCCAGCGATTACCGGCAAGAGGAAGACTATTACGAAGACGAGGTCTTTGAGGAGAGCTGGATACCGTACTCGTCGCCTATCGTGCCGAATGACTCTCTGCCAGCGGCCGGTAGTAGCAGCCAGAATGGCAACCAACAGGTGGTCATTGCCCCTCCTTCATTCTACCCACCACCGTCCGATCTCCGGCAACACTACTGCGACCTTTACCCGGGCGACTGTCTGCGAGACAAGCTTCCCATCGAGACGAACGCAACCGAGCGCACCAACGCCACGTTGGACGACGACCTGTCGAATGGAACCAACCTCAAGCATGTTGACTTGCCGGGTGCCGGTCTGGCCTTGGCTTTGCTTCTCATTATTATCATAGCGCTCAACGCTAGCTGGTCCAGCGATGAGAAGGACGGAAAGAAATCCAAGTCCATCAACAAAACGCCCGCGGGAGGTGCTACACCAGACAGCTCGGCGGAAAACGGCAGTGACGAAGCCGTCAAAGCGAAGAAAGAGAAGGAGGAGAAAGCGGCAGCAGCAAAGCAAAAAAAGGAGAAAGAGAAGAAAGAAAAAGAGGCGAGAAGGGCTGCTGAAGCTGCAGCGAATGGAGGCGAAGAACCTGCGGGCTCTAATACCGCAGGCTCCGACGGACAGAGCAAGAAGGAGAGAGAGGCGGCGGAAAAGGCGGCCAAAGCAGCGAAAGAGAAAAGGGAGAAGGAGAAGGGGGAGAGGGAGGAAGCTAGAGCAGCTGCAAAGGCAGAAAAGGAGGCCAAAAAAGCAGCTGGAGAGGCTGCGAATGGAGGCGCGCCAGCATCAACTGCAGGCTCCGACGGAACGAGCAAGCAGGAGAGAGAAGCAGCCGCCAAAGCTGCTGCCCAAGCTGCAAAAGCAGAAAAGGACGCAAAGGAGAAAAAAGAGAAGGAGAAGAAGGAGCGGGAAGAAGCGAGAGCAGCTGCAAAGGCAGAAAAGGAGGCCAAGAAAGCAGCTGGAGAGGCTGCGAATGGAGGCGCGCCAGCATCAACTGCAGGCTCCGACGGAAAGAGCAAGCAGGAGAGAGAATCAGCCGCCAAAGCTGCAAAAGCAGAAAAGGACGCAAAGGAGAAAAGAGAGAAGGAGAAGAAGGAGCGAGAAGAAGCGAGAGCAGCAGCAAAGGCAGAAAAGGATGCTAAAAAAGCGGCCGAGGCGGCTGCAAACGGAGGAAGCCAACCATCCAGACCCCCGCCATCAAATGCTGGATCCGAGGCAAAGAGCAAGCAGGACAAGGATGCAGCTGCAAAATCAGCAAAAGCTGAGAAGGAAAGAAAAGAGAAAGAAAAGGCCGAGAAGGAAGCGAAGGAGAAACGAGATAGGGAGAAGAAGGAGAGGGATGCCGCGAGAGCTGCCGCCAAGGCCGAGAAAGAGGCCAAAGCCGCGGCTGAAACAGCTGCAAAAGGAGGAGCAGATCCTGGAGGCCAGAGTACGAAGGAGGTAGACGCAGCTGCCAAAGCGGCAAAGGCAGAAAAAGAGGCAAAGGAGAAAAGAGAGAAGGAAAAGAAGGAGAGAGAAGATGCAAGAGCAGCACAAAATGCTGAAAGGGACGCGAGGAAAGCGGCTGAGGCGGCTGCAAATGGAGGAAGCCAACCACCAGCATCTAATGCTGGATCAGACCCAAAGACCAAACAGGAGAGAGATGCAGCTATCAAAGCAGAAAAAGCGGAGAAAGAAAAGCGCGCGAGAGAGAAAGCTGAGAAGGAAGCGAAGGAGAAAAGAGAAAAGGAGAAGAAGGAGAAGGAGGAAGCTAGAGCTGCTGCAAAGGCCGCCCAGGACGCTAAAAATGCCAAAGCCAACACCGGTGGGAACCCGGCCAACCCATCGGCGGGAGGATCCGCGCCCAGCAATGTATCCGACGAAACTCCAGAAGAGAGAAAAGCACGCAAGGAACGCGAGGCTCAAAAAGCCAACGAGACTCCGGAGCAAAGAGCAGCACGCAAGAAACGTGAGGCTGAGGCTAAATTTAAGGCTGATGGTGCTACAACGACCAATGGCGGAAGAGGTGGGGAATCCACCACTGGTGCCCCTGTCGAAAATGAGACTTCAGAGGAGAAAGCGAGGAGAGAAAGACGGGAGAAGAGAGAGAAGGAGAAACTAGAAAGAGCAAATGAGACGCCAGAACAAAGAGCAGAACGTAAGAAACAAGAAAGGGCGAACGAGACGCCAGAACAGAGAGAAGCACGCAAGACGCGCGAGGCCGAAAAGGCCAATGAGACGCCCGAAGAGCGAGAGGAGCGCAAGAAACGCGAGGCTGAAAGGGCCAACGAGACTCCAGAACAAAGAGCCGAGCGCAAGAAGCGCGAGCGAGCAAACGAGACACCGGAGCAGAGAAAAGAACGGAAGAGGCGGGAGGCTGCGAGCACAGGTGACGGTGGCGCGGGGGATTCTTCCTCTGGAAAACACAGTAGTAAGAATAAAGGCGCCGAGGGATTCAAATCATGGTTCAGCCCGTCATTGTTATTGGGACTGCTGCTTCTCATCCCTCTCATCGCAATGTTCGGTAAGCCGAGCATGCCAATGCTCAGTACACCAACTCTCCGTAGGCCTTCTGTGCTTGGATCTGGGGGTCTGGCGAGCATGTTGAAGCCACCTGTCATGGCTTCCACAAGAGCTAGAGCGGCTTTTGCCAGTGCTAAAGCTAGACGATCCAGAGCGGCTGAGACGCGATGGGTAGTCAACGACACCCCACCAGAGCCTAAAACTCAAATCAATATCAACAATAATGTGAACTCCCCAGGCGAATCGGGTAATGCACCCCCAATTGAGGTAGTAGTCGAAGAAACGTCATCATCCTCATCGGCAGAAGCTCCGCCAGTCATAGTGGAGGAAACGGTATGGGAGCCCATACACTTCCGGTTCACCGGTCCAGCAAATCCCGACAGGCTATACAAGATGTTCATAACGACTGTGATAGTTGCTCTTCCCCTCCTTTATGACTGGGTCATGGATTACCCCAAGAAACGATACTCGCAACCCGACTATCTGCCACCCTTGACTCAGGCCGTACTCGCAATGACTCTCTTCTGGCTCTGCGCATACCTTGCAGACTGGAGTTTTGCATGGATCGGGTGGATTGGCTGGGCATCGACTGCCATAGTACCCATCGCTGAAGTATCGATCTCGGGTGCTCAGAGTGGACTGACACCACTCATTGTCATTTTACTAGAGACCATCGAGTCGTTGATTTGGGCTTTGGAAGACGTCGTCTTTGGCGATGGGCGTACCTTGCTCGGCATGGGCCTTGCAGCTCTGGGAGTGGTGATGCTAGGGCAAAGAGAGCCGAGCTTGGATGTACCGAAGACTGAATATGCTTCGGGAGCTGTCCAGGGAGTGTACTTCTTGGGTGCTTTGTTGATCGCAATGTTTGTATGGAACGCGTAGTAGTAGGCGCTACTGGCAGCATTATGACTGGTGAGTACCCATCCAGGTGGTATATACGTCGTCTATAAACTGCTTACTGTATCAGCTGCTGGAAGGCCATATCGGCGAGTAGTACTGTACGAGTACTCGTATTCCTGGGTCACAAACACTGTGGAAAGTCTTCTACTACGCTATTTGAGGCTGATTGTGGTGGCGTGCTGTGTATCGTCTCGTCGTGTCTTATTTTTCATGATTTTGGGTATATGTCATAGGCAGTATATATGTATAGTACATCTCTGATAGGCGAATGATAGCGAATAGCAGACAAGTTGAGTGAGGTGCCTGGAAAGCAGCCCAGAAGGATACCCGGCGCTAGTTGCATCCGCAGATTTAAGGTTCAAAGTTCAGGAACGAGGCACCAGAACCCCAGATATGTACGCGCGGACTTTTTGTCTCACGACTCACCTTTCACTTTTGGGGCGTTTGTTTGCATGTCTGTGCGCGGCCTACAACCTCCAGCATCTGGCAGCTCCTTTTCCAGGGTGTAGCATATCTCAACATTGATAGCTTAAGCTCTTTCTTCCGCAGATGCTTAAGCATGTCTACATAACTCGCAATCGACTCGCCAACTCGTCTCTCCCATCAACAAGGCCCCAGATCATTCATAGGCCTTCGCCATGTTCTTTAGGGGTCACCCGGGCCTCGCTTCTCACAACAAGCACATCGGGTCGCGCAGTTCTGCCGCTGAAACCAACTAGTAAACAGGGGGAGTGCGGGGTATCAGGATCACGGATGAAACCGGTGGAGAAGAACGCAAGATGATTGACTGATAAGTCTTTCCCGTTCAATCTTCCCTTGTTCGTTCCTTCGTTCCCATCGCAAACTGTTTAGCTCTATCCTCTCCGTATGCTCCCGCACGGGTCTTGATATAACTGGGGGCAGCATGCAGCTCATCCCCTCTTCTACCTTCTTCCCCTTCAACACGACTGACAATTGACACGATGTCTTCCGACAAGAGACCCTCGCTTCTTTTCTTGACCTCGTGAGTGTTATTCTGCGCTCAAATTGGCTATGCTGAAATCCACCACAGTCCTGAACATGGTCAAGCCAACTGCCAGTTCGCAGTCATCACATGTCTCCGCGAGCACTACGGAGATGATATCGACATTCACCTTTGTTCCTATCCAGAGCTTGAAAATCGAACGCTCCCTTCAGTCACTTTTCATAGCGTCAAAGGTGAAGGAATCGTCAAGTACTTTGAGAAGATCACCGGTAGCCCCAAAGCTGGTCTTCGTGAGTCCTCTCAAGCTAGCGCAGAGACGCCGACTGACTATCTCACAGAGGAGGCATTCAAGACGATCTCTTCCCCTACCGGCTTCCTCCCAGCTTGTATGGCCTACCCCCGTCTTCTCCCTCTCCTCCACCCAGAGAGCCCCGAAGAGTATGTCGCAAGCGCAAACGATGTCGCCAAAATCCTAGCCGACGTCAACCCCGACTTTATCGTCTGCGACGACCTCTTTGACCAAGCTAGAGATGCCATCATCAACTCTGGCCGCAAGTTCATCTTGATCAGCCCCAACACGATCAAGGAGGTAGCCGGGAAGAACCAAGGGCTCGGCAGGCTTTGGAAATGGCCAGCGTGAGTCCAGCGTCCAGGATTGGGGTATGACAGCTGACATTTGTACAGACTCGTATCTGGCTACGCCTACCCCGTCCCCTGGCACCTGATCCCCCTCAACATCGTCGCCACCATCTTCCCTCTCTTCTACTTTCGCCGCTACGAACGTTTCCTCACCCTCATCCGCACCCGCAACGCCGCCGGCTACCCAGACCTCCTCCCCAAATGGCAGGCCAATCAAACCAAATACTCCAAGATCATGTGCATGTCCACCCCAGAAGCCGAGATCCCCGCCGTCTACCCTCCTGGCGTCATCTGCTGCGGACCCATCTTGCAGCATAGCAAGCCTCTGCAAGAGGTTAATGAAAAGATGTACGAATGGGTCATGGCAAAGCCCACGGTGCTGATCGTGCTGGGCTCGCACTTTGTCACGTCGGAAGAGTATGCAAACAAGGTGATGGCGGCGTTGAATGTGTTGCTGGATGCGAGGCCGGATATCCAGGTGTTGTGGAAGGTGAGGAAGGATTGCGAGTTTGAGATTGCTGGGTGGAAGGAGAAGGAGGATAGGGTTAAGGTGGTTCAATGGCTCGAGGCGGATCCGATTGCGATCCTCGAGACTGGCAACATCGTTTGCTTCGTGAATCACGGAGGGTCAAACTCTTATCATGAAGCCTTACAGTGAGTACACATCATCGCATTGATCGTGATACAGAAAGCTGATACGATGTAGGACGGGTACCCCACAGATTATCCTCGCGGCCTGGGTAGATTGCTACGACTTTGCCACTCGTCTCGAGTATCTCGGCAATGGTGCATGGGGTAACAAAGGCTCTGCGTAAGTTCTCCCCTTCCTTCTCACATCCCTCCAACATTCCAAGCGCTGACACTACCCATCATAGGCCCGGATGCGACACCAAAACCCTCACCAAAGCCCTCCTCAAAGTCATCGGCGCCACCCCCGATGCAGCCGAGGCTACCAAGATCTGGGAAAGGGCCGCCGAGCTCAAGGAGATCGTCACGGATGGCGGGAGGAGGATTGGGAGGGAGGTGGCTGCTGGGTATGTTTGGGAGGGGCTGCAGGAGGCGTTGAGGACGTATCACGATTGAGGAGATGGGACGATATAGGCGTTGCTAGCGGCTTGAAGCTGCTGGGGAGGGCTCACAGCCGGTTGGTCAAAAAGACATGTCTTTCAGATATATATACCCGAGTACAGAGCCCGGTCTCTCCGTCACACTCACCTAGAGTAAATTACGAGTATACAGAAGTATACCGATATGCGTTCAGTTGGAAAGCGCGACTGCATGTATCGGAAAATGAGACTAATTCATTACACGAGCTATAGAAGGATCAAACAACTCGAAAACTCCACCACGGCCCACGAAACAATAATATCCTATGGTTCCCCTTACATATCCAAATCCAGAATCACATCGCTTCTTCCTAAATCATAAACCCAAGCTGCTTTGCAATATCCTGATCTGACAACCCCTGCAAACTCTCCTCCCCTCCGCCATTCCCCTCATTCCCACCCTCCGCCCCAGCTCCAGCCCCCTCCCTGACACCTTCCCCTTCCCCTTCCCCTTGCTCATTGATCAACCCCAACTGCATACTCAAATCCCCCGAGCCCGCCGCCAACGCCTGCATAATCCCCGCAAACGTCCCATCGCTCATACCCTCCGCCAGCGACGACAGTTCTTGGTTTATGATATTATCGTTCCCAGCCTGGTCTGGTGGAGAAACTGAAGTGGGTATGGTGGAGTGTGAAGAAGAATGTGTCGATGGGTCGAGGGAGGAAGCAGGTGGGTTTGAAGGCGGGCCAGACGAAGCTGAAGCTGAAGATGGCGCCGACGTCGGCGTCGGCATATTCGGGTTCCTTGGCGGACCAGCACTCGGATGCCTCTCATTCCGCGCCTGGCTCGCCGACATGTTTCGTAACTTAACCGGCACCCCCTCGCCTGTCCTCGTAAACGTACGCGCAGACTTGAGCATGTCGCCATAGTTGAAGCCGGAGAACATGTTTTGCCCGGGTTGGTGGGTGGTGTTGCTGATGATGGCGCCAAGGAGGCCTGAGGCGAGCCAGTAGAGCGGGAGAGCGTCTTTTTTGATATAATTAGCTTTGTTCAATATGTATATTGAAGGAGACTCACCTTCACAGTAATTCAAAGTCTCCTTCGGGATACTCTGTTCATCCTCCCTCGGCGACGCCGAATCACTCTCCGGACTAACCCCCGCCCCCGCCGATCCCGCCCCGGGTGCTCCAGACCTCGTATAATGCCCCGTAGCAGCCCTCGTCGGACTCGAACAAAGACTATCAAAGTCCCACCCCTCCCTCCATTTTTGCAACCCCAACCTGAACCTCTCTTTCAAGCTCTCCCTCGTAATGATCCCCAGGTCCGTGCCATCTTGCGCGATGATCTGTTTCCCCGGCCTCAACCACGAACACCCCACCCACAGATCCGTCAGATCCCGCCAATCCCCTCGGTCACGCTTGCCTTCTCCGATATCGATGATGCCTCTGAGCAGCGTGATGACCATCGCCATCCGCGCGAAGGGGCCATAATCGCTCTGGTTGAGCAGATTGTAAAACTGCGTATCCGCCTTTTCGTGCAACGCATCAAACGCCCCATACGTCGGCAAATAAAACGTCCTCCTCATCGCCTCATCCAACGTCATCGGCTTATACTTTTTCACCCCCTTCAACCAGCTCTGCGCATTCGGCGCTTTCCACAAAGTATCCGGCGCCGGCAATGGCAGATACGCCACCTCGCAGCCAGAGAGGATGCAAGGGATGTTGGATTCGAGGGACGAGATGGTGTCGAGTTGGTAGACGAGGAAGGCGGTGCGCCGTCGGGTTTCGAGTTGGATCCAGTCGTGCCAGGCGCGGTCGAGTTCGTGTGGGGTGAAGGGCTCGGAGGGGAGGGAGATGGAGGGGGTGAAGTGGTCGTTTTCGGTGGTGAAGAAGCCAATTTGGCGGGTAATCTGTTTTGCTTTCCGTGAGCTGTTGTTACGGTGAGCGGAAGAGTGTGGCTCACGTTGACGATGGTCCCAAGGAACATATTAGCCGGCACCCTCTCCCTGTCATTCTCACTCAAGAAATTCGGCGCATGATACAAGATCAACGCCTGCAACAACGCCACATTATACTCTGTCATCAACACCCCTTTCGCCAGGGAAAACGACTATTCAACCCCCCATCAGCCTCCTTCTTTCTTTTCTTCTTGGTATGGAAAGGGGAAGAAAGGGGAGGAGGACTCACTTTGACAAGCATATTCGTCTTTTCACTCCTCACAACCGGCCCATTCGCCCAATTCGCCACATTCCTCACTTCCGCCGCCCTCGGCTCCGCACATCTATACCAATTATCCTCGTACAAACTCTCCCAGCTCTGGTCCGGCACAACCGGCCCATCCAAAGATGCTGCACCTGCTGACGATGGTCGGCCGTTCCCTTCGGGCGCAGGCCAGAGGAAACGGTCGGATATGGAGGCGTTGCCGGTCTTGATACCGCCGACTGTGCAGATTGCGAATGCGAGGCAGGCGGCCGTGTCGACGAGTTTAAAGGTCGGTAAATGGACAAAGGAGAAATGGTTCAGCACGGTATGGAACGTCCGGCACGCCATCACCGACAACGTCTTGAGCGGTGGTAGCGCCCAGTGCGGGATTTGGTAGCAACCAGCAAAGCGTTCGGCTGGGAGGTAGAAACGCGAGTCTTTGTCGAATGCTTCGCCTGCTTGGAGCGCCATGGCAGCGTGGTCCAGCCGGAGAAGAGGACGTTCGGGGTTGGGGTTGGCGATGGTTTGGGGGACTTCGTATTTGGCGAGTTGTTCGAGGATGTGGAGGATGTGCGGGGTGGATGCTTGTTCCGAAGAACCATCGTTACTGCTCCCACCAAGGGAAGCGTTGAGGGCAGAGGGCGAAAAGAGGGACGTCATGGGAAATGAAGTCTCCTCAGGCATGAAGCCCGTTTTCAAAGTCGCCACCTCCTGCCCCCGACTCTCCTGTGTCGTCGAGCTTGACCCCAGACTCCCCTCCCCCGATGTCGCCGCCGCCGACGTCGACGTCGACGTCCCCAAAGTCGAGCTCTTGTTCGAATTTAACACTCCCTGGTTGTCCAGTCCCGACAACCAGCTCATCGCGTTGAGAAAACCCTCGGACCCCGGGGTCCCGTCTTGCAGAGTCGGATCGATGACTTCTGAAACGATCCCGCCTTCCGTCGATTCGGCGGCGGTGTCGCCGTTGGGAGCACCGCTGGAGATGGGTTGGGGAGCAGCGGCGGCGGCCTCGGCGAGGTTGGAGATGACTTGGGCGGCTGTCGGTTCGGCTTGCGTAGTGCCGTTCTCTTTCTCGGCAGATGCGTCTGCCGCCTCTTGGCCGTCACCGTTCGTCGCTTTGGGTAGAGCATCCTGCTCGCCGTTGGCGCTGGCCACAGCAGTCTCCATGATCAAGTTGATTGTCGGATTACTCGCCCAGTCCGGGAGATCCCTCTGCTCCTGCTCTTGCTGTCCCTCGCCGCCTGGCACCCCACTCGGGTAAGCCATACTGAGCAGCACAGACGCATCTTCAAGATGATTCGGGTCGTTGAGACTGTGATACGCTTGATTCTGCGCAAACATCGGCATGAGGTGCGACGAATAATTCGGATGGTCATCCTGGTTCGTCTGCCCATAATACTGCCCATACACATTCCCATCATACCCCCTCTCCTCATCATACCGCCCATCATGCTCCCCATTCGCGCCGTGCTCGGCAGCATACTCGGGCTCATGCTCGTGTTGCAGAGCAGGATCGATCCGGGGGCGCGAACGGTCGTGCTGGTCGTCGACAGCGTCACTTTGGCGCGCGTGTTTGCGGCCCCGGGCGCGAGGCGGCGATTGTTCGCGGGCGTCGGTGCGGGAGGAGGAGACGGGCATGTTGTTGTAGATCCGGTTGGAGGGGGGAGGGGAGGTGTCGCGGTCGACTGGGGGTGGGGTGGGGTGGCATCGGCGGCGGTGGCGGAGGAGTACATCACTGTTTGTTATCAGTATTGGGGGCTAGCATGTGGTGGGAGAGGAAACTACCTTCGGGCGAATGCTTTGGAACAGTCTTTGCATTGGAATGGTCTGTCGTCTTGGTCTGAAAGGCGCGCGGTCAGTTTTGCATTACTCCCTGAAGCCGGCTATCTTTGCTGCCTCGGTAGCAACACTTACGTTTCCTCTGATGCCTTTTGAGATACTCCATACGGCTGTACGACTAGCACATACATCAGCACCATCATTCAACATCTCACCTTGAACCACTTACCTGACCACATCCGGGAAAGGTACAGGCAAAAGACTCCTTCTCTTTCCCATCCTTGTTCCTCCCGCGGCCCGAGCCGCCGGTGGAGGTAGTAGGTGCAGGCGGGGGCGGGAGTGCGACGGGAGATGGTTCTGGGACGAGGGCGCTGTCGCCCGCCGGGGGTGGGAGGGCTGCCATATCAGGCCCTGTGCAATGGCGGGCTGCGCTGACTAATCCGTAGGGTGGCGGGGAGGCCCGTGCTCAGTAGTGGTACTCGTGGCTTGTGCCCGTGCTTTCCAGTGTGTGCTGCGTTGGTCTCTGGTCGACTACCGCTGCAGGGGGAGCGATGGAGAGGGAGGGTGGAGGCAGGTGGAGGGAACACAGTGGAGGAAGTGGAGGTTTGAGCGAGTTCGCTAACCACCGGCGTAAAGCGGCGACTCCCGGTGTGGCACTTTTTCTACTCTTCTCTTGCAATCTCGCCCCTCTTTCTCCCCAGCTATACCCACAACGCACAATGCTCAACCTCCTCAAACGTATCCCGCCTCCCTTTGCCCGGCCGTCACCTGCGGCGCAGAGGTGCTGCTCCTCCTGCCCCCCACCCTCGCGCGCACTCGCCCCCTCCTTCCGACCGGCCGCACCGTCATTAGTCGCTTCGCTCTCACCACTCCGGAGCAGTGCGCTGTCGCCGCTCTCGCAACAACAAGGGCTCGGGCAAGTGAGGGGCATGAAAGTCAGGAGCAGTGTCAAAAAGTTTTGTGATGGGTGTTTGGTTGTGAGGAGGAAGGGGAGAATATATGTCATTTGCTCGAAAAACCCAAAGCACAAGCAGGTGAGATCTCTTCCATGGTATCGTCTTTACAAAGCTGATGTTGGCGCAGAGACAAGGATAGACATTCTGGTATTATGGGACTTGTACAATTATGCACTCATCAACACATTGTCAACCTCTGTCTGCTCTTTACGTCCATCAAGCCATAACCCAAGATTCCTATGGCCATCTGCTTCTTTCGCCTACTCATCAAGACAGCTCTCTTTAGGTGGCCTGCATCACGCTTTCGATACCGCTTCCATCGATCTGAGGGGTAGAGTAGGCGGTATTGGAATGATCTGTTGAGAGACATGTGGATAAAGTGTGTCGCGCTGATGATACCGACTGAAGACATCCTTTATCCTTCCATCCTCTATACGATTATAGACTCGTCACCTCGCAATGCCAACAAATCAACCAGCAAACGTGAAACCCCCACCATGCCGCCCATGCCAAGCATACTATCAAACCCTGGCTTTCCCGCCTTCCCCGGAAAACCTACCAACACCATCAACATCAACACCACGCCCTCCTCTCTTCCTCTACTACTGCTTCTCCTGCTCCTCGCAGAGACGATAGACTTATTAGACAAAGTCTCACTCATCTTTCCTTTCCCGTCTTTCTAAGACAAAAATCGACTATGACCGACGTCCAGGGCATAGCCGAGAGAAAGGCAAAGGCAAAGGAGACAGAAGAAGAAGAAGAAGAGGAGGAGGAGGAGGAGGAGGATGAGGAGGAGAGCCACCCTAAAGATCCAGTGGAAACCCATCGAGCCTTCGGAGGTCGAATCAGTTCTTCTTCCCCATACCACTGGGCGAACGTGCGCAAAGGCCAGTTTTACGGGCTCGTGGCCAAGAAATCTCTCTCAAGAACGGTTTTTTCCATCCGGCTGAGAGGGATTGCTTCAAGAGCTTGAGTGATGGTGACAACCACGTGACAACTGGATGGAGAGTGACTGCTGGGATTGCTGTCGTCGATTGGGGTGGTGTCTCTTGGGCGAGTTGAACCATGCAGCAAGGATAGGACGGGTAGTCGCTTTGCACAACGCTATCTTCTCTACGTTGCTCTCGTATTATTTGCCGTCAAAACTCGATATCTTGCCCATCTGTACTAAATGCAGAGCTGCCCCCATTCATCATGTCCACAGTCCAGCAATAGGAATCCAAGGTTGAGCAATGAGCTACAGTAATGTGTAGTTGCCACGAGACCCCAGATACGTTAGGCTCGCTCGTCTTCGAGGCTAATACTGACATCCATCTCCGTACGGCGCGTCAAAGCACGTTGCAATCATGGGCCAGCTGAGCGCAGAATCATGTACGTATTTTCCCTACCACTCTTCTGGATGTCTGTCAGAGACTACCAAAGGAGAGTAACCTCTCTCCCTTTAGCCTTCAAATGACCCAAAAAGACGACTCGGAATAGAGTGAACCCCTTGCTTTTCTTGATCTGCTGCTGATCGACTCTCAAATGATGATGAAATTTTACATCCGTTTCTCCATTGATCTATGGATCAGGTTTCAAGGGCTATATGGGGCACGAGAATGAGGAGCATACGGTAAAGTGCTCCGTGAGGATGATATTATTATCAGCTGGACATATCCTTTATCCCTCCATCCTTCATATAAAGTAGTCGCCCAACAATAGCAACCAGCAACACACGCACAGACCCCCCAAACATGCGACGCAAGCTATCGAACTTAGCTTCCCGCTTTACCAGGAAACCGACCATCCCAACCTCTTCTTCTCGTGCTCCTCGGACGCATTCAACCGCAGCTTCCAGGGAGACAGGAGACAGGTTCGACAAAGTCACACTAGTCTTTCCTGCTGAAATCGAGTATGAAGTCAATACCTATTCTGGCTCCCTGCTCTCCAAACCGAGTACGAGCGCCGGACAGGGCACAGCAGCTGATGAAGAAGAAGAAGCTTCGCCTGAATTTACCTCGTCTGAAATGAAGAAGGGGAGGGAAAAAGACGAATCAGAAGAGAAGAGCGGGTGGGCGGCCGAATCTGGTCAAAAATGGTATATGAGAACTCACACCTTGCAAGCCGGGACCATAGGAGGTACTGGAGATTCAGTGATACCCATCGAAACTAAGCATGTCTATCGCACGTTCCCTACGCCACGGGGAGACATGCGAAAAGGCCAGTTCACGGGATCGTGGCCGGGCAGTGTTGCCGAACAAGTCAAGGCAAGCGATCCATATCAATTTCATCCGGCTGAGAGAGATTTCTTCCAGAGTCTGAGCGATGGGGAGGAGGAAAGGGATTATCAGCTTGTTTGTGTGGATATCGTGGATGGACCTGGGGAGGAGCATGAAGGGAACAAGGTAGAGCTACTATATGAGGAAGAGGATGAGCGTGGAAAGATGGCCAGGATGTGGAAGCGGTATGAAAATGCCAGTTGGAACTTTCAAGCAAGGTGAGCGGTTTTTATCCTTCTTTGCTGGTACTACGTGGCAGACCTGACAGACATATAGATGGAAGTAGCAAAGCAATACAGCTAAGATATCTGGTGAACTGATGAGATTGTCGGTGTTTGGGTATCTCTCTGACGAGCTGAAGAATGCAGCGATAATGACTTTGTGCCATAGAGTTCGCTTCGAAGAATACGATCTGCCTTACACAGAACGCGATGTTTGTCACGATGCATTCAGTACCAAAAGTAAGCTGCTCACGCTCTACAACCTTCCCTTCTAAGCAGAAGATGGTACCACCTCACTGGCCGCTGCTGCAACTCGGCAAACATGGTCATCGTGTTGAACGACTTGCCGGTCATACATATCCTCCTTCCTACAATCTAGTAACTCCTTTATCCACCTTGCAATCATTTTCCCTTCATGTAGAACATTTGCACTCTGAACCCCGCCGTGAAGCTCCCGTTTCCATTGATGTTCCAATTGAGAGCCCGCCAACATGCCATGCGCGAGCATGAAAAGACGGGCTTCCTTCTTCATATTTTAGCACACAACAGCAACGACATCTGAATAACACGCTCTTCTTCCTGATCTCTTCAGAAGCCGAACGGTCATTATCGTCGCCGCCACCAGTGACACACAAGCATCAATCATGTTTGAGTCCTTGTCTTCCCGCCTTTCGTCCAAATTGGGTAAGAGTTCCAAGCACATACCGACTTATAGGCACACCTCTGCCACTACCGATGATATCACTCTCGAGTTCCCTGCCGAGATAGAATACAGAGTCGATACCTTACCCACTGGAACCGTTCTTCCTAAACCCACCTCAAGTAGTGCCAACTTGCCTGAATTTGTCATGTCCAAGCAGAAGAGCGGGTGGATGGCAGAGTCGGGCCAGGATTGGTACTTGAGCAACTTTTCGGTTCGGGCCGGGTCCATAGGCGCTTGTGGCACGGTATCAGCACTGGAAACTCAAAGCGAACTTGTGAACTATCCTATTCCTTCTGGTGACCTTAGAGAGGGACATTTTTCAGGCCCGTTCACAACCAAACAGGCCTCCGGAGGGGAAGTCATTACCAAGGCAAGTGACCCGAATTCATTCCATAAAACCGAGAGGGACTTTTTCAAACGTTTAGAAGAAGAAACGGGAAACGTATATAGACTCGTGAACGTGGAGATGGATGATTACTGTGAGCACATTGACCCAGGAGATCAAGGTACTCTGGTCAATACTCGAGATGTTTCCGAGATAGGGGATCGGAAAACGGCCACTGTGACGAAACGGTATAGCATTGCGAGATGGAGCTTTCGCGCTCAGTGAGAAGCTATCTCATCTGTCTAGTAATCTCATTGACTTACATGATTATAGACTCAGAGTACCGACCGAAGGCAACCTTCCTGACAAGAAGGAGGAATAACCGTTGAGTGATATGAGGATGTTCGAGTTGGCAGCTAGTACTGCTGTCTGCTACTATCCGTTTTTATCTTTAGGCACAGTACATCATCATGGAGATATTCGACCATGCATCCTAGATCACAGACCAAAGGCATTCCCGTCCAGTATATGAAGCACGCGGATTGACATCTGCATTGCATCCGGCCCATGATGACGATACCACCATTGTAGCATACTACTTGTTGAGGCCGCCCGCCAAACGTACTCCCATACACTCTGCAGCTTATATGCATGGTACTGCCTGGCTATTGTGCTGTACAGAGTCGGGTTGAGGCGAGACACTTGTGACAGGTGGCGATAATTTCCAAAGGATATCAATCTAAGGAATGATCTGCTTCTTTTTTCGTCTGACGATCAAGATAGCCTGCCACTGACTCAAGTATAGTGTACAACAGAAGCTCTCAACACCCATATTTGTTCCCTTCATGTGCGATTGAGAACCCGTCTGCACATGAGCGTCTGGGGTTGCGATTAGATATTCTATCACTCATCATCGCGGCTGACATCCAAGAGACCCTTTGTCCATCATAAATGTAATCTCTATTTTGATCACACAACGGTAGCCACCTGGTAGAGAATCATTTATAAGCTTTCTTTCTCAAAGCCAGTCGCACAGCCCCTCATTGAGATATTACACTTCTCGACACTGCAAGACCAGAAATTACAAACACCAAGCATGGTCTCCTCCAAAACCTCAGCTGTTTCTCGACAGTCGAGCGAGGTTCCACAGCCCGAGCATGAGAAAGAAGCAGCTTTGAGTTGTACATCGTCTTCCACAGCATCCGACGATACCACAGATATCACTCTCGTATTTCCTGCTGAGATCTCATACAGACTCGACACTGAGGGTCCCGGAGCTCGTATCCTCTCGAAAGCGGATCCAAGTAAGGAACCATCATTTGCTGCATCACCTCAACAGCACACCTGGTTTCGTCGTCAGACGGACGGGTGGTTAGTCAAGTCCGGTTATCATGACTGGTATATCAGGAACTTGTCCATTCAGGCGGGGACTATAGGCGATTGTGATGGCATCGTATCCGCGATCAACACCCAAGACCAACCTATCGATTTTCCCACCCCTCTGGGAGACATTCGGGCAGGTCGTTTCTCCGGATCATGGGTGACTCAAGCACAAGAAGGCACCAAGGCAACCGACGCAACGTTCTTTCACTCAGCTGAGAGAAAATACTTTGAAGGTGTACAAGAAGAAACGGGGAACGAGTACGAGCTCTTGAGGGTGGAGGTCGGTGATTACGTCAATGGGGATGAAGGAGAGCTAGTGAATTACAGCACATTTCGCGATGCTGTCCAGTCAGATACTAAAAAGAATGGCAACCTGTCAAAGTGGTATGACAACGCGAGATGGACCTTCCGAGCTCAGTGATTGACATTGCTACGGGCAATACATTGTTAGAGCTGACGCAATCATAGATCGAGGGCGCCAACGGAGAAAGATGTATCCCCCAGAACTAAGGTTGAGTGATTATGAAAATCGCCACAGATACATTTCAGATCAGTACATTGATTTCGTACCGTACCAAGACCTTGCGTGACGTAACAAGAATGATCTCGTGATTACAGTCGTCTATATCAAACGAAGCGAGCTGCATTACATACATTGATAGTGCTTGACGGTATAGCGTCATCATCAAGAGGTATTTTGCCGTTCCCCTCCGGTCGCCCCTCTATCCCCACATTAATCCCATATACATTGCTAACGTTCCCCCATAAAACATCACTGTTTGTACTTCAGAGCACCTCCTTCAACCTTCCCACCAGCAATAGGCCTCTCCAGCTTGTTCGCCTTGTTCTGCACCACAAATTCGGCAAGCACAGTCTCGTTCCCATGCTGACTACGCACGTCCGAGATACCAAAAAATCTGGCTGTAGCGTTTGTACGGGAGAGGTGCAGCTCAACTGCATGTCGAAGCGATCAGCTCGTCAAGGGAAATGGAAGAGGGGGTGCGACATACAGTATCCACGGGTAGCACCCTCTTGCCACTGTAGCTCCGGGTTGTTGTTGACGAGAATCGAAGAGATGTTGGTATAATACTCGGCTGGATAGGGGCCATTCAGGGCTAAAACTTGTAGTCAGCACCCGAATCTGTCTCGGCCTTGGCTTGATGCGTACTGGAGTTGTAGCCGAGGGATCTAAGAAGGAAAGAGTAAGTCGTCATGTCTCGTCTTAGTTAGCTGGATAAACTCACGATGGAGACGACACAGCAGTGCCCGCAAATTCGACAGCAAGCGACCCATTGCCGCTGTTAGCGTCATATCCCCTCAAGTCATCATAAGTCAGATCAGACACCCAGTTCGCGCTAAGATACACCGTATTAGAGTCTGCTATGCAAAGGGTATAGCAAAGTGAACAGCTCACTGAGAGTCGCCGGAAAGGATGAGGACGTTGTCGATGTTATTTTGGGAGATGGTGTCGAGGACTCTTTGACGGTTTGCTCGATAACCGGACCAAGCGTCGACGTTGAAGTCTTCCTTGGTGGTGTCTTTTGCACTGTTGATGTTGGCAACTGTAATTTTGTCAGCTATCGCTCAAAAAACCCCGCATCACACGTACAGACAATCTGCTGCCCAATGATCTTCCACTGCGCTCCTCGGGAAGACGACTCCTTAAGACCGTTGTACAACCAGTTCTCTTGTCTTCCACCCATGAGGGTCCTTGCTTCCTGTCCAGCGATAGCTTCGACGTCGATAGCTGCACAAGTAGATGTCAGGATTGTCATAGAAGGAACAGAGATATCACTTACTGTTATAGTAAAGGTCGGTCAAGTCACGATTATATTGACGAGTGTCGAGCATGTAGAGGTCGGCAAGGGTACCGAACTGGAAAGACCTCCAGATTCTCAAACTATCATCCGTCTCCACCTGTGGGTGCGATCAGTTCCTCTCTATCGCTCGAGTAAGTTTCGAAGCTCACCGTTCGGATGGGAAGCCACTCAAAGTAGACCTTGACCGCATTCGCCTTCCTCTGCGTGAAAGAAACATTGTAATAAGTCCCGGCGATAGTGTCGTTTGAATCGGCAGAACCAGACATCCAGGTATTATCGGCGACTTCGTGGTCGTCCCAGATCAGCTGCCAGGCGTGCTTTTGGTGGAGGAGCTGGAGGTCGGGGTCGGAGCGGTAAGTCTTGTACCTCTGTCGGTAGTCGTCGACGGTGAAAATTTCGTGGTTGGGGAGGGGGACGCGATCGCTAGAGGAGAAAGTATCAGCTCAAGGAGCAAGAAGTCGCGGATGCGACTTACATATCACGCCCATCACCGTAGCACGCGTTGCCATCTTCGCATCCGTCTCCCTGATACTCGTATATGTAATCACCAACGTGCAAAGCATAGTCAACATCATCTCGGCGAGCAGCATTGCCATAAGCGTTGAAGAAACCGAAGGGGTAGTTTGAGCAAGAATAGACACTGATTGAGCGTTAGCAGAGTGCCACCGAAGTCGTTTCTACCATACGTACGCAAAAGATAAGGAGTCTATATCATCATCGTCTTGATATGGGATCGTTCTGAATCTACCAACCGGCGAGACGTTGTCTTTGTCGGCGCAATTGACGAAGCGATAGAAGTACGTCTGTTTCGGCTCAAGGTTCCCAGCTTCTACCTTGTAGGAGTAGTCGACGTCTTGGGTCGTCCAGACTTGATTCGAGGTGACGAGCTCGGACCAAGAGCTGTTCGAAGTGCTGACTTGATACTCGAGACATACAGGTCGGGAGTCGTCGGTGGAAGGAACAGGGTGTGTCCAGAGGATGGCAGAGTTGGGATCTGGAGGCCTGTGTAAGCGCGATACCCGATAGACGGCGATAACACTTACATGGATCACCGGAAGCTACCCCGTAAGGGAAGTTGAGCTGGCCATCATAATACTCCCATCTCTTGTGATTGCTTTCGACGATCTTACGGTCAAGGGCCAGCTGAGGAATGCGATGAGAGGGCGAGTCGTAAGCCTTGTTGCCCTCTATCGATGCGAGGGCAGTGCCGGCCAAGGAGAGCAGTGCCAAGGTCAGCATGGAGCTTTCGTTCGAGGATGGTCATCTTGATTGTTGGAGATTATATGGATATCCAAGCGGAAGGAAGTTGTGGAGGCCTGTCGGGGATGCTGCCCAATCACAAGTGCTGAGAAGTGTCAGCGCATATCGAACGTGGCACCTCGAACTGCCTACCCTGATGTCTGACGAATGGCGAGCCTTACGTGACATGATGAATATGCTTAGATAACAGTGGAGACAAAAGAAAAGAGGAAACGTGCGTTGGGAGCAAGGTGGACTAGTGCGCTTTTCATCCCGAATCCACCCCGCGGAAGACCGAGCCCCGAAGGGCTGACCCGCATTGCTACTACATACATCCGACAACTGATGCAGGTTGAAGACTGATGTATGAGAGAGAAACAGGGCAGCAAAGCATCAGAATTCAGACATACGGAAAGGAAAAGGCTGGAGCCGGCGAAGCCTGACCATGATCATGAACGAGCAGATAACCATCAAATGATTAGTTTCGGAACTCCGAACAACCACTAATTATTATCCTCAAGTACATCGTATACGATACGATGGAACGAAAGATGCGCAGATCAACAGACAAGATATTGGCATTCCAGAAGTCGCAAATCCAGCTCCCCAATCCCAGCAAGATTGGATTCAATTCTAGATGGTCTACTTTTCCATATCGAGCAAATTTAGTTTTCCAGATCTGGCAAACCCGCCTTGGGAAGGCGTTCCGCGAGGTGTCCCGAGCGCTGTGCGTTCACCATCCTCCTTGCGATTCCCCCGACGTGCCACTGGCTGGGATGTTTCAGGCAAGCACTGTATGGTCCTTCGTAGCCTTCACATACTCTGCCAGTAGTAAAGTATGCTAGTAGACTCTTGTAATATCGACTTTTCCTCCCATGGTCCATAACCAACACATGTGCGGTGCGGTGCGGTGTGCGAAAAGTACTAGTACTTTGTCGCCATTCAAGCTTGGGCATGATAAGCACGTTATCACAGACGCCCACAAGTTTCGAGTATGCGACAGCCTAGCGATGAGATATTGATTCATGGTACAGTACATACACATATTTACTAGTACACATTTCAATTTACTATTTCTTTCGGTCTCTTATGAGACCTACTGTATACACACTCTGCAGTGAAAGAAATTCGGCCCCTTCTTCTCTTCTCTACATCTCAGAACCAAGCCCGGCCCTGGCAAACAGATAGACATACACTCCCAAAGCTCAGTACACATACACAAATTCGTCATTCTTAAAGTCCGTCAGATCGAGCAAAGCTGAAGTCCGCCCATTAGCAGTGATCCAAAAGCGTCAGGACCAAGACTCACCATTCTGCCCCAAAGTAGCATCATCAGCCCCATAAGTCTCATACTTGCTGCTCATCGACGTATCCTTGATATACTTTGGTTTCCCAACCGCCACCCTCTGTCTCTGCCTCTGCTTGTTGAGGACAAAGAGGTAGAAGGCACAGATGCCGACAGTGCCGAAGAGGGCGCAAAAGAGGCCGAGGTTGGCGCGAATACCAGGGAGGTAATGGGGTTTGTCTTTTGCGTTGAAGAGGAGGGGGCCAATGACGTTGCCTTTGACGATGGTCAGCATGAAGAAAGTAGGGGAAGAAGAAGAGGGCGTACCCAAAGAAGAGGCGCCGTTGTAGATCGACATCAACAACGCCTTCTTCGTCTGTCCACCAGTGTTTGCCACAATCCACGAAACAGTGATCGGGTTTGTCCCAAACAAGAATGCCAACAGATAGTACCCCACCAATGCCGGACCTTGCCTCAGTCCATTTCCGCCTTTCCTAGTGTTTTCGACATAGAGAAGGGCAAGGCCAATGATAACAGGTATTACAAAAGCAGCGAGTACAGCAGACTTCAGTTTGAACTTGGAGGCGCAGAAGCAACCGCCGATGATGGTGAGAAACTGGAGAGCGCCAAGGGGCATGTTGAGAAGGGCAGTGATTTTGGCGTCGAACCCGAAGCCGCTGATCAAGGTAGGGCCAAAGACGTTGACGGTGGAGGCACCTTAAGGATTGGTCAGCTTGAGAGACAGGGAGAGAAAAGACGAGACGTACCAGTGTTGACAAAAAAGGTGATGGCGAAGAAGAGAAGCGATTTGGGGTCGTAGAAGATCTCAAACACATGCGCCCACTTGTACTCGGTAGACCCGGTACCCGTTTGGTTCGCCCTCAATCTCTCGATTCCCTTAGCCTTGTCTTCGTCCGACAGGAACCTCGCGGAGGATATATCGTTGTCAATCATGAAATATATGAGGGGTGCAGTTAAGACGGTGACAAGGCCACAAAGCAAGAAGAGCACTTCATAACCCTTGATATGCGGGTTGTCGATGTGACTGAGGCCGAAAGCGAGGATTGAAGCGAGGATAGTGGCGATACCGTTAGTAGAGTACCAGATGGCGACTCGGAGAGGCTGTTCGGATCGACGGTACCATTGAGAGGTCATGAGAGAGAAGAGGGGAAGGCATCCAGCTTCAAACAAACCCAAGAAAGCTCGGCAGGCCATCAAGGAAGAATAGCTGTGTCTCGTCAGAAGGGACCATATCATATAATGATCATACTCACTTTCGCGCGGCAGCCATACATGCCTGAGCGGCTCCCCATCCAAATACCATGGTAGGCATAAGGTACCGTGGAGGCACTTTTACCAACAGCCACGAAGAGAAGGGCTGCCAGCAAAGCTGCATGATGGCACTGATGGAGCCGACCATGGAGTACTGGCTCCCGCCAAGATTGGCATCATCCGAAAGCCCAAAAGTGTTCGCATAGCCCAACAACTGCGGCTCGTTAGCTAATGTTTTCGCCCGAAATACGATACAGTCACGCACTGTCTTGTCCAAGATCTGCAACAGATAGACCCAGGCGAGAACCGAGAGGATATACTTGTCGGTCAACTTTCGTATTCGCTTATCCTGTTTGATTGGTTCGTCAGCGCCACGCAAGCTCGATTCGATTTCCAACGCGTCAAGGCCGAACAACCAAACGGAACCAAACGCGTGGTGAAAGGACTCGACAATCCACTTTGCGCCTGGAAAGTCAATGATAGGGAAAGGACTCACGTCTTCTTCTGTAACTTCCACTCTCTCATCGCCTAGAATCTGCAAGGCCTTGTCGCCGTGCTTCATATCCCTGTGACCGATCTTCTGGTCTTTCAATCCGTCGCCTGACTCGATGTGCTCGATGCTGGCTTTCTCCGCGTCTAGGGTCGCCATGTTGCTGTTCGTCGTAGGTGGTGAATAGTATACAAGGTACAGTCAGATAGGTGATGCGGTGGCAATTTCAAGTCATGATAGGGAGAGAGGAGAAATCGAGGTATATAAGCAAACCAAAGACAAGTACTACCGTGGAAGTCGACGACTGTGGAACCGGGCAATCGGCGGCTACTGGCGGTCATTGGCAAATTTCCTTGGTGGATTCCGGGTATTTACGGAATGTTTACCGTTCTGCTCGTCACGCTTCCCTGTATCCTATGTACCCCAGAGCGGTTGTAGGGCAGCATTGAAGGCCCCATGGGTCTCCGCTCCTTTGCCGCCCGAAGGACGATCCCGAAACACTCGGCGGGGGCAGGGGACACCGGAGAAGAAGAAGGACAGACTGTGCGTCGTCCGATCTCATGCACAATCAAATTCCTCAGTGCAAGGAGCGTACAAGTAGGGCGAACGCGAAGCACACGCATGGGCAGGCGGTGTGGGCGATCAATGGTTCTCGGGGAATAAGCGGAGCGGAGATGCTGCGATGTTTGGGCGCCGAGGTATTGAAAGAGGCGATGGGCGCTCTGCACGTAGACATAGCTAGATCCCTCCCGTATGACATGAGATTAGGTTTGTGCCCAGAGGCCGACAGGCTCGGCAACATACCTCGAACTCATCTTGATTCGGCATCTTTCGGGATCTTCCTTGTTCTCCTCCATAATGCAGGTCGGCACGCAACTAGGTCAACGGTCACAATGCAAACACAGACGTACTCGTGCGAGGCCAGAGACTACACGGTACAGGGCGGCAAAGCGCGGCACCTCGAAGCAGAACGAGACAGCGCCAAACATTCGAATCATGCATGCAGCGGCTGACCAGGGTCAGGTGACATCATCGCGCGAATGGTCATTACCGACAGATGGCAGAGATGGAGAGAGATATGGCTGCCTGCATATCATGACAAATCACGGACTGTGAGTCGTTGGTGCGTCGCATGAGCTGAGGGGGAACTAATCCCTAAAAGCAGAAAACGTCGCAAAGGGGGTGGTGTTGGAATGAGAATAGCAGTGGACGCCGCCACTACTTTCATTCTCGTTGTTAACAATTCAAACACTTCCTCCGTCCATAGCCACCCCGTCCACCATTGAAAAACGTAGAGACATATGAGATCATAGCGGATACCCTAGCGTCTGTCCCTAAGACATATTAAAATGCAGAATCAGAAGCGAAATCGATTGTTTATCCTTCTGCCTCCTGTGATGATGATCGCTTTGACAGCAAGACGGATTTTGCCTCATCTTTCGACCGTCAACAGCCGCCTTATCAGCTTTCCTTCCATTGCCGCTTTACCGATAAGATGAGTGAGACAACGGACGACGGGCTGAGACCGGGTACTCAACCTTCTGTCCTATATACGTACTGTCATCTGGAGGGTATGGGCGGCTATCGTGGGTTGTCTGCTCATTCCAGTGATGGGGAAAATGACAACGGTTGACCTACATGGCGTGATACGCCGCGTGGGGGTATCGAGGGGAGGGGACCAAGCGGGGAGGCAGTCGATTCTTCACAAGCTAATACATCTCAGGCGACGACAATCATGGTCATGGAATCTCCCAGGAAACTTCGTCTCAAGCTTATACGTCGTTGGCTTGTACACTATTGGAATGATGTTTTCGATCCACTCCAGACCATTCCCGGGATGACTATACACGATTCTACAAACAAATGGCACTTTACCGATATTCTACATTACAAGGTCTTGGTGACCGCTCCTAGATTGAACAACTGCGAAAAGAAAACACACCAGGTTCAGCAAACATATACAGACTCGTCGTTCTTGAAGTCGGTCAAATCAAGCAAAGCTAAAACACCACCATCAGGGCTAGCCCACATCATCCCGGCTAATGCACAACCACAAAGACGTACCATTCTGTCCCGACTTCTCATGGCACTCCCTATAAGTCTCATATTTGACGTATCTTTGACATGCTTTAGCTTCCTCTGCGCCACCCTCTGCGCCTCTCTCTGTTTGTTGAGCAAGAAGACGACTCCAACAACGATGATGACAATGCCAAAATCGGCGCAGGCGAGGCCGAGGTTGACACTGATACCGAGGAGGTAGTGGGGCTCGTCTTTGGCGTTGAACAGAAGGGGGCCCACGACGTTACCCAATCACATAGATCAGCAGGGTAAGCGAGGAAGGAGAGGGGAAGTGTGGCGTACCCAAAGGCGAAGCAGTGTTATACACAGTCATCTGCGCCCTTCATGGACCCCATCTAGCGGTATACTCGTATAGGTGCTGTCCGGTAACAGTAAAAGACAGTATTTTGTCTCTTGAGGAACTTTTGAGCATGATGTATAATTTGGCCCGATGTTGACTGAACGAACAACTCTCGCCAGCGGCGGTGTCGGGCTATCTTCCTTTTCATATCTCGGATGTTGCGAACGCCAATTGTGCTGTCATCTTCGGGCGGATAATCACGCATCTGCATACTGACTTCCACATTTCAGCCTCTCGGGTGACCCTGAAGACCATCTCGGCCCACCGAGCTCCGCCTTTCCTTACCATGCGACCCATCAAATCCCTCGCACATCATATAAACCGACACTCCTTTTCCAGCCAAACCAATGCCCTCTCATCTCCAACCTCCTTACACAAAGGCGATATCTTGGCATACACCTCCGAATGATACGCGTTCAGCCAGTCTTTCTCGTCTGGGGAGAGTAGGGCGGCGATGACGAGTTTAGTTTGTATTGGGCACTGCGCGCGTCGTCAGCCTTCTTTCCTCTTCCTCGATCCGATTTAAGTAAAAGAAAGATGGGCGTACCATAGTAATCCGCTTCAACCCCAACCACCCTTTCTCCCCCGGGCCCCCTCCCGCCCTCCTACTCTCAACAACATCAACCCCTTCAATCCTCACCCCCCACTCCCCCTCTTTATAACACCCCGGCTCATTACTGATCACCATCCCCTCCTTCAGGGGTACGTCGTTGTAGGCGATACGCTGGCCGATACCTTGGGGACCTTCGTGCACGTTGAGGAAGTGGCCGATTCCGTGGGAAGTGCCGTGGCGGTAGTCGAGGTGGGAGGACCAGAGGGGGCGGCGGGCGAGGATGTCGCTTGTTTTGGGTGTTAGCGTGGTTCGGGGAAGAGGGGGGGTGGATGAGAGAGGACGTACAGGATGTAGCCTGTGGTACCTTCAGGGAAGACGACAGTGTCCAGAGAGATGTGTCCTTGGAGAACCCGCGTGAAAGCGATTTTCTGGTCTTCAGTCGGGGTACCGAAATGCTGCAGCCACACCTCTATCAGCCTCTCTTCTTGCGCTACCATGGAAGGCGGGCGCAGGTAGATCGTACAAGAGTTCGAGTAACATCCGTCGTCCCATCCAGGTACTGCGCTACGAAGAATCAAGTCAGCTCTCTTCATCAGAAGACGAAGACTGTCGGGAAAGACTTACCGCCAGAGTCGCAGAGATACATCTGATCCTTCCTTATAATGGCACTACCTTCTTCCGGCGGAGCATAATGAATCACCGCTACAACCAACCCATACATCAGCCACAAATTCATAGTACACCAACGGACTAGTGAGGGAGGAGGAGCGTACCGGCGTTAGCCCCGGTGGACGAGATGGTTTCGAATGATAGACCCATGAACCACTTGTTCTCCCTGTAAGACTATTAGCCAATGTCCATGATTTCTATCAGTGAGAGGGAGAAGAAGAACGGACTTTCTGTAGTTTTCCAAGACGGTTGCAGCATCATATTCCGTCCACTCTTCTCCATTCTCGAGCACTTCTTCAAGCCAAGCAAGGAATCGGACGAGGGCGAAGCCATCTCGGATATGGGATTGGCGAAACCCTTCGATCTCCGTCTTGGACCCCCGTCAGCTATCATCCTAAAGACGACTGGGAAGGAAATAAAACTGACAGCATTCTTCTGAGCCTTGTAATCATCCACAATACTCCGTCGCACTTCCACATTCTCCTCCCCAAGCGCACGGGCGATAGCCCAGCTCGTCTTGGTACCGATCAACACCTTGTCTGTCTTTTCAATCTTTTCGCCATTCGCACCCGTCACCGTAGAAGGCCCTCCCAACCGAAGTTTCTTGCTCCCATCAGCTCTTTGGGCTTGAAGCAGGTCTCGCCAGGTGTTGAGAGATGTCCAGATATTGTCATAATATTCCACCTTCACCCCACCTTCTTGCAAATAATCTCTCACTCCTCCCGAAAGACTAGCAGGGTTCAAAAAGACCCTCGCCGCTCCCGGGGTGATCACAGCATACCCAAAAAACACCGGATTATACGGTATATCATTCCCCCTCAAATTCAAGGTCCACGCCACCTGGTCCAAGCCACTCAACACCACCCCCGGGCTGCCCGCGAGGTCCAAGTAAACTCTGATACGGGCGAGTTTGGAGGCGAGGGATTCACCGGTGTAGGTTGCGGGGAGGAGGAAGATGGGTTCGGAGGGCTTGGGCGGGCGGGTGGGCCTGAATAGGGGGTCGATGAGGTTTGGGGTGGGGATGAGGCGGGGGGTTTTGGTTCCTGGGGAAGAAGGAGAAGAGGGAGAGGCGAGAGATGTTTGGAGAGTGGTTGTTTCGGAGAAGGGGAGGAGGGTGGGGTCGATACCGATCTTGCTGGTTGGGTCGAGTGTCTGATTATCTGTGAGCTCTGGATCCTGGCTCCTGGAGCAATAGGGATAGACGCACGGTAGCAAGCCAGTCACTCCACGTAGGTACATCGGGCGCACCGCTCTTCATCAGACTCCACCTACACATGACCTATCAGTACAATCCGAACGTCAACGAGATAAGGAGGGAAGTACCCAGGACCGAGCTGCTTCTCAGCTTGTATCCAATACCTCCCGTCGGTCCATAACAAAGCCTTGTCGTGGGTGACGATGGCACAACCGGCGGACCCTGTAAAGTCTGTGAGGAAAGCCCGACGGGCGTCGCAGGGAGCAAGATACTCCGACGAATCTGAAAACGTTAGCTGAGGTAGCAGCTGAAGCATGAATGGGAGTTACGAGCGTCTTCCGATGGTACGATGCTATAGACTTGTCAGATGGGAAGGAGGGGAAGAGGGGATAGGGGCGAGGGACGTACTAGGCATCAATGTTGTGGTCTTTCATGAGCCCTCTGAGGGCTGTGAGTTTGAAGACAGAGTCGGACATGATGCTTCTGTATGTACTGTGCTGAAGTACCTATTCAGTCTTCCCGTCTTCAGCGTTCTCAGCGAGACTAGAGAGCAAACAAACGAAACAGGATTGAGAAAAGGCAGCAAGGAACACGACCTGAACACGACGGACCTCCGAGCCATCCATCACGGCGATGCCCGACCCCCCCACGTGGCCACGGCCCCCTCCGCCCCTCCACCATTCGCGATCGGCCCCGACGGTTGTCTTGCTCGGTTGATATGCATCTGATCGTTATCAGATAAACGAGTTCGGCCGATTCCATAGCATCAACAGCCTACCAACTATTTTCTGGACGCCCTAAAGAAGAAGAAAGAAGATCTCTTTGACTCGTTCTCGTCATTCGAAAAAAGAGGTTGCCATGTTTCGGCCACAAGTTTGCGCGCGTGGGAGGTGTGGGACGGGTGTGAAGATGTTCTCCACTTCTGCTATGAGGAGTGCGAGGCAGAAGGATCATTACGAGGCGCTCAGGGTGCAGCGGAATGCTACCAAACAGCAGGTCAAGGCAAAGTTTTACGAAGTGAGTCGCCTTCCTTCATCCTTTGTGGAGCTCGACTGATGCGGGACAGCTCTCCAAAAAATACCACCCCGATGCGAGCGAGGGCGATGTAGCGAGGTTTCACGAGATCAACGATGCGTATTCCATCCTCGGCGACGAGTCCAAAAGGTACCCTTTCCCACATCTCTCCTTGAGACGTTTTGCTAACTTGATGTCAGACGGCAATACGACCAATCCTCCTCCACCGTCTCTTCCCATCGCCCATCTCAGTCCCAATCGTATGCCAACGGCCACGGCCACTCTTCCTTCCGCCCCCACGATCCCCATTTGCACCGCGCAGCTCAAGGCCCGCACCGCTCTTGGAACTCATCTTCCTACGCGCACCACCCCTTCTCCAAACCACGCACCGAGACCTACTCGCCCTTCGGCCGGCGCACACCTGAGGGGTACGCTTATGCGCACCAGTACAACTACTCGTTCAACCCGAATCTCCGCACAACAGAACGGACGAACCAAGGCTGGGGCAGGCGCAGGCCGACGCATGCGCAGAGTAAAGAAGAACATGCGCATTCGAGTGGAGGGGGGATGTGGAGGTTTGTGATCACTGTGGGGATGATCTTGACGGTCATTTCGCTTGGTGGCGGACTGACGGCGACGGAGAGTAAGGTGGATTGGAACAAGGTGTGGAGAGAGGGGGAGGGGAAGAGGAGGGGGAGTGAACGGAAGAGGCTGAAGGAGAAGCTAGCGTGACTGTGAACGAGTGGCGATCGGCGAGACGAGAGGGAAGAAGTAAATGCGATGTTGTAAGATATGATGCTTGGATGAACCTGATGCATGGTATGTCTCATTGCCAAGGTATTAATAATAACTCAACTCCAAATTATCTAGATAGAAGAGAAATATCTAGAACCCAAAAAAAATCATCTATAGATCGTGCGCTATCTGATATACCAACGCAGCATCTAAACAATCCCAGCTGTAACACTGATCCCGAATAAAAAAGTCGAACACTCCAAAGACCAGCCTCCTCTATTGACCCAAGGTCTCCTCGTAAAAGTCGATGGGTGTCTGGCCCTTGAGGACAGTGCTAAAGTTGGAAGCCTGCTTGAGGGCCGTTCGACAAGTCTGCATGAGACCGAGGGGTCCACAAACTAATACCAAAGGTCAGCAAGTATGCACATGAAAGTATAAAGAAAGACTCGCCTCCGTACGCCATAGCCTCGGGACAAGTGCTGGCATCTTGCTCGATGATAGTCTTCAAGTCCGGTCGGCCCTTGTGGAAGCGGACAAAGCTCATAGCCTCGGGGGAAATGAGCTTGCCGAGACTGTGGTGAGCAGGCTCGTTGGAAGAGGTCAAGGAGATGTCCTTGGGAGCGGCAGGGAGATGGGCAACGGTGTCGTATTCAGACTCGCTCGTGTCAGGTGTAAGCTGGCCACTCTTCTCAGTGGGGGTGTCAAGACCCCTCTTCTCTTGCTGAGAGCTTCCGGAATCGAAAGAGTAGCCATCGCTGCTGGTCTCGCTGATGACGGGGACGGAGCCTCGGGTAACGTAGACGTCGAAAGCAAGCTTGATGTTTGCGGGGTTTGCTTTGAGGAGCGCGGCGGCCTGGTCAAGGAAGGGAGCGACCCAGGAGATGACACTGGCCTCTCGAACGATCCAGACGAGGTGAACGAGCTGCGTGCGGGCGTGCTTTTTGCTGTTGACGAGCTCAAGCATCTGGGCGGTCCAAGGAGCGATACCGGTACCACCTGTAGAATGAGTCAGCATGGGGAACTCGTAGGAATTGAAATGGACTTGCCAGACACCATCAAGACATGGTCGTAAGAAGAGAGACTGTGGGCCTGGCCGTAGGGACCATCGATGTAGGCACGAACGGTCTTGTCGGAGGTGGAGGAAATGGCCTTGAGAAGGTCCCTGGTGAAACCTAGGTAGCGAACCATCAGCATCAATAGCAATGCAGTATTGCTGGAGGACTCACCTCCGTAGACTCGAGAAAGAATCACAACCTCATGCTCGTCGTTAGAGGCGTTCGAGATGGTGAAGGGATGGGCCTCAACAGGACCCTTGGAGACACGGGGAGCAGACACAAATCTGGATTGAATGTCAGTTGGATTAAAGCTCTGCAGAATAACAAGACCTACACGTGCTGACCAGCCTTCCAGGTGAAGCCGTATCGCTTGAAGGACAGGCGCAGGCAGTCTCCCTCGAGTACCTCGATAGTACACTCACCACGACCGGCTTTCCAGAGCCTGTTGGTCCAGATCGTTCGACCCCAACGGACAACTCGGTCAAAGCCCCAGATGACAAAGCACATCCAGATCCAAGTACCCTCTTCGTCCCAGTGAATGTAGGCGCCAACCATGTAGAGGCTATATATCATCAGCGGCTGGGTTGTGTAATGAGAGATGGCAATTACATGGCGAGGACGATGTGGCTTGTGAAGAAGAGCTGGTGCAAGCGACGTCGGACGATGGTGAAAGAGGACATGGTCAACAGGGTCAAGGCGGCGAGGGCGACCCATCCCCAGATGATATAGGTGGCGGACCAGCTATCCCTACCACCAGTGCTATTGCTATGTTAGCACACCACAAGACGGAAATCGTATCTCTTCACGCACATTCTGATGGTAGAGAGACCGGTGTGGATCCAAGACCAGACGAGAATACAACGACTGCCAGCCCTGTGGAGATAGTTGAGGTTTTGGTACGGGATGCCGGTCAACAAGGAGATGGGGTTGTTCTTCATGGCGAGGAACATGATCAGGGGCATTTGAGCGAAAGCCTGGGGTATGCGATGAGAAGATATACAACGTAAGAGAGAGAAGGGATTTTACCATCTGACCAAACAAATTCGCGATACCCTGGGCACTATGGGCATCGAAACTCCCTAGGATCCGTCAGCGAAGTTCTGGTTTCTCGGCGAAACGGTACTCACAGCCGGCGGATTCACGGAAAGTAATGGCGAAAACGACAACCATGTACGCAGAAGTCCACAAGGCGTCGGCAACAGTTTCGGGAGCGTACAGCCAGGAAGGAAAAGCAGTAGCGTTCAACCAGTTTCTGCCGCCGGCATAAGCGGCAGCCCAAGGCTTCAGTCGTTTCTCGGTAGCCTTCTCTGCGGTGAGAGGGGCTTTGCGCTGGCGGCGCCACTTTTGGAGCAACTGATATCCGTGGTAGATGGCGAGAAGACCAATGACGGCGCAGGTCGCATACCACATCCAAACTTGAACGTCGGTGTAGAAGGGATCGCCTGATGTATGGCTATGACCGTGCTTTCCGCTTGTGCCAGAATGGCCCGTCGAGGTGCCGGATGAGGAGCCATGTGAGGTGGTGCCAGAGATCGAAGACGTGGAGTTGGAAGACGAGTCGGAAGAAGTGGAGTTGGAAGACGAGTCAGAAGAAGTGGAGTTGGAAGACGAGTCGGAAGAAGTGGTGGTGTTGGACGAGGAAGAGCCGTGGGCAGTGGTGCCGGTGACGGCCGTCGTGGAGTTGGATGACGAGGAAGAGCCATGGCCAGAGTGGGCGTAGGAGCGCTCATCGAAGTAGGCGTGAGCAGCAGAGCTGGCAACGGCATTAGCCATCGTGACTACAGCGGCGGCCACAGACATTGCTATATTGGGTTATTGCGAGACTGGAGTGTCAAGTCAGAAGCGTCTTGGTATATATATCGCTCGCTCACAGTGCAGGATTCCCGCTTTTAACGCATACTTCGCACCAGGTGTCGTTCGGCGGGTATCCATTGGCTGCCGTGTTGGAGACAGAAAATCTCTCATGGAGCTGTGACTACTTTGGAGACTTGGTCGGCCGGTGGTAACATAAGCATACCTGGGAGAAGGTCTCTCATCTACCTGAGAATGCGGGATGTTGGGAATCCGTTATGTAGAGGTACCTTACCAAAGGCTAATAATAGGCAGCACTGAACGGCCGACGAGTGTTTGTCGAGAAAGAGCGCAATATGATAGGTATTCGCCGTCCCTGATGTGCGCAAAAATCAGGCGAAGAATGGGGGCTGGGGGCTGTCTAGGGGGTCGTCGGCCGGGGGGGAAGGGGGAGGGGCTGCCATTGAAAGAAGTATGTGGGAGAAGTCTGTTTTTCTGAAGCTGGGACACTTTGAATACATGTATAAGAGGGCGTGAATCCTTGGCAAAGGCAAGCAAGGGAGGCGAAGGTTGCAGGACGAGAAAGAGAGTTCAAAGTCGGCCCCTCTAGCGGCCCAGATCAAGCATGCCAATAATTTCCCCGAAAGTCCGACTCCGATCTTTTTTCGGCCCGCAGGTCGACCTGATTGCCGGGGTATAGATGGCTCTGGGCGGATACTACAGTCCTGCATTGATCTCCCACGGGCTACTGATGTATCCTGCAAACACACAAACCAATTCTACGCGGCATGAGAGCCATAACGAAGTGTTCCGTCATGTTGTCGCAGATGTTCCGGCATGGTTCCCCATACAACAGAAATCCTTCATGCCGACCGACGGACACGGAACGAAGCCAGGAACGGCGGCTGGCCTCCGGACAACCGAAATGGCCAGCGGCCCGCAGATGAGCCATCGACTGGAGAGGTATATTACGAGTATGCCGCTGAAAAGAATAAGGAATTCTCTTTAGTCGCGCTGTGCCGGTCTCTTACGCTGGGGGCGATCCGAGAAAACCCCAGGTCAGCCGATCAGCGGTGGCATCTATTGGGGATGCAAGTCTTTCTCTATTCTTTCTTCCATCGTCGTCATTACTTCATGGCTGCATATCACCCTGCACTCATTTTCGCCATTCTGCATCTATCCATACATACATATGTCCAGAAAAGCTGACATGGCAAGTCTCATCTACCCCCAGCTACTCGCTGAACACTCGCGCTGACCGACGCCCTATAATCAAGATTTCAAGTCCTCAATCATGTGGAGTATATCGATAAACGGATTCCATCAGGGTCCATGATGTCTGCTGAATATGATTCTTGCCGGCAGATATGGGGGCCGATAGTGACTGAGGTACGTGAGCAAAGCGGCGTGTGGTGCCGGCTGACATGTCATGTTGCAGCAAGTTGGAAACTCGTAATTGATAACACCACCAACACTGTCCTTCATCCGTCCTTTCTTTATCGCTTTCGAAGCGGCCCCCACTGAGATGCGCTATGACCGCAATGTCTGAAGACGGAAGCCGGCTTTGGAAACAAGGCGAGACCAGGCGGGAGCCGACTTTGGGAACATGGAAACAAGGCCAGACAAGGTAGAATCGACGGAGCTGCAGGTACTTCTTGCCTACCTAGCTGCTACTCACGCACTTGTCCTCTTGCAGCTCCGGATAGACAAGATCGATTACAGCCATGGGTGAGTTCTCCTACTATCTGCTCTGTCTTGTATGTCAATGTCTAAACAGGTTTTGAGAGTGGACAAGCGCCCGAAAGACTCCAAGGGTGACTCGGGGGAATTCTCACCGAGCTGATCACTCGTCTTAAATGTATGGGTGCGTTGTCTCTTCAATTGTTGCTGCTTCATCTGCTCATAATTATGGCATAGAAGCGTTTAATGCTGAACGGAGCTCGACATCCTCATTCCTATAACGCACTACGCCAGCCAGCCTCTGACATGGTCGTGTCGCGGTTTGGTCTATCACCGGTACCTACCGAACGAAGGAGGGAAATCATGCTCTGCTCCTGAAGGTCTCTACTATGGCTCTTCATTACAGTACGTACTCTGTTTGGCCCCATTTCCACTTGAGTCTTGGGGCGGCCATCCACACCTGGAGAGACGGACGGTAACGCTTCCTCTAGGTCGAGTCGATCCCTCAGCACATAACGGTGATCGCGCGAGGTATTGGCCGATCCCTCCATCAACCTCCGTAGGTAAGCCGCGTGCTTCCCTGCTTCCAACATCGCCACGTACTCAGACTCGAGCGTAGACCTTGCTGTAACCGCCTGGCGTTTCGACTGCCAGTCAACCACCGACCCATAGGCTTTGAAAACGTAGCCTGAGGTCGAACGCCTTGTGTCCAAGCAACCCGCCGGATCAGCATCCACCCATCCCTCCAGCGCCTCCGCTGTATCGTTGCCACCCAACCGCAGCTTTCGTGCTTCTTCTGCTCCAGATACGCCGTCACCCTCAGCGCTAGCTGCCAGTGACTCTCTAGAGGTTTCGACGCGAACCGTGCTAGATAGGCCGCAGGGACGCAATGTCGGCGCGGACCGTGGATGCGATCCACTGCAGTGAACCCACTATCTCCTGGTACGGAGTCAATGGTGCTGCCGGCGATTCGTCTTTGTGTTGTCCACGAGCGAGTTCTCGAGCCAGAGAGTGGGGATTCAAGCAAACGTTCTGCTCTCGCAGGTTGGTGGGGAATTTCTCGGTAAGTTCGTCGATATTCTTCGGGAAGGAGATGTGGAACGTTTTGGCTGACCGATTTCTAGCGATCTTGATACCCAGAACCTGCGTCACCTCCGTCGTCGCAATATCCCGTTCCGTTCCCAACGCTCCAAATATCCCATCTATCTCCTCCTTCTCCGGCGCGACAATGATTAAGTCGTTGACGTACGACAAGAAAATAATAGTAGGCTTCCTGGCACCAGACTTACGCCTAACTTGCAGACCCCAGTCGCTTCCTACTCTCTGGATCCCAAGGACCAACAGAACATCACGAAGTTGTATCCACCATATCTTCCCGACTGCTTCATTCCGTAGAGGGAACCTTTCAGACGCAGGACATCGCAGCCCTTCGACGGCGTCATTCCCTTAGGGTACCTCGTGAAGATGGGTTAGTCCAGACGCCCGTTAGATAGGCGCCCTCCACGTCGGCTTGACCTATTTCGAGGTCGTACTTGGCGGCAATGATGAGGGTGAGTCGGAGACTAGTGAAACGGGATGTGGGTGACCAAGTCAATTCGTAGTCGACCCCGGGTTGTCGGCTAAATCGTTGGGCGACGAGCCGTGTTTTGTACCCGAGCACGTTTCCGTTGGCGTCTTTCTTCTTCCATTATCCATTTCGACAGCACCAGGCGACCCCGCCGCCCCTCCCGCGCCTCAACACCCGGACCTACTCCAGCTCCACCGCCTCCACCACTCACTCGGCTCTCCTCCCGCCCCCGTCTCCCCTCGGCGCATTTGCTGCTCCCCGCGTCTCCCCTGCCAGTATTGGTATGGGACAGAGGAGCGTCAGCAACGCCTCTTCTGCCTCTGACTTTGGTCTTACGGACGAGATTGATAGGCTGGGCTATCTGTATCCTCTTCGAACAGCGTGAGTACGCCTCTCCCAAAGCTTGCAGATCTGACGCGCCGCAGAGTACTTCACCACCACCTCCTCAGCCCCAACCCTGCTGCCCCCAAACCCTCATCAATCCGCTCAAACTCTTCCTCTCGCGATCCTCCCCTGCCATCCCCTCCTCTCACCAGGACCTCCCCCTACGGCTCTCGCTTTTCTCCTTCCACTCCGCGCCCTTTTACAACACTGCCCCCAAGCTCCCGGATACACCCAAAGCTCCCACCACTCCGCCCCCGAACCTCCGTCGAAAGAGTTCTGCATAAGGGCACAAGACTGAAGGGCAAGGGGTCAAGTTGCCCAAAGAGTTTTTGCGCGAGTTTTGGGGGATCCTCGGCGGGGAAGAGGGTGATCAGGGTTGGAAGACTACTGTGAAGGCGTTCTTGGGGATGATCAAGAAGGGCACCAAATCCTCGAAGGTGAGCGCAAGACTGACGCTTCGTAGCTTTCAGCTCCAACATCCCCCCTCCTTCTACCATCTGCTCACCCCATCACACGCACCAGTTCCACCTCTTACAGCTGCTCTACAACACCCTCCCTCGCTCTTCCCACTTCTCCCCCATGTCACGTGCCCAGACCGACAAAGTCAAAGAGTTCCTCTCCCGTCTCCGCTCTGAAGTCCAATCGTATATGCTCGCGTCGTCGCCCAACCCCGCTGAAGACGGCGCCTGGAGCAACTTGATGGCGCCTGTGGCTACCACGCCAAAGAAGAGTCCTGTCGGTCTTGGGCGTCTCCACCCAGTCCGTTGACGCATTCAGGAGGAAGCCGAGCCCTATCTGGGATGGGGATTTGAACGAGATGATCAACACTGTCGGTCAAATTTGGGGAGTGCGACGGGATGTGATGGATAGGGATGTCTTGGAAATCAGGTCTCACGAAAAGTTTGTCGAGCGTGTACGTCCTTCATGTCCAGTTCTCGAGCTTTGCTAACAAACTTTTAGCTCTACATAAACGACCTCGACGCGCCCTCACCGCCTCTCCTCCCAGCCCCCTCCTCTCATCTCCTCCCAAAAGAGCCGACAAGCCTATCTCTCCCAAGCATTCACAAACATCTACAACGACTTTCCCTTGCTCAACGCCCCCTCCGACCCCAGCGAATACGCTTCCCCAGCCCGGGACGTCGACGGCGGCTTCTTCTTCTTCATCCCCAGCCGTACCGTCTAAGTCTTCGGTCGCCTCGCTTCTCGGAGTGCCGAAGCGGGCCACAGTGCGCGTACGCGAGCTTTGCTCGGACGTTGTCGAGAAGTGTGGGGCATAATCTCCCGCCGACAGAAAGAGAAAGATCTCGAAGGGCTCGTCAAGCGATGGGGCGACAGTATCGGGATCTCGGACGAAAGTCCTCTCGCGAGAACCATCGCCTACGGCCTCAAACTCATCTCTTCTGTCCTCAAAGCCGGCGACCCTTTACCTTCAGTCATGATCCAATACCTCCAATACCTCCATATCCTCCTCTTCCTCACAACCTCCAACCTCCTCACCATATTCCGTTCCTCCCCTCCTCCCGCCCCCCTCCTCCTCCTCCACCTTCTCTGCTTATCCTGTTCAACGCTGCGCCGCGTTTGTTTGCGGCTCAGGAGGATTCGAAAAGGACGTTGAGCGATGCGCAGGATGAGCTTGTGGGAGCTGCTATAGGCGTGTATAGCGGAGTCGCGAAGAGTACTTGGGCGGCGTCGGCGGCGGGGAGAATAAGGGATTGGTGGAGGGGTCGGAGAAGGTGGCGAAGTGGATGGAGAAGGAAGTCAGGGGGGTCAAGAAGGCTTGGGGACGAGGACTCGCGTCGTGCGTACCCTTCACATCCGCCTATTCTTATCAAGCTCACTTTACGCAGGGCGCTCAACCCAGCATCATCCTCTCCCGCCAACTCCCTTTTTCCTCGCCGAACTCCAAGCCCTCTCCCTCCCTTCCCCCTCCGGCCAAGCGTCCGACATCTTCCCCCTCTACGAAACCACCGGCAAGCTGCTCGAGCTTTGGGAAGATCTCGTCGAAGATAGAAAACATGATTTCGAACTGGATGCGTTCTTTGAGCCGTTTGTGAGGGGGTGGTTGAAAGAGACGGAAGGGTCTGAGGTGGAGGGGTGGGTAGCGTGGAGCGTGGAGCGTGGGGATGGATAGCTTACGTCGTCTGTCTATTGTTGTGAAGCGATAGCTGACCTTTGACTTAGTGGGTGCCGGAGGGCGAGAACAAACATAGTCAGTCTGTCATCGACTTATTCGGCTTTATCCGTGGCTCAGCGAGTACCATTCTTCACGACCTGCCCTTGAGCGTGTACAAGCGTGCCAAATGGCCTTCTTGATGTTCAGCCTGTCATTCAGACGTGTCTACCGCGGCACTGCCCATCCACTGTCCGTTCCTACGTCGCGGGCGTACGGGCCTATCATGTCAACTTCGGCTTCCCCCACGAGGGCTTCAACGACCCCTTCTCCACGAGGGCTTCAATCAACGACCCCCTCTTTACTCGCATCGTTTGGGGTCACCACCGCACCGCTTCCGCCTCCCGATTACTCTCCCCATCTCGGCTGACATCCTCTGCGTTCATCCTTGCGTTCCGGGGATCTCCTGCACGAGCGGTCCGCCCTGGCTACGGCCTACGCCGTTGCCTACGCCCGTGTCTTCCGGAGCAGCAAACTCGTAATTTACATACGGTGCCGGCGCTTTCTACGTGTTCACCGACCTCTTCCGCGCCCACGTACGTCTGGGACCTTGGCACCCACGCATTATCCCCTTGCCCGTCTCCAAGGCCAACCACTCCACTTATTCGGGCAGGTGGTCATCGTCGTCATTCAACATTCAGCATCGTCATTCTCTCCGCCCCTGCCGACGCTGCCGATGACCCTCTCGGCCTCCTTCACTCTTTCCTCCTTACCACCAACTATCTCCCACCCCAGCTGGGCCAATGAAGAATGAGGAGGCGTGCAAAAAGACCGGGGGCTTCGCCGAAGTGTGGACCATTTCGTGTCTCATCAGTATATCTATGAGTCATATGAGGTGGAATGCAGTTATTGTCACGCGGGTTTTGCATACAGGATCACGCAGGACTCACACGCACAGAGAAACGATACAGGGGGACGGTCAGATAGACTCCAGGAAGAAGCCAGGGAAGCTAGGCAAGTCTGCAAGCAAAGCATCATGATACAGAACCGCTCAGAAATGACAAGAGCGGCGAAAACGCGACCGCGGGGGTCGGGTCACTTATGGCGCTGTCCTCAAAGTGCTGCACGCCCATGTCCGGAATCTGCAGCTGCCTCTGGTTGTCACCTCGCAGAAGACCCCCGTGTCCCAGTCGAACGCGACCAGGTCCCGAAGACCGACGAAGGTGCCCTTGCAGAAGAATGCTTGGCGGATATCCGCCAATTGTTTTCGGTTCTGGATCCCGTCGCCGTCAGAACCCTTCCCTTTATCTTCGTGGTTGGCCTTCCTTTTTCTGATATGGAGCTGCTTGTAGGCCTTGTGCAGCTTTGTGTACAAGCTCGATCGAGGGCTGGGGTAGGGGTTGTTCGTGGTCAACCTGATGCCTCCAAAGACTGATGAGAGCTCACATGTACACATCCAGTGCGCTGGGGGTTCATGTCACACGTAGTTATTCCCTGAAATGGCATGGCGCTGAGTTGTGTGGATGGTTGAAGGACGCGCGGTGTACATACTCAATTCATATCTCGTTGTCTACTCTTTCCTTATGCGATAATACCGAAAAGGTCTTTTCCCCTTCAAAAACACCTTTTCCAGTCCCTCCCCTGCTGCGTCCCAGCAGGCCGTGACAGTTCAACTGACAACGTAGCTTGTGCTCGATAGCGGCATCTGTGTTGGCGTGATCAGCAATTTGGAGAGGACGTTAGATCAGAAGGCGCGAAGACACATACCTCTTTCAAGATCGAGCTCCATTGTCTGGTCGGCCGGTCCATCGACGGCTAGGACTTCCCCCACCGTGAGCGTCCTAGACAAAACTTGAACCTAACCTCAGTGACGGCAGTCAGGTCCTCATTCGCCAGTTGATCAAGATTGGCGTCTCGCACAACTGCGTTTACACCGCTGTCCTTCTCGTCGTCCTTGTCGCCGTCCTCAGACGCCGTAATCTGGACCCCAGTCTTCTTCTTCCTCTAAGACGCTTACTTCTTGGATGCTCGTTTGCGTTCGCCATCGCCATCGGCATCGAGTTGATCGACAGTGAGGATGGTAGATCTGTAGGAGTGGCTGGTTTTGACGAAGACCCTTTCCCACATGAAAGCGGCGGCATTCCGGGGAGAGACAAGCGTGCTGAACTGATTGTCGACTGTACGCACTTGGTTAATCTACGAGACGTGGCTTACGGCAGTTACTTCTCCTGAACGAAAGCGAACCATTCCCTCAAGCAGTACATGTACCTCCACTCCGTTCTGGCTTGAATAAAAGCCTGAGACACTGCGGCAATACTGTTCAGAACAGCGGGGGGACAGGGTGTAATCCCTTGTTCAACCTCTACCGGTACAACCGGCCTTCCTTCCGTAGGTATACTGGCCATCTCGGTCTCCTGTGTCCTTCGTTGTGGTGCGTCCTGCATGGTAAAGGAGAGGGTGACGGGATATGACGGATGGAAAGTGAGGACTGAGTGGCGTGAAGATAAGCCTTGAGGCCCAGTGTCACGTGGCTGTCGCCACTTGACCAAACACCCGAGCCAAACACCCGAACCTCCACCTCCCACGTCCGCGTCGAGCCCACATCTTGCCACCATCTGACTATAACATCCATCCATCTACCTCCGCGGCCGAGCTATACCAGCACCGCCTTCGAGATCAAACCTTCACGGGCAAGAATGGAAATACGCGGAGATAGAGAGAGCAAACCCATTCCACCACTTTCGAGAACATTCTTTCGCCACCAGGTTGGCCGATGTAGTTGATTCTAGAGGTTTCGACGGAGGATACGATGAGTAAGCAGACTTGAGGTGCCAGGGTATATAAGGACGTGTCTCCATAGCTGTAGGTACTTCGTCGATCCACTATTGTTGTCTTCTCTAGTACACACTTTTCTCTCTCGCTCAACACACTCGTACAAACGCTATCTTCCTTCGGCATTGGTCTGGCCACTCACTTCGAGTTCTCAGACCATTTCGTCTCTACCCCTCGGCGAGCTCTGAAGGCATAGCCTAAGGAAGGTAGCCCCCTGACACCCAGACGTTTGGTGATGTTGGTGAGCTTCGTCTTTGTTCTTGTCTTTCCGTGCTTGCTGTTCGGGAGAATGGGAGGAAAGGGCAGCGGGGTTGTATAAGCAACAGCTATGTTGGACATGCAGAATCAAATGGGAATCGACGAATCAGGCATTTCGAGCATTCTTCCAAATGATTCTGTAAATGAGGTAATGCATTCACTAATGGGCAAAGGTGATTAACTGGGTGGGCAGGACGGCCAGTGGCCGAAGATGGAAATTGGGCATCGAATGTGGGCGCGGGATTGAACAGGAGCAGAACAGCAGCGGCCGGTCTTGGTGGGCATAGCGTTCGACAGGAGGATTTGTTTTCGGCTTGGACAGGACCAGATCGGCTGTCGAGCAGCCGGTCCCAGGCTTCGACAGGTGCGCGGCGGCTACGGCTCGGTCCTGTCGACGCGTTTCGGAACTCCAGAGAAGAAGCAATACGACACATCGATGGGTATTAGATGAGTGGCGTCATACATGCCATATGACTTGTATCATTGTGTACTGACTATATACCGAAATGGAATGTATCTCGGTATGCAGATCGACGGATTCTGGCGTTGACCTCTCGTGAGCGCTGTCTTCTACGATCTCAAGCATCAAGCCGCATCAAGCAAAGTGCTGCCTCATCGCCCTCTGCATCTCGCAATTCCCCCTCTTTTTTTCATTCGCCCCCCCCCTCTCCCCTTCCCCACCGGCCGAGGACCCCCTAGCCCCCAGCCCCTATTCGAACTCATCGCCTGACTTTTGCGCACATCAGGGACGGCGAATACCGATCATGTTGCGCTCTTTCTCGACAAACACTCGTCGGCCGTTCAGTGCTGCCTATCAAACTTCGGTAAGTTCGGTACGAGTATAGTACAGTGCAAAGCGCCCAACCCCAACTAATTTTTTTTTGGCCCGGAAAAAAATCGAAAACAGGCGCAACGGCCTCCGGAGAGCAAAAGATCCGGGGTTTCTGACCAAATTTAATACAGTTTAGATGTCGGACGAAATGTCGACAACCCAAGGAAGCCAAACGGAAGCAATCTGGGTCGGAGCGCCGGAACCAAGACCGGCCTTGCACCCCCATTTTTTGCCCGAAAAAATCGCGACCGCCGCCATTGGATTCCACTTGCGAAAAGGCGTTTATTGCGGCACTTTGGGCCAAAATTAAATAACCTTAGATGTTGGACAAAATTCCCGAGATTTGTTGGGGTTCGGCGCTTTGCACTGTACTTCTACATAACAGCATCCCAAAATATCACATTCTCAGGTCCATGAAAGATCTTCTCCCAGGTATGCTTATGTTACCACCGGCCGACTAAATCTCCGAAGTATTCACTGTTCCATGAGAGATTTTGAGAGAGTTTCTGTTTCCAACACGGCAGCCAATGGATACCCCCCAAACGACAACTGGTGCGAGGTATGTGATAAAAGCGGAATTCCTTGGTCAGCACGTGTAGGTCTTGTTACTCTGCAGAGCTTTATTCAAACTGACATTTACACCAGATTTGTGTCTGCTCCCCGTGTCTCCAAGGGTCCAGGGTGAGCCCACCAGCAATAATGACTTGCTATTGATGCTGATGTAGCCTGTGGGAGATCAATGCAGGCTGTAGTATCCGCCCAGAGTCATCTATTCCCCTGCAATCGGGTCGACCTGCGCCGTACATATATTTGCTTGCCTGCACACAACGCACGCCGAAAAAGATCTCGCAAGTCGCAAGCTCGCAATCGGACTTTCGGGTAAATAACTGGCATGCTTGATCTGAGCCGCTAAAGGGGCCGACTTTGGACTCTCTTTCTTGTTCTGCAACCTTCGCCCCCATGCTTGCCTTTGCCATGGATTCACGCACTCTTATATATGTATTCAAAGTGCCCCAGCTACAGAAGGAGAGAGACACCTCCCACATACCTTTTTCATTTGACATGTTCATTTCCCGCCATTTGAGGGAATAGATTACGACAAATTGAATAGAGTGATCAACCTCGAAAGCTCAGGCAGGATCGACCAACATGCTTTCATGCTTCATGCTTCACGTTTGAGACAATTCAGACGACTGCCCTGTGATGCATGGCCATAGTGGACTGCCAAGAGTCAGTCGCGCATGCTTAAACAAGCCTCATCCAACCCCGGGTCACCACATCTCTTCAAAACGTGGAGGGGAGCGGGATCAAATCCGGGTTTGTTGCCACCTGGATAGCCGACATCCACGGTCTGTCTGCGCTCATTGTGCGCTCATTGTGCGCTCATCTGCTCTATCATTTTCGTTCGACTTGGCTTGCCTATTGACCTCTATCACCTCAAAGCAAGAAGAAGAGGCAAGATGCAGGGTCTCTTAGGTGGTGCTGAATGTGGGACTTCGTCCAATCCTCTCAAGCAAGTTGCGCAGAGAGAGGGCATTGATAATAGTCTCTTCAAAGTGCGTCCTCCCCTTTCTCTTCTTTCCCCTTTCACCCGTGGTGCTATTAATCTGAAGGCTGTGACTTTACTGACGAAGAGCAGGACCGATTCGCCCGGCCCCCCTCATTAACCCCCAACGCTTTCCGCCCCGCCCCCGGCCCCTCTCAACAACAACCCACCTCCATCCCAACCCATGGTCCGAACTTGCACGCCAACGCTACACCTCATCCATTCAACCTCTCGCACCTTTCGGCTGCTCTTTCCCAGTCCAGGAGCGGGAGTTCTTCGCCCCAGTCTCATGCTCAAGCTCAAGCACAAGCTCAGGCGCAAGCACAGGCACAGGTGGGTTTCGCGCAAGGTTGGGAGCGGCATCAGATGAATGGCGCGAGATCACCACTTGCTCAACAGCCCCAGTACCATCCGAATGGCAATGGGGGAGGGTGGGCGAATGGGTTCCAAGAGTTTCAGAGTAGTGGGAAAGGCAAACAACGGGCGGAACCTTTACCTCAGCCTCAGGCTTATGCGCCGGTGGAGGCTCAGCAGGGGTATCAGCCCCATCAGCCGTATCAAGGGTATCAGTCCGGAATGAGCGTGGGAGGGGGAATAGGCATGGGTATGGTTATGGGGCACCAACCATTCACGCCCATGTACCAAAACCACCTCTCCCACCCTCCCTCCCAACTCCCCACCAACGGACATGGTTCGGCTGGGGCGGAACAGCTGGATCAGAAGCAGATGGAAGATCTCTTCAGCCAAGCTGAGTCCGACTGGAAAGCTTCCTCTGCTCCCGCCCAGTCGCGAGAAACAAATCTAGACGCCCAAGCGGAAGAGTACCTATCTGCAATCCGCGCAGAGCAGGAAGCAGAGAGGATGAAGGAAATGTACAAAGAGGTTGCGAGAGCGCATGAGGGCGATGAGGAGGGAAAGGAAAAAGAAAGGGGAGAAGGAGTGGAGGAGGAGAAGGAGGCGAAAGGGGATTTTGAAAAGGTGTGGGAGAGTCTGAAACCAGAGGCGGAGAGGTTGAACGAGTTGGCTCAATGGGAGAATGACTTTTCTCAAGTACGTCTCTCCTTATCTACATCTTCCCGAACAGTAGAGCAAAGAACTGATTTGTAAGCAGTTTACGAATGACGAAGACGATTTGTTTGATATCCTGAATGAATCCCTCAACAGACCGGATGTTGGGCAGACGGGGTTGGATCAGCAGTGGGAGGGGTTGGAACAATCGGGGGCGGAAGCGCTGGGGAGAGGGTTTGAGGTGAGAAGTGATGGTTTACCGGCGCAGGGTAACTACGACTTCGGTACGTCACCCTCAACCCAAAACGGTGAACAAGACTGATATCTACTAGCCCAAACCCCCGAAGCCCTCAAATCCATGTCCGCCTCATACCTCTGGGCCGAAGCAAACAATCTCCTAGCCTCCGGCTCCCTCTCTGCATCTGCAAACCACATTGAAGCTTTCATCCAGCAATCGTCCGCCGCTGAACGGCAGCAGATGGGAATTTCGTTGACGGAAGCGTGGGCGTTGTTGGGGAGGGTGCATGCGATGGATGAGAAGGAAGAGAAGGCGCTGGGAGCGTTCCAGAAAGGACGAGAGGTTCTGGGTCAGGAGGGGGCAGCGGGCAAGGAGGGCATCGCTGGGGAGATGCTGACTGTAAGTACTGTCGCAGAGGGTTTAGGAAAGAGCTGATGGAAACAGAATCTGACAATCTCATACGTGAACGAGTCGCTCGATCTCGCAGCTCTCACAACCCTCCACACCTTCCTCACCCTCCTCCACTCCTCCCACGCCGGCCCAGCACCATCAACCTCATCTCCCCTCCTCGACCCTTCCTCAGCTTCCTCCGCCTCCCCTTGGGCTCTCCACTCCCAAATGTCCGAATCCTTCCTCTCCCTCGCCCGCGACCAATACTCCCACGGCGGCGTCGTCGACCCGGACGTCCAAGTCGGCCTCGGTACCCTCTACTACATGATGGGCGAGTACGACCAAGCTCGCGACTGCTGGGTATCCGCCCTCAAAGAAAGGCCGGATGACTACCTGCTCTGGAATCGGCTTGGGGCTACGCTGGCGAACGGGGGTAGCTCGGAGGAGGCGGTGGATGCGTATAGGAGGGCGTTGGAGTTGAAGCCGGGGTTTACGAGGGCGGTTAGTAATCTTGGGGTGGCGTGTTTGAATATTGGGGTGCATCGGGAGGCGGCGGAGCATTGTACGTCGTTCTTGTATGATTTGAGGGGAGAGAGCTGATGATTCGACAGTCCTCGCGGCGCTTTCGTTGCATCCGTCCCAGCAAGAAGGCATGAACCCTCAGCAGATCTCGAACGACTCTGCCGCCCTTTGGGGGACTCTACGCAAGGCTCTTGTTGCTATGGTACGTTGCTGTTCCGGACACTATCGAGGGTCATTGGAAAATAAATGCTAATGGGATGTATAGGATCTGCCGGAGTTGGCAAGGAAAGCGAGGCCTGGGACGGATTTGGAAGAGTTCAGGCGGGCGGGCTTTGAATTCTGATCCAAACTCCAGTAAGGAGATGTCCAATCTCACTGTATCTGTAGGAAACGTATCGCATGTATCTATCACGCCAGTTTTGCTCGGACGCAAGCAGCCATTGGCTTTACTCAGCATCTGATGACATTAGACTATTGCTAACAGTCGCGTTGGTATATATCGCGCAATCTATAGACGATTTTTTGGGTTCTAGATATTTCTCTATCTAGATAATTTGGAGTCGAATTACTATTAATACCTTGGCAATGAGACATACCATGCTTCAATCTCATCCAAGCATCACATCTTGAAACATCGCAATTACTTCTTCTTTCCAGCAGCATAATACAACAGTGAGTCTCCAGTCGTTGGCTCATCTTCGGGCCGCTGGCCACTTCGGTTGTCCGGAGGCCAGCCGCCGTTTCTGCCCTGGTTCCTATAGCTTCGTTCCGTGTCCGTCGGTCGGCATGAAGGATTGTTGTTGTATGGGGTATGTACTTGCCATGTCGGAATATTTGGGACGACATGATGGAACACTTCGTTATGGCTCCCATGCCGCGTAGAATTGGTTTGTGCGTTTGCAGGATACATCAGTAGCCTGTGGGAGATCAATGCAGGCTGTAGTATCCGCCCAGAGTCATCTATTCCCCTGCAATCGGGTCGACCTGCGCCGTACATAGATTTGTCTGCCTGCACACAACGCACGCCGAAAAAGATCTCGCAAGTCGCAAGCTCGCAATCGGACTTTCGGGTAAATAACTGGCATGCTTGATCTGAGCCGCTAAAGGGGCCGACTTTGGACTCTCTTTCTCGTCCTGCAACCTTCGCCCCCCATGCTTGCCTTTGCCATGGATTCACGCACTGTTCCGTATGTATCCAAAGTGTCCCAGCTACAGAAGGAGAGAGACACCGAGCACGAAGCGACTCACTATGACATGTTCATTTCCCGCCATTTGAGGGAATAGATTACGACAAATTGAATAGAGTGATCAACCTCGAAAGCTCAGGCAGGATCGACCAACATGCTTTCATGCTTCATGCTTCACGTTTGAGACAATTCAGACGACTGCCCTGTGATGCATGGCCATAGTGGACTGCCAAGAGTCAGTCGCGCATGCTTAAACAAGCCTCATCCAACCCCGGGTCACCACATCTCTTCAAAACGTGGAGGGGAGCGGGATCAAATCCGGGTTTGTTGCCACCTGGATAGCCGACATCCACGGTCTGTCTGCGCTCATTGTGCGCTCATTGTGCGCTCATCTGCTCTATCATTTTCGTTCGACTTGGCTTGCCTATTGACCTCTATCACCTCAAAGCAAGAAGAAGAGGCAAGATGCAGGGTCTCTTAGGTGGTGCTGAATGTGGGACTTCGTCCAATCCTCTCAAGCAAGTTGCGCAGAGAGAGGGCATTGATAATAGTCTCTTCAAAGTGCGTCCTCCCCTTTCTCTTCTTTCCCCTTTCACCCGTGGTGCTATTAATCTGAAGGCTGTGACTTTACTGACGAAGAGCAGGACCGATTCGCCCGGCCCCCCTCATTAACCCCCAACGCTTTCCGCCCCGCCCCCGGCCCCTCTCAACAACAACCCACCTCCATCCCAACCCATGGTCCGAACTTGCACGCCAACGCTACACCTCATCCATTCAACCTCTCGCACCTTTCGGCTGCTCTTTCCCAGTCCAGGAGCGGGAGTTCTTCGCCCCAGTCTCATGCTCAAGCTCAAGCACAAGCTCAGGCGCAAGCACAGGCACAGGTGGGTTTCGCGCAAGGTTGGGAGCGGCATCAGATGAATGGCGCGAGATCACCACTTGCTCAACAGCCCCAGTACCATCCGAATGGCAATGGGGGAGGGTGGGCGAATGGGTTCCAAGAGTTTCAGAGTAGTGGGAAAGGCAAACAACGGGCGGAACCTTTACCTCAGCCTCAGGCTTATGCGCCGGTGGAGGCTCAGCAGGGGTATCAGCCCCATCAGCCGTATCAAGGGTATCAGTCCGGAATGAGCGTGGGAGGGGGAATAGGCATGGGTATGGTTATGGGGCACCAACCATTCACGCCCATGTACCAAAACCACCTCTCCCACCCTCCCTCCCAACTCCCCACCAACGGACATGGTTCGGCTGGGGCGGAACAGCTGGATCAGAAGCAGATGGAAGATCTCTTCAGCCAAGCTGAGTCCGACTGGAAAGCTTCCTCTGCTCCCGCCCAGTCGCGAGAAACAAATCTAGACGCCCAAGCGGAAGAGTACCTATCTGCAATCCGCGCAGAGCAGGAAGCAGAGAGGATGAAGGAAATGTACAAAGAGGTTGCGAGAGCGCATGAGGGCGATGAGGAGGGAAAGGAAAAAGAAAGGGGAGAAGGAGTGGAGGAGGAGAAGGAGGCGAAAGGGGATTTTGAAAAGGTGTGGGAGAGTCTGAAACCAGAGGCGGAGAGGTTGAACGAGTTGGCTCAATGGGAGAATGACTTTTCTCAAGTACGTCTCTCCTTATCTACATCTTCCCGAACAGTAGAGCAAAGAACTGATTTGTAAGCAGTTTACGAATGACGAAGACGATTTGTTTGATATCCTGAATGAATCCCTCAACAGACCGGATGTTGGGCAGACGGGGTTGGATCAGCAGTGGGAGGGGTTGGAACAATCGGGGGCGGAAGCGCTGGGGAGAGGGTTTGAGGTGAGAAGTGATGGTTTACCGGCGCAGGGTAACTACGACTTCGGTACGTCACCCTCAACCCAAAACGGTGAACAAGACTGATATCTACTAGCCCAAACCCCCGAAGCCCTCAAATCCATGTCCGCCTCATACCTCTGGGCCGAAGCAAACAATCTCCTAGCCTCCGGCTCCCTCTCTGCATCTGCAAACCACATTGAAGCTTTCATCCAGCAATCGTCCGCCGCTGAACGGCAGCAGATGGGAATTTCGTTGACGGAAGCGTGGGCGTTGTTGGGGAGGGTGCATGCGATGGATGAGAAGGAAGAGAAGGCGCTGGGAGCGTTCCAGAAAGGACGAGAGGTTCTGGGTCAGGAGGGGGCAGCGGGCAAGGAGGGCATCGCTGGGGAGATGCTGACTGTAAGTACTGTCGCAGAGGGTTTAGGAAAGAGCTGATGGAAACAGAATCTGACAATCTCATACGTGAACGAGTCGCTCGATCTCGCAGCTCTCACAACCCTCCACACCTTCCTCACCCTCCTCCACTCCTCCCACGCCGGCCCAGCACCATCAACCTCATCTCCCCTCCTCGACCCTTCCTCAGCTTCCTCCGCCTCCCCTTGGGCTCTCCACTCCCAAATGTCCGAATCCTTCCTCTCCCTCGCCCGCGACCAATACTCCCACGGCGGCGTCGTCGACCCGGACGTCCAAGTCGGCCTCGGTACCCTCTACTACATGATGGGCGAGTACGACCAAGCTCGCGACTGCTGGGTATCCGCCCTCAAAGAAAGGCCGGATGACTACCTGCTCTGGAATCGGCTTGGGGCTACGCTGGCGAACGGGGGTAGCTCGGAGGAGGCGGTGGATGCGTATAGGAGGGCGTTGGAGTTGAAGCCGGGGTTTACGAGGGCGGTTAGTAATCTTGGGGTGGCGTGTTTGAATATTGGGGTGCATCGGGAGGCGGCGGAGCATTGTACGTCGTTCTTGTATGATTTGAGGGGAGAGAGCTGATGATTCGACAGTCCTCGCGGCGCTTTCGTTGCATCCGTCCCAGCAAGAAGGCATGAACCCTCAGCAGATCTCGAACGACTCTGCCGCCCTTTGGGGGACTCTACGCAAGGCTCTTGTTGCTATGGTACGTTGCTGTTCCGGACACTATCGAGGGTCATTGGAAAATAAATGCTAATGGGATGTATAGGATCTGCCGGAGTTGGCAAGGAAAGCGAGGCCTGGGACGGATTTGGAAGAGTTCAGGCGGGCGGGCTTTGAATTCTGATCCAAACTCCAGTAAGGAGATGTCCAATCTCACTGTATCTGTAGGAAACGTATCGCATGTATCTATCACGCCAGTTTTGCTCGGACGCAAGCAGCCATTGGCTTTACTCAGCATCTGATGACATTAGACTATTGCTAACAGCTGGACACAATCATACAGAAGTCATATCGCCTCGCTCCTCTCGAGGACCCTTCTCGTCGAACCAGAGTACACTGCAGTCGCTCTAAGCCAAAGTCTTCAGGGATTAGTTCTCGCAGCGTTTTTATCTTCGAAGACCCAGCCACCTTCGGTCTGCATCTCTTCCTTCGGGAACGGGTGTTCATTCTCGGAGAGAGACTCGTAATGAGGGTGGAGCATGGGCAAAACGACCTTGTCCACATCATCCTGTTTGGGATTGCTGTGATGCCCGGCGAGAAGATGGGACACTTCTTCTGATGTGAGACGGTCGAACACTATAACCCGTCAGCGTCATTGTGCTCGTCTTCACAGGGTACCGGGAACTCACATCCATCAGTGCTCAACATCAAGAACTTCAACTCGTCGCCATTATCCGGGTGCATGTCGCGCCACTTCACTTCTGGTTTTGCCGCAAGATAAGGCGGAGTCTTGCACGGCACTTCGTCAAATCTCGGCCATCTGATGCCGTATTCACACTGATCGAGAGCCCTGTTGACGCTGTTTGCGCAAGTCAGCAGTGTTATGAGGATTGCTGACAGATCTCTGCGACTTACTCTTGCCACTCGTCATGGTCAATTTTATAATCGCTATCACCGAACACTCTGGTGAGCTGCAGCTGGCCCAAGACACGGTTGCCGTTTCCATTGCCGCCGTTGTACATTGCAGTGTCCTTTTCATCCTCCGGGTGTTCGCTCAAAATCCTGCAAACAAATGTAAGCTTATGCCGTTGTGACTCTTGTGCCGTGTTGGGAGCTTACCTTGCGGACTCTTTGGGATTATCGCCCATGCAGTCCTGCGTAATAACATCACATCGCCACTTTTGGTCTGCCTCATTCCACCATCCGGCGATGCATCGGGTGTCACCGACGTTGGCGACATAGAACCTGTCATCGATGACATCCACAATGGCGGTAGCACAGCACGCTCCGGGACCTCCTGCAAACGCGCCATAAGCCAAAGAGCTGGGTAAATGAGGCGGGAGATGGGTAGAGAGAGTGTTGGATGGCGCGCTGTATAGGATCCTGGAGGGGGCGGTGACGACATCTTGGTCAACTGCAAGGAAACTGCAAAACATCAGCGAGCGCGTCTTTGTCGGTCTTCATTCTTCAATAACGTCCGTGTTACTGATCAAGTTGGAGAAATTCTCGGGCTCAAAATGGACATCACGGAAGCTTTCACCACCTGAAGATTCGAATCCCAAGCTCTTCTTGATAGTCTCTGTCCAGCCTTTGCTTCTGTTCAGCTCTTTCCCAATGTTCCACGCCAAACAACCATGAAGACCCCTCTTCAGAAGCTCAGCCATCTCGTGACCACTATGGCCGTCCCAGACGCTACATATGATGACGTCCTCTGACCCATCTCCAACTTTGGGCTTCCTATTCCTACCTCGTGGGTAGACACGATTGCGCGCATCCCACCAAGATTTCCACCAAAACTCGTCTTTGCCCGATTTTTGCGCAACGCCGGCGGGGTCTGAACGGGTGACGACCTCGAAGTTACACCTGTCCTCCCCAGTATCCCCTGAGAAAAGTATCTTGAAGTCGAAAGTCTTGAGCGGGTTCCCGCGACGATTAACCTCGGCGACCTTATGACCAGGGGTCAACATCTTCTCGGCATCTCTTTCACTGAGTAAACGGTGATAGTAATGTTTGTCCTCATATCTCCACTCTACCTGCTGACCATCGATGGATCGTATTCGAGCTGGGGTGCCGGTGAATATTGTCGTGTCTTTGAAGGGTACTTCTTTGTCCTCCTCGGATTGTTCAAGCGGGGCAAGGTAGTAGGCCGTTACGCCAATGACCAACCCTGTGAGAGACACTGCGCCTATGGCCGGCAGGTATCTCACATTTCGGAAAAGAGTCTCTTTGCCTTCCTCCAGATGACCATTTGGGCGTGTGGGAGGAGGGGAAGGTGAGTTGGTAAGAGTTCGTACACCGTGGCGAGATTTCAAGCCCAAAGCAGCCCTTCGCGAGAACAACATCATGTTCGTTATGTTATGCGTACTTGTCTGTTGAGAGAGCTGACCGATTTGACGTTCAAGGTACATGTCATCAATGAGACATCATCCCCCGCCGGCCCCACCTTATATTGATGTCAACCTCTAACCGTCGCGAGGGTTGCTTGAAAGGACACTTTCCTTGCGACTGTTACCAAGACAGAAAGGATACCTGATGACTGGAAGCCGAATTCGTGAAAAGACATGCAAGATGGAACAGAGGGTGTGACAGATCCTGCTTGACGTGTATAAATAGTATGCGCCTCCTTCCATTTCGAAACATCTATGCTTTGACAGTACTCTTCGGCAGTTGGGGCTACCGCCGGTCACTTCTGGAACGACTCATCATTTGTTTTCCGTCGGCTTGCGTCGGAAACTGATTCGGTCACAGTTTGAAAGATACATATACCCGATACATACACATGGATTACGAGCACAGCACATAGTTATCCAAGTATCTAGTCTACAAGTTTGTGTACCCAATATTGTCCAGTATAGAAATGATTAGATGATGATAGACGAAGATAAAGCTGCTATATACTATAAGCCGCTGTATTGACTATTGTCCTTTGGTTCAGTTTTGAGTTATTTGATGTACAGATGTCTCTTCTAGATTTCTAGATCTTGCTTCTTTTCTCTTACACCCCTCTCTCGCCCACCCACCCTCCATCAACTCCCACCCTCCGATTCCTCCTTCACCGACTCCTCGAAGAACACCTTCCCCGAAGCCTTACTCGGGCTCGCCCTCCTGTGCCCCGCTCCCTCCCCTCCAAGTGCCCCACTCGACCCCCTCCTCCCGCGCTGAGCAGTAGACGGTGCAGGCGCAATCGTAAAGTAATCGCTCGTGCGGATATCATACATTGGCGAAGAATCGAGCCTCATCGTTGAGTACCTTGCCATCCCTGTCGGGCCCGGTGACGAAGGGAAGGGACCCGACATGGACATACTCGGGCTCTTGCTGTGAGAGGAGGCGGATTGGTGGATAGGGATAGGGGAAGGATAGGGCCCGTTGGAGGGATGGAAGGGGAAAGAGTCTGACGGCGGTGCGGTGGGTTCTGTGGGACCGTGTCGAGATGCAGCGTCCGACAATGTCCGCCTCAGCGCCTGCGGTGATTCCGGCAGAGGGCCCGCAAAAGGCGTAGTCGGCGATTTAGGATCCATATGATCCACCAGCGCCGCCTCCTCCATCCCAGGATCCTCCGCTATCGACCTCGACCGATCAGTACTGCTCCTCACCGTCAAACTCCTCGACGACCTCGCCACCCCCGCCCTCGTCTGCCGCCCTTCATCATCCCCTTCTTCCAGCGCCTCGGGTATATACCCAAGCCGGATCGAATCGGCCCCCTCCGTCCCGCTCACCCACTCATCGTCATCCCAATCTTTGTACCCATCAATCATGCTCTTCTGCCTGTTGGTGTAGTCGTGTTTCTTGGAGCGAAGGGTGGACATGGAGTGATCGGATTTGTGGCCCGAAGTGGAAGGACGGCGTTTGAAATCGGGAGTAGGGACAGATCCGGTAGCGCCAAATTTGCGTCGAAGGAAGAACCACCAAGCGCAAAACGCCACCACGCCCAAAACAAAGAACCCTCCAACACTCGAAGCAGCGATGATTGCCGTACTCGATGCCTTCTTCCCCGACTCTGCACTCCCCGACCCCGTCCCCGAGCCGGGGTTGTAAACCCCACTCCCGCCGGCGTTAATAGCCTGCGTGGTAGAGACGGTAGAGAGGGATTCGTGCAAGACTCGGACAGAGTAAAAGTCTTGGGAGGCGATGGAGGCGTTGGTGAGGGGAATCAGGCCGACGGTGGGTTGCCAGGTGACGTGCTTCTTGGTGTCGGGGTATTTGAAGATGGAGTAGACGTTTTTCATGAATGCGCTCCCGAGAACGCTATCTCTTTCATCAGCACCTCTCCATATTGCGCAGGTAATGAGGACTTACAAATCACCACTGTCGCCCAGGTTGCTAGAGTATTGCACCATACCAATGCAAGTCGACTGGCTGAGATCCGAAGGATCAACATAAGACATGTCCAGTGGATGCACAGGGATGTCCACCCCTCCGATATTAAACGTCAATGCAATCTGCTTCGAACAAGGCATCCGGTCTACCACTCTATCAGTCTCTCCCCTTTCTTAGACGGAAAGAGAACTCACAAAGACCATCCGAACTCATCAACACCCCTATAGCACCATAAATCTGCTCCGCATAACTCCAACTCCCCACAAGGATCTGTACCCCACCAGAATCGAGTACTGCCAACGGCGAACCTTTCGTCGAGTATACTTTACTGTTACCCAACGCTACTTTTGTCGTCGTCGCGCCCGTGCCGCTCTTCTCATCTGACCACGTGGTGACGGAAAGAGACTGAATCTGGACCCGCCAGTGCGTATACCCCGTAGAACCAAGGCTGGGCTGGGCGACGATTGATACGAAGTTCGGGGAACATGGGGAAGGACAGAATAAGGGTGAAGTGGCTCCGATGCCGAATGTTGATAATGTTCGTACATCTTCTCGGCGGGAGAGCGATAAAGTGAACAGACGTTCGGAAGGTGCTGATGAGCCGGCACCAAAGAGATTGTCGAGGAAAGTGGCGCCATCGGGATTGGAACCTGTCGTACCGCGAATCTCATCCAAGATGGAGGAAGCGGCAGGGAGGGAGAGTCCAAGTACGCCTGAAAAGTTTCCGCCTTTGAGATTTTCGTTTGTGACTGCTGTGGCACCGACTACCAAACGTCAGCTACCTGTGTACATAGCGAAGAAAGCTGCTCACTGAAAGCCTGATAGCCTATGCTAAAGTCTCCGACGTTCAGCTGCTCCCAGTAGATCGTGCCGTCCACCGCGCCGGTTTCGTATGTAATGTTGGCCGTCGTATCGGAATCGAGAGACAGGTCTTCGTTGAATAGAGTCGGTGCCGAGTTGCAGTCACTTGTTGAACATTCCTTGACAGCCACCCACTGAATCATCACCGTCAGCAAACACCCAAGCCAAACGTTGAAGGCCGAGGCTCACCATGTCCGACGACCCCAGATCCACCTGCAGATTCACCATCTGATTCTTCCCATCCTTCGCATACGATGCTCTCCTGCCCATACCCCATCCCATACCCCTCTTCCTCTTTCTTTTGTCATCATCATCATCATGCCCCATCTCCACCTCAACCCCATACACCGCCTGGGTATCACTATCCCCCGACATGGTCATATTCAGCACCACCCCGGGTACGTACGCGGACTTTGTCGACGTCGCTGCAGAGGCGGTGCCGGTAGCTGTTTTGGATTTGGAGGTGGACCAGAGGGAGGTGAAGGTTGTTGTGCGGGTGGATTTGGTGGATGATGATTTGGAAGAAGTTCGGGCGGAGGAAGAGGAAGAAGAGGATGTTGATGTTGATGTGATGGTAGTATTCTGGGTGAGGAATTCCGTACTGTTGGTCGTGTACGACGATAAGGCGTTAGTAGCGTTATAGACTGCGTACGACGTTGCGGAAGGGTCATACGACGTCGTAAAATCTGACGCCGACGACGAATCGCTCCCAGACACCGTCGCCACTTCCGCCGCTCTATACACTTCACTGGAGGACCACGAGGACGAGGCCGGAACACTGTTCGTCTCGTCCTGCCTCCTAGAGATCCGCTCCCACATTGCCAACTTGCTCTCCACCCTCCGTTGGGAACTTTTGGTAGCACGAGGCCGGCGATCGGCTGGGCGAGAGTCCATTGCTGGGGTAGGGTAGAGGAATGGGCAGGCAGAACCTAGGGGGCATGAATGTGTTGTGGGGCTGGCAGACGCCGTGGGATCCGTGTTTCCAGAGGGATAGAGGTGCGGCCGCGGGCTGGGTCCCGGGACAGGATCTTGGCGGTCGTACTGCAAGATCCGCATCTTGCCGTGAACGACTATGGAAAAGACATGTCAGCAAGAGATACAAAAGCATGGCACGCCACATGTGCCGAAAACGATGTATGTAACGGGGCGGGCACGAGGTTTGGAGAGGCCGAAGGCTGATTGACCTCCCGGACACCGCCTCGAGTGACATCCATGTTACTCACCTAGGGAAGCCGCACTGTCAGGCCGCGTGTCCAAATGAGGACGTTTGTGGAAAGGAGCTGCGCTTTTTGGATGTATATGGTTGAGGATGGGGCAAGAAAAGAGCTTGCAATTCCCTGTGGGCTGTGCTGTATAAGAAGCGACGGGGAGAGCGAGCGCCTGGAAGCCAGCGCGGGGTCAGAAAGTCTTGTTGTTCTGATCGGAAGCGTGGGGACGGGTTGTGGGAAGAATCAACGTCGACCAGGGAGGGGGAAGGCGAGGGGGAGTGATGTGCCGGGTGGGCTGGCTTTTATGAGAAGATGAGATGTGGATGAAAGAGATGATGATATTTGCGGAATACCCTCATACAAGAGACTATTCACCAGGTGGACGTCGTAAATTGAGTTTTTGGGAACAATATTGGAACTGTCAGGGAAATTCTCCCAGGAACACGCCTTCTCCGCACTGCAGATCTTCATGTCGGGCCGCCGATAACCGAGGGAAGATTAGCTCCCCAGCCCAATACTCCTTGCCAAAACCTTTTCCCTGCAATCCGTGAAGAACCTCGCATCTATGTATGTATAATCTTGTACAGATCCCTCAAGATACGTATGGATCTCGAGATTAACACCGTTACAGGCTGCGTGCAGCACCGTCACAATCGCAGCTGTCGTCTTTAAATCACAGATCCGGTATTCTCCTCAGTGACCAGCGGTCAACTGAGAACAACGAGCAGCGCAAAGACGGGGTTGGGGCGCATGAACAACCCCGTCGCCCGGAGTGCATACGTACATCCAGGGTCTCCCACCTCTTTTGTCCCTTCTTCTCCGCTCCGCCGCCCGGCGCACGACCGGTATGCCCGGACACGATCGTCTCGGTTGACCCGGGCGTCTGTTTTTCTAGTTTCGGTGACAACCTGTATGTCCCAGGGTGATATCCTGATTCCTGGATGTATCACTCGTGGTCGTGGGCCGAACAACGGCGATGATCCCCGCCTGTACAATGGATATGCTATATGCGATCAGTGATCAGTCAACATCGACTTCTTGCGCACATGCATATGCAGACTTGTGTGGCTAAATAATCCTCGGGTCCGACATGCATCAGTGAAGTGCAATTAGCTGAACAAAGAAGCATAACCAACATCCACCACCAGCCCGGCATCCAACATCCGACAACGTTCTTGAATCCCTCGTTCATCGAAGACGTACATACTGGCATCCCCTGTTGTCTCGACGGGTTTCACAAGCGAGTGAGAATGTAAGTGGTACCTAATGCGACTCGCTATCGACATCCGCCAAGATAACAGAAGCTGCCAGTACGTCTTCTACGAACCTCTTCGAGCTGGTCGCCAATACTATTTCCAGCAGGGGGACAAGGCAAGGTCTGCTCGTGGATTGGAGCGGCCGGCTGGCAAGGGTAGTAAGTAGGGCGAGAATACGTGCCGAAGAGGGTGTGGAGGAATTCCTTGGATGAGGCAGGGCTGCCGGAAAGAGTCTTGAGGGGACATGTGATACGTGATGGAAGAGGTGACTGTGTGTCATGAGAGAGGCATTATAGGCTGGGAGGGATCCTTATTGTTCGCTCGAGAACGATAGCGATTTGATATCCTTTTTGTGAGACATCTCCTTTTCTTACCGTTCACGAGAGTATAAATAAGAGGTCGCGGATCGCGGACTGCAGACTGCAGCAACGAGACCCTGAATGGCTGAACCGCTGATAACGAGACTGATCGGGAGTGTTTGGTCTCGTCGTCCCCGAATCATCGATACCTACCTGCGCCGTTTTGTTCCTCGTGCAGTCCGGGTCCATGGATGGAACGTACGTGTAAAAGGAGGGCGGATGGGTGGCGTAATGTAGGAGTGGCTACGAGGATCCGACTAGGGGCGCCGGATGTCGACCTGGAATAGGCGGGAAGGTGAGAGGATGAATATAGGTGATGAGGTTAATACGAGAATACATCGATAAGGAAAAGGATACGAAGACGCGACACGATGTATGTACGGGAGCCTCCTCTCGCCTTGCGCCTGTTCGTCCCTGAGAACATAGCGGCAACCCTGATACTATACTCTGCGTTCCATTGTCCACGTTACTACATCTTCTCCTACTGACCAGTCCGACCAATCCCTCACAGTACGTACCGTATACTCGTGGAGGGCCGGAGATGCAACCACCATATCATGCATTCCAACCCCTCATCCTCCAGTTGAGCTCTACTACATATAGCACACTCCTCATTCCATACGTGTGAACACCCAATCACTTTCCGGTGGACTACGCACGCAGCCCACCACATCCTTCCTACACAAACTACTTCCATGCCCTATCCACTCAACTTTATCCAGCTTCCACCTCTCCCCCGCGTCCTGCAGCCCCTCAAAGTACGAGGCTTCCTTTCCATCAAAAACGCTCCTCAACGTACCCGGTATGATCACATTACTTTTCACTTTCAGCACCCACTCCTCCTCTACCTCAGGGTCTTTAGGGATCCTCGTTTCCGCCATGTCAAATACGTCAAATGAGAGAGCCGAGCGGGGGAACATGCTGTGACAACTCGCGCCGACGGAACGGGCGGCGAGGGTAAGCGGGAATCGGGGCCAGGGGTCGTGGTATTCCAAATGGGGGTTGTGCTATTGTGTAGGGACTAAAGGTTCGCCTTCGAATCTCGAGCTAGGGGGGCCTGTGGCGTTTGAAGGGTCGTGAGAGATCGGTAGAATGTCGGTGGCACCACCGCTCGCTGATGTCCCTGTCTGTTGAGATTGCGCCTTCAGGAGGCTCTCGATATCAGGATCGATATACGGCTCCGTATAATAAGACTTGGTCCTCAGCTCTTCTTTTGTACCTTTGAGATCCGTATTCCAGTATTGCGTCTCTCGAATATTCATCAGGCTGATCAAGGGGCGCATTTTGATGACCAGTTTGTCGGCTCCTGTTCTGGCCGACGGGTGGGTTACGCGCGGGTCGGGGTATCGGGAGCTTGGAAAGAGGGTATCGGCTACGGAGGAGAGGGCGCGGTGCATTCTTCCTGTAGGCTTGGACATGCTGAGACAAGTCGTGAAAACAGCTGATGATGAAAAGCGATCGACAGACATCCAGCGCAGGAGTCTTATAATGACGAATGTGTCTTGAAAAGAAGGCCGCTGGGTCATTGAGAAGGGCAAAGAACGATCGTTCAGTCTCCTCGTAGACTCTATAATTGAAAAAGAAGGCCAAAGAACGATCACTGAGTCTCCTCATATACTCTATAACTGGAAACAACATGGAAGGAGCCTCGTAGACATGAAAGGTGCCCACCCCCAACAACAAGAGAAGGACCAACAAGAACAGTGCGCGTGGAACCGGCCTGCAGAGTGTCTGTGATCAGCATGGTGGTTTGATACGTGGCAAGGGAAGAAAACGTTTGGGTGGCTGCTAGTGGGAACGCCTCCTCACGCGTTTTCTTGGAGAAAGGATGGGAGCGAGTGAGTGTAGATTGTGAAAGGGGACCTATCGTTGAATCTGCAGCATGGTGAAACTCTTTTGATGTGATGTCGCACACTCTCTATCCAGATTCCCTCACTATGCCATGAAAGATGCATAAATGGTCCTCCAGAATCATGCTTCGTGGAAGTAGTAGGCCTAAACGTGATGGATATGAAATCAAAAATATGCTACAGAGTTGTCTTTTTTTTGCTGGCTCCTGGCGTTCGTTCGGCTGGTATGGTATGTGATATAGTACAAACGCCGAGTCACTACGCCTTTGCCCTCTTGCCCGGTTCTTCCTCCGTCCACCGTCCATCAACCCCTCCATCCCCCTCCCCTGTTCCCACCCCGGCCGAACCGCCTAGACCAACAGTAGGCGCCTCCCCACTCCCCAACCAAACCCTCTCCCTCGGACTATCCAAGCTCGTCTCGCCCCTCGTCCTTATCCTCGGCGTCAACTTGACCTTCTGGTCCCCTCCTTCCCCTCCTTCTGGCGATTCGGCTGCTGGGGCTATGGGTCGACCGCGTGGAGATTGGGGGGGATTTGTGAATGATAGGATGGGTGTGCGAGTGGATTGAGATTGGGAGTGGGATTGGGAGTGGGATTGGGAGTGGGATTGGGAGTGGGATTGGGAGTGGGATTGGGAGTGGGATTGGGAGTGGGATTGGGAGTGGGATTGGGAGTGGGATTGGGAGTGGGATTGGGAGGGGTTGGCGCGGGTGAGAGAGCCGAGAGGTTTGGATGATATGATGGCGTGCTGCCGCGATACCGGCGCTGCCCCTCCCCCTGCTCCCCCTCCTGCTCCTATTCCGGATTGAGGCGCAGGAACACTAACACCCCCCGGCCCTCCGCCTCCTCCCGCCACCACATCCCCTTCCACCGGCCTATCTTCCGCCCCAGGCGAACTCTTCTTCCTAAACATGTTGCCCAGATTCTTCAGAAACTTTGGCGCATGGGGATGATGCGGGTGACCGTGGCCTTGCGGGTGGCTGTGCGTTGGATGGAGGTCTTTTTGTGAAGAGGTCGAGGTGTTTGTGGAGAGTGGTGGTTTGGGGAGAGCTTGGGGGGTGGGTTCTTGGGATAGAGAAGGTTGTGACGGATGGCCGACGTCGGGGGTTGGAGGGACGATGGTGCCTATACCTGCTCCTGCTGGTACACCTTCTTCATTCACCCCCGCTGCTACCTCAGTGCCCCCTGGGGAATTGACAAACATATCCCTGGGGCTCCCTCCCGTCCTGTTTCTTCGACTACTCCGGCTCCCTCCCCGACTTCTGCTCGAGCTCGGGACGCTCGACGAAGCCGCCGAATACGGCGAACCCCTTTCTTCCTCTCCTTCTCCTTCCCCTCCCCTCTCCGAACCTTTCCCTTTCTTGGACAGATGCCCGCGGGAAGGGTCCACGTCCATGTGTGACGTACGCCGTCGACGCGGACGGCCCCGGGCAGAAAGCGTAGGCGAAGGGTCGACCACCATCTTTTCGTCCTGCGGTCCCGCTGGGTCTGCTGAGAGAGAACCATTCAGCGGCGGGCGGGCAGGCGAAGGTTGCAAGGGCATCTCTTGATCTTCATCCTTCATCCCTGCGCCTGCTAAGCCGACTTCTTTACCAGCGTGCCCCTGTCCAGGTGCACAATCGACACACCCATCACCTTCACCTTCTTCTCCCGCTGTATCGCCTTCTTCTATGTTCTTGTTTGTAGGGTCGGGGTAGGGGTCGGGGAATTGGACGAAGGGGGAGATGGCTGGTTCGGGCGCTTGGGTGTAGCCACCGTGCGAGCGGATGAGGGAGGTGTAATAGCGCTGCAGTGTCTCTGCATGGCACTGTCCCTTTCATCAGCCATGCCATCCCATGATAGACAAGCAGGACTTACACATAGATCCCATTCTGTTACTCTGACCAACTCCCGCTCCAGCGCATTCAGCTCACCCGTCTTGATACCGCCGACTTTTGCGTAATGCGCGTTTGTGCAGAAAACGTCGCATTGGGCTTTTGAGCCGGCGCAGATGGAGGCGATGAGGAAACGATGGACAGTGAGAGAGGAGAGGGTGAATGTGGGGAGGTTTAGACAGGTGATGTCGATATAGGACAAGAGCGAGAGTAGTGGAATTTTCTGAGGTTCCAAGTCAGCTCGGCCAGAACAGCAAGAGGGAGGACGCACTTCACAGTTGGTATACTTGACTATACGCGCCAGATAGTCCTGTACTGATATACCGGGCGGGGCCCTGGAATGGAATCTGGTCAAGGCATCGGGGGTGAGCGTGACTTGGTCGTTATGGCGGATGAGGAGGTCGAGCATGTGGGCGAGGAGGGCAACGAGGGTGTCTGTGGGGCAGTCTATGAATGCCCAGGGGAGCTCGCTGGCGGCGGCGGGGGCAGGGGAGGGGGACATGGCTGACTATGGGGACATGAGGAGCGATAAGGAGGTGACACGTTCGTGAGGGCGATCTTTCGTCGGCTTTGCTTTTGGGTTGGCCGGTTACGTTACGGTGTAACTATAGTGGTTAGGATCAGAAAGTGGGTGAATGCCAATGTAATGGAACGTTGGATGCAAAAGCAACCCTGCAAGTGCATCTCATCTCGGGATTATATCTCAGGGTCACAGATTCCAGCACGCAACCCAGTGCCATGTACTTTACAACCGAAATCTCTCTTTCAACATTCGTATATTCATCCCACTCTTGTCTTCCTATGGCTATGCCTAGCTCACATCCTCTCACGGGCGGTACAATGTGCATAGCTGCCTCAAGCTCGTTCCCGACAATGGGCCGTCTTTAGCATACTCTATAGCGTCCTTTGTTCACTCGAATATTTGTTGTATCGCATACTGTATGACCCGTTGTGCTTGCCGGTTTGGAAGACTGTGTCAGACCGTAGCACACTGCTAATACCATATATACCAGCACAGCGAAAGCAACTCCGAACAGCAGCGAGATGCTGAAGCTTCACTGTCCGTCCATGTCTACATCTCCAAGCTTCTTTCCATATCGCCCCTGCTCAGGCATTCTTCTTCTTTCAGCACCATATGATCATGTCTCCCGCACCTCTCTCTGCAGTTTCCCATCTCCATCCTTCCTCTATCCCTCAGCCTCTTCGAGTTCGCGGTCGTCATCCACGTTTATCTGCGTGCCTCATGATGCGCACCCTGAAGCATTACGTAACCCTGATCGTGCCTCGTTGTTTGTCATGTTGTTGTCAAAGAATCCAAAGCCACACGAAGCGAGATTGAAGGGAAATGGTCCGCGCAGAGGCAGTTGGAGGCGAGAGTCTGGAACGAAGCAAAGAAATCGTAAGCGTCTCTTTCCATCCTGCGTTTGCAGAGGGCTGGTAATGACCGATATCCATAGGAGAAGTGACCAATCTTCTCTCCATGGCGGACACATGATCGGAAAATGAGATGAAAGCACACCAAAGGCCGGCGCTATCGGTATGCCAATATATGTGAGCAAGCGATACTCTTGAAGTAGATCAGTATACTGACAGCTCTATGCAGCAATCCCCTCAAGACCATGCCCTACTTACGCCATATACCGACAAGCTCGTTCTCAGCGGCTTCACCTCATCGCCGACAATCACCTTTTCCAGGCGCACTCTCCCGCAGGCGCTCCTAGGCCACCTCGCCCCCAGCAACATCACCATGCCCTCTCAATGTATTCATCGGCTACCCGTAGTCTCAATGCAAACACAAGGCAATGCCGTCCAAAGATCAAGGTCCGCGTCGAGGAATCGCGTCGAGCTGCTGAGCCGCCAGCTGTCGTCTTCACAATCCGCGAGCGTAAGAATCAAAGGGCCCCATGGATGATGCCAGTTGAGGAACCTCACAAGCAAGAGGCAGAGGTTCTTGGTCAACATCATTGGACTGGGATATGCTAGGTGAGCTGTCGGTATTTGCGGCGAAATTATCAAGCTTATACAGTACGTCGGTCATAGCATATGCGAGCATTATCAGCTCTCCAACATCACTCTCGCCTGCGATACGTAACGTCCAAACCGTCTTTCACCCCGTCGCCTACATTTCCCGACACCTGGACATCAACCAGGATGCGATCGAAGCTTGTCTTAAGAAGACGGTCGAGCCGCTCGATGCGTCAGCTTGGGATGGGAATTGACGGGCAGCAGGCTTTCTGTCATCCCGGCGACTCTAATTTGGCTCGGAATAATCGGAGTGACATCGTACTTTGCCATTAGTTGTCTTCTGTGTATTGCCTTTCAAACTGCTAATGAGATTTCGAGCTTCCTCTCCATCATCAGCGACACGCCTCAATAAGCTCTCAATCCGTACCTCGTCGAGCCCGCTGCAGGGAGTTGACATATACAGTGTATTCTACATGACCGAATGGGTACTGTTGTTATATTACAAATGTTGTGATATGTGTCTGGAAAGAAAGGACCGCGGAGATGGCCTCTGGACGTCCACGCAGTTTTTCATATGTCTTCTTCTTCCTCGTCTATGAAACCTATAAATCTAACTACAGTAATTGATTTCCTGTACTACACTACACCAGCCTAGACCCCTTTCATCCCTCAACGAGGAAACCTCATGCGCCCCAGGCGATTTCTATCCTTGCGAGGGCCCGGCTCCAAGCTCTGTACTTGAACGCCCAGTCACATCTTCAATAAAGCTGTGTGATGTCGTAATGAAGATATCTTTGGGAAATCCTCGATCATCCGCTAAGTCCGCATTCAATTTCAACTCCAATGTCTCAGAATTGGCAGCATCATCCTTGTACGACGTGTACGTATTGTTATCCTTCATGACTTGTTCATCGCGAATGAAACTTTCAGCGATGCAATGATTGATACCTTCCAGAAGCCCGGTCGTGAAGGTGTTCTGATAATCGGGATCGCCGTGGTGAGTACGATGACTTTCCGCAAGAAAGTTGCCAATGAGACATGAAGGGGTGATATGATATTTACTACCCTCATGAGTGATATTTGTATCCACACCAAGAGGTGTTCCAGGTCGCCGTACGAGGAATTGAGGCTTATGATCCAGCGAAGGGCAAGTTTTGTTGATGCTTTCAGCGATGCTAGGGTCTTCATCTCCCCCAAACGATTTTGCCAGACCCTCCAGCCAAAAAGTAGGATAGTGGCGGAGGACAAGCCAGCTCGGCTTCTTGCTGTCGGTCTCCTCATCGGCGTTGTTGACGTTGTTGACTTGCAGGGGAACTATCACGTTTCCTTTCACCTCCATGGACGACTCTCCGCCTGGAGCTGGTGGCGCATCATTGCAGATGACTTCACTAAAGGCATCCGAAAGGGTAAATAGTCTTTCATAATCATCATCATCCAAATCATTCTTCCAGATATCGATACTTTTTGCGATCATGTCGGGTGGGAGAAGCTCGGCTTGCTTGGTCCCATCGGCTGTCTTGGTGTAGACCATTCTCGGGTGTAGGTGAACAGAATCACCTTCAGAAGAGATGTAAGGGCAGATAAATTCGTCCCTTTCGTATTCGGGTGGCACCTGGGCAACGACACCATAGACAACATTGTAGTCGTCGGCTTCGTCTTGCGACGGATGATGTTGATCTTCTTCGTTAGCTGACATGATTGCTGGATGGGTTCGGAGCTCTGATACCTGTCTGTGAGAGGCCCTTATATATCCGTGTAAAGCTACCCCAAGGCTGACCAGACTTCGATTCCCACCGCGATCATTGTTATTTCCTGCCTTTTGCTAGCATTTTTGGCAGACAGGACAATTGTCTATCTATATCTCAACGTAATCATCAGGCGGTTGCAAGGAGCTCAAGGGAGGACAAAGGGCCGCTCAAAATCCGAATTGCAATCAACACACTGGGGCAGGAACTCGAAGAGTAAGAATAAAGACAGACATGCAAATCGAACGACATACGACTCAATTCTCAGCTGAGGATAGCCATGTTGCTCTGGTCACGAACGGAGCGCCATGATGTACACCAGGGGACTCGTTGCCTTCCATGTAAGGATCGCCATCATCACAAGGGGAGTGTTCATATACTCCACATAGACCTTTGGGACCGTTGAAAGGAGCCGAGTGTTCAAAGTATAGGATTGCCGTATCATTGGCTTGCATCAGAAGGAAGACATAGCAGGCGCCTTGCGTAGCACGTTTGTACCATGCTTCTTGGTGTCGCCGGTCCACTTGCCAGCGCCAGAGTCGGTTCTTTCTTTTAGAACGACCTTCTCGAAGGCCAGTGCTGTGAGGAAGTCGCCAAGGCCTCGCGGACAAAGATCATAAACCTTGAGGCAACAAAAAGAAGTGGAAGGCCGGTAGATGCGGTCGATTTCTGGCTTCTCAAGGTCTCATAATCTGTTGAAAGGGTTTATAGGCTTCATAGACAAGGAAGGAGAAGACACATGGAGAACTATTATGGAACACTCCAGCGTGGACGCCCGGCAGCCATCTCCGCAATCCTTTCTTCCCAAACATATCACAACACTTTCGTCTCCTTGCTCCTTCTTGACACTCCTGACTTTTCCTTGCTGACTTATCTTTGCTGGCTTTTCTTTGCTGAATTTCCTTGCTCCTTCTTCCCCCGTTCCTCTGGTGTTCCTCCAACTAAATTGATGGAAGAGCTGCCGTACGTGCTACTTCACAGGCCGGACAGAGAGAGGTGTCCACTGTCACAGTGAATGGCGCTTGAGAAATGTACTCCGTGATGGTCTTGTGGAGGATGTGTTGGACGTGTGCAGACGTGACGGTGGTGAATTGGGGGGTGTTGGATTCGGAGACTTCGGGGGAACCGTCTGTGGATAGAGCTGTACCAAGAATTCAGATTCGAAATTGACAGTAGGAGACGACACTTACCCCTCCTCCAGCTCGGCTCTCATCCCAGAAACTACCCTTTCAACCGCTGCTTCACACGTTTCACCTCCTTCTAGCCTCACACAGATCCTGCCATCAGCCAACTCTAAATGGACGGGAGAGGCTGAGCGTTTATGGTCCAATTGTCATCAACCATTCAGAGTTGGCTGATGGCAGAACGCTGACTACCACCTGGAGAGACCGTTTGAGACGGTCCATGGGAGTAGGGGAGGAGCGGAGATGCCAGGGGAAGGGCCAGGAGGGAGCGGCCAAGGGAGGAGCCAGGGGCGGGGCCAAGGGAGGGGCCGGGAAGTAGAGGCTGGGGAAGTAGAGGCTGGGGAAGTAGAGGCTGGGGAAGATGGGCCGGAGAGGAGCGGTCGCAGGGGAGGGGAGGTCGCCAGGAAGGGGCTGACGATAGAGCCCATTAGGGCCGCTCTGGAATCGCTGGTTGACCATAGACAGCACTTGCCCCTTGGCATATGCGGCAGCTGATTTCGAACTGTCACCAAGCGCTCTGGTCTTTTAAAGCTAAGATCGATCTGTATCAGCTACAGCTCCATGGCAGTGGAGGACACATACATTGACTTGAACCAGTTGGCAAGATGGTTGGGTTGTATCACCGCAGCCCCACACTCAGCCCATACCTCGGATCAGGCTCCGCGATAGTCTGCTCCAATTGCTCTGTCGTGTTCAACAGCTACCACGCCTCGTTCGCACCATGGATCATCTATAGGCGTATTTGATTGACAGTGTCCCTCTCGAGAGCCTCTGGTTGACGAGAGACCTGGTTGACGATGTGAGGGAGGAAGGTAGTCCGGGTGGTGGATGTAGAGACCCCATCAGCTCCCGGACTGTGGCCTTGGACGCTTGCACTGGCCGTGGGGCTCTGAGTTGATGTTGAGGGATGCCCCAAAGATGCGTCGAAGAAGGAAAACAGGTTTGCAATGGAAAATGGATGGCAGTAAGCGTCTGTGAGGGTGTTAATAACGATCACACTTATGCCGGGGATATGCAGAGCTTTGTGGTAACATCCCTCCTTTGACCAAGAAGGGCGCAAGAAGAGTACACGTGGCAGCGCATCTTAGGGGCCTTTCAACCACCATTTTGACACATTCCACAATCTCACCCGGCTCACAGACAGACACAGGTCGGGAGATTCCGGAAGACGGTCCATCGCCAATGTAACACAACGCGAAGAAAGCACAACAGCGAGGAGACGTGTTTGATCGAGACCGTCCCAACTTTATCGGCACGCGTCTTCCCGCCTACAGCGTCCCTGCTCCCTCCGGCACCTCGTTCTCTCCTAAGTCAGTCCCCCCTACCTACCTTCCGTCTTGGCTCTTCTCTCTTTTCCTGTCTCTCGATGATTCAGTCTTCACTGTCATCGTTCCAACATGCAACATGCAAACATGCCACGCCTGTTACTGTACGCGGTTACGTAACCTTATCTCGTGCCTGCTCTGATTCAATAATTTTGTTTGTACCGCCGGCTGTCGGTTGTCGCTCTCCTGTCTTCTGCCGAGCAGTACCGGGGTGTATTCGAGTCCCGCCAGGACACATGGTCCACTTCCCCGAGTATCCTGCCTTGCGTCCCAGGGTATAAAAGGCGTCCTCAATTCACAGGATAGCCATCTAAGGCCCATCTCTTCAAGATGCCTAGCGAGAAGGCCAAGATCCTCTTCCTCACAGCGCAAGTCCTCTCTCTTTAACCACAATCCTCCAAGCTGACTCTTCCAGCCCGGAGCACGGCCAAGCCAACGTCCATCTCGCCGTCATCGCCGCCCTCCAATCCGGCCTCCCCCTTCCGCTCGCTCCGGACCTCTCCAACATCGAGCTCGACCTCCACCTCGCCTCCTTCCCGCACTTGGCAAAGAGAGTCCCCGCCGGCGTTACGTGGTGGGAGATTGAAGGGAAAGGGTTTGCGCAGAGGTTTGAAGAGGAGTTTGGCAAGGCGGAGGGTGACCGTGCGTTTTGCTGCTGTGCGTGTAAGAGTTCTGACAGGTGGCTATAGGAAGAGCATTCGACCTTCTCTCATACTCTACTGGATTCCTCTCTTCCCTCTATGCCTACACTCAGATCCTCCCCGTCGTCCACCCCGAAACCCCTTCCCAATACCTCACCTCCTGCCTCTCTCTCGAAAACATCCTGACCACCCTCTCCCCAGACTTGGTCGTAGTCGACCAGCTCTTTGCTGTCGCTAGAGACGTACTCGGAAAAGGCGACTGGAAATGGATAAGACTCTCGCCGAACTCGATCAAAGAAGTCGCCACCATAGAACAAGGACTCGGCATCTTTCGCTGGCCCGCGTACGTCCTTCTCCTTCCTTCTCTTCTCCTCGCACTAACACCCCAACAGTCTTTGTACCGGCTTCCCATACCCCGTTCCCTACTCCCTCCTCCCCCTCAACATCTTCTCCACTCTCTTTCCCCTCTTCCACAACCCCCTCAACCCCCTCTTGCGCGCGTTCAACACCGCCCGCCATTCTGCGGGGTACAAAGGCCAGTTCCCCCTGCTCCACCCCGGTGAACCCACAGGCCGGCACAGCCGTGTCATCTGCATGTCCACACCCGGTGCCGAGATTGACGCTGTCTACCCGGGGAAGGATAAAGTGGTCTGTGCTGGGCCTATACTGCTACCGGTCAGGCCTCTGGCAGACGCTGATCCCGAACTGCTCAAATGGCTCGGTCCCTCCCAATTAGTACTCATCAACCTCGGCACCCACTTTCTCCAAACCCCCTCTTTCGCCAACGCCATCCTCCACTCCATCCTCTCCCTCCTCACCCTCCGACCGGACTTGAAAGTCCTCTGGAAACTATGCAAGTATGGCGAATACGATATCGACCTCTCCCTTCTCGGGGATGATGTGTTGGGGAAGAGGGTGAGGGTGGTGGAATGGCTGGATGCGGAGCCGGGGAGTATACTGCACAGTGGGAAGGTGGCGTGTTTTGTGAATCATGGGGGCTCGAATTCGTATCATGATGGACTTGCGTAAGTACTCTCTGCTCCTTCGTCCTCCCTCTTCCCTTCGAATCGAGAGCTGATGCTCGTTTAGGGCGGGGGTACCGCAGATCGTCTTATCAGCATGGTTTGACTGCCACGATTTCTCAACGAGGGTGGAACATCTGGGTAATGGAGTGTGGGGTAACAAGCATGCTGCGTGAGTCTTCTCTCTCTTCATTCCTTTTTCTCTTCTTTTCCTCCTTCCTCTCTCTTTGGGACATCATCCCCTTTTGCCCTTCCCCCCTTCTCCCCTTCTCCCCTTCTCCCCTCTTTTTCCGCTCTCCTCCCCCTAACTAAACCACCCTCCAAAAGCCCATCCTGCACCCAAAAAGAATTCACCTCCGCCCTCCATACCATCCTCTCGCCATCATCCCCTCTTTCCACGTCGATACAAGCCAAAGCACGAGAATATGGGCGGGTTGTTCGAGATAGCTGGGGAGGGAGGGAGGGGAGGGAGGTGGCGGCGGGGGTTGTTTTGGAAGAGTTGGGGAAGGCGTTGGGAAGCCGGGGAAGGGAGACAATGGAGTAAATGAGGGTGTTGATGTTGAGCGTGCTTGGGTTGCTACCCTGTCTTGGGTTTTGGGATATCTTGTCTTGGGATTGTCTGGTGGGTATTTATCTTCTTGAATGTCGTCTTTGCTTGCTGTCTGCTGCATGTATTGTAAAGAGCTTTTAAACTGCCACAGTTCTCAATCTGCAACTTTATCATGGCTGCATGTTCGTCTTGTTCTTCTCTACATGCTGGGCTATAGAATACAATCGCTTCTTTCTCAACCTTTCATCGACACGTCGCGTATACCGTTCAAGACACCACACATTTCTGCGACCCAGATGACTTTGCATCATGGTGCGGCTACACTCACTGTCAATCATCAGTCATCACCAAAACATCCCGCACTCAACAAAGAACGAGACTCACAGGCTTCTGCTTCACCCATCTGAACGGACAATCGATCTTGTGCGCCTTGTCCACCAGCACCGCCTATACGTCGAGTCAGTTCATGGCCTTGAGATAAATGTATGACCAGAAGGATATGATACGTACATTGCAGCGAATGCACGTTTCGTGATCATGCGGTGCCTCCGGACTCCTCGCATAAGGAGCATCACAGTTTTTGCAATAGTATTGCTTGACAAAGGTATCTTTACCAACAGTCTTGAAATGTTGGGCAGCTGCTTCCAACTCGGCTATCAGATCGAGCACAATCATCAATGAGGGGATCTTTTGCCATAGTAAGGAAGGGAAGGAGAACGTACCAGGTTGGCCTTGCAAATGGTCCAACGCATGTTCCCTCCCATGGATCCTTTGCACGCTGTCGAGCATTTGGCCCATGGTGCCGTCTATCTCGGCTTGGAGCGCTGCGACAGTCTGCGGGAGGGCGTCAGCTGGGAGTTCCATGAGTAGCAAAAAGGCGATGCTGAGGAATGGCATCGCACGCAGCCTAGGCGAGGAGATGGAAGAGAAGGATGGAGGGACGTACGTTCTTTTGTTGACCAGACCTGTCCCTTGATCATGATCAGCGCCGCGCATCTTGATACAGACAGTCATCGGGCCGAGGAGATGCAGGACTTACATGTCGTTATTGGTGCTTAGGCTTGTGAGTTGGAGATCAAACGAGAGATGAGGTAAGGAGCAGTGATCCAGCTTATATATATATATATATAGCCGTAAAGGAGCACCACTCCTTCACAACGAGATGACCGACGCTGGAACCAAGGTGGAGGAGGTGATCGAAGCAAGTGAGATCTGGGCCTGTCCGGGGGCCCTCCTTCAGTGGTGGGGCTCATTCGAGGTACCGGAGAAAGGTCCTTCAGCTCTTTTGTCTCGCTTTGGGGGGCCCTAGTCCGATCGATACAGACGACCCCCTATCTGGATGTGAGGGCTGGACCAAGACGAGCTGGACAAAAGGCGGTGGAAGGAGTGTCGTTCGTCGAGACATGCTGCGCTCGCCGGGGTAAGTGCGCGACGGGTGGCACCTTTTGTACAATCACAAGCCATGTCGAATAAATATATGGACAACACTTGCTGGATCTTCAATGAGCGGACATTGTTGGCGAGATCATTCTGCCAGGAAGGCTGCAGTTGAGTGACTTCGTTTTAGCAGGTAGCAGCAGAAGTCGGTATTCCGAAGTCAGGCACTTCCCTCTGTTGCAGGTCATCTTTCATCTCGGTGCTGCTTAAGATGCCCCATTTATGCGCCAATGAGAAAGATTAGAGAAAGTGCTTTTTCTCGGCTGTCGCAGTCACTTGTAGATATCTGATTATCTTCGGCCAGAGCAAGTAAAACGGCGACAAAAAGTGAATCAAAAAGGTGTGCGCCAACGGCGATTCGAACGCCGGTCGAATCCTTGGAAGGGATCCATCCTAACCACTAGACGATTAGCGCTGTTACAACTGATTGATAAGAACAGCTGTGAGAACACCTACAGCTCAATCAATATCACAAACAGTTCAACTTGTGGCGAAATCGCCGATGATTTACCGATCAGTGATCTGCAGATTTGATACCGCTCCGAGAAACGAGGCACGGAACTAATTTCTCGTTATCTCTTTGCAATATGGCGTCAACAAAAACTTTAAGGATTGCGCTCGAGATCTCTGACCACGCATGGGTCGAATGTATCTCCAGGGATCGTTTTATTTTCTTTTTTATAGGCGCAATGACAACAGGTTTGAAAGACTACAAAGACGCACTCGGCCAGTCGCCCACCGCCCCTTCTCTCCGCCGGCTTGAGTCGGGCGGAAGCGATCTCAGAGGCGTTGCCGGCGATATTGTCACAGAAAGAGAGCACCGGGATCTGCGGAGAGGTCTTGCGCAGAGGCATATTTCCATGATTGCCTTGGCTGGTGAGCCTTGCGAAAAATGTATGGGATCACACTGACACCAAGCAGGCTCCATCGGTACTGGTCTCTTCTTGTCTTTGGGCAGTGCTATCCAGGATGCCGGTCCTCTAGGATCTCTTTTGGGATATGGCTTCATTGGCCTTATTGTCTGCGCGGTACAATTCGCGCTGGGAGAAGTCACCGCTCTTTTGCCCGTCAGCGGGTCGTTTGTCAGACATGCCGAGTTCTTGACTGACCCAGCCTTGGGTTTCGCTTTGGGATGGAACATCGTCTATGGAAACTGGCTCTCGGTAAGTTCCGTCTTCCCCCCCATCAGAGCACACTGACGTCGCCAAGGTTCCCTCCGAGATTTCCGCCATCTGTGTTCTGTTCCAGTACTGGACAGACCTCAACTCCTCCGTCTTTATTGTCATCTTTATCGTCCTCACCGCCTTTGTCGGTCTCATCAACATACGATGGTACGGAGAGATTGAGTTCTTCTTCGCCATCATCAAAATCCTCCTCATCATCGGCCTCATCCTTTTGGGCCTCATCATCGACTTGGGAGGTGTATCGGGGGTGGAGAGGATCGGTTTCCGATACTGGAGAAACCCTGGGCCTTTGGTGGAGTACATGGGTACTGGCAGCTGGGCCCGTTTCCTCGGCTTCTGGTCCGTCATGATCGGCGCCGTCTTCTCCTTTGCCGGTGTCGAGAGTGTCGCCATGGCCGCTGCCGAGACCAAGAACCCTCGTCAAGCCATCCCCAAAGCCTGTAAACGCGTCTTTGCCCGAATCTCCCTCTTCTACGTCCTCGCCGTCTCATCGTCGGTATGCTTGTCCCCAGCAACGATCCCGACCTCGGAGACGACTCTGGCACAGCCGCCACCTCGCCTTTTGTTCTCGCCGCTTCCGCTGCAGGCATCAAAGCGATCCCTTCTATCGTCAACGCCGTCCTCATCACTTCCGCTTTCAGCTCTTCCAACCAAGCTCTTTTGGCAGGAACCCGAGTCTTATACGGTCTCGCCCTCAAGGGTCAAGCCCCGCGCTTCTTCTTGCGTACCAACCGATGGGGTACGCCATACGTTTGCGTGGGGATCTACATTATCTTTTCCTTCTTGGCCTTTATGAGTCTTTCAGAGAACGCCTTGACAGTGTTCTACTGGCTTATGGACCTTGTCGGATGTGGCGTGCTCATCTCGTGGAGCGCTGTTCTGGTAAACCACTTGAGGCTTTTGGCGGCGTTGAAGAAGCAAGATATTCCCAGAAGTGTCTTGCCTTGGAGCAACTGGTGGACTCGTGAGTACGCTGATGCATATCAAGAGACGAGAGCTGATATAGTATAGCCTACTCTTCTGCCGTCGCCCTCTTCTTCTGCCTCGTCATCCTCCTCACCAATGGCTGGGAAGTCTTCACCCACGGCGGCTGGTCTCCTTCCGGCTTCATCACGGCTTACCTGTGCGTCTCGTTATCTTCTTATCCCCTTCCGACCAGCAGCTGACACTCTCAATAGTGATATCCCTCTCGTCCTCGCCGCCTACCTAATCTGGAAGTTTTACAAAAAGACCGAATACGTACCCCTCTCCGAAATCCCCATTAGGCAGGTGTTGGAGAGTATCGACGCAGAGCCCGAGGAGAAGGAAGAGAGGCACACAGGATGGGTGAGGTGGGGTAGCTGGTTGTGGGATTAAAAAGGGAGTGTATAGGGGTCGTAACCGAGGGGGGTTGCAAGGGTTTCTTGAAGGCTTATAATATTCAACTACTATCTGTTTGTCATGTAATATTAGGCATTTTTGTGTCATCACAAGAGGAGGCGAAGAGAGGTCAATGAGAAGAGGTCTCAACCCCAGCACCTAGCCTTTTTTATATACATGAATGCGTGACGAGACGATAGAAGACGGGACAGCTATGTTGTGCGATTACTACGGCACGGAGGGACCATGGGTACAAGTCGGCCAGCGAGGTGTACGAAAGAACTAGAAATAACGTGGAGGGCGAGACGAAAAGGTAAGGTAAGGGAGGAGGTGAGCGTGTGCTGTTGAGCTCCGTCGTATAGCCTTACTAAAGGGGAGACGGAAACGGGAACGAACGCGTATAACTCAGCGAGACGGAGACGAGAGTAGGTAGAACCTCCATACTCGTTCGGATCACTTTTCGCCTGCGCCTGCCGCCTGTTTCAGCGCCAAGAAACCAGGAACGTCCCTGGAGTTGGACGATCAATTCCTGGATGATATGTGCCTGTCTTTTCCCCGTGAATATGTCTCACGGCTGACTTACATGCTCGTTTCAATACCTCCGTGTTCCCTGAGAGCTGAGCGAGGTAACCCCTGCGTACCCTGCGTGTGCTGGAGAACCTGGCGATGGGTGGGCTATAAAAAACAGAAGAGGAAAGATAGAGACACTTTCTCATCCGCAGCTGTTTCCCCACCTCGCAGCAAAGGTTGACTCTTATCTGTCCACACTAAAAAGCTGAGGAGAATTATGCGCATCGCTCTTGCCGTCCTCGCTGTCTGCGTGGTTTCTGTTTGTAAGTTTTGAAGCTTCGTATCTGGTACATGCGCTGAGACAGACTTTTCCAGCTGCATCCGACACGATCGCCCGACACGCTGCCCTCCTCCACCGCCAGATTTCCTACGACGATATCCCCCTAGCCTGCGAAGAAATATGCGACTCCCCAGCATTCTCCGCAGACGCTTGCTCTCGAGGCTTTTACCCTTCTTGCAATGCCTTCTGCTCGGAGTTTGGGGCAGTCTTGGAATGTGCGGATTGTGTCTGGAAGTATAGGGATGGACCGACGAAAGCAGAGTTGAACATCATTGAGGACGGGGTAAAGGAGATAAGGGAGTCGTGTTCGGGCAGCGGGTATAATCTGGATGGGACTTTGAGCATTGAGTAAGTTTTCTTCCTGCAAAGGTACGGAGAGTATGGGCTGATTCGATGATTCAGAGTCGATACGCCGGCTAGTACACTGCCCGCCAACTACACCCTCACGCATACGACTGCGACTATGCAGACGGCGCCCCCTGCCACGACGACTATCAATCTGGACACTTGGACATCTGGATCCACAAGAATCAATGTAGGCACGGGGATAGGGGCGGGGGCGATAGCCATGGTGGGGATGATGATGGGGAGCGTTTTGGCTTTCTTTTGATGGGATTTTGTGTGTGAGGAAAGCGGATCATCAAGTACGAGTATCGAGCCTATGTGAATTCTATAAGTGAAATGAGCTTTCCTTTCTGTTCTTTGCCAACGGAAGAAGGGCATATGAGTTGCGGAATGCCAATATTCCCAAGGTTCCAAGATTGGGTTGTTTTATTCGACTTGGATGAAGTCGAGAGCTACATAGGACCAACATCGTCAGAGACAGCATATGCACAAATGGTATTACAGGCAGAATGCAATGATATGGCTGACAATTTTCATGATTCAGCACGTACCAAGCGGCACCTCCAGCAACTGCCCTTCGTTCTTGTCCTCCGTCTGCCTTGCCTACCACCACAGGCTCCGACTCTGACTCTCTAACCCCTCCCCCGGCCGTTGATACCTGGGCTACCTTCTCTCTTCCATCTTCTACTCAGGATTCCCGCCCTGCTCTTTCGAGAACTAGCATCGTTCTCTCTGGAGAAAAGGGGGGCATGCTTAGAGTAGTATTCTGATTTTGGATCGCGTAGATGATAGGGGCATTTGCTGCGATGTTAGCAAAAGCGGCCTGGCAGCGGTGAGACCTAGAGGATGAGCAGCAGCAGCGCAATTGGAGACATGACGATCCGCAGAAGGGTGTTGTAGGTTTGTTGAATCTGAGGAGAGTGGAACCCAACAACCAACAAGATGTCGCAAACACGACGGAACTATTTTCTGCAGCCGACGCAACGCCAACCGTCATCGTCGACCTGTCGTCGACGAAGTACTCTATATAAACCATCTCAACATTACTTCCGTTATTCCCTTCTGCAGTCGCCATATCCCATCCCTCGGCCCGTAGACGTCCTTCACATCCAAGGGGAGCCATGTCCACCGCGAGCCCTTCATCCCTCATCGCAGAGGTCCTCCGCCAGCCAGACGACCTCCTCAAACTCGCAGCATATCGCAAGAAACTCCTCAAAGAGAAGGCCGCACTCGATACAAAGCTCTCAGAAGGAGTCAAGTCTCAGCTGGATGCCACGAGAGACGCGCTGGTGAAGCTGCAGAACAGCAAGGCCGCTGTGTCGGTCATTAGGGAGGAGATGCTGGCGGTTGAGAAGCTGATGGGAAGTGGGGAGGGAGGAGAGAACTTTGAGAAGATCATCAGGGTGAGTATCACTCTTCATAGTGCTAAATTGAGTCCTAACATGCCTCAGGTCTCGGCTGTGCACAGGAACTTTGCGCAGACAGCGAAAATGGTCCAGAACCTACGGTCGATGTCCGACAAGGTCGATCACCTTGCCTCCCTCCTAGACTCGGACAAGAACCACCCGGACGGTTCCGCTGGCCCCTCATACAACCTTCTCCCTATCCACTTCCAACTCCAACAACTTGAGGCATTTAGAAACGAGACGCTACACCAAGCAAAGAAGTCTGCTCCGCAGGAGCGCGAGATCTTGGTCAAGTGGTTTGAGAAATTGGATAGAGTGGGTCAGGACTTTGAGTCGTGGATGTGGGAGATTGGAGGACGGATTGTGGAGCTGGCGAGGAAGGGGAATGGAAGCACAGTCGTCAGGTTGTTGAAAATCATTGAGTTTGAGGGCAAGGAGGACGAAAAGGTGTGTACCATTGGAACGGTCTGAGCTCGACTGACAAGCTGTAGGCTGTAGCGATGCGTCTTGTACGGAGGGTCGCTACCTCAGACGCCGCCTCCAAATTCAAGTCCATGCAGGCCAACGCCCGAGTCATTAAGAACTTCCGCCACAAGTTCCTCGACGTCCTGAAGGCTTCCATTGCCCAGTCGTTTGAGCGCCACTATCTTGACAATCAGTACGACTTTTTGGCCTTCATTGAAGACTTGTCATGGGTCTACAAAGACATCATCCGTATCAAAGACGATATCGGTCGTCTTTTCCCCGACGACTACGAAATCACCTCCTTCCTCGTCAAAAACTATCACAAGTCTCTGAACGATACACTTCGAAAAGTAGTTGACTCGGCACCAGAAGCTCAAGTATTGCTCGAGCTCCACGCCTGGATCAAAGAGTACCGCGTGAGCATGAAGGAACTCGAAGTCCCCGCCGCTTGGCTCCAGCCTCCTCTTTTGGATGGCAAGTCGCAAGACCTCATCGAGGACTACGTCAAGCTCATCGTGACCAAGCTCGAGGAGTGGACAGTCAACCTTATGAAGGAGGAGACTGGCACTTTTACGTGGCGTACGCGCGAGCCGGAGCAAGGAGACGACGGGCAGTTTGGCATGGAGGGTGTGGTCGATTTCTTCCAGCTTGTCAACCAGCAATGCGACTTGGCACTCGACTCCAATCAAGGAGCGGTACTGGCAAGAGTTGTCACAGAGTCGGCCAAGGTTATGAGGAGAGTGCAGGATGAGTGGCTGAAACTGCTGGCGGAAGAGATGAAGGGTCACATGGAGAAGAAGCCAGAGGAGGTCCTGCCTGGTCTGGTCGAGTACGTCATTGCGCTCGCAAACGACCAGCTCAAATCTGCCGACTATGTCGAGGCCCTCTTGACTCGACTCGAGCCTCTTGTGTCTGAAAAGTACAAGGCAGTCATCTCTGCCCGCCTGAACGAGGCTATCGATGGCTACCTCGACGTTGCCAAACGGTGTACCACCGCCCTCGTGCAATTCGTCTTCCACGACCTGCGCGTGGCTACTAAGTCTCTCATCACACCGGCTTGGTACCAAGAGTCGCTCATGGACCAAATCATCGAGACCATGAAGGACTACATGGGAGACTACCAAGGACATCTCAACCCGTCCATCTTTGAGATTCTTGTCGAAGACTTCCTCGACACCTTCCTCATCTGCTACCTCTCCGCTCTCCGCCGAGCCTCTTCCAATTCACTTCGTATTCCCACCGCCATCCAAAAAATCAAATCCGACATATCCACCGCCTTTTCCTTCTTTGGGGCTTACAAACCAGCACAGCAAGAGCTGCAACAAAACTTTGAGGTGTTAGATATGGTGGTCAGCATGCTGGATGCGTCGCCGCAGATGGTATTTATGGACTACTGGAATTTCGCAAAGGTGCACGGGCCACAGCTGGCGTTTGTGGAGGCGTTGATGAAGGCGAGAGATGATCTTGATAGGGATGGGGTCAAGGAGATTATGGAGACGCTGAGAAGAAAGGTCAAGGAGGAGGAGATTGGAGATCCGGAAGAGCCGACTATCATGGTGAGTCACATTGTCTTTCTTTACTTCAATGGCTGACAAGGTTTTGCAGGTCAAGATCCAAGCTACATCAGGAGGCTTGTTTTCCAACCTCACCAACCTGGCGGGCACATACACTAGCAACTTCAGCGCGCCCAAATTCTCAGCATCCGGTCTCAGAGGGCTATAACCTCGGCTGTATCTTGTTGTACTATAGATTAATGATTCCCAGAGGAGTTTGTAGAACACAAAATTGTGTGCCAGTCTTGATTGAGCATCTTCGTCGATTTCACAGAGTGGGCCCAAGACACCATCATATGCTCTGTAGTTCCCATGTATCGCGTTCATATACCACTGTTCGGGAAGCCGACCTGACATAACAGGTATCGTTACTCGAGGACACACCATGCTCGAAACGGCTGACAAGCGTCCAAATATTCAATTTGCGAAGGCATAAGTACCGTATCCTCAGGCTGTTGAATGATAGTCTCTATGGAGCATATCTATCGATTTTGCATCAATGATCCATGCCAACTACCACCATGTCTAGGCGTTCAGGCCCCTAGAGGATCGATTCGCGCGGGCACCATCAATAATGCCTAGTCTACATCCTTCTCACTGTGCTCCACCATGTTGGGAAGACTCTCCGCCAAGGCGTCAATCTTCTTGAACTGATGAGCAAACCTAGAGGGGTAGAGGAAAGGTCGGAGGTCGAAGCGGTTATCGTCCGGGGAATATGACTCCATATGGACAGAAGGAGTGAGTGTCGTCCTGTCGTCATTGTCAGCTGACCCTTGCGCAAAAACTAAAGCGATCCAGACTCACATCTTATGCCTGTTGATAGCATACATGAAGAAGAAGTGCTTGACCTTCTCCGCAATTTGTACCGGGGACAAGAACGAGCCCCATTCCTGAACGAGCTTGCCGTACATGCTGTAAGGACCGCATTTCTCAACTTTACGGAGACGGCCATAGACGGACAGTTCGTCGTAGGTCATGCCCATCTCGACTTCGTCAGATTGGACGGCATTGTCGGGACCCATGGGAATAAGCTCGGCGGAGGGGATGGCGTGGATGAAACTGTGGGTGAAGTTGGGTCAGTGAAGGATACCGACTGAAGAACGTTGAGACCCACTCGTAAAGAATAGGCATACTGAACTTGACCTGAGCCCAAGCAATGAAGCTCTTGAGGTCGGTCTTACTGATACCTCCAATAGGATTCACATCCGCACTAGAGCAGCTGCGTCGCCACATCAGCATCTTCGAATGGAGTCAGACGGGAGACTCACTCGTATTTGGTATAGTACCCTCGCAGACTCTCATCCACATTCGCACTTCCCAGCACCAACAAGCTCCCCACCTTGCCCCTCGTCCACGGCAACAGTTGCGCAAACATGTAACCCACCACCATCCTCAACCTTGCCTGAATGTTCTGTAATGCGAGATTTTCGGCAGCAGAGCCGCCGTGGACCTTGAATTGAGGGGTACGACCGGTGACGAAGCCAAAGATGCCTTTAACGGCGGTGACGGCAGTGTCCATGTTTAGGTCAACATGATAGCTACACTGGAGTCAGTACTGAAAATGACGGAGGAGAGACGGGGCCGACTCACGCTCCAATAGCATTCGCAAGGTCCTTGGCTCTCTGCCTCGTCTCGTTACTAGAGTTTTCGGTACCCATGTAACAAGTGTGGAAGATCCTTCCGGCGAATTCCCTGGGGTCGGTGGGGAGGTACTCGCTGCCCTCGGGCTCCCCAGTGATTCGTCGGGCATCCTCAATGACTTGCTGGTCTAAACACAATATCAGCTAATATACACACTTTGCAACGCGTTGACCTACCACCCTTCTTGGCATGTTCAGCCACGAGACGACACATGGAGTGGATGATGACGGCGGTGGCGCAACTGTCGATACCACCACTGAGAGGGAGGAAATAGCCCTGAGTTCGGGAGCGACGGAGATAGTCCCAAAGCCAGCATGCAGGGCCAAGCCTATGACACCGTCAGCCCATGCCTTTTGCGATGGTTGAAGACTCACGCAATCTCTTCCTCGGGTGTGTGGTATTGCACTTCCATGGTCCCCTTCGTCTCCCTCAATCCAACTCGAATACCCTTCCCTCCATCCAACCTGCACTCAAGCTGGACCCTATCATAAGCCTCGGCCTGCGCACTCTGCATCCTCCTACTGCTCGTCGTCCTATGCGCCCTCACAGCTTCAAGGTCGACAGTAGCTGAAATAACCTCCACATCCGACAGAGAGAACTGTGATCCTTGGGCGAGGATGCGGCCGTTGAGCGCGATGAGGGATGCACCGTCATAGTAAGATCGGTCACCATCGCAGCCTTGTTGGTTCGCGTAAAGGTAGATGCCACCCAGCTTCATCGTGGCTTCTTTGATGAGCTCAACACGACGGTTGAGTTTGCGAAGTTCGTGGTGAGAGCCAGAGGAGTTTGTGAAGATCTCGACGCCATCAAGACCCATGAGGATGTGAGGGCTGGAGTCGTCAGGGTCCGTCAACGAGATGAAGATTGCCGACTCACGATGCAGGAGTGAACAGCTCCTCACACAGCTCCACACCAATCACAGTGTCCTCGGTCGCCACAACGCCATCGCCAAAGGGAACAGAAGCTTGACCGGTGATTTTCTTGATCATGGATGGAAGAGGGTGCTTTTCAAGCTGCCTGTGCTTGTGCCAGGGTGCGAAGTGACGGAGCTCTCGCTGAAACCGATGATTATGAGCGTTTGTCTATAAGGCAAGATGAAAACTTACATAGTTACCATCGTTGGCCATCCACATCTTGGGGCGGATCATGACAATCTTGCCATTGTGGATGATGACTCGACAATTGTAGTTGTTGTTCTTGTGCTCAATAGGCCTGTACTCTCATCAACTGGACCTGCCATGCGAGATTGCTCGAAAGACCTACATTCCGATATCACAAACGATTCCCTGGGCCTCCTCGCTCTGGAGAATGGTCGCGAGGACTTCCCATGAGTGCAAGTTGGTATCGCCTGTAAATTATGGTATCAACATGCATATCATGACAGCCAAGTCGCGAACGTACCTTCCAAGAAATGGTCGAGACAGCCATAGCCGGGAATTTCGAGCTCTGGACCGACTCGAAGGGTAGCCCCTCTTTCCTTTGCGATAGCTATAGACTTGAGTATCCGTTCACAGTTGCCCTAGAAGCGCTTGAGTATGTAGCTATTGCAGCACATGACGAACATACCTCAAAGTCGAGAGCCCACTGGCGGAGCTGACTGGGATCTACGGTTAGCGGGTCTCAGCACGGAGCTGATCCAGAGAACATACCAGCTGAGATAAAATGGTCAGCATACCTCTCAGACCGAACGTGTGACTTACGTTGCGACGGTAACGAGGTGCATCGTGTTCGGAAAGACGTACACACACTGCAGAGACCGGAATGATTGATAGAGGCCATAAGCGCGGGCGGCGACTTCCGCTCCGGTGGACCGAAGTATACGACCAAGCGTTTCAAGTTGTAGAGTACAAGTAGATAAGAAAAAACGACAAATGACATATGCACATGATCTTGAAGGAATGAGCACGGTCGCCAATCCTATTATAGGCTACAGGGCTTTGGTCGACGACACTCTCAAACACCCATGCAACATCAAAGTATGGACCATGCTCGTACAGTATTATGTGGATCAAAACAATTCATAGGGCTGCCTACAAAAATCCCAATTTAGATGATAACAACACTCTTCTCTTCTCATTCCTTCTAGCCTCGCTCATCCATGCCGCTTTCTCCTCTCTATTGGCCACCACGAAGACGCAAAACCAGGTGGAGGGTAGACTCTTTTTGGATGTTGTAATCGGAAAGAGTACGGCCATCTTCGAGCTGCTTGCCGGCACTACATAAACAGTGTCAGCAGCGTACAAGATGGAAGAGAGAGGTAGACTTACAAGATCAATCGCTGCTGGTCAGGGGGGATACCCTCCTTATCCTGGATCTTGCTCTTGACATTGTCAATGGTGTCGGAAGACTCGACCTCGAGGGTGACGGTCTTGCCGGTAAGGGTCTTGACGAAGATCTGCATACCACCTCGGAGACGGAGCACCAAATGGAGGGTGGATTCCTTTTGGATGTTGTAGTCCGAGAGGGTTCGGCCATCTTCAAGCTGCTTACCAGCGCTGAGAAGAGCGTCAGTCAAAAGTCACATAGATGGTGAAGGACACTCACAAGATCAATCGCTGCTGATCGGGGGGAATGCCCTCCTTGTCCTGAATCTTTGACTTGACGTTGTCAATGGTGTCGGAGGATTCGACTTCAAGAGTGATGGTCTTTCCAGTCAATGTCTTGACGAAGATCTGCATACCACCACGGAGACGGAGCACCAAGTGGAGAGTAGACTCCTTCTGGATGTTGTAATCAGAAAGGGTTCGGCCATCTTCGAGCTGCTTTCCGGCACTATACATGGAGTCAGTCATGGGCAATGTTGAGAGGGAGAATATACTTACAAGATCAACCGTTGCTGGTCAGGGGGGATACCCTCCTTGTCCTGAATCTTGCTCTTCACGTTGTCGATGGTGTCGGAAGACTCCACTTCCAAAGTGATGGTCTTTCCGGTCAAAGTCTTGACAAAGATCTGCATACCACCACGGAGTCGGAGCACCAAGTGGAGGGTGGATTCCTTCTGGATGTTGTAGTCCGAGAGAGTTCGGCCATCTTCGAGTTGTTTACCAGCGCTGAACAAACGTCAATTGCAATTCGACAGACACGATGAGGACAACTTACAAGATCAATCGTTGCTGATCAGGAGGAATACCTTCCTTGTCCTGGATCTTGGACTTGACATTGTCAATGGTATCGGAAGACTCAACCTCGAGAGTGATGGTCTTTCCCGTCAAGGTCTTGACGAAGATCTGCATACCACCTCGGAGACGGAGCACCAAATGAAGAGTAGACTCCTTTTGAATGTTGTAGTCGGAGAGAGTGCGACCATCTTCGAGCTGCTTTCCGGCGCTAAAGTACGGTCAGTGTGAACAACAAAGTAGAGATCAGATACTTACAAAATCAAACGTTGCTGATCAGGAGGAATACCCTCCTTGTCCTGGATCTTTGACTTGACGTTGTCAATGGTGTCGGAAGACTCGACTTCCAAAGTGATAGTCTTGCCGGTAAGAGTCTTGACAAAGATCTGCATACCACCACGGAGACGGAGCACCAAGTGGAGCGTAGATTCCTTCTGGATGTTGTAGTCGGACAAGGTTCGGCCGTCCTCGAGTTGCTTACCAGCGCTATGACCGCGTCAGTTCGCAGCTCCACATCGCTATTTATAATCACTCACAAGATCAATCGCTGCTGGTCGGGAGGGATACCTTCCTTGTCCTGGATCTTGCTCTTTACATTGTCGATAGTGTCGGAAGACTCCACTTCCAGAGTGATGGTCTTGCCGGTCAAAGTCTTGACAAAGATCTGCATACCACCTCGGAGACGGAGCACCAAGTGGAGCGTAGACTCCTTCTGGATGTTGTAGTCCGAGAGAGTGCGGCCATCTTCGAGCTGCTTACCAGCGCTATCCATGCATCAGCCTAGTCTGGATGTATGCCGATAGCCACTCACAAGATCAATCGCTGCTGGTCAGGGGGGATACCCTCCTTGTCCTGAATCTTGGACTTGACATTGTCGATCGTGTCCGACGACTCGACTTCGAGGGTGATGGTCTTGCCGGTGAGGGTCTTGACGAAAATCTGCATTGCGGGTTGGATGTGCGGTCTGTGTGGTTGAGAGGGTGGATGCGGATGTGACGATCGCGGGTTGATAGGACGATGATAAGGGGCGGTAGAAGGCAGTTGGTCAGCGATGGTTCACTACAAATGCCAGCCGGTGGCGAGTGGGGCAGAGCGGCGAATGGATGGCAGGAGGAAGTGCGGGGGGGCTAGATGCAGACGTTGGATGGGGGTGGAAGGCGGTAGAAAGCGGGTGGCAACGGCTCCGAGCACACGTGACGACCCGCCCGGCCCCCGTCGCCATCCGCATCCATGCTCTCCCGCTATGCTCGATAGAGTGGTGGTGGGATAGAAAGTACTCACGTTGGGTGGTAATGAAGGGGGATGAGAGGAGGAAGAGAAAGAGAAAGAGATAGAAAGCTGACTGGGTTATATCGCATCATCGCCCCGTCCGCCGGAGCACCCCGCATCCGGAGCATGGCCCAGACCCTGAGCCCCATGTCCGGATGTGGTCAGCGGCGATGTCCGCTGGTGGCGACGCGCCGTGTCCGGACGTGTAGTGACGCATGGGTGCTAGATTGGTTCTGTCTCCAAGAGTTGTATATAGATATACGCCACTCTCTCAGACTCTGGACGGGTCCCTCCACTCCTTGCTCACCATGTCCATCTCTCTCCCAAACGGCACCCTCCTCGCCGCCCCCTCCTCGAACCAGGTACAGCTCTCCGCAGCCGTCACTCGCATCCTCCATCTCGCAAACTTCTCCCCAGAGTAAGCCTCGACGCCCCCGCATGCCACGTATGCTCACCCAGATCCAGGCTCAAGACCCGCGACCTCCAGCTCATGTTCAAGGACTGGGAGAGCGACAAAGGGGGCTACAGGATCAAGTGGCTCGACGACACCAACGCCTTGATCGTCTTTGCCGATGCCAACGTCGGTCAGTCTGCTTTCCGTCCACAGGGAGCCCATCTGTCCCAGGCTGGGTAATCTCGAGAGCCCACTATCGCACTCCCATCTCAAGGGAACCATGCTGACTCCTCGCCCCTAGCCAAACGCGCATACCTCTCCTTCCTCCTCCACCCGCCCTCTGCCTTCTCGGGCCTCATCCGCCCCTACGACCGCCCCGACGCAGCCGCCATCATCCAATCCCTCGCCGCCCGCTCCCTCGGCCACCGCTCAGGCATGTCCTCCGTCGCCCACATGTCGGGCCAACCCTCCATCTCTGGTCCTCCCGCCCCCTTCCCGTTCCCCGCCAACAACGACCCTGCTGCGCCCCAGGTGCATAGCCGCGCCATGAGCGTCACCAACGCGCACCACCATTCCAAATCCGGCTCCATCTCGGGCTTGCCCGGGGGTGCTGGGGCGCCGGCTGGTGGTGCGGCGGGGGGCGTGGCGGGTGCGCCGAGGAGAGCAGGACATGGGCGTTCGGGATCGGCGTCTTCGTCGTGGGGACGCAATTCCATCTCTGGTGCGCTCAACGGCTTGAGCAGCGGACTCGGGTCTCTCGGAGGCAGCGCAGGGCTCGCAGGCGGCGCGCTCTCCTTCCCCAACGCTTCTTCCAAACCCACCCTCCCCACACACGATGAATCATCCGGCGGGCCACCTTCCCGCTCGGCGAGCACCTCGAGCGGCGAAGCCGTCTTGCTCGTCGACCCGAGTGCGCGCACGGGGATGAGGACAGCTTCGGCTACTGGGAGTGTGGAGGGTGGTAATAGGCCGAGGAGGGATAGCGTCAGCGCGGACAAGGCGTTGAGGGAGGTGCAGAAGGCGTTGGCGGCTACGAGCTGAGCTCTTGTCTCCCATCTACAATCACACCGTGAAAGCGTTACACCGTGTACGATATTTGATGATCAACAAACCGACCAACCGCATTTTTCGATAGCAACTCTTTATGCTACACACGAAAACCCTATTTGTAGCACAAAAGTCAATCTTTCGACTCTTCTTCTGTACATATCATTAACACCTTTGACTCTACATCACATCAAACCCTATGCAAGTGTTATGAGATATAGAGACTTCACGATTATATACAATTATAGGTCTCTTTCCTTCTTCTACACAGGGACTTCACTGTCTACAGGCGGTTCACTCTGTCCGCTTTCATTCTTGATCGGTGTACCACCCGCACTCCCCACATCGCTCTTTGCAGGAGTGTTGGGTAACGACACGCTCGCAGGATCCACAACCGGCACCGACGTCCCAGTCCCTTGCGGGCTCAACGGCCCTCTCCCACTCTGCACACTCTGCCCAGTCGTCTGCGGCACCATCTTCCCCCCCGTACCCGGCGTCGCCGTCCCCGTCCCCGTACCCGACCCGCCAGTCAACTGCGCCCTCAACATCACCTCATCCTTCCTCAACCTCAGCCTATCCGCCTCTTCCGCCCCTCCCGTCTTTTTCAACTTGCGCCCCCCCACAAACCCGCGCAACTCGGCTTCAAAGTCGTCCACCTTGTTCAGACGCTCCTTTTCGCGCATACGTTGCTGCGCTTCGATGGCGCGCAGACGAGAGTCGGGGTCGGCTTCTTTGTTTCGGATCTCGAGCAAGAGTGTAGATATATCCCCCCCGCCAGACGTCTCATCCCCCGCATCCGCGCCGACCCTCACTTTCACAGGCCTATTCCCCGTCGCCCTCTGCTCCACAAAGTTCTCCACAAACCCCCACATACTCTTCGCATCCTCCACATCCTTCTTCAAATCACCCACCAGCTTGATCTGATGGTTCAGCAGCTTTTGCTCCTCCATCACGCGATGCAGCTCGCTCTGCCACGTACCGCGCCAAGCCGGGTCGGCAAGCTTGACGGCTTTCGCAAAGTCGTCCACCATCTGCGTCGACTTGGCCAGTTCCGCCCGGATATCGTCGAGCTGGCGTTTGGACGGCGTCACGTAGCGCTTGTAAGCGTCGATACGGGCAGCATCAATGACATCCGTGATATCTTCAACAGCCTTGATCGTATCCGTAAACTGCGTGTCCAACTCGGCTTTACTCTTGTCCACCAGCGCCCTGTTGCTGTTGGGATTCACCGCAGTGATCTTCTTCATCGCAGCAAGCTCGTCCCGGAGCGCGGTGATGGTGGTAGTAGACTCTTCCAGGTGTTCGTTGTGCGCTTGCCTGGAGATGGCCAGCTCCCGCCGGAGGAGTCCGAGCTCGTCGTGCTGTTCTTGCAGCTGCCTGATATGGTCTTCCGTAGGACCGACGACGAGGGGTGTAGGGGCGGGAAGTGACGCGGCACTGGCAGGCACTTGGTTCGGAGACGCAGAGGGGCTCAGGGCGAGGTCTTCTTTGAGAGCTGGAGGGGCGAGTACAGAGAGGCGTTTGGTAGTCTCTTTTTCTTTTGCCAGGGCTGAGCGGAGATCTTTCATCTCTGTCATGAGCGTGGCAAAAGTCGAGTCGATGTGGAGTTTGACCTGATCAAGAGCTATTATAACATCAGTATCTATATAGATCAACGCATGCAGCAACTCACGCTCAATGTTTAAACACAATGTACACCCTTCTCTCAGATCCTCAATTCCTTCAAGTTCATACTCCATCCCATCTTTATCCCTGATATACACATCCGGAAAGTCTTCCTTTCCCGGATCATACTCGAATCGTTCCATAAACACCAATTTCAGCTGCTCCAGCGTGATTGGCAGGTCCAACGTCTGTTTCTTGGTCTTGCGCCCGATTTGAAGAAAGACGGGGAGCTTGTTGGGATCTCTAGGTGGGAGAGTGGGGTCGGACGGCGGACGGGGAGTAGCGGATGGCGAGGAAGGAGGGGGTGTCTTGACGATACGGACAGATCCAGTAGGACTGGAAGGCTCAATCGTGCCATGCGTCGCATCCTCATCCCCGTCCTCTTGCACCTGCTCCAAATTCGGCGATCCACCTCTCGAACCTCCAGCTCTATCCGGCACCCCAACACCGAGGCCGACGCCCTCGGGAAGGGGTGTGATAGCACTCGTCTGCTGCATCTGCTGCTGCTCTCGCTCTCTCGCAGTCTGCTGAGCAGCTCGTCGGGTGGGTCTTTGTGGGCTTGCACGGGGAGAAGAGGGGTCAAAGTTGGCCATTGTAAAGGACGAGAATCGTTTGGAAGCTCGTCTCTCCAGGACGTCTGAACGGCCCAAGGCGGCAAGAGTTGCACGAGTGCCAGGAGGTACTTCGGGTATCGGAAGAGACTCGGGAGAAGGTAGATTGGGATGAAGAGACGAATAGTTTTCCTGAGCGGCAGGAGGGGTCGAAGACTGCAGGTTGATCTGCCCCGGCAGCTCCAAAGAGGGCAGAGCTGGATTCTCACTGCTAGGCTGCTGGGAATGCCTCTCACTGCTCCCACTAGCCCTAGATTGCCTGTCAAAGCTCGTTCTCGCCGGCCTCCGTTTCAGGTCAACCGACCCCCTCTTTTCTTCTTCCTCGGGCACCGCGTCCATCTTTCCAGCTGCCACACTTGCCCCAGCCTCATTCACAGGAGATGTTACAGACGCCTCCGAGTCCATCGAAAACCTTGATACCGGCCGTCCAAAGCTATCGCGAGGAAATCGATCAGGCCGAGGAGGTGTAGGCTTGTTGGTGTTGATGGAAAGATTAGGTTTGGGCTGTGGTGCGACTGATTGAGGAAGGGAAGGAGCAGAAGGGGCACCCGCCAAGGCTGTGCCAGAGCTAGACCGAGAGCCAGGTGAGATGGAGATGACGGGGATGTCATAACTCGACTGACTCTGGCTATCAGAGCTTCCGCCACGAGCCATGACATGATGGATACCATCTTGATGCGGTGGATTCGGCGAGCTGGGACGCCGAGGACCAGGAGGTCTCGCGGGGCGGAAGGCGTCTGGTGGTGGTGGGCGGGAGGGCATGGGACGGCGTTCGCGTTCTGCCAAAGCAGGATTGGAGGGTGTGCGCTGTGTCGGGATAGGCGAGACGGAGGGATAACCTTGTGGCAGCTGCTGTGGGATTATAGATGGCGATGCGGACGCTGTGGAAGTACCAGAGCGCCCTGACAGACGAGGATCATCGGGATATTCTCTAGAAGCGTTCCGGCGGGGAGGATTGGGGGCAGGCTGAGCTGTGGGCTGAGTTATGGCAGGCGCCGCCGGCGCTTGGGAAGTCTGAGATAGGTTGGTCAAAGACGAGCTCGGCTCATACGACCTTTTGTCCTGCATCATCCGCTTGTATTGAGACTGCTTTTGCTTCAAACCTTGAAGAAGATTGTAGATGATCTGGCGGATCTCGGGTAGATAGAGCTCCAAAGCCTCTCTGGATTGCTCCTCGGATAGACATTGCTCGAGGCAGTTACGAAGATCTTGCGGTATAGAGCTTAGCTCGCTGGAGAGGTGGTCAGCGAATGGTCTTGGCATCAACGGCAGTTACGCACCTGGTCTCGATGCTGACTCGGTTGAAAGCTTGCACGCAAGTTTCAAACCCATTCCCCAGCCTCACATAGATATCGCTGACCTGTAAACAATTAGAAGTGGCTTGGATCAAAGATGCGAGATTACTCACATCTGTCTCCGAGATGATGCCTTGTGACCATTGTTCCAAACCTTGCAGTAATTGCTTGGTAGTGACCAACAGACGTGTAATAGACGAATCAAGAGCATTGGGGTACTAGGACATGGTCAGGGCATGAGATATCGCACAACCCCAATAACACTCACTGCAGACCTTGAGCCGCTAGTCTGCCTTGCATGTCTGTCTTTGCTGGAGCTCGATGTGTAGTACCCGTCCCCAGCGCTGCTGCTCGCTCTGGGCTGCCCTATATGTGGGGCGGCCTGGGGTACAGGATACGATATGTTCCTTGACATTGAAATGAGACGGTGGCCGGAGGGAAATGGTCGGGACGGCGAAGAGTGCGAGGTGATGTTTTGGCGATGTGAAGCGCTGAGTCCGTCGGTGCGCTTGAAGCTGTCGGGCACTCCCTCGGTAGCTCACAGGGGCGATGTAGGAGTGGGGATATAGGGTATTTATGGGAGAAGACAAGCAGTCAGTGTCGGATCACAATCTGATGCAAAGTCGTGACCGCAGCCTTCATGATCTGATCATGCTTTGGCTCCTAGCGCCATTACGTAAGTGTCAACGCGGCGCTCTTCCAGCAGCAGCTTGGCAGCAGCAGCAAGAACAACACCGGCAACAGTTGGGCAACCGTCAATCAGCCAACAACTCAAACAGCAGACAAACAGTCAGATCTTTGACAGGTATTCGTACCTCATTGAGGACCGGAACAGGGTCATCTCTCTAAGGTGTCGGACTCTCTCTCGGACTCTTTTTCAACTGAAAGCATTGAATTTCATACCGACTTAAGCACTCCATTCTAGAGACCAACGATCAACACTACGTTGAGTTTTCCTCAAGCCAGTCCGCTTACGTCGATCAATCACTTGTTCGTTCGGGCGACAAGCAAAAAATACATTGAAGCATCTGGAGGAGAATTGAAGCGCGACTTTGTGTTGACGAGGATGAGACGAGCAAAGTCCATTTTGGAAATCAAGATGACTACTGCGGCGAGTCCATCTTTTTGAGCCATCCCGCTCGACTCCTTCATGGGAATTTTGGGCCGTGATATCTTTTTGGAGCGGTCGCCGAATCGCACAAGCAATAGACCGACGTAAGCGGGCTGGCTCAGGGAGATGGGCTCGCCGTAGTAATCGTTCTTCCAAGATGAACTTGGCCCGTCCCATCTTCGTGACCTTTCACTTCTCCTCCATATGTTTCAGTGCCATTTCTGCCACTTGTGGCGAGGTGAAAAGGGCAAGGGACTCGTTTCAATATAAGTTATAGACCCGTATGATGGACTTGAAAGCAGATGAACTCAACCAGCTCTTGCAAGCTGAATTTATGTTGCTCTCGGTTGCTCTTTGCTCATAAATAGGGCTTTAGGAAATCCAGATGTGTGCTACTATTGAGCGAGGGTACACTTGTATCGCTGCTCCTGGTTTGACAAGTCTACTTGTACTTTCCGGATCAAGGTGGTAGACCTAGCCGCCGCTCTTATTGCTGCACACGAAGATACTCTGCCCGACCATCCCGACCCATGGTCATCGTGTACCGCTTCAGCGCATTTGGTGCCCTATCTTTCCCCCTCGCATAGAGCGTAGGAGTGGAGGGAAAGAAATCATACGCGTAACTGATGTTTTTGCGGCGTGCCTTGCCGCTTATCTGAAATTTGTGACGAGGATGCTCACAACGTCTTGCATCTACACAGCATCTACCTCATAATATCAAGTCAAGTTTTCGTCGTTACTTGAAGTGATCGTATCTGTGTGCACTTTACCACTCAATCAGGCGCCTTGCTAACTTTGCTTCTTACAGCTGGAGCTTCAATCCAAAGCCAAGACAATCATCCCATCTGAGGTCCTAGCTTCCGACTGAGAGGCGATTCCAAGGACTGTAAGCTCGCTCCTCGTCTCGTCAGTGCGATCCTGCAAACTGACTACTCGCGTATAGATTCCCCATCACACCTTTGACTCGCCGGTGTCCCATCCAACACGACAGGCCATGCGCTTCCAACCCCAAACCCCCTCTGTCAGGGTCACCAACATCCCAGCCCTCCTCGACCACATCGTCTGCACCCTCCCTCCCAGAGACCTATTCCAATGCCTCCTCACCTCTCCCGCCTTCTTCCACGCTGCCGCCAAAACGCTCTACCGCTGCGTCTCTGTCGACGACCGGCTCATCCCTGGAGTCCTCTTGGGTTTGCCCAAGGCCACATGCCGGTGTGGGGCAGGGAACCACGAGGACGATGACTGTACACACTCTCCTTCGGTCTTCAGCAAACACATGCTGGTGCGCTATATACGGCAGACCATTGTCGTGCGCTCGCATGATACCTGTATCTGCCCCTCTCTGCTCTATCACATCGCCCTCCCTCGACTCGAGCGCATATATCTCGTCGACTCCAGAGATGGTCTTGCCATGTACGACATGGCTCTGGAAGAGATGTGCTCAAAGCCCTACTGCCCTTTCCTGAAGAACGCGTGCTCAAAAGCTACCCAGCTCGTCCTCACCGAATGCCACAACGCCTCCTTCGCCGAAGCCACCCCTGCGTCCATCCTCCCCAACTTGCACAACCTGATATGGGTCATGGGCTGCCATGACTTTATGATCTTGGGCGAGAATATCGGGGCGCATGCGGTCAAAGTCGGTACGACGAAGGAGGTGGATATGCTTTGCTGGTGGGATCTGTTGGACAATATGGCGAGGAGCGTCATGCTGGAGGGTAGCTTGACCAGCGTCTCGACCTCTCTCATGGAGGCTTGGAAATCGCACACGGATCTTGCTTTTGGGCCTTTCAACGGCGCAGAGCTGGCTGTGAGAATCATGACTTCCCTTGGGCGATATACGTCGGTCGACACGATCCGTCTTTACGACTTTGAGGCTTTTGCCCAAGTCCAGCTCGGAGCGGTAAACCCGCTCGTGGTTCCAGATGTCAAAGACTCCGCTGTTGCGGCCTTTTACAAGGGTCGAGGATGGAAGCTTCACCGGGAGGCGCTGGTGAAGGAGCCACTGACGGCGGACGAAGTCTATGCCGAACTCGGCGACGACGAATATCCCCCAGCCGACCCCATTGCCGAAGGTCTCTCCGTCACTTTCCATACCAACAAAGACTTTTTCCGGCGCTACGACGATATACCTCCCGAGGTCATTGAAGTTCCCGAAGAGTATCAGCTCTGGAACCGGAATGTCGTTAACCCTCTTCCGTCGCTTGTCAGTCTTCGGCAACGATGTGCGGAGCTTTTGGATTTGCCCGAGTGGCAGCTATGGCCGTTTACGGCTGGGCAGTTGAGGTATATGGTTTCCAACTTTCGGAAGGAGTTTGGTTTAGGACTGGCGGGAGCGTGATTGGTGGGAGGCAAGGGGCATATGGATAGAGACGCGGTAAGAGGTGGGACAAAGAGGTCGTTCGCGCTTAGCGAAAAGCTACGAGTACGGCTCGTGAGGTGTGTCGAAGCCGTCCGCGTCCTCCGGAGTTGATCAGTATGTTGACAGCCATGAATAGACTTGCTATGCACTTCACATGGATATTATGCACATGGCAGTATGAATTGACTTTGACGAGACACATCGTATGGTTTGCGGAAGGGAGAGACAGATACAGATTCAACCCGCCGCGCCTGACGTGAGTCAAAAGCAGCGAATGAGGCAGATCGTACAGTACGACTCGACTAGACTACAACAATATCCCAATTGAAAGGCGACGTGACGAGCGAGACAGTGTCGCTGCTGAAGGTCGTCTGGGTATCATTGTTGAAAGATTCCCTTCATCATCAGAGTAGTAAAGGAGATCGGCACCCGCCGCTTGTTGCCTCCACCTCGCTGGTGGTCGTCTCGGAAGTTGTCTCATCGGACTCTCTGCTGCCAAAACACTCTCAAATCGACATGTCTGTCCCACGTCTCCTCGTAGTAGGTGGAAATGGCTTCCTAGGTACGTCCATATACGATTTGAGACGAAAGACTCTCGCTTACGGGGCGACAGGCTCGGCGATCTGCAAAGCAGCTGTTGGCAAAGGTTGGGAAGTCAGCAGCATGAGGTATGGTCACCCTCCCATGCTTACCTTTTGGACACTAACATCCATGATAGCTCTTCCGGCAAACCATTCACCACCCCCGCGGGCCATACTCCCGCCTGGGTCCCCCGCGTCACATGGCACGCTGCAGACGCCTTCTCGCCTTCCTCCTACTCATCGCTCGTTTCATCCTCCACTGCTGTCGTCCACACTTTGGGTATCTTGCTAGAAGACCAGGGGTACAAGAAGGCTGTGAGGGAGGGAGATGTACTTGGGCTGGCGGGGAGCATGGTGAAAGCTCTGGAGGGCGGGGCGAACCCTTTGAAGAGTGCCGAGGAAAAGAAGAGAGGGTATGAAGGGGTCAATCGGGACTCTGGTGAGTCACCAAGTACGTTGATGGGATCATGGCTGACTAATTACTACAGCTCTGACGGTCCTGAATACCATGATCAGCACACCACTGCATCCTTTACCGGCAAACGAGATCCCGAGCGAACGACAGTTCGTCTATATCTCCGCTGCCGACGCTTTCCGACCTGCAGTACCAAAGAGGTATATTGAAACCAAGAGGCAAGCTGAGCTCGAGATTGCTCGTTGCTGTTCCCAGACGGAAGGTATCAAACCAGTCTTCATCCGACCTGGTGCGTACTCTCCTCTCTGCCCCACGTCGAAGCTGACTCGGGATCCAGGATTGATGTACCACCCCCACACTCGCCCTCTCACCACCCTCCCCGCATTCCTCATCGACCTCTCCGCAAAGTTCCACGCTTTCTCTCGGCTGCCCAACCTCTTCCCCTCCGGCTCATTCTTGCACGGTGCTTCCGAGAGTCTGCGGACGTACCCGCTGCATGTGGATCACGTGGCGAGCGCGGTACTACGGGCAGTCGAGGATGAGAAGTTGAGAGGTGTTGTGGAGGTTCCAGAGATGAGGGGATGGGCAGGTTTTGGAGAGGGGAAGACGAGAGAAGTAGAATGGCAGGGATAGTCACATCATCATCTGATTGTTGGCGCCATTCTCAGAACCAGTAGCGTGCCTAGAGGACCAGTATGTGATAGAACTGCCTAGGACGGTCCAAATGCAAGTCGCATCATTGCAATAACCATGGCGAGGCGCAATACAAGGCATCTGGATCTTTCTGGTTGTTGCTTGTTGTCCAAAATGGTAGTGTCGATTGCTCTGCCGATGTTCCTTATATCATTCATTCAATGGTCTATGCTGTAAGCTCTGGGCACTCTGCACTGTTTGAGCTTGCTACCTGCACCGAATTTGAGCAACTCGTTCTCGTTCTCTTGCTGGCCATCTTCAGCTTCGGCGGCCAGTGCCGCGGTCCAGATATCAGGTACGGCGGATGACATCAAGCTCGTCCAGCTATTTCAGGCGTCCATTGCATTTCAACGATCCTCAACTTGTGTCCGCCATGCCCGCCCCCATCCTCTCCGTCAAGGACCTCACCATCAACCGCGACTCGGGCGGCCCCATCCTCCACAACCTCTCCCTCGACATCGCTCCCGGCGAAGTCGTCGTCGTACGCGGCCCATCGGGATCTGGCAAATCCACATTGCTCAAATGTATAGCCGAGCTCAATCTCTACCAGCATGGGACCATCACCCTCGACGACAAGACGTCCAAAGAGTGGGGAGTTCCCAAATGGAGAATAAAAGTCGCCTACGTCCCCCAAAGACCCAGTATCCTCCCCGGCACACCTCTCCAGCTGCTAGAGACTATCCGCGGGTTTGCAGCGCGCAAGGAAAGCGCGAGAGAGATGAAGAAGCACGAGATTGAAAAGACCGACCCCCTGGATTTGGCGGAGAAATGGGGGATTGAGAAGACGATGTGGACGCGGGATTGGGAGACGCTGAGTGGAGGTGAGGCGCAGAGGATTGCTTTGGCGGTTTCGGTAGGCATTGGAGGCGCAGATGTCCTGCTTCTGGATGGTGCGTAAACTGCTCGAAGCATAGTTCTGGTGCTAATCTGGAACAGAGCCGACTTCTGCACTTGACGAAGAGTCCTCGAGAAAGGTGGAAGATAGCCTGATCGGCATGCTTCCACCTCCGCACAACGGCCATCCTTCTGTGAGTAGTCTCCTGTCGACAGAGAGCAGTGCTGATGACTGTGTAGGAGGGTGTACACCGCTATGATACGGGACTGAAGGCGCTTGTATGGATCACGCATTCGGCAGAGCAATCAGAAAGGGTTGCGACAAGAACGTTTGATGTCAGCCCTTTTAGACAATAGCATATGAAGTCGCATCCTGAACAACGTATGGACTCGTCTACGCCTAGAGGCCGTGCTCCCTACGCACGTCATCGGTCAACTCATGAATCTCAAGGAATCGATTATAAACATCGAGCATCGCCTCTCTCTATTCGTGCTTGTCAATCCATCCCTTCACCAGCTCCCATCCATGAGTGTTGGACGTTGCGGGCAGCGACACGAAGGGATATCCGCTTGAAAGGGGGACAGCCTGGAGTTTCCGAGTGAGAAGACAGTGGTACAAAAGTTACACTCGGGCCAGAGGGCAGCAAGGGGCGCAGGGGCAGACCGAAGGTAGGTTGGAACCGGGCCGAGAGACAGTCGCGCACTTGGGGATTGAGACAGTGTTCAGTTGGCTTCCGTGGCAGACAACAGGCTCTATTAAGGCTGTAAGGTTGCAGTGAATTCAATGACGACCGAACTTAGTGTCCGAAAGGGCGTTCGTTAGTACAACGCAGAAAGTGAGATGATGTTGACGATAGTGTACCCAGCCTCAGTGAGGAAGTGTACACCTATATACTTCACCTCGACCGGACTGTCAGTCAATTGCAAGACGGGCGAGTGTAGATGATCAGCCGCAAACGAAAGTGAAGCAGGAGCGAGAAGACGAGGATACACCCAAGCTAGACTGAATCCTCTCTATCACGATTCGTAGCAGCATATATGCACAATATGCTTCATCTTCTACCAGTATCGGCTCTTGACCAATCCCTGCCAGCTCCTCGCGACATAGTCCACGAAGCCCATGGCATCCCCAACGTTCTCTTCGGTGTTTTCCATGGCCTTTGCAAGCTTTTGGTAGCGCACGAGATTGGTGCGGAGAGAGGCGAGAGCGGCGGGGAGATGGAGGTTGACTTGATTACCAGAAGCTGTAGGGGACGGTAGTGGTTGTAAAAGATGAGATTCTATGAGAATGGGTCAGTAGACGCTCCTACACGAATACCTTCAAAGACTTACCCGCGACGAGATACACGATACCCAATCCCAACCTTTCTCCGTACCACTCTGGACCAGGGCCCACAGGCTCATTCCAGTACCCTCTCTTGACCACGCCTTTCTTAGCCAGTGTCGTAGCCTGGGCGTCGGTGGTGTGGTAGATCGCCTCCGAAGCGATGCGCAAAGAGTGCATCAACGGCGGGATGGGGTTCAACAGCGGGATGGGCAGAGGCGTTGTGCTGGACAGACGAGAAAGAGGAGAATCATCTTCTAGGGTAGGGAATGAGGGGTTGATTGGCTGAGGCTTTGGGGAAGTCTGCTTTGTTCCGGGAGAATAGAGAGGCGGCATGGAAGTTTGGAGGGACGAGAGGATTGTGCGGACGGCATTGAGGGGAAGGGGAAAGGTGTGAGTCTTGTCTGGAGTTGCCATGTTGGCATAGGCCTGTAAATCATGAGCGTCTGGTCAATTTGTTCGTAGAAAGAATTCTCACCTCCACAAGATGCTCTCCTACGCCAGCGCTATATTCCAGCCTCCGAGCCAGAAGAGCTTCCAGGCCCTTTCTTCCTTGGCCTTCTCCTGTTCCCCTCATGCTCTTCAGGCCCTCCTCCTCCCATGCTTCCACAAGCGCCTTGGCGGGAACCACATTTCCAGAACCAAATATGGTGTCGATGACGGCTTCTGGGTCGGGAATCTCGGGTTTGAGGGCGACCAGAGAGCCGACGAGGGCTGGTCGAGTGAAGGATTGCGAGGGGATGGCGGAAAGTGCTTTTGCGAGGATCTGGGCGCGAAGAGACATGGCGAGGGGAAGTTTATAGAGGTATAGAGAGCAAAAACAACATTTGACCCGGAAATCGGAAGAGATCGTTGTGAATGCGAAAAGTGGAGGTCGCTTTTATTTGTTGTGACTTTGGATCTTTATCTTCTCCATCTTTTTGAATCGGCCATGGCTTCAAGAGTATCCAGAGCACTGCCGGCACTCCGCTCTACATCTAGGAGTGCCATCCAAAAGAGTGCACCTCGTACACTCGTTTCCGGAGCTGGCGTAGCGCGGCTACGAGGTCAGGTCCTCGGTCGAAGAGGCAATGCTACAGAGGCTTTGGCACCTCGGGAGATCAAACCCTTTGTGGAAGATGGAACAGTAAACGCTTTCCATGGTATGACATTCTGACTATATTTATAGCGAACAGTGCTTACTCTCATCACAGGGCCCAGGCCAAAGATCACTCATGACATCTCGAAACTTTCGACCAGCCTTGAGAACCAAAAGGTTGTCATCGCCGGGTGGCTTTCTTCCCAGAGGTATGTCTCTCTCTGACCATGTGGGTATCGTGTCTGACAGCATCTTGTCGCCATAGGCGTGCTTCTGAGAAGCTCCACTTCTACACTCTCCGATCCCCTTCCTCATCTTCTGCCGTCCAGCTCATCTCGAAATCAAAACAAGGCGAAGGATTGATGGACTGGCCTCTTGAAAGTGTTGTTCTCATCGAGGGTACCGTCAAGGCTCGAAAGTCGAAGCCCAAGGACGCCACTTCTGTCAGTATTCCGAACCGTGACGTGACAAAATGCTGACTTTACCAGCCCGTAGACGACATTGAACTTGAAATTGAAAAGGCGATCCTGCTCAACCCGTCCGACAAGGTCCTTCCCTTCTATCCCAACAAGGGTCCTCTGGTATGTGTACCTCATAACATGCTGATGTCTGCTGACGCATCCCCAGGTCAACGAAGACCTCCGAGCCCAACATCGCTACCTCGACCTCCGCCGCCATGAGCTCGCCTCCAACCTCCGCCTCCGATCCCAAGTCTCCCACATCGTCCGCACATATCTCCACTCTCAGCACTTTACCGAAATCGAGACTCCCATCCTCCTCAACTCTTCCCCAGAAGGTGCTCGGGAATTCCTCGTCCCCACCCGCTCTCCCAATGCCGACGGTCAGCCGACCTTTTACGCTTTGCCCCAAAGCCCTCAGCAGCCCAAGCAGCTCTTGATCTCGTCGGGTGCTGTGGACAGGTACTACCAAATCGCTAGGTGCTTCAGGGACGAAGATGGAAGAAAGGACAGACAACCCGAGTTCACCCAGATCGACCTCGAAATGGGTTTTGTGAGCGGTGCTGCTCCTGAACCTACACCAGGGCAGGATGGTCAGGAGATGCGGAGTACCTGGGCTATCGGAGGATCAGAAGTGAGAGAGGTCGTGGAAGGCATGGTGAAGAAGATTTGGAAAGAAGTGAAGGGCATTGAATTGGAAGGGTGGTTCAGGGTCATGCCTTATCAAGTGGCTATGGACGTCTATGGATCGGACAAGCCGGACACGAGGTTCAAGTCGTATTGTCTTCCTATCGGGTACTACCCTCATCTTTCGGATCCTTCCATTGACAAGGTGTTGATGGACGAGAGCCCGTATCAGGTGGAGTGGATGGTGACCCCCGCCGAGCAAGCCAAGGGTATTGATGTCAAGACTATCGCTGGTGATAATGCCTTTGTGAGTCATGCTCTCTTCGGGATCGCTATTCGTACTAAAGAAGGCTATGCAGATTGACTACGTCAAGATCACTCCTGAAAACACCCACTCGTGGCTCGGTGAATCCGTGCTCACCGCTCCTCTCGGCCTCCAGCTCGACAAAAACTCGCCATACCCCGGCGGTGTTGAACCTGGAGATATCATCTGGCTGTCTAGGCGAAAGAAGATTGCTGAGGGCGGATGGACCAACTTGGGCAGGCTGAGGGTGCAGATCATGGAAGAGCTCGTTTCCAAGGGTAAGTCCGAGGTCGTCTTGGTGAGCACCTGCTAATGATTTGACAGGTCTTGCCCAACTTCCCGACGAGCCTCACTTCTTGTGGATCACCCAGTTCCCTCTGTTCACCCTCGCCGACGAGGACAAGGCTCAACTCTCCCGTGGACGTTACGCTGCCACCCACCACCCCTTCACCGCCCCCGCTTTCGAAGACCTTCCCGCCCTCAAAGCTGGAGACGTCTCCAACGTCAAGGGCCAGCACTATGACCTGGTCCTGAACGGCCAAGAGATCGGAGGAGGCAGTGTGAGAATACACGATGTCAAGTTGCAGGAATACGTCATGAGGGAGATCTTACAGTTGGATGATGAGGAAGTGGGCAGGTTTGATCATTTGCTGAGGGCGTTGAAGTGTGGCGCGCCGCCGCATGGTGGTATAGCGCTTGGGTTTGACAGGTTGGTGGCGATCCTGGCAGGCGCAAAGAGTATCAGGGACGTGATTGCGTTCCCGAAATCGACGACGGGCCAGGACCCAGTGTTCAGGTCTCCTAGTGTGTCGGGGGACGAGGTGCTGAAGGAGTATGGACTCCGCAGCCTGAAGAAGGAAGCCACGCATGAAGAGAAGGAAGTGCAGGTATGAGATGGTACACTTTAGACAGATAGACCTTTGTGATATGCATAGCCACCATCTCTTGAGACTCGAAGTGCGGCTGCGGCCGCCGACTCCCACGTGGGCCTGCTTTCGGTGCAAAGTTGTCGAAGGTTGCCAACCAAGCAGAGCCTGCTGACAAGATCTCCCGCCGGGACAAGATAGTTGCTGCTCTGCAGTGGTTGTTGAAAGAGAAAAACCTTTCTATAGTGATGTCTCCATTGATGGTAATGCGTTGACTACCTACTACCTAGAGGACGGACACCTACCAATGCCTTGCTTTAATTCTGTCGCCTCCGCTTCCACCGAAGCCGAAGGTGCTGGATATGTCCCCCCTCTCACGGCTCCTTCTCAGTCGTCTGGCGCTTCCCAGCCATCGGAAGACGTCATGGTGGACGTCTCTGGTTGTGTCACTCTGGTCATCATGTCAGCCTTCAATTCAAGTTCACCAGCGGAGTCGTCTCCGTCTGCAATGACGCTGCTGCCGATGGGTATGAGTCGAGCAGCGCTGACAAGCAGGACAACCACCCCTCCAATGGCCATGAGGGAGACACCCTGTACGTAGTACGCTGGTGTGACTGCTGCTAGAGTCCTTGTAACTGACGTCAGCTCTTCTCAAGCGTTCTTTTCTGGGCCCACGGGCGCAATGGGAGGTTCCCCAACACTTGCCCCGTCGCTCCCTTTGGCAGGAGGCTTTTACCACTTCCGTGAGCTATCTAGTCTGGCGTGATGACTTTCAATACATATGAAATACGTGCTAACCTCGTCTGTTATCATGTAGGGACAAGTGTTGACACGCCTGAGCGCGGTTAGCACAGCCGCAATGCCGACGCCAACACGGCCCTCTATCGAGACGGTCGAGGTGTCGACACCTCTATCTCCACGTACGTTCACACTTCTCCGCGCCGATCACCATATCACTAAAGTTGACCCCGATTCCTCCGTCCTCTTCCAACAGCCGCTGGCCTCGCAGCATCGCCGCCGCGAAGTACTCCCTCGCCGTTAGCCCGGACCCTACCGGCCTCTTGATTTGTACGCCTTGACCAGGTTGTCAAGGCCGGTAGATTTCGGGCTAACGGCGAGGGAGTACTTGGCGGCGGCGATACTGCGAGGCCAGCGGCTGTTGGAAGAGGACGGGGAAGCGTGGGGCCAACCTGAGGGCGGGTGATATGAACATTGGCGGGTAGAAGTGTAAACGTACGTGGAGATACGTAGACTCAGGAGGTGTCGACACCTCGACCGTCGGTGGTAGCCGCGCTTGGGAGTCTCGGACACGTATCCCTACGTCATAAGGGACCAGGTCAGCACGCGCCTGATAAGTATGATGGAAGTCACGACGCTAGATTAGATAGCTCACGGAAGTGGTAAAGGCTTCTTGCCAAAGAGAGCCGACGGGGCAAGTGTTGGACAGCCTTCCATAAGAGCGCTTGAGAATAGCTGACGTCAGTGACAAGGACGCTAACAGCAGTCACAGAAGCGTAATGCGTACAGGCTGTCTCCCTCATCGCCATCGGAGGCGTCCTTAACCGGAGTGGCGTTTCGATATGAATTGATCTTGTCGATGCTGTGGTCGAGAAATGACTCCTGAGGCCATTGGGCATGGTCGAAATCATGGAGACAATGGTAAGAGGATGAGTGAGTGAAGGGGCAGATCTGTGAGAAGGGAAGGAGGTGGCACTCACGGTGCGAGGCTCTTGAAGAACATCCCTCGGTTGAAGGACAAATGGCTGCCCGTTGGCTTCATCCTCTTCTTCTTCATCGCCGCCCTCCTCTCTCTGCCCACAACACCCGCACGGTCCCCTACTTCATCATACTGGAGGTCAAACCGTCAGCCATAGAAAGAGGAGGAAGACTGAAGGCGAACCTGTATGACCTGATTGCGCCGGTTCTAGGAGGACACACGAGTCAGTAAGGACGGCAGAAGGGCAAAGATGATGTAGCACTGACCATTTTATGTGGACGATGAGGGTCTTGGGAATCATCAAGCATGTGGTGTCGTCGATTTCGAGGATTTGGACCAGAAGACAACGGAGGATCAGGGCGTCCCGGAGAGCGGTCGGGTGTGCTACTAGCTCGTGACTGCTGGCCTGAGGTCAGTCGATGTCGTCGATTCACAGACACAGGGGAACAAAGGCTACGGACAGGACCAGGAGCCGCTCGAGAGGGGTTGCCGTTTGACTGATGAGATCTAGAAGAGTTAACATTCAGGCCAGAGTTCAGGATGGCAGGATGGTTCGGGACATCATGATTCTGTACAGGACCAGCAGGGATGAGACATCGTCGTTAACCACACCTCTCAACACATGAGGATGATCACCTTCGACGCCGCCGACGCGAAAGATAGATGCGTTAAGGACGTCTTGTTTTTGAGAAAGGTGAGAGTGGATGTCGAGTCTGCGCTGCTCCCGGTTATAACGACATGATTCATATCTATTTTCGACTTCTTACGCTAATATTATCTTTCATTCTACTTCTGAACTCAAAGTTCCAACCTTACGACGTTCAACAGCTCAGAGCTTGAGACCAAGCTTGGCGAACTGAGCCTTGTCGGAGAACTCGGGGTCGTTCTCCTGGAAGATGTCGTAGGTGGGGTCGAACGAGTCGGACTGGTCACAGACTCGGCTGTTAGGAGTAGACTCAGCGAGCTGCTCGAGCGCCTCAAAGTCCTCCTTGGAGAGGTCGACAACTGCTCACAAATTAGCTCCTAGCCATTACTACTACATGAGGTAGACTTACGCTTGATGTTGTTGGCGATCCTCTCGGGAGTGACAGACTTGGGGACAGGGTTCACACCCCTCTCAACCAACCAAGACAAGAGAATGTTGGAGGTCTGGACACCATACTTGTTGGCGAGCTTTTCAACGGCCTTGTTCTCTCGGAGGTTGGTCTTGCCAGTACCACCGAGGGGAGAGTAACCCTGAGGAAGGATGTTCTTGGATTTGAGGTAGGCGACGAGCTCGGGCTGGGGAGACTGGATGGAGAGCTCGACCTGGTCTGTAAGAGGTGTTAGCGGCGAGAGAGGGGGGAAGAGGGAGGAGACATACCGGCGACGGGCTGGATCTTGGCAGTCTTGAGGAGCTTTTCGAGTCGGTTGATGTTGAAGTTGGATACACCAATAGACTTGACGAGACCCTTCTCGACGAGCTTCGTTGTATATCAGCATTGTTTTTCATTGAGACTTGATAAGCTGCTTACGTTCTCAAGAGCCTTCCAGGTGGAAGAGGGGTCGTCAGAGATGGCAACGTCGAGCTTGGGCTTGTTGTCCTTGCCCTTGGGGACGTGCTCCTGCTGGGGAAGGGTACCCTCAGGGGCATCGACCTGGAGACCGATCTGCATACGCGTCAGACATGCACCATCCCAGTAGAGAGCCATCACTCACGTTCCAGTGCATGAGGTACAAGTCAAGGTACTCGAGACCCAAGTTCTTCAAGGTGTCCCTGACGGCGAGCTCGACGTGCTCGGGGTGGTGGTGAAGCTCAAAGAGCTTGGAGGTGACCCAGATCTCCTCTCGGGGGACGCCAGAGGCCTTGATACCCTGGCCGACCTCCTTCTCATTGCCATAGGCCCAAGCGGCACTGTCGCATGATTAGCGGGAGATTGACAGAGACGCAGAGACGACCTACTCGATGTGCCTGTAGCCGCTCTTGAGGGCAGACTCGACAGCCTTGGCGACCTGTCCGGGCCTACAGGATGGTCAGTATGGATGCCTTAATGGTGTAAGATGACGCAGAAGGAGGCAGATCCGAGATCGAGCACGCGATGACGTGTCTGGCGGATGACATAACGCTCGGAAGGCTTCCTTTGCTGCATCGATCCATGGAAGACTTACTCGGATTGCCACTGAATGCATCGTCAGCACGGGGCCTCGTGCGGGAAGAGGCGAGAAAAGGGGACTTACGGTACCGAGACCGATAGAGGGGATCTTGCGGCCATCGTTGAGGGTGAAGGTGGTAGCGGGAGCCATTTTGTCTGTGTTGTCTGTGGTGTTGGTGGTGTTTTTAGTAGGTAGTTGGGTGATTCGCTGTGTTTGTGTGGGATGGAAGATGAGAGAAGAAAGAGAAAGAGATGTGATTCGGGGGAATTATATCATCCCCAGTGAGGTCACCATGCGGTCAGCCCCATTCAGGGAAAGCGGCCAGTCCCGCCTCCACTTTTGCTCGGCATCCTCGGGCCGGAGTCATATTTGCCGTCCAGAATGGCGCAGATGGGGCACTGGGTTGTTCGGGGATGCCAGGGGGCGAATGGGAGAGGGGAATCACCAGCGGTGTCCAGAAACAGCCGCAGATTACCAGCGCTGCCCTGACATTCGCCAATCTTTACCTTCCCGCCTCGCTTCTTTATCTGCTCAATCCCTCCTGAGCCCATTATTATTCACCAGCAAATCACCAGCGGGCTTGATCCGCATAACCTCCTGCTATACTCCGTGACATCCCCACTCACTCCGCATCAAAGTACTTCTAACAACAGGGTGCATACTAATCTTCCGCTTGACAACTATACTTTGTATATCCCCCTCTTCCGTCTATGTTCCTATTCTTCCTCCGAGCTCTCCTCTTCACTGCTACTGTCCTCTTCAAACCCATTCGCGCCCCCTTGCGCTCCAGCCTGCTGCCCAAGCTGCATCCCAGCTCCCTGACCACTGAAAGCCTGGAGCTGAGCCTCCATCTTTCGAATACGCTCGGCTTCCTCGCGCTCATTGACGCTGCGTCGAGAAACACCACCCATCGCCTTGCGCCCAGTCCCCGTAGCCTTCTTACCACTACCACGACCGCGCTTCGCATGTCCACCACGTTGTCCCCTACAGACCAGATTGTACAGCCTAGAGATGGTAGCGGCAGGCAGCGAGTCGATATCCAGCTCGATTTCTTGGTTCTCCTTTCCGATGTCAGCTTTGGCAAAACAAGAGAGGCAGTGCTTACAGATCCAAGGTTGGTGGTCTGCTGAATAATCTCCACAACATCCTGCAAAGTCTGCGCCCCCGCTTGTCCAATCTTTTCCGCCAACTCTTGCTTTTGCCCATGCGACAACATCCCATCGCCGACCTCTTCCTCGTCATCCTCTTCATCCTCATCTTCGCTCTCCAGGTCATCCCTATAAGTCCCGTGCGCGGCGCCGCTCTTCTTGGAAGGCTTTCTGTTTTGAGATGAACCTCCGTTGAGAGAGGGAGAGTGCTTGGATACGGAGGGTTTGTGCGAATGGCCCTTGGGCTTGTTGGCTCGCTTGTTGCCCCGAGAAGCGCGACGTTTGTTGATCCTAGAGCGGAGAGACGATATTTGCGAATTGATGCTGGCAGCTTGGGCTTCAAGCGCTCGCAATTGCACAGCTACTCTTATCAGCTTGGGTTCCTTCTTCAATCGACGCGAGCTCACTGTCTTCATCACTCGAGTAATCGTCATAGTCGACGTCTTCGCTGCTCTCCCTAGTGTCCGCCTTGGGCGGCAGGCTCCTCCACTTTTCATCCCAAACCTGCAGCAACTGCGTCGCGCTGGTATGCACCTCATGGCCAACCGGATTAAACTTCATCGCATTACTCGCCATCAACCTCATATCCTCGTCCACCTGCTGCACATCATCATACAACCCCTCTGTCAGCTTTTGCTTGATATGATTCAAGTCGATAGGCCTTTTGATCACAGTGGCATAGTCGGGAAGTTGAGCTACGAGCTGCTCAACGGGATAGAGGAAATGGGAGACGATGGCATAGTATTTGGTGGTGGCTTCCAAAGACTTGATGACACGGTTGGCCCATTGGAGTTGGGGGTCGCTTCTGCGCTTGGGTTTGCGCGCGCCGCCGGGAGATTCTTCCCAAGCCAGGTCTTTGGAAGGAGGAGGATGGATCTCGCGCTTGGGGCGGGTGTCGTCAGAAGAACGGCGGATGGTGGGAGGTTGGGACATGGAGGGCCGGCGGGCGTGAGCGCTGGATCCGGGGGTAGCGACAGGAGGGGGAGGGGGCGCGAAAGTGGGCTGAATCTCGTTAACCCTTGATCCAACAATTCAGACACAAGACTCACCTCAGGCGGCAGATTGTACAGACTCCTCTCAAACGCCTCCTCCAACTTTGTCGCACTCAAGCTCACAGGGTGGTTTGCCCCGTTAAACTTTCTCGAGTTTTCCCAGATTCTCCGTACATCCTCAGCCACCTCGGCCACGCTCCCATACCGTCCCTTGCTCGTATCCCACTTGCTCATCTTGCTCTTGTCCTTTGGCGGCCCGCGAGGATCCGACACGACCAGCTTGGTCTCGACAGTGCCGAGGTCCATGGGCTTTTCAATCACTTGATGATAGTGCGGAATATTGAACCGGACAGTGTCGACGGGCACCAAAAAGTTGTACGCGTCTGGTAATCGCTTTTTCAGAGATCGCACAGCGTTCAAGATGTACTTGTGCTGCGTGAGCGTGAGGGGCGTGGTGGGACCGGTCGGCCGGGGAGGAGGAGGTACGTATGAAAGCCAAGCAGGTGGAGGCAGCGGCTGGCCATCGGGCCCGACAAGAGGAACGTTAATGTCGATCGGGGGCTGCCCCGCAGGTGCCTGCTGCTGCTCCAAAGACGCATCCTCCTCTCTCGCCCTCTTTTCTTCCCTCTCCTGTTCCAGATCCTCTCCAGGCCGTTTGATGCTCTGCGTAGAAACGGGCGTATCAAGATCCATCGCCTCGCTCCCCTGCGTCTGCGCCGACGTCGACACTGGCGCCGCGCTTCCCTGGGCTTGCCCCTCGGCCGTGGCTGGTGAAGCCGCCGACAGCTGGGCCTCCCCCGGGAGGGTAATCACATCCGGCGTGGGGACAGCGCTGGGGATGGCACTGGGAGGCAGGGAGGGTGGTGGTTCGTCACCGGCTGAAGGGGATGGTGGGACAGGCGCGTCGGGCGGGAGAGGTGGCTGCTCGGACGACGGCTGAGGCGCGTCCGGGGTGGCAGTGGAATGGCCGTTGGGCTGGATGTCTCCGTTCGTAGCCGGATTAAGGGAATTAGGCGTGTTCGCTGGCTGGGCGATGACGGATGCCTCGGCGGGAGTGTCTGCAGCAGTGGCCGGGTAGTGCGACATCTGGATGCACGGGACAGGATCAGCATGGATGGAGATGCATGTGGATGGATGACTCACGATTTGCGGAAACAAACGGCCGCGCGAGGATCAAAACAAATAAAACAAATAAAAGTGGAGGCGGGGGGAAGAGGAAGGAGAAATCCGCGAGTATTTATAACGGCGCCTCCCTCCTCCGTCCCTGAAAGCGCGACTCACCGCCACTATCACTATCCCCGCTATCCCCGTCCATTGCCACGTCATGCCTCGGATGCCCGCCGCACGCAATGCATGTGTCTACTCGTACTCGCCCTCTTCCTCCTCTTCCTCCTCGTCCTCGAATTCCACCTCCATGCTGCCCTCGTCGTCCTCGCTCTCCTCATCACTCCCCTGCTCGCTGCCGTAAAAGTCAGCGGCCTCGTCTTCACTCTCGTCCTCGTCCTCGCTAACAATCTCCTCCTTGACCTTCTTGATCTTGGCAGCTTCCTGTCCGTCCGCAAGGAAAACACAGGTCAGCCTGGTGCCCTTGGTATCGTACTTGGCCGAGGGCTCAATGGTGTTCTCCTCGCCGTCTTCCTCCTTGTCGAGCGTCTGGGCGAGGTCGTAGAGGTTGATGAAGCCGTCAGAAGAGACGGAAGAGAGGAGGACGGTGGGGCGGGGGCCAGAGGGTGTAGGGAGGGTGAAGGGGAGGGAAGAAATGTCCTTGACTCTGCTTGATGATAAGTATGTAATCTTGATAGAAGTGGAAAGACTTGCCTGTTGGTGTGTCCCACAAGAGTCGCAACCCGGTCCAACTCGGCGCCCTTGCCTCCCTCATCCTTCTTCTCATCCTCCTCTTCATCCTCCTCGTCACTCTCTTCATCACCCCCAATCTCAACCCTGTGCACCTCGATAATTCCCTTTTCCGTACCAATACAAAGCAGCTCAGTGTCATCTTCTTCCGGTGAAGGAGCAGGGAGGGTGGCAAAGAGAAGGGTGTTGAATCGGGATTTGGTGGAGACTGTTTTCAGGAGCTTGAGAGTCTGGAATATCATTAGTAAACGAAGGCACCGATCAAAGGTGCACATACGAGAGAGTAAATCTGGATTCTGTGAGGAAAGAGGACGGCGAAATGTGTTCCGGCGTCGGAAAACTTGACAAGCTCCGCTTCTATTGAACGATCAGCTCGGTCCGCATTATCACACTGTATATTTACCTTCTCCCAACGGCAGACTGGCAGCTCCTCGTCCTCTCATCAAATCCCACATCTTCAACGTCTTGTCCTTTCCCACACTCAACGCCACCCTTCCGGTCGGGTGCACATCCACCTGGTTCACTCTCCCGCTGTGTCCCTTGAGAGTCTTGAGGAGAGTCCAATCAGAAGTACGAAACAGGGAGAGAGTGGAGTCGGCAGAGGTGGTGAGGAGATGGGAGGGAGTGGGGAAGTGGAGGGACGTTATCGATTCTGCCTCTGGTCAGCTATATTACAACATACAATTGTTGTACTCACCAGTGTGCTGTGACAAAGACCCAACTTCCTTCCTCCTTCTCAAATCCCAGACCTTCACATACTCGTCCACACTCCCCGTCGCCAACCACTTGCCTCCCGGACTAGCCGCAACCGCCTTCACACAAGCCAAATGCGCGGGGAAAATGAATGCAGGCTCAAGCTCCGGTACAGCCACTTCTTCAGATTCGGGATAAGACCCCTCAATACCGTACAGAATCTTCTCGTAGGACCCCGCACAGATGATGAATGTCGAAGGTCCGGCCGCGGGCTGTTTACCCTTGTTCGTCTTGGGCTTTTCTTCCACAACCTCCACCTCCTTCTCCTCTTCCTTCTTCTTGGAAGCTTGCACCTTTACCTGCTTGGTCTTGGGCTTGGCCTTGGGCTTGGCCGCAGGGCCCTTCTTGTCTCCAGCCTTGGAAGATTTCTTCTGGTCGTCATAGGTAACGTCCACCTTGGCCTTCTTGGGGTAAGGCGTAGGGCGCTGTTCCTTCTTGCTGGTAGCTTTGGACTTTCCTTGCTTGCCCATGTTTGCCTTTTGTGTTTTGGTTTTGGTTTTGTGGTGGGAGAGTTGGAGAAAGATGGGGCATGTTTTTGATGGCGAGGTGGAGGCAAGGGCTGAACTTTTTGCTTCCATGCGCGGCTATCGCCGCTTGGCTGGAACGCGCTTCTTTGACGACACCCGCCGTGTTGATGGTTCGGTGCACTTCCAAAATCGTCCTCTTTCAGTATCAGCTTCAGATACTCAAGCGCCACTTCCGGCTATCCTATCAAGACCTTACAAGCATATTCGAAACCCCCATATTAACAAACGATGGCCGAACAGCAAGTCCAGCTCACAGACCTCAACCCCCTCCAACTGCAAGAAGTCAAGAAGCAGCTCGACCAGGTTCGTCTTTTCTCTCTATGCTTGCCCTTCTAAAACTGTATACTGATGAACCATCGGTGATAGGAACTTGAACACCTGACGCAGTCTTACTCTTCTCTGAAGTCGGCGCAAGTCAAGTTCAACTCTTGTATCGAGAGCGTCAAGGAGCTCAAACCCGACTCCAAAGGTGCGTCTCTTCTTCCAATGAAAAGGCTTACGGGCTGTACTTATACGTCTTTAGGGAAGGAGGTCTTGATCCCCCTGACGAGCAGTCTGTATGTGCCCGGAAAGTTGACAGATGTGGAGACTGTCGTAGTGGATGTCGGTACCGGATACTACGTCAAGAAGGTGCGTCTCAGATCACTCTACCTCCCCAACCACACGTATAACTGCTGACCTGCGCCCGTAGAACAAGTCCGAAGCCTCCACCCACTACGCCGACAAGGCCAAATTCGTCCAATCCAACCTCGAGACATTACAACAAACGATCGAGCGAAAGCAGGACAATGCGCAGAGCGTGCAACATGTGTTGCAAGCAAAGATGCAGCAGGTGCAGCAGCAGCAGGCGGCGGAGGCTGCTAAGAAGTAAGGGGATCAAGTTGGGTAGAGAGAGAGAGAGATTTATAGAGATCTTTAGCAGACATATGCATTGTAATACTTGATTGCCCTGATATAGTTTCTAGTCAATGTATACTATGATGATTGACGAGGCTATGCTGTATGGAAAGATTTGAACCGTTGAGCACTGGATATGGCCACCCCTTTCGGCTTTCTGCCTCCACTTCAGTCGGCCTGATTCGGCACGCACAGTCAAACGCATGGTTCCTCTTTCTCTTACATCTCTACATCTCGATTTCCTTATATCGGCAGGGCTATCACTGCCTGTGATTGTCACTATTCTTCCACAAATCGACTCTCACAACATGTCTTCCCGATCCCTACTCCCCGTCGTCCTCACGGCCGACAACTTTCCAAACTACGCCCTCCCCCCGGCCCCTCCTCCAGCCCCCTACGTCCCCTTCCACCTCACCCTCGCCGACTTTGAGCACTCTGTCTATCCCCTTGGTCTTCTCCGACTCGATGTTCTGCTCGAGATGAGAAAGTACAACGCAAGCTTGGTAGAAGCTGGGAAAGACGCGATTTGGGGCTTTGTGGATGATGGCAAGGGGGACGAGTCGGGAGAATGGACTAGAGAGACGAAGGGGGTTTACTTCGAGGAAGGGGTAGCCAAGAGTGGTAAAGAGGCAGTGAGTAGAGTGATGAAGGAGTGCGTGGAAAAGTGGAAAGCCGACGGGCTCTTCCCTGGTCCCCTGGCAGGCAAGTCAACATCTACGCTTCTGGTCCTGAAGCTGATGGACAAGCAGGCTGGAGAAACGAGCTTTACGCTATCTATGCCTCTCCCCAGTCGTCCGCGTTCGCCTCTACCTCTGGCAAGCCCTTGGACAATGTTGCGTTCCACCTTGAACGAGCTGCTTGTGCGCTGTTTGGGCTCGCGACGTTCGGCGTGCATTTGACCGGTAGGTGGTGGTCAGTCAATCTTCGGCAGCAGCTGATTCTGGATATAGCGTATGAGACTGTGAACGGGGAGATGAAAGTATGGGTACCCCGGAGGAGTATGACCAAGGCTACGTGAGTCGCTTGAACCCACAGGGCATGATACCGATGCTGACTTAAGGACTAGCTGGCCTGGGCGTTTGGATAATGTATGTACAGCTGTGGATAGAGATCTGGTTGGTGCTGACATATCACAGTCTGTAGCCGGCGGTATCACGGCCGGTATGACCCCATTTGACACTATCATCAAAGAATGCGATGAAGAAGCCAGTCTTTCCGAAGACCTCGTCAGGAAATACATCAAGTGCGCCCGCTCTCTCGGACATTGCTCAGTCTTGTGCGAAGCTGATGTAATGCAGGAATGTCGGTATTGCAACCTACTTCTACTTTACTGAAGACGGTTTCCTTCAACCCGGTACGTGACCCTCGAACCACGCGTACGAGAGCCGGCTGATGATAAGCAGAGGTGGAATACCTGTATGACCTCCCTCTTCCTCCTTCAGACTCTGCAGAGTACATCCGCCCAGCACCACACGACGACGAAGTCGAATCATTCGCCGTATGTTCTCCCACTCCCACTGCCTACCTCGTACTGACATTAAGCAGCTACTCACCATACCTGACTTGATCTCCGCCCTGTACGGTAACGACATGAAACCCAACTGTGGTCTCGTCTATGTCGATTTCTTGATTCGACACGGGTATGTGACGCCGGAGAATGAGCCCAATTTCGTGGAAATTGGCAGTAGGCTGAGGAGGAAGCTCGGGGTGGGTATGCCCGGGCTGGCCTAAGTGTACGGGCAGATGGAATGAAGAGCAAGCAAAGAAGAAACTTGTGTGGGTTGGATTCACTACTTTCGAGACTCGATGCTGACAAACGAATGGTAGAATATACCATGAAACAGGATGCATGAAATCTGCAAATCAACACTTATCAAATCCCCGGCCCAGCCACATCAATCCGCCTATGCATCCTCCTCACAATCTCTTGATAGTTTGTTTCATTGTCTGGCGTTACAAACCCATGCCTTACCAAAAAGTCGATCGTCACCATGGCAGAGGATGGTTTGAATTCGTCCTTGTGGAGGGACTGGATGACTTGCTGGACGGGCAAAAGCTCGAAGGAGTCGACTTCGTCATCATTCGGGGAGGGATGGACGTAGGCTGAGGAACATCGGGGGGGAAGAGGGAGGTCGTACGTGTATCTGTGAATGGGTGTCAATGGATGAACGTGGGGCGAGCTGATCACTTACTCGGCATCTGCAGGTCACAGGGCAATGAGATAGGTAAGCAAGTCCACGTTGGGTGACAGAGAGACGGCTGACGTACTCGGAAGGATTGCTCCGTCGTCCATGATTTCATAGTAGCTCACCATCCCCGCGCTCCTGAGAAACCACCGCGAGCATCAGCGCCATCTCGATATCCCAACACAGGCAGTACTGACTTGACATATTTCCTGATCAGTTCCTCCGGCCACCCAGCTTCTTCTTCGCACTCTTTCAAGAGCCCTTCAAGTGGCGTATGTCCAGCCGGGAGACCACCCGCAACGCTCTTCAAAATAATACGTTAGCTGACATCGCATAGGTAAGAGCTTGCTTACGCTGTCGTATTTGAGTGGTGATCTGTGACGGTCAGCGCTTCGCCTAGGGATCCAAATCTTCATATCCTCCCCCTCTCCCTCATACGCTATAACACGTCAGCACGTCAGGATGAATCTACAGATTGCCAACTCACCAGTCATGTGAACTCCAAATGCTTGACATCCAAACAACGGCACACCCGCTCGTTCCATCTCGAACGCAACGTTCCCAAAAGGCTGACGAGCAGCCGACTTTGTGTCTTTGAAGGCTCTGGATTGTGGGTAGGCGTATATCGGGAAGAGCTCGTCCATCCATACTGCCGCTTTCAGTCTTTATCTACGAGTAGGTGAATCTATACTCACACTTTGTAGCTTCGGGGAATCTCCCTTCAGCTTTCCACCGGTTCAAGATGTCAGCCATCGCCTCCGTCCTGGCTTGCTTTCCTTTCTCATTGATCTCTTCCGCAAAGAAGACACACAACACGCTCAGCTTGTAAGCAGCCTGGTTCTTATCCTGCTTCTGCTTCTGGAGACACTCGCTACAAGCACCACAATGAACTCGCCAACCGTCTTTCTTGATATCACACGACTTGATCTCTTTGGCAAGAGAGAAAAATTTGAGGGCTCGTTCTTTCTCGAGAGCTTTGAGGACTGGTTGGGTGATGAGCCCGACGGGGGGAAGGCCGTTCTGAAAGTCTTGGAAAGAGATGTGCAAGGGTACGATACGTTGTTTGGTGATGGGATGACGGGAGGGGTAGGGGGCGTGGTATGCCGGGAGGTGGTCGGCTTGGATCACGAGAGGGAGGAGAGAAGGAGAGGGGACTGGGGTGGTGGACATGGTTAGAAGGTTCTGCTTCGTAGTGTGGGCAAGGTGGGGTGAGTGGCGGCGGTCAAGATGGAGTGGAGATTGGTAGGAATGAGACGAGGAGTTGCTCTCATGAACTATATCAAGAGCGCAGATGTACAAAGGTCAATACCGATTCAAAGGATAATGGGCTATGCTTCACAGAGGGAAGAGGGTGAATGGATCGTCTTTCAACTCCGACTGTCGCTCTGGTGGCGACAGCGACAAGTACCATGCATCACAAGCCGCGCTGCATGCCTTGAACTTTATACTCTGATGATCACCAGGCAAATGCATACACTCAGGAACATGCACAGCACGGACAAGCATTGGACTGGCCATGTACACATTCCCCCCATGTGGCTAGTACTTGCATGTTCCGCCCCATCAGCACGCCCCTCTACACACACGCAACTCACCTCGCAACGCCCGAAAACGACCAGCGCCACCCAGTCTGTCACCTCTGACTCTCGGCGTTTCCCGCTCGGACTACTGTATCGAGTCATCGACAAGGGATGACTGACTGCGATCCGTGCTTTCTGCCTGCGCCCGACGGGTTCTGCTGTCCATTCCCCTGACTCTCTTCTTCGGAGCTGTTACTTACTGTTTATTGCTATGACGAACGCCCCTCGGCCAGTGGAGTCCAACTTCGTAGCATCCGCGCGATGACGATACATTTAGTGCTTTAAACGTTCGCAGATCCCGACTGCCGGCAAGGCGCGACGAACAGATTCCGCGTTCCCAAAAAACCCCACAACCAAGCAACCAAGCACCCTTAGCTGGTGCCTGCCCTGAATCGAGAACAACAACGAAAAAAAAAAAGCGGCGGAGAGGCTAAAAGACAAGGAGAACGTAATAATGAATGTTGGTTAATCCTAAATTGAAGAATGGTCCGAAGGGGATAGGGGCGGTGCCTCCACTTTCGACTTTGGCGGAACCTTCTCTGGGGACGGATGCTTTCCCGCTTGTTTTGGTGGCTCTGGAGAGGGTGGATGTACTCGGGCGCTCAAAGGCTGGCGGGTTGGGGATCATACGCTCGATGGTAATCTCTTGGTGTAGTTTGGCAACGGGCCATGAAGGGATGTGAGGTGGGGGCGCTGTGAAAGCTAATGTTCGGGCTATGCCTTCTTACCAGCAGGCAGCCACGTCCAGGATGGGCTGGTCCTCATAAAATGGAGAGCGTTATCGGGTGGAGCACACACCCCTGCTGGTGCACTTGCTGGGTATGGAGAAACAGAGCAGGCCGAGCAGGCAAACACTATGAATCTCAGGATTGGGGGCGTTTCCCGCGAAAGAGTTGTCACCATGTCACCTTTTGCTTTCGGGTGTGCTAGAGCTGCATTTCATTAGGTGGCGCCTTCAGTCTTGGGAAGGCGTTCACAACTGTGCATCGATAGGAGTTTGTCTATCACTTTTGGGGTACACAGACGCTCAAGGCATCTCATGAACGTACAGTCGTCAGTTGGTGCCACACACGCTTCCTACGCTGGTTCGGGTTTCTGCTGCTGGGCCTTACGGCCGTAGGGTTGAATCTGGTATCACGTAACCCCTGCCCCTTTCACTCTCTGTGACAACGTTTGCCGAGCATTCTGATCGGATCTCTGCGCTTCAAGACCCGCATCTCATGGCCACATGCCCGTCTAGCAAACGTCACTTTTTCTACTTTTGGCCATTCTTTTTCCTTGGCCTGAGCCTGCGTGCAATGCCGTCAAGTATGCAGTAGCGTCGGCCCACCTTACGATAGCAGGCGGGGCGGGTACATGGTGCATGGGCACAAGCCAGATATGACATAGACGCATCAGGCAGAGCGCAAGCGGCGAGATCGTAGAAGGATTTGGGAAGGCGTCGAATGTGTCAGAAGCTCGTGTCAATTAGAGACGGTTCAAGGGCGAGAATCTCGAGGGCCAAGCGCGTCAAGCGTCAGGGACGGGCGAGTCACCTCCCGTGCCGGCGGGGAGGGACCCGATGCCGGTGCTGTCGATGTAGTGGGAGAGCCGATGCATGGTATGCATGCATGGGGATGAAGAGGGGGCATGGCGGATGACGATACTCCGAGTAAGGGCTGCTCTGTGTGCTGCATGCATGCATGGGTGGCGGGCTGGGATGGTGGGCGCTGTGGCCGTTCCGGAGGTCCCTCTGAGTAATTCTCCGATGTTTCGCTGCGATCGCTGAGCCACCTGCACCCGAAAAACGGGTCCCTCCACGCTTCCACGCACCACGCCACAAAACTGAATTGGCCGCTAGCTGCGTTTAGAGCGTTCGAGCAAAAGTGGTAAGCAACACATCTCTCTTCTTCTTCTTTCTCCGTCCGTCCCTCCTGGCCGCCCCCGCCATTCCCACCCACCGCCGACTCTCGTTTACAGCAGCCTGTCGCAAAGGTAAGTGCGGCATGCAAACACGGCGCGACGGAAGGGAGGGAGGGAGAGTCACCGTGTTTCAGGCCAGAGCATCGCTGACGGGGCATCAGGACCGAACAGTCGACATCAGCGGAAGAAGCCCCATCAGCGATCAGGCATCAAGCTGCACACGGTCCCTTTCACGTCGCATAGAAAGGGTAGCCCAAAGCCATCCCCACCCAAAGTACGAGTACAGCACGACTCAGTATGTCCTCTCCATCCCCGCCATGGACACTGCTTACCACAGCGTCTTCACCCGCCGCCCCCTCGCCCACCCCTCCCCGACTCCAGCCATGCCCGCCGACGCCCGCATCGCCCACCACCCCCACCACCCCCATCCCTACGCCCACCCCGCCACCCCTCCTACCAGTCCCCCCTCCCGTCCTACCATGCCCACCACCCCTCCGCCCGCCACGTCTCGAACGGCCATCCGTCCCAGGTCGTCGTCCCAGGCCCTCCTCCGCCCAGCTCGGTGCCCGTCAGCGGACCCCCGCCGGCAGAGCCACCAGTGACGGCCGTGGTCACCCCCAGCACTGCGAGCGCCCGCGTGGCCAGGAGTCTCCCGCCCATGAGCGCCGAGGCGAGAGCAGCGAGGGAAAGGATGGACAGTATTCTAGCCCAGCTCGCAAACGGTAACGAGAATACATGGATGCTGATTGGCAAGTGATCTTGTGTTTACATGATGCACGCTGACCCATACTGCAGGCGCGGTTGCCGAGGGCATGAATGATCAGGACAGAGCAGAGTCGGCCTTTCATAATGCCCTGCGCCACAACCCCTCCTCCATCCTCGGCCTGAATGCGGTAGCCTCCGTCGCCAGGTCCCGAGACGAATTCGACAAGGCCATCGAGTACTTTCAGCGCATCCTCAACGCAAACCCCGAGAATGGCGAGATCTGGGGTTCTATGGGTATGTATTCCTTTCTGTCAACGCCGTTGGGTAGAGTTTGGCGATCGGCACGAAGGAAGGCAACGGAGCTAATCTTGAACGCAGGTCACTGTCTTTTGATGAAGGACGATCTCCCCAAGGCATATACTGCCTACCAGCAGGCCCTCTACCACCTCAGCAACCCCAAGGCAAGTATTCCATCTGTGGCGCAGAAGCCCCCCGCTGACCTCGTTTCGCCAAGCAGGAGCCTAAATTATGGTACGGCATCGGAATATTGTACGACCGGTATGGGTCCTTTGAGCACGCAGAGGAGGCCTTCTCGAGTGTGTTGAAGGCGGATCCCCGTGCGTCATGCAGCGAAACACAAGGGAATGCGCTGATTGTGATCAATCAGGGTTCGACAAGGCCAACGAGATCTACTTTCGATTGGGCATCATCTACAAGCATCAGCGCAAATTCAAGGATTCGCTCGATGTAAGTCCCTCGTGTGCCATCAACTGCCAATCTCATTACATGTAGTGCTTCCGATACATTCTCAACAATCCTCCACGCCCCCTTACCTCGTGGGACATTTGGTTCCAGCTTGGTCACGTCTATGAGCAGGATCGTGATTTCGAGTCGGCCAAGGACGCCTACATGCGTGTTCTTCGCCATCAGCCAGACCATGCCAAGGTTCTCCAGCAGCTTGGATGGATTTACCACCAGCCGGGTGCTTCTTTTACGGATCAGGATCAGGCAGTGTCGTTCTTGACCAAGAGTCTGGAAACGGGTGAGTTTGGATCGCCTCCTATACGGATTCCGCATTGACACGTTGCAGATCCCAACGACGCTCAAAGCTGGTACTTGCTTGGACGAGCATATATGGCGGCTGCACGATACAACAAGGCTTATGAAGCTTACCAACAAGCCGTCTATCGCGATGGTCGCAACCCTACCTACTGGTGCTCTATCGGTGTGCTCTACTATCAAATTCAGCAATACCGTGACGCCCTCGATGCCTACTCTCGCGCCATCCGTCTCAACGCCTACATGGCTGAAGTCTGGTACAATCTCGGCTCTCTCTACGAGTCTTGCAACAACCAAATGAACGACGCACTTGACGCCTACTCGAGAGCCTACGAGCTGGACCCCGCGAATACGCCAGTCAAGGAAAGGATCAGGTTGTTGCAAAACCCCAATGCTGGACCCCTGCCGCCCCCGCCCACCCCGGTCGACGTTCATCCCTCGCAGTATCCCAGTATGGGCACCGAAGGCCCAGGTTCGCCGAACGGCTCTCCTCCCCGCTTCATGCACCTTGAGGGCATGTCTTCCAGAGACGGCGGGCGCGACCTCCCTCCTCCCCCTCCAGGCGCTGAAGCCCGGGCTCACTCACCAGGTCCATTCCGAAACGGCGCCGCGCCTCCTCCTCTCCAGCATGTCGATGAAAGCCGCGGAAGTATGGCTGGGGTCGCGCCGTTGGCTAGGATGGAGGTGGATCCTCGTGCGGAGGCTAGAGAAGAGAGGCCGAATGGTTCTGCTGGCGGGCGATATGATCCTTTGGGTAGACAACCGGAATCACCCATCTCGCCTCGCGCTGCGTCGTCTCGTCGAGATGTACCTCCCCCCTTCCCCCCCGCGAGAGGATTCAACTATCCTCCGGGATACGACCGCTCGCGAGAAGAATGGGAACACGACTCGAGGGGTCCTCCAGGACCCTCACCGAGGATGGCT